AGTGCCCCTCTTTAACTCTGGGCTAGACGTTGTTGCGAACATTTGACTATGCGGTGGATTTCACTCCGAGTCCCAGAGCGGAAGGAAACTGGGACAATGCGGCTGGGAAACCCTAGGACGTGTGATTGAAAGCGAGCATCGTCGACAAATATGGTCTAAAAATCAGGCATTACGAGCTGAGAACCCTTCTCCAAGCCCAGCAGAGCAGACCCCTGAGCAATTAGATGAGGAAACTAGAAAGACCAAAGACAGAGAGTGGTGGGCAAAGCTTCGGCGTGTCCGCCAGATCCTTCAGCCTAAGGGAGCCAAAAAGACGAAACCAACATGAATAATGATACCCGATTGAGCTAATTATCTTTTTAGACTATATAAATTAATTCTATACACAAATCAACTGTTTTTAATCTTTGCCGTGGACCTCACCCTATAGTAACTGGCAGTCGGATAATGGTAGCCGCCGATAGACGCGAAGCGCGGGATTTTGGCTTGGCGGCTATTTTTGGCCTTCAGGCTTTAGTTTCACCACCATAAAAACTTCACTCTTTATCAAACAAAAAACTACTGGGCTCTCACGATTAAGCTGCTTCATTAGTGCTTTGAACTTAACTATTCTGCAGTGAAGCGAACAAACCTCACATAGTTGACCGCGCAACCAGCCAACCTGCTTGTCAAGATGGAAGGTCCTATCGAAAAAGCTAACGGAGATTCCTCTCCTCCGGCAAATTCAGAGCCGTCGCAAACACACAGCAAAGAAGGAAATGCGCCGGTTCCTTCAACCAGCCAAGCCCCAGAAGCCTTGGTAGACGGCGGCCGAGATGCGCAGAGTCCGAATGGGAAGAAAAGAAAGCTCTCTGAAAGTGAGCCGCAGCAAGATAAGCCGAAACAACAGGAATTTCAACCACGCTCAAAGCGGCGCAGACAGGAAGAACGATCACAAAAGAACCGAAAGCGTGGAAAGACACCACCATCTGCTTACTCTCGTCGCGACGCCCCTATACCTGAAGCCAGACGATCACCATCGCCAATTCGGCGCACTCCTTCGCCAGACGCCCCAGCTCGACAACGAAAACGGCCTGGAGGGGGCGCAAGGATAAACAGCGCTAATATCGAGGCTCTTAGGCGAAGACAGGAGGAGCGAGACCGCCAGCAGCAGGCTGAGGCCGAACAAGCTGCGCATGCCCGAGGGGTTCATGACGTGGTGAGACAGCATTATAATGCGGTTCCTGAACGAGGACGAGAATGGCGAAAGACAGAAAGCAAGATAAAGGGCCTCCGCAGCTTTAACAACTGGGTTAAAAGCTCTCTTATTCAAAAATTCTCTCCAAGCGAAACCTTTCTGGCTAGGCACAATGATAGAGATCTCGCCGGCTCAGCCTCTGTAGCACCGGAGGAAGAGAAACCGCTTCTCATTGTTGATCTTGGCTGTGGTAAGGGCGGTGACCTTGGTAAATGGCAACAGGCTCCTCAACCTGTTGAGCTCTATGTTGGCCTGGACCCGGCAGATATTTCGCTTGACCAGGCGCGGGAACGGTATATGCAGATGAAGAATCAGCGTGGTCGAGGGCGCCGAGGAATTCCTATTTTCCACGCCCAGTTTGCACCAAAGGACTGCTTCGGTGAATCACTTGCCGACGTCCCTATAATCCAACGAGTGGGCATCGACGAATCCGTTGGCCCAGGTGGTTCGATGATGAGCTCTCGTTGGGGCGGAGGAGGTTTTGACGTCGTAGTGTCGATGTTTACCATGCATTATGCTTTTGAAAATGAGACCAAAACCAGACAGATGCTACAAAATGTCGCTGGACTGCTCAAGAAGGGAGGTCGATTCATTGGCGTCGGTCCTAATTCCGATGTAATTAGCGCCAAAGTTGTCGAGGCGCATAAGCTACGAAAGCAGAAGGAAGAGGACGCTAAGAAGAGGGCGGCTGAAGAGCCGGAGGATGGTGAGGTAGAGGATAGTACAGATGCAGTTGAATGGGGGAACAGCATATACCGCGTGCGATTCCCGGGCAAAACACCTGAGGATGGGATATTCCGCCCTGCATTCGGCTGGAAGTATTTCTACTTTATGGAGGAGGCGGTTGAAGAAATTCCTGAATACGTTGTTCCTTGGGAAGCATTCCGGGCGTATGCTAATCCCTATACTTCATTTATTACTATTTTTTTACACCTGCTAATTCACTATTACAGATTGACCGAAGACTACAACCTTGAGCTCCAATATCGCAAGCCCTTTTTGGATATATGGCGCGAAGAAAAAGACGACCCCATCCTGGGGCCTCTCAGTGAACGTATGGGCGTTAGATCCAGAAACGATGGCTCAATGTTAGTTAATGACGATGAACTGGAAGCTGCAAGTATGCCTTTCACCAGTTTTTCCAATCCAAAATCATCTGCTAATAATGTTCGATCTAGGTCTATACCATGCCTTCTGCTTCTACAAGGCGTAAAAGAACGAATCCTCTCGAACCTACATATATTTAATGCTTCTAGTTTTAAATAATATAAAGGAATAAGCCCTTCTATTGGCATAAACAGCTTTATACAACGTAATGCGATTGTAAAAAGCAATATACCGTATTGGGACTAGCGCAGCCGCGTCGCGTTCTTATCAGATTTTGCTATTTAGATTATTATATTTCTCAAAACTTCAAAAGGCCATCTTCAGTATATCTTCAATTCATATGTCATAGACACGCCTTTCTTGCTATATTGTCAGTCTGAAGATACTACGATGCCTGGTCGCTCTGCTCCCCGTGCCAGCACGGCAGAAGTCATGAGTGCACCACTCGAACTCCCTCCCTATGAGCCTCAGATAGCACCCCTCACAGCCAACGCAAAACTCAAGGTTGATTCAGTGATTAAATCCTTACACTCGCGCCATTTAAAGATCCATCTGAACCATGCAGCCGGTGCGCTGTCAGAGACTGTCGGGGACACCAACGATAGGTTAACAGAGGCAAAGACCCGCTTAGAGAAAGTAAAGAGGCGGAGGCGAGAGAAGGAGGAAAAGCGATTGAGGGAAGTGGGAGAGGAAGGCAATGGGCAAGAAAAAGAACTAAATGAAGGAGAAAGGGATAATGCCGAACGAGAATCAGAGACTATTGCAGAGAGAGAGGAGAAGCTAGCTCGGTTTGAGCAGCTGGTTAAGGGGACCACACGAAAGCTGGAAAGGGGGATGCGGAGCATTGTTGACTGTGAGGTACAGGTTGATAATATGCTGGATATTTTGACAGAGCTGCTGGAGAGCAATCCGACGGAGACACAGAGAGAACCACAATTGAGAGCTCGGCGCTTGCGAAGGAACCGGGATGAAGATGAAGATACCAATATGGATGATGAAGAAGGGGATATGGAAGCAGAACCACCTGCAGCAGTGGAAGTTATACCGGCATCTCGTACGATTGTGGAGGGATTAGCAGAGAAGAATAGAGAATGGGAGGCGTTATCCCTTGTGCAGAGGTATTGGGCTTTTCTATCGTCATTTTTGACACTTACACCTACTGACTGGCTCTTAGATACGGCACCAATAACAGCTACAAACAATTCTACCGCGTTCTTCACGAATCTAAGCACTCTGGCGTTGAGGTTCCCCCTTTGCCACCTCCATCTGTCTGGTTTCAATCTTCCGATACCTCACGAGAACCCGGTAGCCAGAGAAGAAAGCGTAAAAGGAAGCATACCGTCCCTGCCCATGGCGTTGACGGTACTGTTGATGAAGATGGCGCCGATGAGGACGACCAACAGGCCCTATCTCCGCGTTATGATGACGGAGAAGAGCGAGACCAAGAGGACGAGGATGAGGCAGATGAGGAAGATGAAGAACCTACCCAAGAGGCCACACAGGACGCACGCTCAGACGACGAAATAGCGGTTAGGTCCGAGAAGTTCTCCATCACCTGTCCACTGACTCTACAGCTCTTCAAAGACCCGGTCAGCAGCACCAAATGCCCACACAGCTTTGAACGGTCTGCTATTGAGACCATGATAAGCCGCAGTCGTCAGAATACGTTTGTACCAGAGTCTAGTAGCAGTTCCCGAGGGCGAAACATGCGCTACGTTAAGTGTCCTGTTTGCAACGTGTCGATTACTCTTAGGGATCTAAGGACGGATCCGGTATTAGTACGAAGGGTGAAGAAGGCTGGACGTATAGCTGCTGAGGAGGAAGAGAGCGATGACGACGATGCAGAAGGCCATGAGGATGTGGAGATGGGCGATGATAGTGTCATGGTGAATGGGAGCAGGGCAGCTAGAGGGGGAAGGGAGGTAGTGGTAAAGAGCGAGAGAGTGAGGTCACCGTCTCGTATTCCCGATACACAGATAGACGACTGATACACGGATGGACGAATAAAGAGACATGGAAGATGTTGTATATTAAAACCCGTGGATATATAGTAGTAAACAGAATAGAATGCCAGTAAGCGGAATTTGCTAAATTAAAAAAATAATGTAGTTATCGGAACGATTAACGATGAAGATAGGTGAAGTTATACCCGGGCCCGGGGTAATAAATCCATGATAAATCAACGCAGACATACTAAAGTAAGGGAAAAGGGGTGGGAATGATAAATTTAGAGGGCATCAAGGAACAACAACTAATCCTCAAGACTTGGTAATACTCTTGGTCTTCTCATTTGAATACCGATGGTCAAGAGTCCTTCTGTTGCGTGATGCAGGGTAAGTATATAATTGGGTCTCCGAAGCCAGGCTAATGCATGCTGATGCAGCATATTCTCTTTTTCCACCACCATTTTCTGTTTCTTCTCCTCCCCCAGGGATGGTCTTCCTTGCAAACCATTCACATTGCTCATAATGATGTTGCTTATATATGAAGTTGTTTTTGTCGCTTCCTTCTTGCAGACCCATCTTACATAAGTGGGCTGAAGTGGGTACATTTTACTCAATAGCAATCAAATTCTTTCCATCGAACAACCTCAGGTGATTAGATTGAGGTAATCGACCACGATGAGTGTTATCATACTAAACTCAGTGTCAGTAAGGGGGGAAGCATGGGCTATAGTGTATGGAAAGAGGACTTACGCATGAGGAGCAATTCGGACATAGTAAGTTCCAAAGCCACGGTAGAACCTCAACCAGCCTTCCTCACGGACGACCTTCCTCGCACAATCGAATACCCCCTTATACGGCAGGACTCCCGACTTGGGATCCTTTGTCTGCTTCTGGAGCCTGGTCTTGACAAAGTCAAAGGGAAGGGACATGAAACTTGCGAAAAAGCCGGCAATTGCAGAGGCCGCGAACGTCCTGTTCTGCGCCGACAGGTTGGTGTGAGTCTGCAGCTGCGACTTGGCCTCCGAGAAGAAAGTGAGCTGGCCGAAGTTGAGGGCCATGGCACGAACAACGGTGGGGAAGGCCCCGGCCCACAGTGCGGTGATACCCTCGGCTCGCGAGATACGCACCAACGCATCGACGACGGACGTGTAGTTTGCTCGGGAGGCGGCCGGCTTAAGTCCGTCAGACTGCATACGGATGAGAGCCAGGTCTGCCGGGTTCCCGATCATGGCAGCTAGACCGCCGGCTGAGAGACCTGCGGCCGCTCGCTGGACAAACGTGACCTTCTCGCCCTTGGAGGCCGCATGGCCGTTCAACATGCCCATGAAGGTGTCGAAGAAGCCTAGACGGGCAGTGGTATAGACTGCCTGGCGGAGCAGCCCGGCTGAGAGACCGGTGTATAGATCGAGCACTCGTCCCGAGGCAATGATCTGGCGAGCGATGCCTATAGCGGTAGGCTTCGGTCCGGTCTTGACTCCCTCTCCTGCAAGCTGGAGACGGACTTTGATCATGTCGATGGGCTGGATGCAGACCGTGGCCGTCATTCCTGCAACGCCACCGTTGAAAAAGGGGAGAGCAGCCCTGACGAAGGGGGAGTTGCGGATCGAGGAGCTGGAGGAAGACGAAGGAGACGACATGGCTGCTTTCGTCTCGGTGGCTGCTTTGGCTGCTGCAGAGGTTGCTGAGCCTTTGAGGGGAGAGGCCATGGCTATCGCTGGTGATCTAGCAAGGGTCCTCGCAAGAGGAAGATGCACTGGCTATGTATGTATGTGTGTGTGTGCGTGTGTGTATAGCCCCGGCAAAGTGGGAGGTTGTATATCTAGATAGCTACGCTGGGCGATGTCCGGCACCCAAAGGCGCTACCCATCGACAACACAACGAGGACAGCCAGACAGGACGACAACCAGACGACAGCCACAAAGCTATAACTCGCTCGACATGAAGAAGAAAAAGATGAAACTCGAAAAAAGCAGCAAAAGAAGAAGTTTTGAAGCCTCGAAGCGTACAAGTCACGTGTCAACCCCGCTTGGGAGAAACCGATGCTCAGTTAAGTATTTGGTACTTCTTTTTGTATGGGAAACACACGCGTTTGTAGGTATCTGATACTTGACCAAACATCGACCTGCCCGACGTCATTCTTCCTCTATCAACTTCGTCAACATCAACATCACAGCCGACAGGAAGTCAACAGTAAGTCAACATTACAGCCAACAGTTACATAGTAAGTCAACATTCAACATATACAGTATGAGGCTAGCTGGAGGGTGAGCTCAACGTTTCTCAGGTACAGCTACTCCTGAGCTAGCAGATAGCTCCTCGCCAGACCGGATAATTCGGCCAGAGACAAACTACTACAAGGCTCGATTCAACAAAGCCATAGAGCTCAACCCGTGTTTTCTCGTCGATATTACGAAGCATAGCTATCCCGGATGATTACCTCTTTCCCGCGGCCACGGAAAACTGCTTGAACTCAAGCCCATCCACATTCTGGGTCTGATAGCGGACGGTGAGCGAGAAAGCGAGAGAGTGACGGAGGATGGGACAAGTTACGTAAAAAAACAAAGCATGGATCGGGAGCATTAAAAATAAATAAGCTATCGATGTGTACGGTGGGCACAGGATCTCCGTTCTTCACGGCTTGCCCAACGGTACCTGTCTGACGCATGGGAATGGCCAACATATCACGATTGGGGAGAGCCCCTGGTTTACGTTTCCCTCCCCCCCTGGCTGAGCCGTCGTCTTCGCCCTTTTTCAGGGACGGGGAGGGCACCAGCTCCTAACCTAGACCATTGACTAATTTCGGTTGGAGTGATGCAATGAGCAACTGTGCATGCTCAAGTCTCGGCAGGCTTCCGTGCACTAGTTAAAAGATATCCTTCTCTGGTTTTACATAACATTTCAGGTGTAACGTGTTGCTTTCTGCATTGCGGACTGGACCGGGAACCCAGAAACAGAGGGCCGGAAGGAGAATGATTAGTTAACGTGTAGTTATGATATAGGCGGATAATTGGACTAACAATCAACATAAAGATAGAAACGCAGCAGGCCGGCGGCTGGACGGGAAGTTAAAGCTGGTTTTTTCTGACGAGATTCTTCCTTCTGGTCTCGTCTCTGTGTTCTCTCTGTCAATGCATTGGTTTACTTCATTTTCCGTCACCATGTTTCGGCTACCCGCGGTGGCAGATTTCACCGTCTCGATGGCTGGCTTAAATCAGAATCCAAATGCAAGTCGCTTCCAGACTCCCTCCATGTCCTGACATAGGGTTATGAACGAGTCGTTTTGCAGCTGCTGACATACCCACGACTCGATCAGATCGGATCGTTCGGCGGTCGGGTGCGATGCATAGCTCGATAGATCTTCACGGGTAAATGGGAGGAGGCCTGTGCTCCTTGGGCTGATATTCTCTGCCACAGGTGCATCTGTGATGGTGGTCGTGTTGATTTCTACCCTGTGCTCGCCTCCCCCTCTCTTCTGTGGAGAGATACTCGGGGATAGAAGAAGGGATCCAGGGACTTCACAGCCTGGTTCCTGTTCCTTTCCACTTTCTTTGCCCCTCACCAGTTCGTGGCTGGAGTTCTGTACGCTCGGTCCTGCGACTGATGTATGTGCTGTTCTGGCTACACTGTCTGCAGTTGCTGCGCAAGCCTGATGCTTGCCTCCTCTTCCCTGGCCAACTTTGTTGACTTTCCTAGGATTGGGCCCCCCTGGTGGAGATCGTTCGGCAGACCTTTTCTTTGCAAATGGCAGTTCTCGCCTTGGAGGGAGAAGCTGACTGAGAGACTCGGAAGTGAGAAATGTCGGTGCTGTTGAGGGCCTGGGGTTGGAGTCAGCCTGTGCCTGTGATGGTTTCTGGAAATGGGACTGCGCTATACCCAAGCTTGGGCGAGCAGTAGGCAGGCTGGGGAGAGTCATTGATGATTCCTACATTACACGGTTATTATTCCCTCTAATACTGTCAGGAGTAGGTACCCACCATAGATGACGGCCGTGTTTCCACAAAAGTAGATGACGCTGCCCGAGTGCTCAATCCATCAGTATAATAACATGAAGGTGTTATTATCGACTCTGGGGTCGGTGGAACATTACGGCAGTCTGTGCCTGCATACCCGGAACCTGCTGTAGAAGTTGTATATGATGATTGTTGTGCAATAGTTGCTGGTGGTTCGGTGATCGGACATTTTGCTGCCTTCAATACGGCTATAGCGTGGTGGTAATCTGCTACAGATGCAAATTTTACTTGGAACCGGCGTATCTACATCGTCATATTTAGCACGTTGGTCCATGGCAACTTGTCAATGTAGTATTTTCAAATATATGCCTATACTTACCTGATTAATACCTGATGGATACCGGATAGCAAGACACGGAGATCTCACAATAACAGCCACCGGTGCCTTTACATCTCCCATAGGCATTGACGATCCTCTCTGTGCGAGTAATCCTAGATCCAGCTCTTCCTACATACCCTTTAGCATGAGCCATTTGCCTCATTCACAAAATTCCCATAGACTTACCAATACCTCATGTCCTTTCATCACCTTCATCAGCCAGCTCTCCCTTGTCCATTTCGAGGCCTCATCCCTTATACGAACGGTAGAGAAAAGGGCTAACAGGTCTGAACCACCAGAGAGATGTGTCCATGCCAATGGAGCAACACGGTCTGCGGAGGTGGTAGTATAGGAGAACTTGAGTATAGGCAGGGTCAGTGTTTCCCCCGGGCCGTTTGATTGTTGAAGTGCGGTTGGTGAGAGGTTAGTGTAGGACATCTTTTCTACACGCTGACTGTAGCGGGTAATATACCCTTTGTAGGAAGCAAATAGTCTCTATTTGATCTATATTATCCTGTTAGATAAATTAAATGAAATCTCTGCCATTTAATGTTGATTTGGTCGTCGCAGCGATTGAAGCTGTTGAAGTGCTTGTCTTCTCCCCGCTTTTTGTCCCAAAGAGGCAGAAAGCTCAACTTTGGACTCTCATAAATATATATATCATCCTCAATACCTGGATATTTTACACAAACGCCATTGATCATTCTTCAGTTATAATAATTGAGTATGGATGGGGTATTACTATGGAAATTTGTCATATATCGACTTTGACCTTGTGTACTATATTGTTATTACAGCAGCAATAACAAGGAAACCCTTACAATCACCACCATCAACTCTTAAATAAGTATGAGGATGCACTTGCTAGGAGTTAGTGAGCAATCAGCATACCCGATGTCATAGGCACTGATCATTCCACCATGGGAACTCCTTTGCAACATCATTTTCCGCGGATATATGATAACATATCCGGTTTCATCAGTAGTCGATTCTGTCGTACCTGAGTCATATTAAACTGAACTGCGAATGGGATGCCCAAACAAGCAAATCAACTGAGGGCTTCATTAATTGCCACCTTATATAAGACGTGGTGATATGCTGCCCTAAAACGCAAATGCAAGCACGATGACGAAGGCATACTTGGACTATTTCTATGTGTCATTACCATCACGCTGCGATAGCAAATACATCCCAAGCGGATCTGGCGAACGTGCCTCTTGATGAACCACTTTTAGAATTGCGGGAATAGAATGAACCCTAACAGGGTTGGTGAGATTGGGCTTCCAACCTACGCAAGGATCTCTGACCTCCCATCCCACAACCATGGGCGAGAAATAAGGTCCTTCAGGGGCAAAGAGGTATCATTAGATCATGCACGAAATTATTACTTGAACAGGGAGCCGGCAAATACCAAATTATTGCTCGAATCTCTTAGAAGAGAAAGAGGAGAGATAAGCATACTCTGTGGTATCACTAAGTGGAGCAGAAATCCAGGGTGTTTCTATATCTCTGTTTGTCTGATGGTGTTGCCTTCTCCTCCTCTCTCCACCTCTCTCGGTGAGTGGGCCATAAAACTTCTATTTTCTGATAAAAATTCGCTTCTAGGAGCGATCTGATCGGTATGAGGCATTTAGGATATGTGGTCAAGTTATGACAACATATTCTAGGCCGGGAATATGAAACTTGTTGCTGTGCCGCATTACATGTACTTACGTACCGTGGGCTTAGGTGGGTAATTTCAAGGCTGCATCAACCTTCCAAGTTACAGATTTTGTCACTTATGTCGAAGGAAGGCAGATTTCGGGCACACAACATCCTCAGGAGCTAGCTTAATGCTAAGGTCATGAGGAAGAATTTAATAAATCACCGCAAGATATAATGCATAATCGTTGTCATTGTGCATGATATGATACAGATAATCTTTCATCTTTTGCTGCAGCTTCATGCATTGCATTGCCTATGCATTCACACGGAGAATTCTCCGTCCGGGAGAAACATCAGAGCAAAATCGTGGCCTAGAGAGCGGGGTCCCTTTCAAGATAAGTCACATTATATTGGATATAACCTATTCTGTTTTTCTAGCCAACCACGCTTATCGAATTAATATCCAAACTGTTGAAAATCTTGGGGTATGAAAGGAATGGATATCCACAATGTAGAGAAGAGAAAACCATGAAGGAAACCAAGGTCATTGCTATGCCAGAAGGAAGCATTCTGTCAGGCTAGCCATATTCCGGCAATAGTAGGGGGCCAAATCCAGTGATCAATCACACCGCAGCATTACTAAGAATAGTACCAAGTGGGTCGTGCCAGTAAAGAGAGCAAGACGACTAATGCCTGTTGCGTGATAGGTGTGAAAAGGAAGGGGTAAAGGTATGATATCTGGTGTCGGGCTATATCCAGTGTGCACCCGATGACTGGCTTGTCGGGCTAGATTATTCATAATTGATGACCATAGCTTAGATTAGCACTTCCGGATTAGGAGACGCCTCCACAATGCTTGTTCCAAACAAAGTGTGCATTGGAGTATCATATTCTGCGGCAGATGGAGCTAGCTGAAGGCTAGGATGGAGTCACTGGGTCAGCCTTATTCAGGGCATCTGGGCATAGTTCCACGGAATTAAAAGCCGAAGAGAAGAGAGAAAAACTGGGTTTCGAAGACCGGTGTCTATGAGAGAGGAGTGTAACATGCCGAAGCTATCTGAAGGATGTGTGGGTAACCAACAAAAGTGACTCAGCTTTGGCTGATATGAGGACTCCCAGTAGTATGGTGCTGGGGATTTAGCATGTCCATCCAAGCCGCAATTTCACGGGGTTGTTGGCTGCCCTGTGGATAGATTATTTGCATATGTAGTGGAACGCGGGCGCTCAGCTTCTCATGTGGTGGTGTTGAGAGATTCAGTAACCTGCAGGCCATTATCACCAGTGGTTGTTTTATAGGTATCGAGGAAGAACAGAATGGCTGAGGAGGAAAGTAGCTTTGAGTGAAAAAGGTACCTTTCCTATTCCGTAGTTTTCCAAAGACTATTCTTTCTTCCTGATTGGATCGCTTATTGAGGTTCCCTCCAAGTGGAGGATGGCTGATGGCTTTGTTCCGTTTTTAGCATAGAGCTAGAAGGGCGAGGGAATGTTCCATGGCTTGGCTATACCAAACATCCTCATCTTTTACTGACGGCTGATATCAGGCTGTTGCTAATGAACTTGTTGAAGAGTGATAGTTCTTAGAACACGCCAAGGCATCCGATCCAAGGTTAACTTTGGCCCCAATGTGGGTAAAGCTGGAAGTATTGACAATGTTGTTGATATTTTGATGGGCGCTAAAGTGAAAAGTGACCTTCCATGCCTCGTCAGCTGGCTTGCATTGATCCTGTAGCTGCTGCTAGACTCCGTGCCTCCTGTGGCGGAATATACAACTCCAAACGTTGGGATATGTGTGATTGTACGCTAGGAGGAGCATATCGAAGAGTTAAAAGGATGACATTGTAGATATGTAGATCGCGCGTTGAATCTTCAACCGTGCGGAGTTGTTTATCCCAGTCATCGTTGCATGCAGTGCGCAACATTCGGAAGCTTAGGAGGACAGCCAGCCAGAGCAGCATGCGACCCATTTTGAACATGAACACCTCAGAATGATGTCGGCAGAGAGTTTGAAGTACATATGTTACTTGGGCCTGCAAGGATCCAAAAACATCTGTGTCCCTCTGGTTGATGCCAAGAAGCATATTCCGAAGGGCCTGACAATAATCTGCGCAAGGATAAAAAAACAAACACTGTCGATCAAAAAATACGAGTTGATAGTGAAGTCCTGCAAAGTGTACAGGTGGCCGCTCTAAAATCTCATCTATTGTTGGTTACCGGTTTCAAACAAGGAGATAGAACACCAAATTCTCTCCAAAGGGGCGGTTACGAGAATAGAAACAGGATGCGGTGACTGAATGTGCCGGCATTGGGGGAAAGAGAGGGGAAGGATAGAACATAAACGGGGCTCAGGTAGGATGAAAGTTTCATGCCCTGTCCGGGCTTTAGATCGCTTGGAGAGCAAGGTGTCATGATTTAAGATTTTAGCGCAAATCACCCTACAACGCCGAGGAATTGTGAACTATAGAGGATGACTTGACAGCATGTCGGTTATTGTTGTGCGTCGGCCGTATAAGCATGAGTATGGAGTAAAACGACAGTTAGCGCCATTCCGGAGGCTGAGCTGCCAGTGAGTGCGGTATCGCATTTCCTATTGGTTAGCCCATAGGGAAAGGTTCTTTCCTCTCTTCCTTTTTATCCGGGAGAACCTGATGTCGATGATCAGATATCAAAACTCTCCTAAAGCGGCTATCGACTTGCATGTTCCTTTCCCCCCTCTCTACCAGACGATGCAAAGCTTCCAACCCATTTTTTTTAATAGCTCAAGGTTCTTGGGAAGGTTCAAAAAGCCTCCACTTCAAAGTCTGCGTATACACATTGTAGTATCGGAACTAGGCGGGGGGTAGTTTGCATGGATGCTCTTAAGGATGGTGGCTTGGGGGTGAAAAATCCCCGATGACGTTCAGGACGCCATGTAGCCTTTTCACACATATACTTTTATTCCGCATTGGTCTTGGACCAAGAACTCGGCCAAGCTACGGCCAAAAGCGGAAATCCCATGGAAGCCTTCTGGAATCCAACTGCGTACAAAGCCTATGCATCGATCCAATGAGGATCGGACAGCGTGGCAAGGGTACGTTGGCAGGGGGCAACCTTCTTCCTCCCGCCTAGAGACTGTTTCTTAGGGGGGTAAGCAGAAAGTCCCCAATGAACGGCAAATCAACCCTTGAATACGCCAAGAGATCCAGATTTGCTGCTGATTTCGCCTTGGATGTGGAGAGTTGTCCTTTTTTTTTCTTGTATGTTTTATGTTTCTTTTGTTGATAACGTAGTAACGTGGACGGGATATGGCATGTCAGCAAAGCGGCAGGGAGTGTGAGAACGCCCTGTCCCATGATGCGGGATTGGCACATACGCCGACCCAGGCTCGGTCCGTGAGAGACAGGCGGAGGCAGCATAGATGATGGGCCATGTAGAATATTGCCCGTATCCATGAAAGGTCATCCATCTTTCGATTTGGGCGAGGACGGGTAAAAACCAGGACCAGCACCATCCGCAGCATCCAGAGTCACATCCAGAATCTGCACAGAGGGCCCCCTTGCCAGAGTCTTTCTGCTGCTTCTCTCTTGCTTCTCTTGCCTTCCCCATCGCCGTCGCCCGTCCAGCTAGGTTCTTCTCTGCGTTGGAAAGGCTCCATAACTCGTCCCTTGTACCAAAAAAAGCCTAATGGCGGGCCAGGATCGCAAGCGTTCTGCACGCAGAGAGGGAAAACTTAGTGTCAGGCTCAATTCTTTGTCTCCAGAGCAGGAGACTGATAAGGTCTCTCCCTCTCCATCTTCATCCCTCTCTCCCATGGGCGAGAGAGTGTGTTTACTGTTGTAACTGCAAAAGAAAAAAAAGGTCGAAGTCGAGGTTTCTCCCCTCTACGGTTGCTGGGATCGACCAAAAAAGCAACTTTCTTTTGACCGAAAGTTCGAACAACCAAAAAAACATCAACCAAACGCCGTCAAAACCGCCAGACGTACAGAAAGAAGACATTCATCAGGTTTATATATATCTTGTTATATCCCCCCCTCGTCAGAACAGTCTTTGATTCCTTGCCTTGCTCTCTCTTCGATGTTTCTGTCTATCTTGCCGGTCGCCTTTATTCTTCTGTACCGTCGGTCAGAATCCCGGCCTCCTCTCTAGCCCTTCGACCCTCATCTACTCGTCTTCCCGTGGACCCCTTTACCTTCTGATCTTACTATTTTCCCGTCTCTTCTCGTCTGTTTACAAAGTAAGAGATAATATGGGATTCTACTGTCGGATTTCGTGATCATTGCCGTTCGTCCACGGATCAACGTCCGTTTTGCTCTACCTCCTCCTCCTCTCCCATATATACGTTATACACCCCATTATCATTCGTCTTATTGTTGCTCCAAAGCCTCTGCTTTCGTCTATATACACCAATCTATCGGGTTTACGGGTGAAATTCGGTGGCTATGTTGATTGACGGCGAGAAATGGGCGTGCGATGCTTGTATTCGAGGACATCGTGTTAGCACCTGCAACCACTCAGGTAAGCCTAGCACACGCAGACAGGAAAAACATATATATATAACTGACTCCTTTATCTCTTCCTAACAGATCGTCCCCTAAGCCATATCAACAAGAAAGGGCGGCCGGTATCTCAATGCCCACATTGCCGTGGGCTACGAAAGGCCCGGACATGCCACGCCAAGTGCGAGTGCGGCGAGAAACCACATAGCAAGTCAGAGTGTCCACTGAATGGATCTACTGACGGCCAGAGTGAGCATTCTTCCATGGCCTCTTTCCATGTCTCACTTCCCTAGCGGGTCTGATTTTACTTTCTAGAAACGGCTGGGGCCCGAAAACACTGCTGCTGCGGACACGGAGGTCGCTGTGCCTGTGCGTCCAAGCGGGACTCGAACCTCGAAACCGTGCCAGAGACAGGGCCCGTTGCGGCAAGGAGGTCTACGGTGTCTGGCGTCAAGAGGCCGCATATCACAACCTCCAAGAAGCAGAAAGACGCCAGCAAGAGGGCACATCCGTACCCTCTCCCTCGTTCCCGCACCATCCATGGAACTGCTGAGCTGGCCCATCTCTCGATGGAACACCTGAATGAGGGATACGGCTCGCAGAGTGTCTCGTCGTACCAGGACCTGGTTACCAGCGCTCCTCGCCCGGTACGGAGAGTCAAATCCGAAAACGGCTCGCCGGTCACGGAGATGTCAGATATGAAGGCACAGCTCTCCCTCGACATCCCTTATCAGCATTTCCCCGATCAGGCCGGCCTCGCCATGCCCTTCCTAGATTACCCTCAGCAGTCACCTGGTCTATACTATCCCTCTGATATCGAATTTGGCTTCGAAGCGGCGATCTCAAATGGACCGTCTATAGACTGGTCCACTTTTGATCTACCCTACGGATCGGGTGCCTACACTGCCACGTACAGTCAGCCCGCATCCTATGCAAGCTACGACTACAACACCTTCGGCCACTCTGGCCTGGCCCGTTCGTCATCTGGGGATACCTCTGATGCTGATGACTTGTTGCCCGTCGTCGGCACCGGTTCCGAGGCCGGCATGTACCACCTGGGGAGCACCCCTCCCTCTCATCTTGACCTACCTTCCCAGTTCCCCATGTCGCAAACCTACGAACCCGCTGCCGTGGAATCAGTCCTTCACACAAGCGAGAGCGTCAACAACGCCCAGGCTTGTGCTTCTTCTGCACCGGAGGCCCCGCTTCCAGCCGAGCTAAGTCACTACCACCAGACTCGGACCTATCCTGCCAGCGGAAACCACAGCTTTGTCGACACCAACAACACCATGATCATGTCGCCCGCTACTTATACTTCCGCCGGGACGAACGAGCCACTCTGGGTCTCGACCTCGTACCCTGCCATGATGTCTCCCATACCCGTCCCCGAGCAATCTCAGTCCCTGGCCCCGGACATGTGGACACAATGAACCCAACACTGATCTCACCCTGCCGCCTCCCAACCATTTGACGCCTCATGCTATCTACATGAACGCCGCTATGATTACCGAAGCGATAGAACGATATTAATGAACATAGATGTTTTCATTCTGGCCCCCGCTGCCTTCTCATTTTTTACCTGTGTCGTTATATACGCACTACCTATATACACCTAGCCCATCTACCCCAGTGATATATGCTACCTTCCCCCATACTTTTCCTTGGCTTGTGCCACTTTTATATAGATCCAGGGGGGGTACTCTGTAGCGTTATAGAGTATTTAGAATATAGAGCAATCGTAAATATTCTCGCATTGTTTTCTTCTCTATCTCGTTTCTCCCACCGTGCTCCTGCTTAGTCACATCTTAGTCACTTTTGTCAGGTGATGTCTCAAAAAAGCAACTCCCACCGCTCCTTTAATTATTCCGTCCATAAGAAAAAAAAAACTCACCTTTTTTCCCTTGAACAAGCCAGCGCCTCGCATAAAACAATACCCGTACTCCGCGTCGAGCATCTAGATAATGCGATCCGTCTGACAGAAGACAGAGAAGATCCGGCAAGCTTCAGATTCAGCGCCGTTGTTAAAAGTTGGTTACTTTTTCCCCGTTACGTCTGCTTTTTTGGCGTGTTATTTGTTTCCTTTCGCGTCTGGCACGATATCGTCGTTCAATTGGACCTGCAGCAGAATGCGACCTCCGGAGCTGTTGACGCGCCGGGAGGGTCTGCAGAATGAATCCCGTTGATGTTCTTACACCTCCTATGCTGTTTTTTTTTTCTGGGAATTTGCTGGGAAATGGGCGATGGGCTGACCGCGTTCCAGGCAAGATCTGTTCATAAACAAACCCGCCACTCAACGGATAGCTTTTGCGCGCCGGATTCGCATATATACAATAAACAAGAGGCACCTCGAACTCGAACTCGGCAATAAAAAAAGCACAAACAGAGCTTCATGTTTTAACCGGTCACAATGAATTCAAGAGAGCATTCAGAGATGCCGCCGGCCCCATCATATCCTTCCCCCAACGCTACACAGATTGCCCAAGGCACCGTGTCTTACTACGCCAACCAGCGCCATTTGACTGCCGATGAGCTTCATCTGTCGGCTGAACTATCCCGTGAGGTAGCTGGGGCGAATGTAAACGACGGTAGTGCTGCTTCCGTAGCTGCTGCAGCCACTGCGGCGGCCGCTGCGGCGAACGGACTCCCCCATAGCCAAGGAATGGTGCTGGGCTCATCTGGTCCAAATGCAGATCGTGCGGTAGCAGTAGACCAGCAGCAGGTTCAGCAACAGCAGCAACGGCAGCAGCAGCAGCAGGATCACCAGGTACCGCAACCTTCTCAGGGACAGCAGCATATGCTTCAGTTTCCGTCTACTCAGCAGTCTGGGGTCGATCCTAATCATGATCTGAGTTATGGGGACCAGAGTGCGCGCCGGAAACGCTCAAAGGTCTCTCGTGCGTGCGATGAGTGTCGTAGGAAAAAGGTATGTTCTACATTTGATGTTTATCCTCGTGCTGTTACCTGTTTGGCTAACCCGGTCCATGGTGGCAGGTTCGATGTGATGCAACCTCTGAAGCTGGGGTCGAGACATGTTCGAACTGTCGCCGTACTGGTGCTACTTGCGAGTTTAGCCGGGTTCCGATGAAACGAGGCCCAAGTAAAGGGTAAATTTTTTCTCTGAGGTTTAGTTGAGATCTTGTCTAATAATCTGTTTGTTTAGCTATATCAAGGAGTTGGCAGACCGTATCAACAGCCTTGAAACTCAAATGCAACCGCCATTACAGCCGGGGGAGATGCACTATCAGCAGATGAATGAGGATGGCTCAGCAGCTCGAGGTTATCAAGACTTCTCTCCATCCATGGACAACCAGGGTCTTACCAGAAAAAGAACGCTATCAATGTCTGAAGGCCTTCCTAACGCATTTATGCAAGCTCCATTCATCCAAGGAGCTCGGCCAACGTCAGTGGGCGGCTGGCCCGCACAAACACCAACGAAGGATGCTACCCATGCAGCCGATCTTGCAGCTTTGGAAGAATACCCTAACTCTTCTGCACAAAATGGAAATGCAAAGGTAATGCAGCCTTTCTGGACCCAAGAACTACCAGACTCTGCACAACAACCAGCAATCAACCCAGAAAAACTGGAGTCACTCCCTCCACCTGTGGAAGTTGACGAGCAAGTTCTTAATGCGTATGTATACATTTTCTCCCCGTATAATGACCCCAGGCTTACAGTGTGATACTAGTTACTACCAGCATATCCATCCTATCTTCCCAATTCTACCAACCTCCCGGGACCTTCTGTCCCAGTACCTCAAGTCAGCCAGTCGTCAGATTCAAGAATCTTTCTTGCATTCGTTATTCGCTGTCACAGGTGCCAATCTGTCGAGAGCCGAAAACTTACTGCAAGAAATCCCAGCCTTCCAGAAAGCACAAGATTACCTGACAGAAACCCTGCGTGAAGACCCACGCACCCGACCCCAGGCAGTTAACTTTGTCCTTCTTTTCACCTTTATGTTATTGATCATCGACGCCGATTCCAGGGGCCCGGAAAACGTTCAAGGCCAGAATGGCATTAATAAGACAGTGCTTGTCGATGCTGCTTTCCCTATTGCACACCATCTCGCGAGGTCATATGACCAAATTGACAGCTGCAATGTGAACGATAGAGACGTCGATTCTGATGGCAACCTTGCAAGGAAGAACTGGACTGTCTTGATGATTTTGGCACGCTGGCACACTCTAAGTGTAGCAAGTCGCGATGTATTTGGTGTCTGTGAGACAGCCACGCCTGATGATCGTGGTATTTTCAGTTTTGCTTCTCTACAGCTTGCTCGTATGTGCCTGCCTTCTCTCCTGGTTCCACACCGTTTCGTTTTATGGTCACTAATCAGAAGCTGACAGGTTATTCGACATCAATCTCCGAAATTAACGAAGTCTTCTTCGATAACTCTGTTCATCCATCATTTGGACGAATGAACAGCCATTCCGTCCGCCGTCTCTTGTATGGCCAACTTAAACGTCTTAAAGATATTGAGTCCTGGCATGAAACTACCGAAGATAATGAAATGAGCACACTCTATTCCGAATCTATCTGCCCACTTCTATTTTGGTCCCTTACCCTCATCTTGAAGAGGCAGCTCTACACTTCCGTTCCTGCAGAAGTGCTGTATCCTGCCGAAGTGATACTCGAACTTCTCCAGCAACACTCTGACCCTGCCAAATTTATTGCATCACCATTCCATCACCATGCGATGGCTCTCGCCGTCATGACATTGTTGGAGGTCACGGATCTCCCAGAGCTGGCAACAGATGCATGGATCTCGCTAGACAAGGCACTACATATTCTCAATCAACGGGAGAAACACGCCTCGACGGCTGATGAATTCGGGAATATCTTCGCCAACAGGTCATGGGGAGAGTGTTTCCGTGCGATGATAGAAGTGAAGGTTGCTTCCTTCCGACCAAACCAACAGGGAGGCGGCCCCGTAGGCCCCAACGAGCAACGTTCCCTAGAGCACCTAGCGGATCTGGCTGTCGGAGCTGGTGGTGCGGCTGCTGTTGCTGGAGGAAGCTCAGAAGCTCAAGCAACGCGTGCTGGGGCCACAGCAACCGAGGATGCCACGAGCAGCAGCCAGGCAAATGTCGCTGCGGACGCGAGCACAGGCCAGAAAGACAAGGCAGATTTACGCGTCTATGTCGATTTCACCCAACTGACTAAGAGAGGATATCTGAATGTCTTCGCCGGATTGTAACCGGCATCTCCCGTTCATGTTAACCGCCTGATGTGCTTGCGTTTTACTTGATTCTGTGACATTACGAGGTATGAAGGACAAAGCGGTTCCATACTATGTTCTATATACCTTTCCTTGCACTACATATCCTTGTTCCATTATACTCTTTGTTAATGCCTCGTCTGGATGGGAGTCGGGCTATGTTGGATTTAATATCCGGCCGAGGCGTAAAATGGGTTTTGGTATAGCTGTACCTTCCATCTTTTATCTTCTCTTTCAAGTGTTTTATGCTTTATCTTGTATCAGTGTGTAAATTATAGGCTAATTCATTGAATTTATCATAATATATCAAGTAATTGACTTATTAGCCGATCGTTCCATCTCAAAATAGGAGTATTATTAGTATTATGTTAACTAGAATATGCACATGCTAGTATTAAAATTTAGTAAACGCTGGCTCATGTTCTCTTGCAAAGAAGAACTGCATCCCGTACTTCGATTGTATCATCAGCCGAAATAAAGGCTACCCCGAACTATTCCCCTGAAGAGGTACCGTTCGAAGCGATAGTCCGTCTGACCCATCGTCCATGTCCATCGTGCTGCCAGGGTTGAGTAAGCACCTTACGCATGGTCCTGAATACATAGTTCCTCTGTGCCGGCAGGTTATAATCCAGCGCTCTGAACTCGACCAGACGCCCATGGACTCCCAGATATCGCACTGAATGTGGGACAAGTGAATATCCCGTATCCAGCTCCATCCACGCATTTTCGGGGTCCATGGTAGACGTTCTCCGCTCTCTCTCAAATATGTCACTCCATTCCGGGGGAGAAAGCTGTAAGGCCAGGGAACGGAGGTTGGTCATGCTGCGGAACACTTTGAGCACGAGATTAGTATGGCTGTAGAAAGGAAAGATCGCAATGTAATGGAACGATGTCAGACGCGAGATGGCCGAGGCAGGATACGGGAGATTGACTGCCTGCAAAGGGTCAACAGAGCCCCAGTGGTTTATGATAGACGGCGGCCGGAGGAGAAAGTAATCGGCGATGCTGTATGCCTGGAGAGACGAACCCTCGTTGAACGACAGCTGCGTCCATGGCCTCGCGCTGAGGAAGCTATCGTCTCCCTCCGGCACTTCGAAATCAGAGGGCAGAGGCCGCTGCTGGCGAAACTGGATGGTCTGCAGCGGCATATCAAATGCCCATTTATCGCCCTGTAGGCCACATTGCGCCATGTCCGCGATCATATGTGGCGGCGCAACGACGGTGACAACCTCTGGGTTCAGATGCTGAAACAGCGTCTTCCACCATAGCTTCTTCTCGCTCCCTGGGAATATCGTCCGTACAGAGACGGTGACCCTCTCGACCTGATCTGTGAGGCCATGGTGTTTGATAAAGGCCCAGGAACCGGTCCTGGTCGCGCAGCTCGTACCGGCAAAAGCTGAACAGATGCTCACGAGAAAACTCTCGAAACTGACGACACACTCGCGATACGTTCTTGAGGTCGGTCGTCTTAGAGGATGTTAGGGCGTGGCTGGGTATGTCTCGCAGTGCTCTCTCGTCTGATGTAGGCGGAGGAGCTGCACTGATGAAGGAGAGGATGAGATAGAGGATCTCGACGGGGAGGCTGTGGATGTCTGCCATCATACAAAAGGGCTGTAGAGATACTATCTTCTTCTTCCCTCCAGCCTTCTCGAGCAGCTATTTATCTTATTCTCTCTCTGTAAGTGTGTCTACCATTTCTATCACAGTGAACAGCGGCTGAGACAGCGCCAGGCAGAACGATTTCTTCTCTCTCAACGATGACCTCCTACCTTTGCTTCCATCCCGCAACCCCCAAGCAGAGGGCCAAAAATAGGATGTTTCAAACACGAGGTAATGCATCATGAACTATCATATTTGACTTAAAAACTAGTTAACTAGGTTAAAGCCTTCTTGGCTGACGTGAGGCTGTGGTTTATCAAAATATCCCAACCCCAGGAAGGCCAAAGCAGGCGAGCAAAGAAAAGGAAAAAAAAAAAGAAGAACAGGAGTAGAAAGATATTTGACATGCTACTTCTGGTGGTGCTTGTGCTTTGCCTTCCATTCATCTACCAGTCCCTGGTAGTCTCGCGGCCTGTACACTGTGAAATTCTCTCGAAGAAAGCCCTTCTTGCGAAACTGTTGCAGGCCCAGGTCTCGCAACATCAGGTCGAGATATGGGATCGACTCGAAGACGAAGTCAGGATTCCGCATGCGCATACCGTCACGGAATCGCCATATGCTGAATTGCGAGTGAAGAGCTACCTCCCAGTCCGTCTCATCTTCATCTGCCGCCGGTTTGGGCTCAGCCGGCCGTTGGATGAGCGGCCGAACCTCGAGCTGGCCTGACAAGTACGCAGTGGCCCAGAGAGCTTGTATCGACGCTGTGACGGGTGTGTCTACGTTGGCAGCAGTACCAAGAAAGACGATCGATCGATCTTTCAGCTTGGGCGGAGCCATGAATCGAATCAGCCGGTATGGATGAGCCGACCGTGTCTCGGAGTCGGCAGAGAAGTGCTTGAACTGCTCGTTGACTTTGAGCGAAACCCCGAGCTGGGGGAACTGTCTCAGAATATGCTTGTCTGCCGCCTCTAGGAGTGACTTGTCCAGCGGCTCAGGGCCCCAGGGGACTCCAAGCTGCCCGTCGATCCCTTCAGGCAGAAACGTTACAGCAGATCGAGCTTCCCAACCTGTTCCACAGATTAATGCATCGGCCTTGAGGGAGGTGCCGCTGGAGAGGTGAACCGTCTGCTTCGAGAGAGAGACAATGTCCGCAATATGTACTTTGATCTGGCCGTTCCTTACTAGGTCGAAGAAATCACTGGGGTAGTTCAGGATGCTGAGTGATGTGCTGACCCAGAACGGATCAACCCATGGTGTCAGTTTCTTGACTTCCGGGTGTTTGTTATATTTGTTAGTGGTGACCACGTCGTTCTTCACCAGGCCCCAAAAAGTGTTGACGAGTTTTTGACCAAACCATGTCTCATGGAAGAACTTAAGAGGCCTTGATGTTGCCCAGATACAAGGGGACATCCAAGTCGTGCACCTGGTTAGAAGCAGGTGCTCCAGATATACCTTAAATGGTGTGATCCTTGGACCTGACATCCAAGCAGGACCACGGCCATGTTCACGAATAACCAGGTCAACGGACGCCCCGGACGCTGCGCAGGTGTAAGCCATGTCACAGGCAGCCTTCCCGCCGCCATACACAACCACTGACTTGTCGTGGTGCAACAGGTCATTCTCGTGCTTCGGCATGTTCCGAGAATGGAACACTGGTGCCTCGAATGACTCTTGGCCCTTGAATCTTGGTAGGTGTGCCCGGGACGTAAGCCCGGTTGCCAGCATCAGCTTCGATGTGAGGATGGTCGACAATGTTCCAACGGCTGCCTCCATTCCATCGCTGTTTGCATCGACTGTAAGCAACCATGAGGAAGGATTCTCCCTGTGCTCGGCAGATACGAGCCTTGTTCTAAGGCGGGTTCTCTCTGTTAAGCAGAACTTCTTTGCATATGCATTCATATAAGCATACATGGTCTCTCCGGGTATATGTTTCCCCTTCTCTGCGCCAAACGTCTCTGCATCCATGGCAAGATCCGGGAATTCGTATGAGCCAAAGACATTGTTTGTGCATAGATTCTTGTAAAGACGATGTTTTGCCCACACTCCTCCAATAGACGATTCCGCCTCCAGAAGCACAACGTTGGCGGAAGGATTGACTTCCAGATACGTCTTTGCCGCACATAGACCATACGGGCCTTAGCATAACAATCAGTTTTACTCTGCCTTGCCAAGTCAGGTGGGCCGACTTACCTGCACCAACGACGACAAGATCAACTTCTTCCATGCTGTCAACGAGCTACTTTAAGCCTGTTATGCCTTGCTTTGTCAAAGCTACAGTCGAGAAAGAATATCTACGGCCACTTCGAAGAGTATACCCGGAAGGAGCAGCCTTCTTAACATACCCAAGTGCTAATTATATACTCAAATGTAAAATCTACCGCCATATACTTGGTTTCTTTCTTTTTTTTTTACTATTAATCTCGAAATTTTGACCTCTGTGCGAATGCATGCCCCCGCCGAGTTCCCAAGATACCTGGCCAATGAGGCAGTAAGGAGATACATCTGAATGATCTTCTGACCAATTTTCATTCCCAATTTTAGGCAATGGATATCCAAGTGCATCTCAAGCCACCTGGGCCGATAGACAGATTGCCTGGACGGGGGGGGGGACTGATGAGCCTCAAGAACAGGCCGGTTAATAATCTTGGGTCCACCGGAATTTTTAGTGCGTGAGACTGTATCACTGAGCACCTCGAAGGACTGAAATATGAGCCTGGCTCGCCCTGTATGGGTATCTAACAATATCATCTCCATTGGCACATGTATAATCATTGACCTTCCTGAGATGTAAATACCACTTTGATCGTCTTCGTGGCCTGGGCAGAGATCCCGGAAGGAAGCCCTAACTAAAGATTAGTTATCCAGGTCTCAATGACAACCGGTCAGCTTCTCAACATCGATCAAGCTATCTTTTCATTGAACAAGGAAAATTGAGATATAAACCAACCACGTGATACCTAGTGGACTCATCGAAATAGACAACAAAAACAACCAAGTCGATTCTCTGCGATAGCTAGACACGGAAGATAATACTCTGTCCTCCCCCAAAATGGTTCAGAATCCACGCTGGACATTCGATTGACGATGAGTAATCTCCATCGCGGCCTCGTGCTCTTCACTTTTGTGCTTCTCTCCGCACATGGATTATACCCTAGCACGAGTGTATCACCATGGTTGGCATCTATCAAGGTAGGCATGCTATGGTCGTGCATCTGGCTAGCTTAAGGTCCAGGACATACGCAGAACGCGAATGGCGGTCAGTTAAAACCACGAAGTCGTGCGAAGATTAGAAGACAACGGACGAAGGGCGCAGGTTTCATGGGAATACATGTTCGGATGAAGGAAGCAATTTAAAGGGCATCACATTTGATAAGATTGCTCAGTACCTAGCGGTATAAGCTGAACTCTTCCGTATCTACGAGGTACACTCTAATGATATAAATCAGGGACGTGCACTACCAAGGCTGGAACGGCGCCCAAGGATCATACATATCTGCACGTCATATTTAATATACGGATACCGGGCCCCATCACTGGCACGTACCTAAGGACGCCATTCTTTGTTCCAGCGTCAAGTTTCCAGTTATCCGATTCGCTAGCAATCTTAAAACAAAAAAAATGGGGGAAGATGCGAAGGTCAACCACTTCACTCCCTCTTTTTTTACTTTTAACGGCAATGAAGCTTTTTTTTTGTTTCGGTGGTTGTAGGGAATACTCTGGGGCTCTAGAAGCCTGGAAAATGCTTGATCACATCAATTACTCCATATTTTAGGCATAGCATAATACGATGCGACCATGGAGCTTTCTTTTCCTTGGCTAGATATTATAGATTCTTAACCACAAGGATGCCCGAGGAGAATGACTTGCATAACTGGCCTATCTGGTGTTTATCTAAACTTTGCCAAAGCCATATATGGTTTTCAAGGCAACCTCTGAGAGCTCTTGGCTTTTTGAATCTGGAGAGGGTGCAGTTGGAATTGTATAACTCCAGCAGGCCCGTTTATTGTGCGGGCTCTTTGCTCAATGGCGGGATTCAAAGAAACGTTCAAGGGTTGGGCATGAGCTGTTCCCCCTGGCCAGGCGCGAAAGCGTTGATTACCGTCAAGGGTGTCCCCCAGTGCTTTGTTATGTAGAACCAAGTAACAATGGGTTTCGAGGGAGGTCATGGTTGATGTTATATACCTGAAAATAGTTACAAGCGATGTGCTTGTGGTAATACGGAGTAGCTGGTTACTATGTAGAGGTTCGTTGATATACGGTATATTCGGAGTTGAGATATATTCGGGCATAAACTCCGAATTCTCTTCAACGCTCTAATCAATATCCATCCTCAAACTTGACTGCTTCCATGTAATGTTGGCTATCCCCTGCCTATAAACACCTTTTCATCTCAGGCATAAACCTGATTGCTGCTTCTATCCAATCATGCCATACATGCAGAGTACGAAGTACTTCAAGTACCTTGAGAACTCAGCATCACCGAATCCCCGGGAGCGAATATATATATATATAGTATAGTATCCATCATGCTATACATAGAAGACTTGGAGAAGGAGGAATCGGCGATATGGGCTGGTCGCGCATCTGAAACTGCGCCAGTCAAGGCTCTTCCACCCGGCCGATCATGCAAGGGGTGCGATCTCGCTTTCCTGGTTCCTTGCAGTATATCTGACAAGGATGTTCTTCTACTTCATCGCCATCATTAAACATCGACTTCTTCCTCTTTCTTTTCTTCCCTTTTTGGACCAACGAGAAAACGTTCTTCTGATTAGTCATCGCATCAATCATCTTTCTGGAAGTTAGCTTCCTCTTTAGGACTAGCGAGTCACCTGCTCTTGGCACGTGACTCACCCTTAAAAAAAGAAACGCGAAACTTCAAAAAAAAAAAAAAGAAAAGAAAAAAAAAGAAAACGATATAAAACTCAGGGGTAAGTAAAGAAGAAGCTGAAGAGGAAGAGGAAGAGAGAGCTGAAGATGAGAAAAAGGGTTGCGCCAGATACAAACCAGAACCGTCCAATTATCCCAGAACTTCCTTTTTTCTTCTTTTCCTTCTCCGTGACAGGTCAGATAGTTCCTTCGACCGGCCACCAGCTTCTTGCGGGGCGTTAGTTACAGAGGAACGAACAACCCCAAAAAAAAGAAAAAGGAAGAAAAGAAAAAATCATCTCTAGCTGCAACTAAGAGAAGAGCAGAGCAGAGAGAGCAGAGAGAGAGAGAGAGAGAGACCTAAAGGGCTCCATCAAGCTCGGAAACAAGAGGCCCAGCGCCTGTCGCCGGCGCCTATCTCGCCGACACTTACCTTTAGACCCGTGACGAAACTCTCTGTGCGCGCGCGGCAATTGACTCCTTATTTCCTCACCCCCCCCGTTTCAAGTTGTTTCTTCAGATCCTCTTTTTCTCGAAAGACGACGCCGTTTCCCCAGCCCAGAAAGCAACAAGAAGAAAACCGTTGACGACTCTCGCCGTACACATCGTATATCGAAAACCTGCGTGCCTCTGCCGGATAACGTCCTCGCGCGAAGAAATATCATCGCCATACCGCCAATCACGCTCTCACCATGGGAGGCCAGGTCTCAAAACTCATGGGCAAGATCTTTGGATCAAAGGAGATGAGATTACTTATGCTCGGATTAGATGCTGCTGGGAAAACAAGTGAAACCCCACATGTAATTTACCCCGTTTCTGACCTATACTGACGGCGTTATCTGTCACCAGCCATCCTCTATAAGCTCAAGCTCAACCAAGATGTCACCACAATTCCAACCGTTGGCTTCAACGTCGAGACCGTGACGTACAAGAACGTCAAATTCAACGTATGGGATGTAGGCGGTCAGGACAAGATCAGGCCGCTATGGAGGCATTACTTCTCAGGTACGACCTTTTTTTCTTCCCATTGTTCTTCCGGATAGCTTCTGACTCAATGACCTTTCTATAGGCACACAAGGACTTATTTTCGTCATTGACTCGAATGACCGCGCCCGTATCGACGAAGCCCGACAGGAATTGCACAGAATCATTCTCGATCGCGAGATGAAGGAGGCTCTCCTATTAGTATTTGCCAATAAACAGGATATCCCCGGAGGTATGGGCTCCTCTTGTATCGACCTCTTCCATAGCTTCCTGGAAACTAACCATAAATACTCCAAATATAGCTATGAGCCCACAAGAAGTCACGGAAAAACTCCAACTTTCTCAACTCAAGGACAGGATATGGTACGTCGTACCGACCTGTGCTACTACAGGAGAAGGATTATTTGAAGGACTGGTAAGTTTTCTCTCTCCTTGCTCCATTTATATGAGATAGCAAAATTAACCATCGCATATAGGATCACCTAAAACTACTAAATAAATAAAGTAACGAGACCTAATGATGCCCCGGAGGGAGAAGATCGCTGCTTAACCACATAATAAGCCCCGTTCTTCTCGATTTTTTTTATTCTACTTCTCCTCCCCTTCTTTTTTCTTACGCGTACTTGTACCAACAGTACTTAATATATACCTTTTTGTTTGTTTAATAATTGGAACAATATATTTCTCTTCTTTCTTAATTTCAGTGTCCTCGCTATCCAACTTGTTTGTATTTACGATTAACTGACTGTAATTGTACAAATAGATGTTTAGTATACACAAAATGGAGCCGAGGAGATGTACTGCGTAAAAGGGAAAAAACGTTCGTCAAAGGTATCGTTATTAGATCATACATAGGCAGCCACTGTCAGTTAACGGCCAGTTTATGGGTATAGATGGCAAAAAAGATATCATGTAGACGTATGAGATCGTGGTATATACCTTGTACGCCATCAGTCAACTTACCTGCCGTCCAATGTGTTTACAAGTCGTGCACACCATCTATTGACCGGGGGAGTGAACCAACGGCTACTGAAGAGCCGGCTGTGGAAGCATTCGGTTCACTGGCAGTTTCACTTGGCCTATCCCAAGTACGAATATGACCTAAATCCCGATGAAATAAACATAAGTTTTCACGTTCTAATATAAATGCAAAAATAGAAATATCCATCTTCTGCGAAATAAGTCCAACATACCTTCAAGTGAAGAAGTCATAATAGAATCTTCCAAAAAGCCCAGCCAGCATATAGGATCGTCCCCAATTTCTTTCGACATAATTGGGGGGAGTTGTGCAGTTCTTGCTCGCGGCTCAACAGGGTGAATTATGGGTGTTTGATCCGCAGGTTTCTCTAGTCGAATAGAATCTGAACGTATATTTCGTGTTGTAAGGCTGTCTGCGTGAGGTCGGGTAGGAGATTGTGGGCTATTTCGAGGACGTGTAGTAACCTGGATTTATTCTTTAGCCCACCTCATACCTGAACATGTGAAATCCATATATATCCTTACCGCCTTGGGCCGATGCAGCATAGCTACGCTGAAGTCCCAGAGAAGGAGTCGGCAATCGTCGCCAACGCTACCAAATCTGTAGGTCCGATCATCACATCGCCAAGGGTCGAATTCGACGCATGAAACCCAGGAATTGTGACCTTGACAACGAGCAACGATTTTACGTTCCGGGAAGGACCAGATTGATACCAGATCATCCTGACCGCCGGTTAAAATGTATTTTCCGTCTGGTGACCAGCACACACATATCAAGCCACCATAATAGCTCGTATATAAGTCGAGTAACCTGAGTGAACCGGTTAGTATATATATATAGATATATATAGATAAGTATAATAAAGAAAAACATACTTTTCCTTGAGATAATCAAGTATTCTCAAAGTCCCATCCTCCAAAACAACAGCTAAATGTCGATTATCTGGTGAAAATGCAAAACTGTTGATTTTCTGGTTGGACAATTTCCAAACTGCGACTGGGTTAGTTCGTTGGTTCTTCGAATTAACTGATTTCAAAATTCTGAATAAAGATGAGTGAGCATTGCTTCCACTTCCTTCGCTTAAAAGCGAGGGATTATTGTCTGAGTCTTCTGGTGTAAATAGTGTATCGTCTTTCTCCTTATCATAGACTACCAAGCATCCGTCGGAGTGCGCAGCTAAGAAAAGATTCTCAGATCCTGGAATCCATTTAATGTGATTCACCGGGGAGTTCCTTATAGCCCCATTCTTGTTAATTCGGGAGTACTTTTGCGAGAAAGGTTCGTACCACAGGATGTCGCCTGCCGAAGATCCCATAGCCAGATCAAGATGGCTCATACTCTTAGTTATCTGATTTACATCATGACTAAGAATATGTGCCTTTGTGAAAAGAATCTTCGTTAGAAAGTCCTGTTTCGTTGAAGAGGAATAGTCTAGCCATTGAAAGGATCGATTAAGGTTGGCAAACACAAAGGGGTTGTCATGAGTCCGTTCGGAGACCTTCTTTAACATGGCATCTTGAAGGATAACCCGTGAAATAAACGAGGAGCCGCTCTTCTGAATGTTGTTTTTTGGTTTTCGACGCTTTGATCCAGAGGTATCCTTTCCACCATTGCTGATCAGCGCAAGGCTACCCTCTCCAAACGGAGGGGCCTGGGCGGATCCATTCACACGTTGTTCAGTAGATGAGCGGCCACCACTATCACTCTCATTAACGCTTCGTAGATCTGATGTTACGCTCGTCCGAGTGTTTGTTTTATATAACTGAGCCCCACTGCGGTGTTGTTTTAAGGTCACTAGAGAGAGTTTCACGCCTACAGTTGGCGGGGTAGGCCCGGTCGCTAGGGGATTTGGATTTATAACCGGAGGTTCGGAAGGATGCGGAGGGGGCGTAGCGAGGTGAACGTCGTCTCTAAGCTCGTATGTCCCTGATGGTATTTAATATTAGCCCACTTGCGCTGATTAGAACGGATCCGGAGCCTGTATGATCAGCTTACCTTCACCAACTTGCAAAGGGCAGCCTCCTTCTGGATGTTTTATAACGTTGATAACTTCGGTTATGGGAACTGGGAGGCCATTTGATGTACCAGCAGCGTATGCGACTGGGTTTACATAGCGAGGCGTAGGAGGGGGGAGAAAGCTATGAGCTGTCAGCTCGACTGTCTGGTAACTATATCATGATGCTACTGCTTTGCTGTAGCTCATGACAAACAAGTTCAGTAATTCATCAACCAAAAGCCGACTTTAAGGTAGACGTAGCGAGGAGCGCCGTAGTAGAGCGGAGACTGGTAGAAGAGTGCCTACTCACAACATAATATTTAAAAGGGATCCTAAAGATTCCTGGATAAATCCTTCTTCTAAAAATTAATGTAGATACCCTCGCTCTCTAACTTGTCTCTTTGGATAGCAAGTCGAGGTGCTGTTGGATGCGGAGTAGGAAGACGTGGGGAAATAAGCCTGGACTGGGGAAATATGAGAAATGATGGATAGAAATGCAATTACCTGTAATCCATGGAGTAATTCATACACTTCGCCTAAATATCAAACTGAATCCAACGGTGAAGACCCTCGTATATATTACAGGATGTAAAGGCGCAAAAAGAATGTTGAACTTCATCTTGTCGTTTTTCCCTTCAGAAAGCCGATGGAGGCCCGAGCGGGAAGAGCTGTCACGTGAAACGACTAAGATCTTAATAAGCTCAAACCTTATAAGAGATATAAAAAGGAAGACTTCAATAAATACCTAACAGCAAGGCTCAATCTCCCTTCACTGCTCTGTCTCGTCTTAGCGATGCCCCTCCTCTTGCATGTGGCGCCGGTGTTCTCGAACATATACATCAAAGTTGAGTTCTCCCACAAGTAGTTTGACATCACTAGAGAAAGTTGCGTTGGCATTGGTAGACAAATGTCAAGTATCAGGAGACATACCTCATCAATATTTTCAAATTCGAACTCACCATGGAGCTCAAGACCTCAATCGCAATTATAGCGGCAAATGAAGGGTTTTCCACGTTCTTAAACTTCAGTAAATCTTCGTTAATATTGCGTAACCTCCGTGCTAGTGGGAATGGATGTGGAGGAGCCAGATATGGCGGCAGACAGAGGCAGTTCGTTACAGCAGCTGACAGATGATATAGCACAGAAGTGATTACTCCGGAACGAAATTCTGGGGAGTTGGCTGCTTTGGCTAGATTTTGGATCCATCTTTCTCCCTCGGCTACCTGGTGTCTGGACGCTGTGCTCATGCTCCGGTTCCTGATTGTGCCAGGTATATGGTTGTTTATAGTTGGCGATGTGCTTCTAGTTGAGCAGTGTCCTGACATTCGCTCCAGGTTTCTTGTTGCAAGTGCCATCAAATCCATGCTCGTTAAGATAGCTTGAATTGCCGAAATTATGTTGTCATAAGTCTCCTTTGGAAACCGACCTCCAATTGGAGGCTCATACCGTGTGAAGTCGCTAAAGACCCTCAAGCTCTTCAAGAGAGCCATTTCTTCCGCTAACAGCTTGGTCCTAGCATGATCCAGGAGTCGACCGGGTGACTGGCTGTCATTAATGTCTCCCTGCTCTTGGTTTATCCAGACCTCAATTGAGGTGTGCATGCAGCTATAGAAGTTTGCCAGGACAAAAAGGCTGCGGCCTAATTTTTTTCTGACTCGGGATCCCGCTGAAGTTGGGCTGGGAAATATAATCCAGAAGAAGGAAATTGCACAAGCGGCTATAACGGCCACACATCGATACGGCCCAAACAGATAAGTCGGATAGTACGGTAACCCAGCGGCTTCTACCTTATCAACCCCGAGTTTTCGAGACTTGATGCCGTGTTAGTCGAAAAAAATACCTTACATAGGGGCAGGCGATGCATACCAGTAGCTCAGAGGCGATTATGAGATTAAACGTAATCACCCCAATAATAGTAGGACCGATAAATCTTGGGTTTTTAAGGTAAGGGTAGTACTTTAAACTGGTGAGTATAAAAGATATAATAAGCCCCAAATGGATAGCGGGGAGATACCAACCTGAAGGCAATTGGCAACATAGGCCAACACAATGATACCTGCTGTTTGTTCATAGACTACATACCACACAACTAGTGCGAGGATTGTTGCCAATATAGTCCCTATAATTCGGCCCATCAATCCAAAAAGAGAATTCCCACTCGTAGGGTTCATCCCAATAAGAGTGACAATAACAACCCAGATAACTCGAGTCTGGAAGAAGAATGACTGGGTTTGCTGTAAATATGCAAGAATTGCAGAGCAAAACGCTGCAACTGCAACCCGCACTCCAAATAAGCTTTGTTCGGAACTTAGGAAATGGGATACCGCTCGCAACCCACTGCCAATTCTTTGCCAGGTGTTTGTGGGCGGCATATGCTCTGGGTCAGGGTATCGAGATTTTAACGGATCTCGTCCTTTCAAGGGATGGCTGTCCTTTTTTTGCTTTTCTTTCTCTGCTGTGTTATCGTCCTTTTCATTTTCCTTTTCTTCTGGATCACTGGCAAAAAACCATTGCTTTACACTTTCTCGTTTAGGGAAATGAAGTCTTTTTGATTTCATGGACCCATCGGCAACTTTGCTGTCTGCGAAATATACCAGTTCCAGTACAGCTTGCAGGAGGATATCTTGAAGGTGGCCAATGAATAGCAGCACGAAAAATTCCTTTTGGATAGTACGAGGTTCCTGCGCAATGCTACCTCTGGCATGGAATGGAGCGAATGCGGTGAGAGTAGCCCATTTTTCGGGCAAGTGCTTTCGCAGAGCAAAATATTCGTCTAATTTCCGTTCAAATTCAGCAGCAAACCGAGGATTTCCAGGTACATATTTATCTTCGGGAGCTTCCTCATCCTGAGGGTTGGAAGATGCCCCATGCCGTTTTGGAGGTTTTATTAACTGTAAAGTCGTGAATGCATGCTGGAAGCCTGCTTCTACAAGACCAGCAGCTGTCTCCAGCCTGTCGCAAAGTGGATGGACAAAGTGCTCTGTAATTTCTGGCATCTCATATTGCGACTCGCCAGGCATTAGAGGCGGTCGTCCACCAACCACTGGACGGTAACCGTAATCATTCACGGGAACCTCCGCCAAATCTGCGGCCTCCACTGTCTTGGTTAACTTCCGAAACACTTCTGGAAGCATAGAAATACCGGAAAGAGGCAGCAAAATAGAACGAAGCAAAGCAAAAAGGGTCTCGAGGTCCTCTGCTGTGAGTTTCCCCCAGGCAATTTCTTGCTTTGCAAAATATAGTTCAGCACTGGCTGAAGACTGAATTGATGAGAGATTCTGGATTGCACTTTTCAACTGTGTAGCTTTTGACTTGCTTTCAGAAGACTCATTTTCTTTGCCATCGTTCTTCGCTTTGTCTTTGTGCGACTTTGGCATTGTGTTGGTCCTCCGCCGAGCTATGGTAGCTCGGCGTGTGATCTGCCATGGTCCTTCGTCCTCACTGCATTTCACAAATGCAACTTGAGCATCAAGTATCTCCTTCACGATCGCTGGGTAATCCTTTATTGAGTGAAAGAAAGTGCTTCGGCTTGTTGTAGGTAGAATAAATAGAGAAACACCAGCTGAGGTGGCAAAGCCAATTAAGAATGCTAGAAGCAAGCGTCTAATTTCTTCTAGCCCGGTGGAGAGCGAACCAATTACGCCTGCCCTGGTCATAGTAATCGCTGCAAAAATAGAAAAGGTTGAAGCTGGCGCTTGAAGCTCAATTGGTCTATAGGCACGGATGGAGTTTACAAGCCTAATTCAGAGATCTTATTAGTAGGAAACACAAGTAGCCAGCACTACCGGGTTTAAATCGATGTCATCTTACCAGATAGCAAAGAGAAACCAAATGGCAGCCACCGCACAAGCACTACTATTGTATTCGCCGGGCGGTGCCCCAGGAGGTGATGTGTGCTCCCTCGCTTTCACTACACAATATACACCCAGACAGCATATTGAGGCCGAAACACACAATGAACCAAGCGAGTATATTATAATTTTAGTGAATCTTGCGCGGGGCAGGAGACATTGAGCCAGCACAGCAACTATCGCAGATAGGAAACCATAGTTCGATGAAACTCCCGATACAAGATTGGACTGATGCCTGTTCATCGATTAATTCGTGTTTCATTCCCTTGGCGGGGTAGTTATCTAAAACAACCTACATTGCTATCACGATTGTCGGAGGTAAACCGCCTTTCAGCATCTGAAGGGCGATGTGCCTATCAATCCCCAGGGCTTTCCATTTTGCTTTCGGAGCCCACTGCCTCCAGTTCATTTTTCCCATCTTCTGCGCCGTTGCTCGTCCACTTGGTAATTGCGCAGGCTCCTCGGGTGTTGAACCCCCATTGAGTGGACAACGGTTTGTGTCTGCTGCTCTAGGCACGGTACAGATATGTTCTCATGGCCAGGTCTCCGGCAAGCCTCCAATGCAATAGGTACACAAAGTATGGCTGTTTCTGCATATTCATAAGAGGACAAGATAAGGTAGTCAAGGATAACTTTATTCTCAGGACTCCACATGACGTCATATCAGCACGCGAGATTTTTGATATCAAATGCTCGATATATTTACATGTTTATCCGTTTATAGCTCAGATATTTGTTGCCATGGAAAATATGTCTAAAATGTCGAGACTCGGTGTTGCTCCTACACCGCGCGGTATACCCCGATGGAAACTACTGGAGGGGCTCCCAGAAGGAACACCCCGGGTTGAATATAGCAACATGGAGGAGCTACACAGCGTAATCGAGGCCCAGGCCGGAGAGTGTTATAGAGATAACACCTGTAGCCCGTTTCTCATAGTTTTGGGCATCCCAGATACAGTCCTTGAAGAGTTTGACAGTATATACCAAGACAAAGGCCCGCGAGTATCGGCAAATATCCATGAGAAGACTTTGATAATCGAGACCATGGTTGGGCATTCACATGAGAGGCTTACACAACGTATAGGGAGGCATGTAACAGAGATGCTTCTCCAAATGGGGATACGTAAGGAGTTAGGGGAGTTGGGAGCCGGTCGTGATGAGACACAAGGACTTGTTTACGTGAAAGAGCCAGATTTATCATGGGTTCTTGACGGGGAACAGTGGCCAACACTTGTATTAGAGGTTGGATGGTCAGAGAAGGCCGAAAAGCTCGCCAGCGACGCTCATGGGTGGCTCGAGACTGAAGGGTCAGCCACGGAGGTGGTAATCACCGCGAAACTCGACCAAGATTGCGCCCATATAGATTTCGCAGTCTGGGAGCTTGCCTCCGAGCCAGCTAGGACCACCCGGTCATATAGAAAATCAGCGCAGCAAACCCAGAGGGTAGAGGTCTCAAGAAAAGGAGGTGATATTACTGCTAGCTCAAGCCTGGTGGTATCATTTAAAAAAATATTTCGGCGTGAACCAGCAGCCGACCAGGAGGGAGATCTCATATTTACTAAAGAAAGGCTGATCGATATTGCCGAGTGGGCCTGGGCAGAGGTTGGATCAGAACTTGCCGACTATGAGCAGGCCGGATAGAAAACCCACAGGCAAGAAGCCTGAGTCGAGGTGGGAATGAACTGGGTAGAAAACGGCATGGATTAAGGAGAGATGAAGAGTACACAGCAGAACCATTTAACATGCATTAATACGATTGCAACAAGAAGCCAGGTGAAAGAAAAAGAAGGCCCCGCTATGCCACCGGTAGAAAACAAAAAGGAGAAATGGGTAGAATATCTAATGTGTATGACCCTGTCTCAGAACCCCAGGAGTGGGCGAGTACAGTATAAAGGAATAAGGGAAAATATAGACAGAAGCTTGAAGGTTTATCAGGGCAAATGGCGCAGGATCGGGTCCGTAACCAAGCTACATATATACCGGGTTACGTTACCACATACCATCGTGCTCCTCTGTCCGTCCTTCTGAATAATCGTATCCATGCTTTGAAGAATGGGGCGACTGCTCATATCCGTCATCAAGGTCATAATCGTACATCTGCGGATCGCCAGTTTCTGCATATGAATCCTGATCATGGCCCTGAAGAAGGTATTAGACATATTCATGTACTAGGTAAGTGGGACAGTAGTGATAAACATACCTCTTGATAATGGGAATAATCGTCTGTTTTGTGTTGGGCGTGATTCTGGTTCTGCTGCATTTCCTTTTTCTTCGCTTTGTTTTGGGCCGGTGACGTAGGGAGGGCCATATGGGGGTGCATCTGCTGTACCTTGGCGAGATAAGAGTACATGAAGTTGCTCAGGAGAACTTGTGAATACAGAGCTCTCCGGGGGTTGGCCAGTTTGAGATGTGCCATGCGGTAGATGGCGCGTTCCTCCATGATTGAAAAACGGGTCCAGTTGTAGTCTACATCTGCCTTGAGGTTATAATATTTGATGTCGGGTGAAGGAGTTCGGATGCGTGAGCGGGAGTGTTTGCGGGAATGAGAATCATGAGAACTGGATTTCTTCTTGCTGCCACCGAATATGGAGGAAAATAGAGATGGTTCTTTTTCTTTTTTGGGAGGGGGTGAGGAGGATTTCCGTAGCTGTTCTTTGCGGGAAGGACGAAGTTCTTCGTCGATGATATCTGGGCGGTCGAGGATAAGGCTTTCTCTCTCTTTGGATTTGGCAGCAGGCTGCCCATCGATGGAGGTTTGGAGGAGATCAAGACGAGCGTTATCATGAGGTTTTTCGGACTTGTTGTATGATTTGGAGGACTTGCGTTTTGCTTCTTCTTCCTTCTTCTTCTCCTTTTCCTTTTCTTTCTCCTCGGATGCACCACGACGCCAATGCCAGCCTGACTTTTTCACACCTTCCGAGTCCTTCTTGCCCTTACTCTTTTTATCCTTTTCTTTTTCGTCGGATTTTCGCCGTTCTTGAATGGCGTTCGGAACATGGGAGGGGGTTTGGGCGACAATCTTGGGTGGGGGTTCACTAATTGGGGGAGCTTCTTTGCTTGGTATGATAAGACCTGCTCTCTTCGATGCCCGTGTTGTAGGTTCTGTAGGTAATGGTGTCTGGGGTGGCGGCTGGGGCGGTGGATGGTGCGACGAATTTCGTTCTGGGATGTATGGTTGTGTTTGTTGGGCACTACTACTTGTTGAGCGGAGGGAGTCTGCTCGGGGTGGCTCGATGGGATGTATTTTTTGCAATTGTGGTTGTGGTTGCGAGTGCGAGTGATGGTGAGAGACGGCAGGTTTTTCGTTGGATGGTGGTGTCCATTGCTGGGTATGTGATGGTGCACTAGCACGAGCCGGTGTGTGGTCTGAAGTATCCCCCGAGGGAGGCAAACCTGAGGGCAGTGATACTGGTTTTGTCCGGGCTGGCCTGGAGTAGTTGGTTGCATTATCATATCCTGTTGGATCTGTGGATACCCTGGTCAGCCCCAGTATAGGAAGCTCTTCAGTAGGCGTAGACGATCGTTTAGTGCTTGAACTATCGCCCGTACCCTCTGACTGACTGATATCAGACTGTCTTGCAGCTCTTCTAGAATGAGGCACTCGCTCGCCTGCCTTCAAGCTGCCCTTTCTGTATGTTGTTCTTCTGGAACGGCGCAGACTATAGCCCGGTGGCGCGGGTGGGAGGATCGGCGCATCCTCATCAGCAAAATTCCCAAACTGGTTTTGCGGTTCCTCGGACAGGGCTTCTAAACTCGACTTTTTCGACGACCAAGAGTCCTCCTTTCCGACACTTGAGCTATCTACTTGCCGAGAGAGTAACGACTTTTTGCGCATCAAACTGTTGGCTGAGCCCTGACGCTGTAGTAGCGCTGCACCCTCTGTGGGCGAGATCTCCCCAGACCTCCGCTTTATCTGATCCGCTTTGCTGTCTAGGAAGGATTTGAACTCCTTGGGGGCGAGACCGGGGTGGAGATGCGCAGGCACCCAGAAGAGGCGTGATGCGTCGTCCTCGTCAGCAGACGGAGAAGGAGCTATAGAAGACATTAGGCCGCCGAACGAAGGCAAATCTGGATCCAAGGAGCCTACGTCCATCGACATCCGGCGGAGGGCAGCGAGGTTGCTGAGCTCCTGGGCGACTGTTGCCGGATCAGACTGACAGTCTATGTCTGTGAGCGGAAAGGAAACGGTCCCGTCAGAGGAGGGAGAATGGTTCAGGTTGGGGGATTGTTGGCCGGAAGAGTCGTGAGGAGAGAGTGTATGACGTGATGAGGTTCCATGGCCGTTGACGCCGTTTATCGAAGCGGTTCGGGTGGGCAGAGGCAAGCGGTCCTTATTAACGTTGGAACCTGAACCTGAACCTGGGGACGAAGATGACTGTACGGTGCGGTTTATCGGATTCGTAGATATGCTTTCTTCCTGCGACAGATAGCTCAGACGTTTAGAGTCTCGTGAGCCCGCACTCCCATTCCCATGTCCACTCCCGCTCCCACCGGCACTGCCGTCATAGGCATCATTATACATGTATCCAATAGCCTCCGTAACATGGTGGTTGTCGTCGCTGATGGAGAGATGTGCCAGGCGCCTAGAAGAAGCGCCCCGGGTGTCTGGCTGGCGGTAAGTATCTGTAGAGGCCTGCAAAACTGTCAGTAACCCCCATAAACACTGATATAGACGTGGCCCTGTCTGGAATAGCCCAATCTTCAACGCATCTCCAAGGGGTATCTAAAGAAGAAAAGAAGAACGAGAGACTGTCCACAAAAAAAAAAAAGAAAGGGGGCCATGCCACCAGGACTTGAGATGTTGCGCGGGACCCTACCTGCATGCTAACGAGGGAAGAAAGAGGGCACTCCGGGTGCAAAGAAAAGGAGCAGGGCAAACGAGGCCGACTGGGGGATATTCCGCCGGGGGATAGAGCTGCTATTGTACAGTGTCATCGAAGCATGTAGAGCGAAGGCGGGTTTGTAGGAGGCGTTGACGGCGGAGGAGCAGGAGTAACGGCAGCAGCAGCACGGCGAGAGACACAGGCGCAGGAGAACTTGCAGGATAGAAGATCGAAGGCCCAGAAGGCGAAAGGAGGCCAGCTATATCAGGTCCATTAACGGCGTGGAACAGGGTAGGTAGAAGTTGTTGTAGTTCGTAAACAGTTGATATTGTAGGATCGAAGAGAAGACGAAGATGGGAGAAAAAAGACTTGGTTAAGACTTACAAGAGGCAAAGAAGAGCTAAAGGTGAAGCTCGACAACGATCACACACCTTCTTTTGCCCGTTTAAACATAATAAGGACCAAGTATTATTTATTGACGGTTCTTGTTCTTCTGATTTTATTATATATATTAAGAATTCTTCTCTGATTCGACTTGTGGGTTTACTGTTCGGGCACAAGGAACATCCCAGCGCTTTTGCATTCCAGGGACCGGCAGGAGAATATTCACAGTAAGGAGAGGAGGAGAAGAAGTAGAAGACGACGGCGGGAAGAGGAGAAAAGGACGCCTGCTAATGCCTGAGATAGGGAGAAGAAGACGCTGGACGGCCGTTGGTCATGTATATACGCCTACACGAGACCATCCATGCAGCCACAGGGTTAGATTCAACAACCACTATCCACCTTATTTTATAGCATGGCCACTCCTGATATGATACTTTACAGAGTATAAAGGCTTAGTACGGTCCGCCTGGTGGGAGAATCCTCGAGTTACTGGACGACGTGACTTGCGGAGGTTGTGATCGTGAGCAGGCGAGATGGTCACGCAGCTTGATATCGCTTTGCGGTCTACTAGTTATCACGATGGCCGCCTGGACAGGACCGAAGACCAGATCGAACTATGGGAACGGTTTACCGAGTCGGACACGGAGAGACGAGCTGAGGACCTGTTTATTCCGCCGGTGCTCCCACTAGACATGCCCCTTAATCTTAGCCGTTCGGCCGGGGTCGTGGGCCTGTACAACGACATAGAGAAGATAAACGTTTCAAGTTACGGTTGATGATATAAACAGGAGATGGACAAGGTATGCATAGTATATGAACAAAGACGCCTGCAAAAGAAAAGAAAGAGGGACAGCGAAAAAAAAAAAAAGAAAAAGCAAAGGTCGAGGGCCATAAGTCGTCAAAGCAGCTCGCGGGAGGATGTCTATTTTCAGTCAAGAGAAAAAGGGAACAAACGCAAAGGAAGAGAAAGAAGATAGATGGATCACTTCCCAGCTTCGACGTAGTTGCTCGGGAAAATGCCGACTCTGCTTCCAATCTTGCCGGTCCACCAGTCATCCTGCTTCTCCGTACGCTTCACGATCGTGATGATATCGCCCTTCTTGAAGCCCAGATCGCCTTCCTGGTCTGCGTTGAAGGTGAAGAGGGCCACGGCCTGGTCCTTGCCCAGCTGTGGCTTCTGGCCGAATACCGGTTTGGGGGCGGTTGGACGGGCAGGGCGGCTGTCGAAGCCTCCTCGCTGACCGAAGCTGTCAAATGTCTCATGCGGGTTAGCGCGGCCGGCAACAGTGTTGGATCGATTCAGACCAGCGTTGTACTGTCTATCGTTGGGGTTGTCCTGCCATGTGCTGTGTCGGTGCGGTCTATCGCTATACTGATAGTCGTTGATTGAGGCGGATCTGTTCCTGCTGGCCCCGAACCCCATATTACCGACAGCAGCATGCCTGTCGTCATAGACAGGGACATCGTTGTACATCCCCTCTGCATACGCAGTGCCATAGCGGCCCGAAAACGCCCTGGACCTAAGCACCGCCATCAGCGGCTCCGCGCCGGGCGGCGGCGGCACCGCACCGTTCAACAGCTGACTGGCAGATATGTTCGAATTGTACATTCTCGCGTTCGCTTCCTTGCGCTCGATAAGCACGCTGCCCTCCAGACTCACACCGGCAAACAGGCCCTTGGTCTTGGAATATGAAAATACACCCGCCACGCCCTTCATGCTCGCCGCACCTGCAGCTTCAGCATTCCGTCCCACAGGCCCAGCGGCGACAGAGACATTTCCGCCCAGGGTTATCGAGCCGGCCTGGCTGAACGTTCGGACGGCCGCTGAATCGTTGAGTATAAAAACGAAATCGGTGAATTCGAAACCGAGCTGACCACCAAAACCAGCTCCTGCGGTTGTGATGGCAGACGGGGCAGACCACGACCCATCTCCAAGCCGGGCAACGACGACACCAGATCCAAATCGAGCCGAGCCTACAAACCCGGCCTTTACCACCGTAAGGATAGCCAGACCCTGTGGACCATGTTAGACTCGAGGTACGCATTGCTTATCACTTCGGCGGGGAGGCAAAACCGACCTTTGCATGACCTAAAATCTCCGGTGGAATGACCTTCTCAGGCCCAAACGACTCCGAAGGGTCGATAAAAGAGAGAAGGATCTTGCTGGCCTTTCGACATTCGCCTGTTTACCGGTACGTATGGGTCAGCTACTCTGCAGATATCATGCAGGGAAGACATGTAGGATTATAACATACTGCCCAGCGAAGAAGGCAACGGACTGTTGAATCCCAGCGGCATCTTCTAACAGTTTTCGCCTCCAATCTATATCTCGTCTCTTATGTCTGTTCTGTGTTAGTGCTGTCGTTGTTCGTGTATATGGTCTCCGCCCGTCAACCCGAGGCACCAAATTCGGAGCACTTCGTTATATACGGTAGTTATATATATACAGGAAAAGGGCGCAGGCCTGGAGCCGTCACTCCTCTTTACCAGTCTGAAGGGTCGAGGATAATAAAATCCAGGAGTCCGAGGTTGAGCCGTGGAACAGCCGGATGCCAGCCATGGCTCTTGGGTTCTTCTTGGGCTCTTCCATGGTGGCAGAGACATCGGAACTTTAGTTAAACCGGCTTATAAGACCCTCCCAAGGCCAACTGGATCCAACATGGATCTACTTTGTAGGTACGTATGTTGAACGCCCTCCGTGTATACATATAGAGGCTTGTACACCTGAGACCGTCATCATCATTCCTTTCGGACCCTAGATTGATAGCATGTCGTTGCTCTCCCGCTTGGAGATCGAAAAAACACCCCTAAGACTACGCGCATATTCTGTCTGACGACTGAACTCTTAGGGCTATCAATCTCCCCTGAAGTGTCTTCCTCGCATGACTTTGTGAAATCAGGCAACTCGTTAGTATAACTTTTCCCCTTAATATTTTATTTATCCTTCTTATATATTTTTAATTATTAATTTTGTTGTAAAAAACAAGATTTTCAGGCTATACAGTGATATTTCTGAAGTTTGGACTAAATACAACGAAAGGTTTTATATCATTATATACAACTAAAGATGGATAAAAAGCGAGGAAGCTCTCTAGTAACTTAATCTACTCCATTAGCTTCCCTTGTCCTCCGTTTGGCACTTTCCGAATGTTTACTATGGTCCCAAATTTCAAACTCATCTCCCAACTCCATTGTTCCAGAATAAAAGTCCTTCCACCCCTCGATTTCATTATTCCGCATAGGTAACCAGTAGGGTTTCCAGTCCTCTGTGGGAGGATATAGTGTTTTATCACAGGCTAGGCGAAATTCGTATCTCTTAGTCAGAGGATACACTCTACCATCGATCATATCATGGGGGGATATAAAGCTTCCCCTCTCGAGGCGGACATTATAGGACTTTGGTCTAAAAGCACTTTCTTCTAGACGCGCTTCATTTATCGTATATTCGGCGTTGTCGGGAAGGGCACGCTTTGTGAGAGTAAGGTTGAGATTGAACTCTGCTAGCAGGGACGTCCCGCTGGTGTCGCCTTGATGGACGGTCTGATCAAGTATGTCTGGGTTTGTAACGCTCCAGTCAGTCTCTGCCGCGATAAATACGTTCATCGCCGACCCATAAAATATCATCTTTTAGCCCGTCAGCGGTAGATGTTAGTTATCTGTGTTAAAAACAAGTTCAAGATACACCTACCTCGCCAGTGCCGTTCTCAAAAAATTCAATTCTGACATAGCTGCGCGAGTCTATTTTCCAATGTTTACCGCAAAGAATTGACCGAATGGTCTCAGCCATGTTGCTCTGTCTTCCAGTGTCTCAATGTATAAATGATGATGTCAATTAGGCAGCTGCTGTTCAAGCTTATATGTAGTACTGCCAGGTCAAGTCTATAAGAGTACACCGAGTAGATATATAGCCGAACTAACTGTTGGATGCGGGGTAAGCAGGAGTGACTATTTATGACGAATAGCATAAATATAACAATAGCAAGGGTTATATCTTAGATTAACTAATAACTGCAAGTACATTTTTTTAGTATTTCTGGTGGTCAAGCAATAAAGCCGTTTGTTGGACCTTTTGGTTTTCAAATAAAATAAGCCAAGATAAAACGCGGCGAAAGAGTGACACATGAAGAAAATAAGCCAATAAAGAATATCAGAGTGAGTGAGAAGAGGAAGGCCTGCTTCCATTTCCCAGCGATGTGTTTCTACATAGTGGCAGCAACTTGAAGATGGCCACATCCACACAAGTTTAGTTGCCCGGCTCCTTGCTCCCTCCGGAATTCTTTGTCCAGATCTTCTCCTTTTCCCAGTCGACGTGTCTCCATCCATCGAAGAATTCGAGGTTATCTTCACAGTGGGGCGTTAGGTTCAACTCCGGGTCGTCTACCAGGCCCTCGGGGATCAATAGCTGCAGTCGGTCTCCATACCCGGTTATGTAGCTTAGGCGCATCGTCTTCCTGGGGTCATAGCCATGAGGAAGGCTTTCAATGTATTCGTCGATAGCTCCGACGTTGTTCCATAGTTCAGGGCGTCCTTCGATACGCCTAGGCACCCACACCTTGGCGATCCTTTCAACGACTTTGGCGTTCGCGGTGATCACACAGCGCCTAAGGAAGTGTATAAAGATTCAGAATAAGTCATTGTTAGGTACGTTGCTATAGTCACTGACCAATGCCACGACTGATCTTCCTTCCAGTCGCGAGGCTTGTTTGTGAGGTAAACGCCCACGCCGATCTGGGTTCCAGCTTCTGCGCCAGTGAAAACAACCTTGCCTGCTTTTCTGTACATCTCGGCTTGTTCCTATGTGTTTCAAATCAGCACTGAATTACCCTTGACTAGAATATCTTGGCTGAGAAAGATGAAGACATACACTGCTAACGGCTCGATAGCCGATAATAACATTATCACCGTCGCCGTCACGTTTCTGGTGAAGCGTTGGAGATGCTGAAATGCAACCAGCCAAAGTTAAAGCCAAGGCAAGCAGCTTGCTGCTGGGGAACATCATCTTGCAATAAGAAGCTGGATGAGGAAGCGGGACGAAGAGATGAAGGCTGCACGAGCTGGACAGTGTAGAGATGTCTGCTGGAAGTGTCTGGTAGAAGGTAAAACGGGATAGAGGATTTGACTCTCCCTTTTATAGATCAGGCATCTCATCAGTAGGCTACGGTCACCGGGCCCTTTTTCTAGGACGTGAGATGTGGCAAAGAGAAATACAGTGTCACTCAGCTACGCGCAGCTCGGAGATTACGGGTATGAACAAACAGCGCAGCTGTTAGATATTGGCCCCCAGCTGTAAGAGTATGAATCATACTGGACAGTATCTAAGATGTTGCAATGAATGCGCCGCGGCTGATCAAGTTTGATGCCTTGATTATGGCGGGGGAGTATTGTAGGGCCGTGGAATTGTCATCCTATTGCATATTATGGTATTCATCCAGGGAACAGACCTCCAACACCTCTTGTCTTGCGGCAAAGTCTAGGTCCCTATTGATGATCCATAGCGATGACGGGGTATATAAAAGACCCGGTAATCCAACACATAATGCGGTTTAATTAGTCACCTAATCCCATTGTTTGGTTGTATGAATCAACTTATACTCTATACCCAATATTTGGTCGGATGTTGATATAAAGGCCGTAGCTCTGAAGTTCGAGGAACTAATACGGAGTAACTAGTCACTATTTAACTAGTTAGTTAGATAGAAAAAAACAATAAATAAGCATCTGGTATGTCGCAGCTATTGCTTGCAGTCAAATATATATATGTTAACTGCGTTGTTATTTTGATGATGTTGAATATCGGCTCTCAGAGCTGTTGGACAAAAGGTCGAGCTAACTAGTTAGTTAACTAACAAATGATTCCTATTGGATACTATAATTAACTAGTTTACTAGTTAATCCAATATCAAGGATGTGCCTCCTAATGAATAATCACGCTTACATTAGCCAGATACAACAAACAGACATGGGTAAAGGGCCAGATACACCCAACCCCCCAATGAGGCGAATAAACAGATAGGTCCTGCGGCTTATTTCATTTAGCTGCACATTCCTTATTAAGGAGATCCCGCCCGTGACTAAGATGAAAACCAAATAACCACCTTGCTTATCTAGTTTTTACATGCCAACATTTATTGATATCAAGAGTGTAGCTCATGGACTTTGCTATGCCCTATCATTTACTGGAATAGGTAGCTTGTTGGAAGATTATCTCTCCCTATTTCTTGGAAAGTATTTGATGCAGTTGGATACCTAAGCATTGTTATCCAAATTCACCAATTATCGCCAACTAGATCTGTTATAAACCTCCAAGTGCTATAAATGCAGCCTACAATTGTCATCAGATTAATCATAATGCATCTCTGTTGTTTTATCTTTCCAAGGATACCAAAATCCTGCGATGGTTTCTATCAACATATTTACATTGGATAATCAATATGAAGTTGAACTACTGTGGTTCTATAGTGCACCCTGGAAACAGTATGCTGAATAGATATATAAACCCCCTCAACGCCATTTCTATAATATCCAAATACACAGATCACTCCTCAGTCTATCAGCATATCAGATACACAGCCTTCCACAGCCCAAGAATCAAAGCCTATCGCCAAAACATCAGATATCAAAACATGTTCTATTCCAAGCCTTCTCGTCCAACCATGATTACTACAGCCTTATTTGTCTTTTTCATCCTTCCTTTCGTCCATTCCACTCCAGTAGCTGGAACCGAGCTTGCACTCCGTGGCATCTCTCAAGCCCAGCCCGGAGCAAACGACTCTAAGTTTGTATCCTGCATGAAGGAAAAATACCCTGGGTATCCTAATGAAATAGTCAAGGACCATATAGACTTGATCTACTGTGGTGATATTGCCGAGGCTATAGATGGAGATAATAACGGTCTATCTACCCGCGATATTAGTATCTATCAAGTTACTAGCTATCTGAAGGACCAGTTTAACCGGCTAGGGATTCGTGATGATAGTCAAAGCCAAGCCGAAAATCCGACCGATTCCATTTTTGTCACTTGTATACAGGAGAAATATCCCTTGTTTCCCCACGATAAACCAGCTTATGAAGACATTCAACGTTGCCATGCTGCCAGACTTAATCAACTCCACTCCCGCGGCGATGACGACGAAAATCGCCGAGACCCAGTCGTGGATATATTTGGTATTCCCGTTACCTTTGCAAATGTCTGCACCGATCGAGATCTCCCGAAAAATTTCCTAAAAGCCGCTGATTTCCGTGCCGATGCTAGACAAATATGTGATGATATGGTATCAGACCTTCTCAAGAACGCAACAGGCGTATTTGGACAAAATCTGAACATCGCCTGGACGAAGAAAGCGTCGAGCCTATATAAACACAAGGACGTGATATTGTGGGCCACACTCAGCCTTTCTCCACAGGCTCGCTCAGCTTTGGCTGGTGTCAAGGCGGCAAAAGAAGCCTATGATACCATCTGTATGAATGCTATTAGCATTTTTGGAACCAAGGGTGAAGGATGTACCTCGGAGCTGGGTTCTATTCAAGGGACTACCACCGGGGTGAAGGACGGATTCCTAGATCTTTTGATCGGCGGAGTAAAGCAGGGCCTGTTGACGATCGATTTTAGACAGAAGGGAGAAGAGTAAGCCTTAGGGCTCTCCTTTGGGGAAGATACGTTGAAGGCACTCGTTGACAGTTTCCTATATTTCTCTCTTTTCACAAATGCAGCCGGCCTGCTTTTCGTTATTTTTGCCCCCTTCGAATTCGCAATGCTTTCTTACCTCGAAAAAAGACGAAAAAAATTGTTCATGTTTTCTATTTATCTGTGTTACTTTCCGAGTCCGTCACCTTTATATTCTAGCTTGTTTAAGTACATTTAGTTGAATAATTGACTATTTATTCCTCGACAACTGCTGCTATCCCTGTCTATCCTGCGCTAGCCAATCACATACAGACAAATTTGGAGCCTCAAAGTATCATATGACTTATATAATCAGAAGATCGCAACGACGAAGCAATAAAATAGAAGAAAATAAATATTCAGAGCATCAGATTTGCCTATAATGACTCCGTGTTGAGCTGTAAGAGGCGCTCGCACGAAATGGGAACCGGTAAGCTAACCACCATACGCTGCTCCGACTCAGGTATCTAACATACACAGTGCGAATCTGCGTCTGCGGTGATGAAGGGACGGGCAAGTCGAGCTTGATAACCTCGCTGGTCAAAGGAGTCTTTGTCACAAACAAGATCCAGGCTGTCCTGCCGCAAGTGACCATCCCTCCTACCATTGGGACGCCTGAGAATGTGACCACAACCACGATTGTCGATACTTCTGCCTTGCCGCAGGAACGGAACAACCTCGCAAAGGAGCTTCGCAAGTCTAACGTCATCCTCCTCGTTTACTCCGACCACTACAGTTATGAGAGGGTTGCGTTATTCTGGCTTCCGTATTTCCGTTCACTGGGGGTCAATGTTCCTGTTGTGCTGTGTGCCAATAAATCGGATCTCTTGCACGAGCATGGCGAGTCACAGCCAATCGAGGAAGAGATGCTACCCATCATGACGGAGTTCAAGGAGATTGACTCGTGTATCCGAAGTAGCGCTAGGACGCATAGGAACGTAAATGAGTCGTTCTTCCTCTGCCAGAAGGCTGTAACCTATCCGATTTCTCCTCTTTACGATTCAAAGGAGTCAGTGCTTAAACCAGCTGCTATCCATGTGCTTCATAGAATATTCTATTTATGTGACAAGGACCGCGATGGGTACTTGAGCGATGGTGAAATTGAAAGCTTTCAAAGGAAGTGTTTTGGCAAACACATAAGTGAGGAAGACCTGGTAAACATCAAGGATACCATCCGAAGGGCGTTGCCCGACTCTGTCACGCCGTCTGGGATAGACGCCAAGGGCTTTCTTCATTTGAACAAGTTGTACGTTGAAAAGGGCCGGCATGAGACCGTATGGATCATACTTCGAGCCTTTCAATATACAGACAACCTATCTCTTCAGGAGGAGTTTTTGCACCCGCGGTTCGAGGTGCCTCCTTTCTCTTCTGCTGAGCTCTCACCTGCCGGATACCGGTTCCTTGTGGATCTTTTTCTACTCTGTGACAAGGACAACGATGGAGGGCTGAATGAGGAGGAGCTTACATCCATATTTGCCCCAACACCAGGTCTGCCCGCCTCGTGGACAGAGGACTCATTCCCGTCATCCACCGTTCGTAATGAGGCCGGCCACGTAACCTTGCAGGGCTGGCTGGCACAGTGGAGTATGACCACGTTTACATCTCCCAAGACAACTTTGGAATACCTTGCATATCTCGGGTTTGAGTCTTTTGACCGCAACAACCCTACAACTACCGCCGCCCTTCAGATCACCAAGCCCCGGAAACGCCGCAGACGACCCGGTCGAGTAGGCCGTAACGTTGTTCTCTGCCATGTTGTCGGCGCACCTGGCTCAGGCAAGTCGTCTCTCCTTGACGCCTTCCTATCTCGAGGCTTCTACCCGTCCTACCGCCCTACCATTCAACCGCGTACAGCTGTCAACACGGTTGAGCTTCCGGGCGGTAAGCAATGCTATATGATCCTTGATGAGTTAGGAGAGCTAGAACCTGCCATTCTCGATAATGAGACAAAGCTGCTCGACCAGTGTGATGTAATCGCGTACACGTACGACTCTTCTGATCCGGATTCGTTCGCTTATATCCCCAAACTGCGAGCCAAATACCCACATCTAGAGGAGTTGCCGAGCGTCTTCATTGCATTAAAGGCTGATCTGGACCGGACTACTCAACGGGCCGAGCTACAGCCAGACGAATACACGAGCAAGTTAAACATGCCGGGTCCGCCATTGCACGTCAGCGTGACTTGGAGTTCGATACAGGAGTTGTTCGTGCATATAGCAGAGGCAGCCATGGAACCCAGTACTGCCTTCCCCCGCGTTGAGGAAGATGTGGAAGGAAAATGGATGGCGTGGGGCATTGCGATCGGAGCTGTTGTCTGTGCCGGTGCGGCAGCTGTTGTTATATGGCGACGGGTCAGTTGGGGTGGGAAATATTAGTATTCTTGGTAGATATCATTTACACACACTACGATAAGCGATGCATTTATTTAGATACCCATAACATTTAGATATTCGAAATCTATAACTTATAATACTATTTCATTACGTTGAGTAAGGAATGTTCGTTCAGCGGCCTCCCCCTTTTCACTAATTAAAGTTGAACTAGAGTATGGGGAATCACATGATACGTGTAATGCATCCTATCATTGTATCCCCAAACAATATATTATTATCTTTGATACTTGCCTGTGATATCTAAACACTCTTCATAAAACCCGTTGATAAATGTCCTAGTGCCTTTGAGTTTTTACTTTATTTCCGCAAAACCGCTTCTCCCCACCAGCCAAAGGTAGAGGAAACCTCCCGCGCTCAGAGACATAACAGCCCCTTCGCCATAGCATAATCCGTCTAAAGCTGTATCAACATGAGTGACGCATACGAAAGAGAAAGGTATTGGCCTTTTGAAAACCTTTCAGGAGCTTTCCATACGATCCGGCGCTAACTACTCACTCTCTGTCGGGAACCAGACAAAACAACTCCCTCCTCGAATCCTTGTCACAGAAGACCAGTGCCCTCAAGTCAGTTACAGTAAACATATACGACAATGCGCGTGACCAAGATATGATTGATAATACTGTCTGTATCTCCTATAACGACGACGCCAACCTCCATGTGAAGCACCCTTATGCTGACAGCTCACACGTGGGGATATCTAGAGCGATGTCTTCTCATCTCTATCGACAAACATCAGAGGCAGCGCAAGCCGGCTGACCCGCATGGCGAGGCAAGGCGACAAGATAGCCGTATTGAAGCTTGCGGCGATTCTGGTTGGATCCGGGCTTGTGCTGTGGGTTATTCTAGGTTGGATATTCTGAAGCTGGCCGGCCATTCCCAGCTTCAGTCTGGAAACCCTCCAGAACATACATAATGCTACCTTTACGATATCCCTTGCGTTCCACATTTGGTGACTGCTTTGCATCTTGGGAGAATATGGTGTAATGCCTGTCAGACTGTACAGATACTATGATGGCGAAACCAATCCTTAGAAGTATCGCAGGTTGACTATGGGTTATTTCTGTTGATGAACATTCCATAGTGCATGATATTTGGCGTTTGGCACATTAGCTGTTGCAGGAGTTATATGGTACGGAGAAACTATGGCTTATTTGATATCCTTTCCTCAAGTCTATATATATGCCTGTTAACCATCCGAAATATTTTACATAATAGCTATGTCATTAATATCGTTCAGTTACAATCATCGATCGTATGAAAAGAAAAAAAAAAACGTGCCCACACTCGGATTCGAACCGAGGACCTCATCATATCATAATGAGTACGAGTGATGCGCTACTACCACTGAGCTATACGGGCGACCTGCGACTGGGTTTTGGGAGTTATCGTTATATTTAGCAGCGGTAGTATAGCCGTTTTGTTCGATGATAAAAATATTCCACGGGTTAGTTGAAAAGACAAGGCCAGGTTGTTTTGCCGCCAAAGGATGTGTTGGCATCGCCAGTTTTGCGGTTTGTGTCTGGAGTCCGTACGGTGGCATCCCTGTCATTCGAACATGAGAAAACACACAGGCTGCTCAACCAACTTGTGTAGTGAAATGAATAAGTAATGGCCAGTCTTTAGGGTCGTTCTGCTCACGGCCACTCGTTTTAGAGTAAAAGATACTGACAAAAGCTGCTTCACTTGATTTGCTGTCCAGATTTTTATTTTTATCGATTCTAATGTTGATGACTACACATAGCACGTGACATGGAAATCGGGCGGTTTCGATGACTGCAATCAAAAAAAAAGGTCGAGATGGAATTTATCTCTCACAAACACATGAACTGGTCGTGTTCAGTGTCATCAACTCAACATATAAATGCAGTCTCGGTTCTCTGTCACCTTTTATTCTTATCCAATACAAGAGATGCAATTATCTATCAGACGCAGCACCCGATCGAACCAAGTAACGACTGCCGAGCATGGATGACGCGCCCCCCCTTTTGACTGTAAGCAAACTCGACCCCTTCCATGGCCACAAACCTGCCTCGTATATGTAGCAGCCTGTCGTCGGTGTTGTCTACGTGCCTTACTTCTCTGGCTAACAAAATATTCCCGTAGGAACTCGAAAACGAGTACTGCCCACCTCTAGACCCCGCACTTTTCGTTGCCATTGTGGGCGATTATGACCTTAATGACGAGTCCGCTATCCAGCAGCTGCGCGAGACCTTAGACACACTAAAGATATCTGCAAATGAGCAAGAAGATGCCGTGTTTGACCCGTCTGGAACAAGTGGGTTCGACTTTCTGGAGGATGCATCAGGTATTGCATCCGCGCAAAGCGAATCACAGACGCTAGGATCGCATGAAACAAACACAACAAGCCTGGGATCGAATTTCTCATCACTCGGCGCAGAACTGGATAGCAATTCTGGACGGAAGCCCGACAGTATTAATGGCGCTTCAAAACAGTCAGGAGACTCCACAACTTCCATTAAAGGGTTGAGCAAATTAAGTTCAGAAGATCAAGCAACATACCTCAATGAGATGTTTCCCTCAATCGACCGATTTACTGTTTTGCATACACTCGAGAAAAGTGACGGAAACGTTGATAGGGCGATGGATGTTCTTTTAAACCTGTCTTTCTTTGAGGATAGTCAGACTTCCGGCACCAAGGAAGATTATATCTCGATTCCTAAAGGCATTGAGGGGTTCGAACACACATCCTGCAGTAATAAGGGACGCAGAAGAGCCAAGAAGAACAAGAACAAGCAGCAACTGCAGCAGCTATCAGAGTCCGATCTCTCACAGAACTCCTCAAGCGATAGCAGCGGGCCCAAACCCGAGAATAGATGGGATAACGGAAAGAAAGATATGGAGTTTATCTGTTCGAGGACAGTCTTGACTATGGTTACTGTTAGTTCAGCATACCATCTGAATGGTGCCTCTCTACCGGCAACGATACGCACCCTGGCAAGGGATGAAGCCCAGAAGTGTTCAGAGAAAGACATGGAGGATGCGGTTACCCGTACCCAAGTTACTGAACTCCAGGAGGAATTTTCAGCCATTGCACCGAAAGATCTCGCCGCTCTCCTAAGGCTAACGAGGAACTGCATCTCCGCTGCGAATGAGCTAGCAAGAATAATGGTAATAGATCCTATACCAAATCTTTTGCAGCCAGTGTATAGGGCAGCTGAGCCATCTGCGCCACTCCACACTACTACAAACCGTAAATCTTCTAGAGTGCCATCTGTTCCACCAGCAACAGCCGCGAGACCAAATTACAACCCCGCCATTAGCCGTGCCATCGCAGACAGACATCTCATGGCGAGCCAGCAGGCATTCCAGAAAGCCCATTCTGCCTATCGTCGTGGAAAATCAGACCGCCTCATGGGCGGCGCAGCAGGATATTACTCTTCTATTGGCCGCGAACATTTTGAAAAGGCCAAGAGAGAATCTGCCGTTGCTGCAGATGCACTAGTCTACAGCCAGTCAACCAGCAATGTCCTAGACTTGCATGGTGTCAGCGTCCAAGATGCCGTGCGAATCGCGAAGGAGGGTGTGGAATCATGGTGGGAATCCCTAGGCGATGATAAGTATTCCAACCGCATGCGTGGACGGCCAGGAGTGCAGAGCTACCGAGTTGTCACCGGGCTTGGACGCCACAGTAAGAATGGCACTGCGAGGCTAGGCCCCGCTGTTGCGCGGTGTTTGGTTAGAGAGGGCTGGAAAGTAGAAGTTGAGCGGGGCGCGCTGATAGTGACTGGCTTGGCCGGACACCGATGAGCCATGTCCTTTTATTTCAGGCATTTATATGCGTGTTTGTGTCCAGTGATTTTATTGTCATTTTATAAGCGTACGGCGTTTGGAATCTTGATACCCCAGCCTTGTTAGCGTTCGTTTTACGATATGGCTTCATGTATGAATGGAAACATTAAGCTAGACAATAGATAAGCTATCCGGTGAATGATTTCAAATAGTGAAAAAAGGCGTTTAGATGGCTTCACCCGCTTGGCGTAAGTTTCCTAATTTAAGCTTAAAGATTCCACAACGTCATTTGTAACTTACTTAGATTTGGAACCTGTTTTGATATAAAATAACACCATTGTCCTTACGACTTCGCAGATATTGATTTCGGTAATGTCGTTCACACGAATACTATACAAGTCAATCGCATCCAGGCTCCTGCCTAGCAGCCGTGCATTGAGATTACAGATTAACCGCTTCTACGGCGGATCGATAAACGCAACAGCCACCCGGCCAATTCTCCTAGGCACATCACCTATGATCGGTTTTCTATCCTCATTCTTCAGCACCTCCAGCCCCGGCGCAAGTTCAGGTAATATGGCGGATTACCCAGAGAAAAAGACTGAGGCCGAATGGCGTGCCATTCTCTCTCCAGGTATAGCATCCAAAACACTACACCACTGACTGACAAGTCAAGCTCACCCATGAATGCTAGAACAATTTCGCATCCTTCGCCAGAAAGGGACCGAGCGTGCCTTTACGGGGGAGTACAACAAACATATGCCCGACTCCGGCGTCTACCAGTGCGCCGGATGTTCTGCACCGCTATACAACGCATCACACAAATTCTCGTCGGGTTGCGGCTGGCCAGCGTACTTTGATTGCATCCCTGGCGCAGTCAAGCGCCTCGAAGACCGGTCATTTGGTGTCACTCGAACAGAGATCGTATGTGCGAATTGTGGAGGGCATCTGGGCCATGTATTCGCGGGTGAGGGGTATAAAGTACCGACTGGCGAGAGACACTGCGTGAATAGCATTAGTCTGAGATTTAACGAGAAGGAAGAAGCGGCAACGGATCCCAAGGAGAATATATAGTCTCTAAAAAGCTGGTTGGAGCTGGGATTCAGCATGTAGTTTAGATACTTAATATTGTGTACATCAACAAGAACTTTTTTCTTACTTTCAACCTCGGAGATAAAAAAAATATAACGTGACATGTCCTTTGATTATGTAATATGATTTATACTGCGGGATCGAAACATCGAAACGACAAAGTGCTTTTTGTTAATCGACAGAGCTGAAGGCAGCAATATATCTGTGATACAACCTCGCTAACGGGGAAGACAGCGTACAGGCATCTGGATTGACATATATAAGCAGCTAATTCCCCAGGTCAACCCCTCAAGCCTCTCTACTTCTTCTTACGGCCTGGTTTACCGTTATCATTCAAAAAGATGTCTCGCCGCCCGCCAAACGCTGATCGGGCAGCGCAGAACCAGCAGATGATAAAGAATCTATTAAAGCTGACCTGCAATAAAACATGTGCTGACTGCAAGCGGAATAAGCGTAAGTCTCTATTTTCGATTTGCTCCGTTATCCTCATCCGTTTCTGAGTTCTTATCTTGAGTGGGCTTGCCCCCTGAATATTAATTATTATATACTCCCTCTTATAACCACCTATCTTACTGACTGCTGGCATCAATAGATCCAAGATGGGCAAGTTGGAACATCGGCGTATTCGTTTGTATCCGATGCTCGGGTATTCATCGAGGAATGGGAACACATATCAGTCGTGTAAAATCTGTGGACCTTGACTCCTGGACGGACGAGCAGTTGCAGAGTATCATGAAATGGGGAAATGCAAGGGCAAACAAGTACGTTGAACCTGGGCACATACGGATCAGGATCTAGAACAGCTTTTCTTTTCAGCAGGACTGACCTCTATGGCATAGATATTGGGAGGATAAACTCAACCCTGGGCATGTGCCGTCCGAAGCGTATGTGCAACGTACATCCACGATTACGGTACTGCAACCACAGAATACTGATTGATTGGATAGGAAGATTGAGAATTTCATCCGAACAAAGTACGAATCGAGACGATGGGTTATGGATGGTCCGATGCCCGATCCGTCTACGCTCGAAGTAGAAGGTGATGAAGATGTGGTACGTACGAATACATTTGCTGGTTTGCACTGCACTATGACTGACACCAGTTTTAGCCTTTGGCAGTTATCCAGGAGAAGGCCAAGCTAGAGCGATCGGCCTCCCAACAACACCAAAGCTCTAGCCGTCCCCGACCCGCACAAGCTCAACAAGCCGCTGTGAACTTCTTTGACGACGAGCCTACAAACCCACCGCCGCGACCGAGGACCACCGACATACCAGGATCCCGACCTACCCCCCATACAACAGCCGCTCAGAAGCCTAGCAAACCAGCAGATTCCTTGCTTGGATTAGATTTCTTTGGCCCAAGCCAACCTAGTGGAGGAGCTACCAGGCCAGCCAGCACTCCAAGCGGGGATGCTCCCGCATCGGGTCCTTCAAGGCCAGATCTTAAACAATCCATTCTATCCCTTTATGCCTCAGCACCCCCCAAACCTCAAGAGCCTCAGCATGAACGAAACTCATCATTTAGCTCATTTTCATCCCCTCCATCCCAACAGGCCTCTAAACCTGATGCGTTCGGTGGACTTACTGATGCCTTCAGTGGCCTGAGTTTCCCTTCGACCACGTCGCCTCCCATCCCGAAGCAGCAGCAATCGACCTTTTCTGCTTTTGATAGCCTTACCAGCTCCATGTCCTCACCTGCCGCTCCAAAGGTAGCCTCGCCTTCCATGTCAACCAGTAATAGTTTCTTCAACGATCCCCCGAAGTCGCGCCAGGTTGCATCACCACCTCCAGCCAGCACTTTCGATTTGATGGGCTCAACAGTGGGGTCGGCGAAGGCACCTGCAGCACCTCCGAGCGCGTCCAACGATATGTTTGATCTCTTCTCCTCACCAGTGCCAAAGGCAGCCTCCACTACAACGACTACATCCCCTCCGCTTGCCTCACCCAGCCATAACTCCGCCTTCAATCTTTCGTCACCCCCTCAGCAACCAGCAGTAAAATCGCACCCTACAAGCAGCGTTAGCCCTTCGAACGCATTTTCCGCCAGTACCATGGACCCTTGGGGTGGCAATGCGTGGAGCACAGCTGAGCCATCACCCCCGGTCGCGACTTCAAAAGCTACGTCTTCAATGAAAGTCCCAGATACCTTAACCGCCAACGATATAGGTAGTGGCTGGGGAGCCCCCTCGCCTGCTGCGACGAAATCAACTCCAGCAGTCGCCGCCGATGAAGACTTTGGCGGGTGGGCCGACCCAACCCCAGCACCAACCAAAAATGGAAATAATTCTTCCAATAAAGGCAAATCTGGTGGCTTTGGTGGTGGTGATGACTTGTTTGCAAACGTTTGGGAATAAAGTGGCCTTGATATGATATTGGTAGTGGTCTCGTTGCTCCATTCTCTCCTGTAACTGGAGAATTTATAGAGAGGATAATCGAGCCACAATAACAGGCTATATTTCACCCGCCATCTAGCATGACGATGAGAAACCCCCAGATTCATACATCCCTTGTCCTTTTCCCCTAGTTTCTATTGTCCCTTAATAGCATAAAATGAATTATGGGCACGAGAAAGCAAAATATATCTTTTAATTCGTACTTTGGCACTTCTCTCCTTCATATCCTCAATACCGGAATTACCACTCTTCCATACCCCTTAATCCCTTTGTGCCTGCTCTGGTCGCTTTTACCAAGGAGTTAACCCTTCCTACCTCTTGATTCGGTTTATCTGGCAGGAACTGGCAAAAGCAGTTTATATTTTTCACCTTCACCCCGAGGATCATTCAAATCAATATACCCTCTATATTAGATACTGGATTCTAGCATCATTGCATCTCAATATACCCAAACCCGGTTTTGTCTTAACCATTCAAGATGGCGTTTAAACTCTGCGCTGCTATTCTGGCGCTTGCTATGTCTGTAGCGGGTATGTAATATCAATAATTCCAACACTTGACCACCAACGTGATTTCAGTCCATCGGTTAACACATTATTTCCATAGCTATTCATATATCATATCCTGGGAAAGGCTTGGTTTTGGATCTTTCCCTCCATAACGATATCAAGTGGACTTCTACTCAGTATGCTTCCCATATCATGGCTGCTCCTTTGGCAAAAAGTTAATGTAGTTATAGAACCGACCCTCAGCGTTTCTCGATCGAGCTGGTGAACATGGCAGTCAATCCTCCCGTCATTGTCGAAATTGCCGATGACGTTGAAGTATCCAAGGGGTCTCTACTGATCTCTCCCGTGGTCAAAATCACTCCTGGGTACGTAGCAGTCCTGCCATGATGAGATAAGACAGAACTAATACCTATTTTACAAGTTTATAGGCAGTCATATCAGTACCATTTTATCTCCAAAGACCCGAAGAATCATGATATCCTTGCCCAGTCTCCTCCCTTTACCGTCAAGAAACCCGAAGTTGTGAAGCCAAACAACACTCCAGTTGCCACTATACCTTCAAAAGCCGCAGCTACTGCGAAAGATGGGGAGTCACCAAAGTTGCCTGCTAATATCACAGGTATATGACCCCTTTAATACGCTCTTCGGCTTTCCCGCTGTTCCGGAATATCAAATACTAACGCTCTATAAAGCCTCTATTACTTCTTATCCTTCTACAAACATGGCAACTTCTACACGTTTACCAACAACTCCTGGTGCTACATCATCAAAGTATATCATGTCAATTCCCACCATCAATCCTGTGCGAAACACCGGAGTACCACTTGGAGGGCTTACCCCAGTCGCATGCCTCACGCTAGCTCTCTTAGGTTTTTTTTGGAATACAGTCTAGAAATAAGCGACTCTTGCTTAATTCTTTAACATGCAGCTTTAGTTTATGGTTCTTGGAAAGTCTCTTATGGTAAACAGTGTCCGTTTCGTTTCCCCGTTTATGGTCTTTTGGCGATGTCCCACCCTTTTTTCCAGGTGTATAGCATGGTGCATCATCCATTTCCCACCTTTGACAGTAGTAGTTAGAATATATTATATTACTTGCGTTTCATATCTCTTTATACCGGTAAAAGGAGCTGGAAACCAATTCTCCAACTCTGGTTAGTTGCCGGTGTTCTTTTCAACCCCCACAACAGTAAGATTTCACAAAGTTGAGTTATAGATTGACTGTTTGTTATACACAATGTTTACTTCCTATGGTAAATATTTTCCGAAATACAGGAGCGTATACAGCAGTGATATACGTTATATCAATTTGCTTCATACTCAAGCTTCCGCTCTCCCACATCGGCTATAGCCAGAATAGCATTCACCAATGGCAGCGGGCAATTTTCTCGAAGATAGGCAGCCACAAGGTCGTTGCCATTCGTCACCGCGCCTTTAGTAGCTGTTAGCAAGTCGTGGCCCATGCTAAGAAAACAAGGATTTTGGAAATAAAACATACCACTTGTCCAGATATTCCCATCTTTGACAACTCTTCGTGTATTGTCCCATTTCTTCACTGCAGGAAACTTCACTTGTAGATCGGATATCAAACCCTTCGGCCCTGTAACGTTCTTTTGGTCCAAAATACCAGCATACCCAGCAATATAGCATCCGGTGCAGATCGCCAAAATCACATTTCCAGCATCGTTATGCGCCCTAACATATGCCGAGACAGACTCGTCAGGGATGTACTTCAGGTCCGGCCCAGGGATCACTAAGATATCCAAGTTTCCTGCTGAGACAGACGCATCGTGGACTGAGGCAGTGAGCCTAATGCCAATCTCGGCGGTGCATTGGATATAAGTGCCAGCACAGTTGGGCTTTATGCCAATGTAATGGATTTCAACAGGCAGTCCGAGGCTGGCTATTTCTGCTGGAAGAACGCCTATTCCCGCAATATAGTCCTTTGACATCATCCCAAGGAGGTCAACAGCCGCTAAATCGAGGAGTTGAACTGCTTGCGTCAAGAGGACTCCGACTCGGAGCTGCGTTGGGGTTTTGGAGGCCATGTTAGAATAATTCGACTTTGGGGGTAATGGAATATTCGGTGGTCGATAATGGTTGATGTTCAATTAGAATTCTAGTATTTTCCGCCTGCTGGTACTGTGCTCTTTATACTAAGATGTCGTTGAGCTGAACTGGATTTCATATTTGTAATCCCATCAAGGAATATACAGCATCATGCTTGACAGAGGGGCTAGAAACAAGGATTAATAGCCTTCTCAGTACGAGGCTATATCAAAAGAATATGCAGGAAGGAGAATTAAATGATCCCATCGGTGCAATAGACCATCCGCCGAACTAGCTACAGTCACTTTTTCATAGCATATGTCGGAGAGTCGGTACCTACTTCGTAAGGGCTTATAATCTGCAGGTCCCCTGGATTAACGCAACACACAGAAACTGGATACTAAAAACAGCTGATTTTGCTGGGCAAAAATCCTTCGTTCAAGCTTGAATCGCTATTAAAACTGAATAATACATGACTGGTCCATGAAAACACGTTTATTTGAGAGCAATAGCTCCTCCCATCATAGCCGTAATCTTCGCCCCTTTCGCCATAACATGGAAAATGTGGCTAGTTTTGTGTGGTATCTGAAACAAAAAGAAACGAGAAATGCAACCATTCGTCCGTCTAATGAGGAAAAGAAATAAATATGGAGCGTGTGTGGTGAGGGTTGAGGTGAATATGTTTAAGAAGAGGAGTCGAGTTCGTTCAAGAATCCAAATATCTCCTTTGTCAAGCTCGGGTTCTCCGTTGCAGCTTCGATCAGGTGCATTCGTTGGGAGCCAAAGACCACCTTTCGCCATGGTAAATTGTTATATTGACTCCCCGATGGGGTCGACGGGAGTCCTATGAGAATGTATCTCATCACCAACAAGGCTTTGTATGCGATTCCGTATGGTTCACCGTGTTCATCAACAGGCGTTGGGTAGAGCTTGAACAGTCGGGCACGCTTGGGTTGGATGATGAGCCGTTGAGGGATGGGTGGTGGTTTGGTCATGTCTCGTAATGGTGGTAGGTGAGAGGAGACATGGCCGGCAAGTTGTGCGATGTTCGGTGTGGGAGTTAGGTATTCCGAACAGTAATCCCAATGGCATGCGTGGGGGTTTGAAGGCTGTGATTGAAGATCCCATCCACCTGTAGCCAAAGGGCTGAGCTGAAGATGATCTTGAAACACATGATTGCGTAGGATGGTAGGATCAAGGAATACATGGTCGCACCGAACATCTCCTTGTTTCCCCCATAAGCAGTGGAGACTCGGGTAGCCATCCAGGTTGTAGGTGGTTTCGAGAGGGCGGATGCCGCGGATAATGAATCGAGCAGAAGGGCCTTCGACAACTTTGGCCTGTGCGGAAGAGAAGGTGTTGCTGACCGTGCTGATAAATTCGGTAGCTTGGAGGGTGTCGGCTGCTTGCACGCCTGGGATACGGTTTTGAGTGAAGCACGCTTGGTAGGCCTGCCAAATTGCTAGTTGGGTAATTTCACATTCTGGATCTTCAACAAAGCAACATTTGAGCCAGAGGCTGCACCGTTCGGGCTCAGGGTGCTTGACGAGCTCACGATAGAGATCCTGATGTGGCACTGGGATTTGGTTGGGAGGCGGCGCTTTGCGCTCGACCTGATCGATTATTTCCTTGTTACGGACCACACTGCCATAGTCCAAAAGGCGGACGAGATGGGGTATAAGGTCAACCGGTAGGTTAAAATCTGTAACAAGTTGCTGAACATTAAGCTGGTAGCGAGAGAACTGATAGAGGAAATCAAGGGCGACAGAGAGGAGTTCAGGATCTTGCTTGAGAAGAGTGAGACGGATGACCTGTTCGATAGTTTGGCTGGGAATTCTATCGATGATCTTGGATTCAATGCGCTCAATGGCGAACAAACAAAGGCATTTCATCGAGGTCATGAGTTGGAAGCGGTCTTCACTACTTATTAGCTTGATAAGGGATTGGTAAAGAGGGTCCTCATCCCATAGGTCCCAAAAGGGGCAAGTCTGCTCAACGATTTCCAAAAAGTAGTTCTTGAGCTCAATAAATCTATCCTGGCGGGGAAGGTTGAGAATGATGGTGGCGCAGTCTCTCAACAGTGGCTCTTCAGAAAACCAGCGGGCGTTTTCTTCGAGCAGGCACATGTTTCGAATGATAAGGGCAGCCTGATTGACGCGCTGAAGCCTGACGCGAAACGATTCATCCTCAATGTTGGTGTCATCCAGACAGACTGGCATGGCTTGAATGCGCTGTAAAAGATTGGGAGTGCCAGTTAAGGCGAAGATAACATTAGGTTTCGAGATGGGAACATCATTTGGGTGATCGAGCTCGATGGCCCATTCTTTTCCATAAACGAGAAGAGAAACTTTCAAAACTTGCTTAACGAGAGACTCAGCCAACATATTAAAGTCGCTGAACTTGAGCTTGTCTCCTCGTTCGTCAGAGATAACAATGAGATGATGAAGGGCAAAATCGACTTCTTTGTCAATATCGGATCGGATGCCCATCCAGCAGAATCGGTAAATGTTTGGAACTGATGTTTGACGGTCAGAATCATGCCAAAAGCAGGTAGGGTAGAAAAAATAGCTTAAATCCAAATATTGAAGCATTTACGCGTGGTACTACGTACCTTGGTCCGGAAGAGCGAGAGTCATGAGAGGGTCGATATCAGGAGGGAGGGGTAAACGCTGAGAAGATGTAGCAAAGACACCACGCCGATTGCTCGGGGTATCATGTTCGATAACGTCCATATTGGCGTAAGAGAGAGAGAAGAGGTTGACTGTTGGATGAGGTGAGGGAGAAGATTTGTCGAGAAGAAGTAGAGGGATTCGGGAATGGGACTAGGAGTAAGGGAACTCGACTAGTCCGCGCGTTTGCGCTTCCCCGTTGACTTGGGGCGAGGCAACTTCGGTAGCGCGGCGTTGGCTGGACGTTCTTCGCGTTAGTGTTCTTGCAGACAAAGAAGTAGAGGACAAGGACGTGGAACATACCAGCCTTGGCCTGAGATATACTAGGGATCTCAGACGCAGGAGTCAACGACAGCGCCAATTCGAAGGTCCTATTAAAAAAAAAAAGTAATCAGTTCAAGTTCTTCAACGTAAAAGTTGCACATATATCAAAGGGCCGGAGAGTAACTCACAGTAACCGCTCCTCGTACAGCGTCTTGACCTGGTACGAGAGGGTTCCAGCCAAGCCAGGAGACACACCCACGATCTCTGCGATCTCCCACCAATTCCTCTTATCCCTGGAGGCTGCGTCAAAGCCTCCTCTCGCCGTCACCTCGACGAACAGAGCGTATACGTTGACCTTCTTGCTTCCGGCCGGCCAACGTGTCCCTGGACGAGCTTCCCACGGTTCGCTCTCGCTGCTGCAGAAACACAGGCCGGTTAGCTATGACGGATGTTCTCTTCACTGAGCTTGCTTCAAGATCTTCCGACTTACCCTTGCTCGCTGTAGTGGTGCCTCAAACACACCCAGAACCGCTCCTGATCCTCGCAGACAAGTTCAACTGCAGTCTTTCCTGGCTCCATCATGAAGATTCACGTGATCAGAACAAGCTTGCAGTGAGAAATGTGCACGTGATCTCAAGGCAGAAAGTAGGTGGTTTGATCACAAGAAGGTCTGAGCGTGTGCACGTGATGAAAAAATAAGGAAGAGAACCGATGGAGCTAGCTGTTTCTGGACTAGCTCGGCCCTAACCCTAACTGACTAATCGTTAAAGGGTCAGGTGATCCTCTCCCCCTTTCCAGAAGGTCTCGCCCAAGGGGGAAGCTCGCCTTGTTGCTTCTTGATCTTCCAACTTCTTCTTCTTCAGCTTCTTCGAGGGCAGACGAGGTTTTATATAGACAGTGAGGGAGAAGAACTAGCAGTCTGCTCAGTCGTCCCAGTGAAAGAAGATGGCCGTCACTTCTTGCTCACTGCAGTGACATGCCGGATGCAGCCAACTCTAGGTCTTTGTTGGAGGATGTGAATGCCCTCTTTATATGGCCTATAGCAGAACAGTTGATCCAATATTCTATACCAAGAAGACAACGGCTTCAGTGACAGAATCAAACAGAACCAACTAGTGAGCGTCACTACAGCAGCTAATCTTAGGTTCCGTACCAAAAGAGACAATGGCTGGTGTGACGGAATCAAACGGAATCAATCTTTGAGCGTCACTGAAGCAGACTATCTCACAGTCTAGATCAAAAAGACAGTGACTAAATAATGGAATCAATTACTGAACGTCACTGTGAGAGCCTTCCACACGAGCCGGACTCTAAAAACTGAGTTGGAACAAAGCTTCTTGCTATGGTGATTCACCAAGGACACTGAATATACAAATGGGAGCTCCTTTATTGCTTTTATACCCTTTACCAGACAAGAGATGATGCTATGATGGAACATCCATTGAATCTAGTATTCTGCTTGGTAGAATTCCATAAAGATAGTACTGAGTCAGGAAAATACCATCATGATTGCAGAATCAACCATATAAAAATCATTATATACCCATATAAAGAAATATGCGGTCATTACATCAAATCCTTCACCTCCTTCTTAGGCTCAATGAATCTCTTCAACTTGGGCCTAGCATGTGTTCTTTGTTCAAACGCGTACGCCAATCCGATCAGTTTCTCCTCGCTCCAGAAGTCTCCCATGAAACTAAGGCCAATAGGTATTCCGGGTCCGGAGGTAACAAGCTCTCTATCGTGGTTCACCTTGGTTCCATTTGGAAAAACTCCAAGTGGGACAGTGACGATAGGAGACCCGACAAGGGCAGGAATATAGGGTGAGAGATCAGTAGGCAGAACGGCAGCGTCCAGGTTGTGACGTTTCAAGGCGCCGAGAATACCTCCCTCATCGCCGAATTTCAAATTCTTCTGATACATAGGCCAAAAGCGAGGATCTGTGTTTTTCACTCCCTTCTGGAGGGCAATATCCCATCTTCCGGTGTTGCGGCTAGGGTATTCTTCCAGGCGATGATGCTGAGTGAACCTTCGGACACTTTCAAGATCGGTGATTTTGTTAGGGTTAACCGTGAGCTGCTTAAAGAATGCAGGCAGGTTGCTCAGCGAGTCCGCATAGAGGATGTCATCAGGGATAGGGCTTCGAGCAAACTCTGCAAAGGCAGTGAAGTCCGTATTCTCAACAATGATAGCACCGGCCTGCTTCATGACTGTCAATGCCTTGTTGAATTGGTCTACGACAGTCCTCTCCGCTCCGAAGATTTTGATGACATTGCGTGGGACTCCGATTCTCTTTCCTTTGAGGGCATTGAGGTTACAAGCCTTGACGTAGTTGGGAATGTTATCGAATGGGATGGCGGATGTATAGTTGTCGTTGGGATCCTTGCCAGCAATGACCTGGAGCAGGTAGGCAGCATCCTTGACTGACCTGGCCATGGGACCAACAGTGTCCTGACGCTCACTGATGGGGACAACAAAACGGCGCGAAGTCAGGCCAACCGTGGGCTTAATACCAACGATGTTACTCTTATCACTGGGACCAACAATACTGCCACTTGTCTATTTATCATATTAGGCCAAAGATCAATGGTCATTGCATGTGAAATCCACTTACTTCAGTACCCAAGGTTGCAAAGGCCAATCCAAGGTCTGAAGCGACACCGCTCCCACTGGAGCTTCCGCTGGGATCTTGGTTCTTATAATATGCAGCCGTTACCTGGCCACCATATGCACTCCATCCATTGGTAGAGTTGGTTGATCGGAAGTTTGCCCACTGCGAAGCACCTGACTTACCCATGATGACCAGGCCAGCTTTTCTCAGCTTCGAAGCCACAGTGGCATCACCAGATGTTCGGGCACCGAACAGAGCATAAGACCCCGCTACACGTTCTAAATTAGCTTGGGTTCACAAAGTAATTGGGAGTTAGAGCTCTACTAACCGGTAGAGCTCATCTTGTCGTCCGTGAAAATATTGTTCTTGATAACAATCGGTAGGCCGTGGAGAGGACTAGTCACAAGGGTTAGTCCTAGTTATCAACTAGCAAGAAACGATACTAGCTCACCCCCGAACCTTGCCCTTCTTTCTCTCATCATCCATCTGCTGGGCGATGGCAAGTGCATCCGGGTTAATCTCTGTGACAGCTCGAACGGTAGAGTTGACCTCTGCGATTCTCGCAACATATGTCTTTAAGCAGATCACTGTTAGCGAGATGACTATTAGATAAAAGCTTGCGCGGGAATACACACGTTAACCAGGTCAACGCTGGTGAAGCATCCTTTGGTCAACCCATCCTGAAGCTGCTCGGCAGAAGCATCAATAAGTCGAGGGATCTCACACCCTTGAGGATCTATCAACCAGCTAATAAGCATATGTCCATCTATAGGCCCGTTGCATTGATCCAATATATAATTGGTATGACCAGCGAAAATGGGAAGATCACTTAGCTTACAGGCTGATGTGATTGAAATATAGACAGCACCAAGCTGCAGGATGGCGGTAATGGGGCCCTTCATGGTGGTTGATGGCTCTGCAACCTGAAGCCAGAAAAACCAGACTTCGACCTCTACTTGGATAATCTTCGCTTCAATCCGACGCCAGGCACTACTCTATTTAAATAATTGGAGAAAGCAAGATATAGGAGGTTCAGAGGGCACCTGGGCTCTCCTCCCTTGACCAAACCCCCCATATTTTACGTCTTAGCAGTGTGGACACAACATCTAATATTTTCGACCAGGGAGGGCATTGAAGCCAGAACCTTTCGTATGCATAGCACGGGGTGTGAAAAGATGACCTGCCATTGCTACGTGGATCAAGGGCGTGGTTTGCTTTAACTAGCTTCCTATTCAAGTTATCCCCGATAATTCCCCAAGCCTGTGGGGCAGGCTAAAGTCGCTCCCGAAGAATCCGTGGCGGCGAGAGGAAGAGCTAGAGTATGGGGGCTGGGTATAGCTGGCTGCTAGGACGCTGGGCGCCTGGCTGGCGAGAGAGAGCCTGCTGTCAGGGACGGCGTATACGCGAGCTTGCAGTTAGTCTAAATGCATTTTAGGTAGGTAGTATCAACATCATCTCGGTAAGAGCGTGGATCACTGATCCTTAAAATACATAGATTATACTATTAAATCCTTGTCTAGCGGCACGGAGTATTATCTCAGGGGTTGGGAAACTTCTCGGTGTTTATACGGGTTTCAGCCAGCAAACCGCCAGGCCATTAACCCCAGACTTGGGGGGACAGCTTGCTTATATGTGTATGGTAGGAGGATTGCTAGTTACATATGTACTCTCCTAATAGACCTCTTGATTCATCCTCGTGTATAAAATAGATCAAGTTAACGGGGCAAGTTGCATATAAAATAAGAACGTAGACATGAAATTCACAAAAATATGTACAGGGCCAAATTTTAAATCAAATAATAGTGCAGGAATGAAGTTTTAATCACGACTGCCACTACGTTGGACATAAAGAAACCAGGGCAGTGGTGAGATATAAATGTACCGAAATATGTAGCAACCCTAGTCGCCAAGCTTACCGAAGGGCTCTAGACATTCACCCGTAGTCCATACAGAAACATGCATACATGCATGCTGGAGATAAGGGGATGAGAGCCATTATAGGAGCCACAGCCAGCAGCGTGGAGAAATGGCTTTGTCGGGACAGAGTAAAAAAATCGCATCAGCTAATGGTAGTAAGCGATAATCGTGTATGCAAAGTGTTACTATAGCGTGCTCCCCATACTTCGTGTTAGATCGAGATCGGCACCTGGAACATATCAAGAAGGATACAAGGAAGCCCGGATGTTATACTTGGCCAATTAAGGGTATTCAAATCGGATGCGGAACAGGGATTATGGGGTCACCGAATGAAATTATGCTGTCTTCTTCCAGGCCGTGTTCAGTCCAATTAAACTGCTCACTGTTCCAGCAATACCAAGAACGCCATCATCAAGGGTAACGTAGCCAAGGCTCGATAGGGGGAGGGTAAGATCGCATAGATCGGAGATAAGTTGGGTTGAGACAGTCGCACGCTCCCTAATATTTGTGTTAGTACCCAGTTCCACGCGTTGGACTAGAGGATATAAGCGCAAAAAACATACCTTTGGATCTTCTTTCCTTCCACAGCCCCTTCACCATCCTTCTTGTTGATATTCTTCTCCATCTCACTTAGTCTCCACATGGAATAAATGCCAGCGATAGCACTGCACAAGAGCCCCGTCAACCATGCTTTCTGAGCATGGGTTTGCAGTTTCTTGACAGATGCAAGTTTGCGTATACCCGCCGCATCAAGATACGTCACCATATCAAGCGAGAGATAAACGCCATATCCCAACTGTCTTCCTACAGCAAGATATTTGAGCACGGGGTCCGACCCAGGTGCACCAGCGACACCCGGCTTGGAGTCAAGGGCAATAGCAGCAGCCTTGAAATGTTCTATGTTCTTGCCGACACGAAGCAACTTGCGAGTCAGGCCAAATTGCTTTTTCATAGCCTCAAATGGGTTTATGGTTGACTGAGGTCGGTTTGTACGAAGGAAATACCACGCAAGGAAACGGGAGAAGTACTGCAGTGTTCGTAGGACCTTATCACGGCCGACTAGATGTCAAACGGTTAGATGATTATTCTGTATAAAAACCCATTCAACACCATAGACGTAAACGTAGATACGTACCCGTAGTAGCGATGAATCTCGAATAATGAGCCACCGTGGGGTGGTAGGCGAGTGCGTCCGCAACCATGTTTACGGTGTATCGAGTGTTCTATGTTGTGATTCCAGGTCGAAAAAGAGCGTAACTCCGGTATATTCGCAGTGACAACGGACGGGATAGAATGCAGATAGTTGATCTCCTGTGTTAATATAAGGATCTATCGGCTTTGAAGTAGTTCTTGGGGTTTTGGTTTCATCAAGAACGATTTCAACGAGCTTGAGATAAAAAAGGCCGAGGAAAGCTGAACTTCTTGTTGCACGTGATATTTACCTCGGCATTAGAAGGAAAGTCAACATTTTATTATGTACGAACTATTTAACTTATTGGAGATATTATTTTTACTACGCAGGCGTCGATGGATGGCGTTCTTAAGGCCTGTCAGCTACTAAGTGAGTAACCTGGTAACGATATCTCGTGTCGGTAAGTAATCAGTTCTTCTCTGAGTCGTGGCTCACCGAGGCATCCGTCTGAACTCCCATGGTGCTAGTGTCATATCCATTCTCCTGAAGATACTGTCTGAATCGCGTATCCTCGTATGTTATGGTGTCCTGTACATGCTGTTAGACCATCCAGGCCGCGACTATGCAATATACATCGCGGAAGAGAGCGACATACCTGACCAATATGCGGCAATAGGAAAACGGCTAAGGCTGCGCTGAACATACAGAGTGCACTGGACACGAAGAAAGGATCCTGCCCAGCGCGTACCGGGTTTGGTGCATTATCCTTGATGATGGGGAAGACGTAGGTTCCTACAAAGGCTCCTATTTTGCCCATTGCTGCTGCTATACCATAGTATTGGCCTCTGATAGCAGTTGCACTGGTCTTGGATGCGACAAGTCCGATATTATCACCTGGCCCAAGTTCACCCAGGGATAAAAATATCCTGATCGAAGTGTTAGCCTCAAGGTGACAAGGTTATCATAATACTATCAACGTACCCATATACAACGACGAAGGCGGCAACATTTTGTGGGGTTGCAAGATACTTATAGCAGCCGGCCATAATGAAACCCAAGATGCCCTGGAGGCCGACTCCAAGAGCAAGGGCATATCTCGGTCCGATCCAGTCACTTACCCAGGCTCCCGCGAATGAACCGGGAATGTAGAAAAGGTTGAGCACGGTGTTCCATCCAAAGGTCTTCCAGAGGGGGGCAGATGAACCCAGGACGATTTTAAGCCAGACCGAGGAGTAGATTCCGAAAGAATAAGCGGAGAAATCATATATGAACCAAATGAGGGAGACAATCGACTACATATATGTAAGTACGGTATAAAGCTGAAGTTGAGCGTGAGATATACACTTACAAGTCGTTTCCAGTAGAATCTATAAAGAGGTTAGCAGATATTGAACATGAACGGGAGCGGCAAAACATACTTAATAATAAGCAAGACAGGGTATTTGTGCATACGTTCCCTGTTGAACTCCTCGGGTTCCTTCAGCTTCAGCCGCAGCCAGAGGAGAGTCAGCGGCGGAATCACTCCCAATCCCAACATAACTCTCCATGCAGCCCGCAGATGGTTCTCGGTGAAGATTAAGACCAAAACCATGGGCACCAGCGCAGACAAGACAAATCCAAAATCAATCTGGAAATTCGTAAACATGATGAACCACCGATTGCGATGGCCGTGTTTTAGCTCTCCTGTGCTTTCGGCTGCTGCAACACTGCCGGCGGGATACTCTCCACCTATACCGATTCCGAGGAAGAAACGGTAAGCGGTCAAGGCAGCAAAGAGGCCGGCTTCGCTGCCTCCTGCACCATAGGAGCCGGCCGAAAGTGCAGCAAAGAGAATTAGGATAAGAGTCGAAGCCATCAACGACCATTTACGGGAATAGTGGTCACTTATATAGCCGAATAAGAGTTGACCAACAACAGTACCGGCAAAAGCAATGGAAGGAACGTTTTTGACAGCAGAAGAATTATTGTATGTGTCTGGGTAGAGTGTAGAGAGAATCGTATTGACGGACCCAATAACCTGAATGTCTAATTAATCCGCGATCATGCAGTTGTTTGGGAGAGGTAGACTTACGTTGTTCAGGTAGCCATCTGAGAAAAGACCAGCACCACAAGCTATCGTCGGCCAGCTTCGTTCCCATCTTGACTTTTCAGGATTCTCTAATCCATGTTTTTGCGCTTCGCTACCTTTTGCCTCGTTGGTAACCGAATCGACCGACGGAGCATTCTTTGAAATGACTGCCAGATCTGCCATTTACACAGTAGCTGTATTTAGTACCTACAGTACTTGTCCTTGTTTTGATCTCCTCTATGAAATGAATTTCAGCGGCGATAATTATATAAGGATGTTTTTGGATAGGTAAAGATGGGGTGAAAAAAAAAAAATTCAAGATTGGGAAGACTGGCTGCCTATGAAGCTTTCTATATAACCCCGGTAAAGCAACGGACAAATAACGTCAACAGAATGGGCCTCAGCATGAGCTCTGAATAGAAGCTATCATTGGCTGCTCCAGTCTTTAACCGGCATATTGGGCTTCACTCTAGCTCCCCGTTCCCGTCCCAGGCCCTCTGCTCATCCAGTGTAAGCGCAAGAAGAGCCAGGTGTAACCCTTTGCTGCCCCTCCATATAAAGGCGGGCGAGCGGATCCTGGTACTCTAAAGTGGCTATGAGTGGATCGTCGGCGCAGTCCGAAGGGCTAAAAAGCGCCACGGGACGAGCTCAAAAAGGAATAGAAGTGCAACTTGCGTTCCATCTATTTGGGGACATAGTCATTCTCGCAAACGAGCAGAAGCATGAAGGCTTGTGTGTGCATATCTTTCTGAGGATTCATGACGTTACCGAGGTGCTGTTGAGGTTTGCTATCCATGCCAACGGCGACTCCGTCGCAGCCCATAAGCGAGGAGGAACCTTCCTTGGCCACATTTCGGTGTCATGGAACAGGCCCAGTGATAAAAGGTTAACCCGTTCTTTGGAAAAAATACCATATAAGCACACTTATATCGATCTCTTTAACAGTTTAACGCATCGTACACTCGCCGTCCTGCGCCGGATAACGATGCTCCAGGCATGAATCATCGCATGTCGTTGCTTGAAGGTCTTTCAGGCCACGCGAGACGCCAAGGAGCGTCAAGGCTTAACCTTGTCAAGCTTCATGGCGCCAAGCCTCAATGCTTCTTCTTACAGTAACATAGCACATGGCACAGCCACAACATATAACAGATGGTATTATGATAAAAAATGGGGATAGAGCTACTATCGAGCTCAAGATGACTGGATCCTTAGGTGTATAATAAAATAGACCCTCGAATAACAAGTGGAATGGCGACTCTTGATATATTCAAAGTACTTATACTCTCAAGTGTAGATATCGTGCACGGTACAAAATGTAATTCCCTAGAGACTTTTATAGAGGTATACTAGTATAATCACCATTGTGTCAACAACCCATTCAAATCCGCTCGTCCAGTACTGGTTCTTCAGGGAGCTAGTATGCTGACCACTTACGTGGCGGCTGGGTCGGGGTCCGAATTATCCCAAGTTGGTAGTCTATATCTAGACAACTTGGAGAATGTTGTAATTAGACACCGTTATTCCATTATCCCTCCAACTCAAGACTGGATTTAGAGCTACTGGAACGATATTGGCTTATTTTGAATTTTTTTTTTATATTTTTTTTCTAACGGGTATATTCTATTGTTGAATTAATTCTTTCCATCACCTTGCGCTCATTAACTCGACTCACTCACCCATAGAAATCAAAATCAGACAAGATAAGCACAGTAAGCAAGAGACACAAATTATAGGGATGGATGGGGCATTCTCTCAATCAAGAGAGATAGCGTAATCGTTTGCGATTAGCCAAAAACACAAAGAGATAAAACGGGAATAGTAAGCGCTGAGGATCATATGCAATTCTGACGGTAGGAAACAGTCAACCAATCTTAGGAGGTATGATTTCAATGAGGGCGGGTCATGGGACATTTTTCATGTCGGTGAAGTTTTGTCAGGTAAGGGTGTGACAAGCATTCCGTTTAGCTGGTAGGGGCATTGCCGTTGAGAACCTTCTCTGGCTCAGTAACGGCAGCTTTGACCTGCTCAACAACATTCTCAACGGCGCCAACAGCAGGCTTGATAGCCTCCTCAACCTTGGCGACAGTGGTAGTAGGACCGGCGGCAATGACCTCGGGGGTGGCCTCATCGGCATATTTCTTAAAGTTGTCATTGAAGAGAACACCGAGCTTGGTCACCTCCTCCTTAAAGTCGGCGGAACCAGTCCAGGAAGTCTTAGGGTTAAGAAGCTCAGAAGGAACGCCAGGGCAGGAAGTTGGAATATGGAGGTTAAAGGTGTCGTATACCTCATACTCAGCCTTGGCGAGCTCACCAGAGTGGATGGCGTCAAGGATGGCACGGGTATATTTGAGTGGGCAACGCTTGCCGCCGGTGGTGGCACCAGCACCGACCCAGCCGGTGTTGAGGAGCCAGGCATTGGCGGAGTGCTCCTTGATCTTGTCAGCGAGCATGCGGGCATAACGCATTGGGTGGAGGGCAAGGAAGGGCTGAGCGAAGCAAGAAGAGAAGGTGGCCTGTGGCTCGGTGACACCATCTTCTGTACCAGCCATCTTGGAGGTGTAACCAGAGATGAAATGGAACATGGTCTGTTCAGTGGTGAGCTTGGAGATTGGTGGGAGGACACCACGAGCATCACAGGTGAGGAGGATGATATTTTTAGGGTGGCCATCAGAGACACATGGGATCTTGGCGTTGTCAATGTACTCAATTGGATAAGCACAGCGGGTGTTTTCGGTGAGGGTGGAGTCATCGTAGTCGACGGTACGGGTCTCTGGGTTAAAGACGACGTTCTCGAGAACTGAGCCGAAGCGGATGGCGTTGAAAATATCCGGCTCCTTCTCGGCAGAGAGGCCGATACACTTGGCATAGCAGCCACCCTCAATGTTGAAGACACCGGTGTCAGTCCAGCAGTGCTCATCATCGCCGATGAGGGCACGCTTGGGGTCAGCGGATAGAGTGGTCTTTCCGGTTCCAGACAAACCGAAGAAAACGGTAACATCACCGTCCTTACCCTGGTTGGCGGAGGAGTGAAGGGTAAGAACGTTGTGCTTGACTGGCATCTCGTAGAAGAGAACAGTGAAGACACCCTTCTTCATCTCACCGGCATACTCAGTTCCAAGGATGACCATCTCCTTCTCGGCGAAGTTGATAGCGACGGATGTGGCACTGGTCATTCCCTCGGTCCATCTGTTGGCTGGGAAAGAACCGGCGTTGTAGATAACGTAGTCGGGGTGGAAGTGCTCGAGTTCGGCCCGAGATGGTCGGATAAGCATGTTGCGCATGAAAAGAGCATGGTAGGCACGGGCGCAGACAACACGAACATTGATGCGGTAGCGCTCGTCCCAGCCGGCGAAACCATCGACGACGTAGATACGGTTGCGGGTGTTGAGGTAGTCAACAGCACGCTCGCGGTTAATTCTCCATACCTGTTCAAGCTTTTAGTCAGCCTTATGTCGCCAAGAAAAACAAGCGCCAAGATATCCGCTGGAGAGTTTGCCAAGTATGCGGCGTCACGTTACCCCGGAAGTGCGGGGCGAGTGATATCATCGGGCCGGGAGAGGCGAAGGAAGGGGAGAGAAAACGAACCTCAGGGCTCATGGGCTTGTTAACAGGACCCCACCAGATGTCCTTTGAAGACGATTCTTCCTTGACAATACGCTTATCTAGAGGAGAGCGGCCGGTTTTGGCACCAGAGTAGGCTGTGAGGGCACCGCTGCAGGTGATGGCGGTTCCGGTCTCGTAGACAAGGGCATCTTCGTAGAGGGAGGCAACAGAAGGGTTGGCAATCTATGGCAGTCAGTATAGGAAGGTAATTGGTTCAGTGTGGCAATGTCGCTTACAATAGCAACTCTGTCGTAGTCGATGTGGGCGGTCTCGTGGAGTTCCTCCTCGATTTCAGTGTGTGGATGGGACGGCCTGGAGTTGTCAATCAGTCATGGTCCTTGCGGTTGTTTATGGTTTTGTGAGGGCAACACAACGTCTCCAGGGCAAATATAGCTTAATTGTCCGGAAGAGAAGGGGAGAGGGAGACAGTGCAGGTTGTGATGGGAGGGCAATGGGGGAACGTACTGGACACCAGTTGGGTGCAGGCTCGTCCTGTTAACCGACGGCATGACCATTTTGAGAGAGGTAGAGTGGTAGTTGGAGTGATCTTGCTTCAAGGCCTGCTGCTTATAGAAGTCTGACTGCTGAACTTGAGCTTGGGTAGAAGAAGAAGAGCTGGAGAGGCGGGCATGAGAGGGTATATGTATCTGATCACGACGAGCGGAAGGGAGGGCGGTGGAGGTGGGCGGCATGGTTGCTTATTATATCTAACGGCACAGCAGCAGTTTAATTTTTCGTTTTCGTGGAGCGTAGGCGTAATATCGTTGTCAGGGGTTTGTTAGATCGTGGGTTGTTGCTCCGGTAAAGCGGTAGTTTGCTCTCTCGTTTTCCCTTTTTGGTGGAGTTTGCAAAAAACAAAAACATCAAAAAACAAGGGAATAAAAAAAGTCAGCCAAGGCACGGGATTTTTTCGTGAGGCCTGGGCCACCTGCCACCCGGGTTCTTCCGGCCCGGTGGCGCTGCGGGCGACGGCGCCTCCGACATCCTCCGATCTCCGTGATTCGACGAAGATGGAGATGGGGGAAAAAAGGGGCGGCGAAGGAACGACGAACTACTCAGCGATGGGCGAATAATACGGAACCACGAGCTGCGTGATGGACGAGGACGATCGACTACAGAACAGATCAAGGCTGACAGGCTCATGGTGGTGTTTTCCACGATAATCACGCAGGGACATCAATTGCTCTCCTAGTCGCCTTGGCCAGCCACTCGCCTGTCCGCAAAATACAGCCACAAACATTACTCCATATACGGAACAACAGGCATCGGATTTCTCGACCTCAACAAGGCTATTTTTATTTTCACTTTGACTCTCGGTTTCACTTACTCAATGGTAACTTTACTCAAATTGACAGGCCAGGAAAATCTCTGCAGACCATGTTGGATGTGGAAGGTAGCTCAGCGTCAGAGAAAAAACAGGGCCCGGTACGGAGCACTCAAAACAACAGCAAATATGAGCAGGCCCTGCTGCTCACAAGGACGAAGTTTGTTGCCCCTGTACGGAGGCATCAGGAGCTACCAACTTGCGACGCCACAGTGCTTACACGCAGCACTATCAGACAGAGAGACTTACATCATCGGTTTTATGAGGGATAACCGCCAGGTTGACTCTTCTGTGGCTTGAGGGACGATTTGATGGTGGCGATTCTCGTGGGCTGGCAATCCCCGTGATCCCTCAGGTACGCCTTTTCTGGCCAGGCCAGTCTTGCAGAAGCCGTGATTTTGCAAAAACATGTCGCTCGAATGTCTCTCATTCCGCGTCACGTTGCGCCTGAAGTTTTCTAGCTCCCGCTCAGCTTTTGCTAGCTCCATCGCGCCCAAGGTCTAAACCCACGCTTCTGAGGTATGTTCGGCACCTGTCCGAAGGATCGTTGGCTCATCCAACTTCCCCGCCAGACCCAGCCCATGCATGAACAGGGATAGAAAAATTTTCAATTCCTTTCCTTTCCTCCCCTCTTCAGGTTTTTTTCGGACAACAAATGACGTCTCGCTGCTTTCCAACAAGCGGCGTCAGGTAGGCTCGGGAAACAGGTAGGATGTTGTTTATCCAATTGGGCTCCAAATATGAAACGAAAATGAGACCCCTTGCATCGCTTTCCCGTCTTCCTCCACAGCTCCGTCGTGTCGGGCAGTCATGCTCCGTCTAGACAATGGTCTTTCGCATTCTTTCTTTTTCTCTGATTTTCGTCGGATTATCTTCATGGAAGAAGAATGCATGAACACTGCAAAAAGGAACTCGTTTTACATGCATGGGAGTAGAAGCTCCTGGGAGCAAGAAAATTTCATTTCAAAACAGGGGAGATACATATTACACTGTACGATATGAACAACACACATTGGAGTACTCCGTGTAGGCATCATACATCCATCACACACCCAGCCCATCAGTTATCCAATCCCCCCTTTGTCACTCCTTCTCGTTGAACCCGTCGATCGTTGCTAGGGGATTAGGTTGTTACACCACGACTTACGTACCTAACTGTGTGCCAGACTTTTTTCTTTTCGGTTTGTTACTAGTCAGGTTCAGGTTCAGCACCAGCGTTCATAGTAGATCGTTCAGTGGCCGGCTGACGGTCAGCCCGATGCGGGAAACGCGCTTGCGACGCATTTCCTAAAATAATCGTTAGTGAGACACATCGGCGAACTGGCTGCGCCATCCTTCGTCCTACAGCTGTAACTCTGTGCGACATGCAAATCTCATGCTGAAGGAATGGTGCTGATAGAGAGGACAGGGAGGGCTATGGGGGTATCTGGTGCATACCCAGATATAGAACTCCGTAGAGGGGGTACATATCTGCCTATCTGCTATCTACTTATCTACGATGTTATGATCCGTTGCAAGGGTTCTCCTCATCGGTGGCCATACCCTACTAGTCCTAGTCCTGCCGCTGGATGTGCAGCGGCTACTTATCAGTTACGGGTTGTTGCAGCGGCTAGCTATCAGCACCCTAATATAAGCTTCTGACTACGCAGTATTATGTATACATAATACTTCTGTCAGGACAGCAGAAAACATCGCTGAGACGGATCAGGCGCATGGAGATTGAACAAGCTATTGCCTAGACGCTTAGAAGAGCTTCGAGTTGCTTGTTTGGTCTATCAATGCCTGTAACGGATTATCCAAGGTCGTGCAGCGGCTGGGGATCTTCACATCTGTTGATCCCTGGCCCTGCTATTCGACGATAATGCCTCATAGTATTTGGCTGATGACCCTGATCAGCTAGTTAAGTTAGCTGTCGTCCCATCTATGCATCTGAACTCCTGCGTCTTCCCTCCCCCAGCTTGAGTTGATCCAATTATCCCTCAGGCAGATACATTTCCAATTGGTGACCAGGGGTCCAGCCTTGATTCTACACCGGTTGATCATCGAGGCATACGTACCCGTAACGTCTCAGTCTGCGTCAAGCCTACGTCTCCTTTCATTTTGTTCCTCTTTACACTGTATTATGCTGTATAGATCCTACACCGTATACGATGTGCTATACCACTGCCGGCGTTTCACATGCCTGAAGATCGACGACTCGCGTAACGCGCTTACTGACCCCGTTTTTACTCCCATCTTTTCTCTGGCTCGACTTGCCTTTCCTCCCGTTCTTCCGTTCGCCATCGCCAGCTTTCGCTCGATCTATGAAGTTCTACGATTTGTTATTTTGATGCCTGAGTTTTGCCGGCTAACTCCGGATATTTATCGTTGCTTACGTATTCTCCGCTTCCCCGGCGCGCCCCGAGGAGAACAAGCGGGACCTAACGCCGGTTTGTTCCGACGGCGGGAACTTACCTACTTAGGAAACTGGGCATAAGTAGATGTAGTTTATATGAAGTGACGGAGATGGCTGGCATAGTAACAGTAGCAGGGATGGTATATTCGATGAAATCTAGATCAGATTTTTTTATTTTCTGTATGGGAATCATGAAAAATGCAATTCTATAACCCAAGACCAGCTTATAGTCAATTGGATATGGGGAGATAAAATTCACATCTCCCATCTATTTAGTAACCCCGGCCGCCATTTTATTCAGGTATTTAGTCTCTAAATTCGTTCATGAAGTCACTGTGGAACTTCACGATGCGGTCTACCCACTCGGTTCCGGGAGCCAGGAAGGTCGTGCGGAAGTGCAGAGTGCCTTCTTTCTGTCCAAAGCCTGAGCCGGGAACGACGCATACACCGGTGGCATCGAGGAGGCGGAGACAGTAGAACTCATCGGCCTTGCGGCCCGCCTTGGTAGCTGCCGCAACAGCCTTGGCCGGGAGGTGGATTGTTGGGAAAAGGTACATAGCTCCCTATAACAACAGTTGTTAGGATTGGTGAAAGATGGCGGTGGGGGAAAGGAAAGAAGCTGCCATACCTGAGGCTCCTGGCACTCGACTCCTTCCATCTTCTTGAAGGCCTCGTAGAGGGCAAATGCACGTTGCCTCAATCCCTCGGCAATATCGTTGTACTCCTTCCGATACAGCTCGTAGCTCTCCTCACCTTCGACGGGTGGGTGCACCATGCATTCGAGTAGACACTGGCCTATCACAGGTGGGCAAAGCATGATGCTCACAAACTTGTAGATCTGCTCGACAACTTCAGGTTTGAAACCGACAAGTTCAAAGTATCCTCCTCGGTGTCCACACTCGCCCACCATTCCCTTTGAGACCGAATGGAGTGATACAAGCTCAACGCCGTCATACTTGTTGGGGAACTCGGCCTGTAGCTCACGCAGACGCTTCTTGAATGAAGTGAATTCACCCTTGAATACGTTGGTTTGGTACACCTCGTCAGCAATGATGACTAGCTGCTTCTCAGCCGCAATATCGATGACATCCTTGATGGCTGTGGGGTTGAGGCTGGCGCCAGTGGGGTTGCCCGGGTTGATAATCACAATGGCACGAATGTCAGTTCCGGCATTCTGGCCCTTGGCGAGCGCAGTCTTGATCTCCTCAACGTCCGTGGCCCAGGACTGAGATTCATTGAGGTAGTATGGCACACACGTAGCGTCAAGCAGTGAGAGAGTTGCGGTGTAGAGCGGATACTGGGGGATAGGCACGAGCACACCAGTCTTCTTGCCGGCACAGATGACATTGAGGATGGTGTTGACTCCCGATGATGCACCGGCGGTCAGGTATACGTCTGCCTGGTTAGCTGGGAACCCATCTCGACGGGCAATGAAGTCTGCGACGCTCTGTCTGATGCCGGGCGCTCCTAGACTCTGGCTGTATGCGCCTACACTCTGGACATCCGCCAGCAGCGTCTTAGCCCGTGCGATGACATCGGATTTATATCCAAAGGAAGACTTGAGGGCCTCTTCGTTCTCGAGAAGAGGGGGGTACTCCAGCAGACTCAGTACCTGGCGGGAGAAAGTGATGGGCTTCTGCTCGAGCTGCTGGGGGTTGCCGATGTTGGCGAAGATGACTCTGTCGAAGGGTAGCTTCTCGCCTCTTGCAAGGGCTAGTCGGTACTGCTCTGCCTTGACGGCCAGCTCTCCACGGACGGCATACTGGGCGTTGATAACGTTCGGGTTGATGTTGCCCCGGTTCATACGGGGAGACGGTAGAGAGCCATGGTAGAAGAGTGCCGACGAGAGATGGCGGCTGCTGCTAGATGTTATGTGTTAGTACGGCCTGCGTATGGTCTATAATAACGAGAGAGGGACTGTCTTGTAGGGGCAAAGGGTGGTCAGCCCACCATCTTATATACACACTGCCTCGTCCTATCCTGACTTTTGCTTTTTCATGTGGTGGGGAAGAAGATGCCAGCAGCCAGTGAAGAGTTGATACTCTCATCTCATTCTTCTTCTGCTTTCTTTTATTCTTCCGCAACCACAGGGCGCTGACTGGACTTACATGCATTCTGAGTCCGAGGCGACGTAGGCTTCGCTGCCAGATGGCCGGGGAAGCGAGGGGAGCGTCCGTAGCAGCGAGCGAAAAAGCAAGTATTATGGCAAGTTGACGATGCGGTGTTGATTCTCGGCAGAGCCTGACGGAGGGACATAGTTGGATTAGCAGTCGAGATATCTGGCGCGACAGAGGGATGAAGGGCAGAAGACGGCCTAGGACATTGTTTTCTTTTTAGTATCTCTTCCTGTTTGTTATGTTCGTTCAATTCGAGCGGCCTTTTTTTTGGTTGAAGTTGATAGTTTGACTTGGCGGGTTGAGAAAGAAGATATGAAACTAGGATGAGCGGTGGACACGACAGGGCAGCAAGGCATAGCCGGCATAATATCTAGAAGAGAGTCTATATAAGACGACTGAAGGGAAGAAGAAGAAGAAGAAGATCAATGCTGTACATTTCTATCTATGCTGACGCTGTTGAAAACATGAACAGAACAGCTAGATGCCATGGCATCGACTCTAGAAGGAGACTAGCCACGCTCGCTGCCTCTGAGACGCACGGCCTGGCCGTACTTCTGTAGCTTCGTGATCAATGCGTCTCCCTGCTTGACTACATCCGCGTACTGCTTGTTCTTGTCGTCTGGTCTGTTGGTCTCGATTATACCGTTGACTCGGTCGATGGTGCATGATATCCTCTCTCCAGCAATGAACTTCGCAAGATCCCTACGGTCAGGTTAGCATCTGGTTGAAAGGTGTGGTAGACAGGGAGAAGAACGAGGGAAATGCCTACCGGTCGAGGAAATCAACGGTGACGCCAAAGTCGCCTGCCATGCTTGCTAGGCCTACAACACGGTAGCTCTGCAGTAGCTGCTGATAGCCACGGAGTCTCATCTCACGCACAAACCATGCACGGTGCTCGAACAGATACCTGTCTTGGTTTAGGAAATTATCTTCTACGGCGGCCAGTGCGGTAAAGAATGAGCGGTACTGGCCCATGTACAGGCTGCTAACCAGGCGGGTCAACGGGGTGAAGTCGACAGGAGCTTCAGTTTCTGACTGCATGCCCGTCTCGGTGCCGAGAGTGTTAAGGTTGACTACCTTTGATGCTGTGGCAGGTGTAGGGGTGGCACTAGTTTCAACATCCTTCATCTCCTCGTCACCGGCTCCGGGGCCTGAGGAGAGAGCACCTGACAGCGCCGATAGCCTGTCCTCGCCTTCTCCCAACAAGGCCTTGATCTCAGGCGCATCGACGACCTTGGCCTTGAAGTCCACACGTCGAAGAGACAGCGATCCGGCGAGGACAGCATAGATAACTAGGTTAGAGTAGCTGCAGAGCTCATAGCTGGTGAATGTTGACAAACTGTCGAGTAATAGAGGCGCGGCAAGGTTATAGTTGCGAATAGTAAGCAGGTGAAGGCCCTTGTAGGCCTTTAGCCGGTTTCGACGGTCCCAGTCACCCCCAGATTCGACAAGGGTGTTTGCGCGGTCAACAGTTTTCTTAACGAACACCTTGTCACCGAAGAAGAGACCAATGCGAATCATAGCAAGCACAAGGTCAATCTTGGTACCCAGAACTCCGGTGTTTTCAAACACAGCCTCGTACGCTGCAATCGCTTTATCCTAGAGGCCAGAGCATTAGAGAACTATACCTTTAGAACGGTGAAGTAAAAAAAAAAAAAAAGAAAAGAAAAGAAAAATATACCTTATCACCTATTCTGGCCCAGAGTTCTGCTTTCTTCCCTCTTGCAGCCTGCACCTCTGTCTCACCAGCCGCCTCGGCCGCCTCTTCCTCCTCCTTAGCCAACCCGTCCAGCTCCCGTTTATTCTCTGCTACCAGACGATCATACAGTTTTTCGTCCCACACCAGCTCCGATCGGCTGGTGGACGGCCTCCGAGCCAACATATCAGAAATCATCACCGCGCTGGTGCCGCCTGGGCTCGACCCAGCTGCTGGGGACTGTGACGTACCCTCTCCAGAGTTATTGAGTACACCCTCTACCGGATGGGCAAGATGTCTGTATAGCGGCGCCATGCTGTGCTCTTGTATGGCGGATTGGAGCTTCTTGAGCGAGCTCTGGCGTGAGGACGGGGGACATGCTGGGTTTGAGAGGTTGAAGATATCTTGACTAAGAGAGAGGTCGGGGTATTTGGCAAACTGCGGGTCGGAGCCCATGGTGGCAGAGATCGAGGAGCAAGTGTATCTGCGTCAATCTTATACGTATCTCGCGGGTTCGGTGGGTTGAAGACGGACGTTTGGTCGTTGCTTGCTGGATGTTTGATGATTTGATGTTGTTGTAGCTGGAGCTTCTTTGGTCGAGCTCGCCAGCGGTCACGTGGTAAGCTGCGCCAAAGTAGATGCAAGACACGAAGATACCATAGCATACAGCAGGGAGAAGCTGATACATGTATAGGATATAGATTTATGTGATTATCATAGTTCTAGAGAGATGTATGATACTCTGGATATTCGACTGACGGTAATACTAGTATACCGGCACCGGCAGTTGATATACCGTGTAATATACCACCCCAGTCTGCAGCAGCTATATGCTTCATTACTTCCTGTCTCTTCTAAATTGCCCTTAATACTCTCTATTACTTACTATATCTTTCATCAATTTTGACCTTTGAAGGCTTCTTTACTCTACAAAAGCAGGTCTTGCTGACCAAGAAAAGAAGAAGAAGCCGATGACTAAGTATTTCGGATAATAGTTATCCCTGATTAATAAACAATGACTAAGACACGCTAAACTATAATGAGATTGACGCCAAGAACAAAACAACCTCCCCAAAGCGGTTAGCGTCTTTGCTTGTTCTGCCCGCGATTTCAAGAAGAAGCAGAAACGCCCGCGATAATCGAATACAGCGACAAACAACGACGAAGGCAGAGGACTCGACCTGGTTGCGACGAACCCACGGACAGCAAAGACAAGGGGCAGGACATCGCTTACGGTTTGGAAGAGGTCCCGAAAGAAGAGAGACAAGGGGAGGAGACAAGTTGGATCTAACGCGCAGCTGGATTCCTCGAGCTCCGATAAAAACACACTTTCGACTGGCATTGAAGGGCAGGCGAAGGGAGCGGTCGAGTAACTTGAGGAGTTTGCAGAAGGAAGAAATGGGATAGCGCGCGATTAGCTGGGGGACTTATCGTTAGGACTCGACTTGCGCACGAAAGGGGACGCGCATCAGATTGGAAGACCAAGAGATTGTTGGGCTGGCTAAACTACACTGCCAGAGAAAGGATAGGCGAACTTCACTCATTCCGGCTGGATCACTCTCTTCGTCGATTGGCGCTGCGGACCCTCATTATTGTCTTGAAAACCCCTGGACATGACTGCCGTCTTGGTGGCTACTAGCACGACTACGGGACTTGAACATCACATTGGAAATATTAGCTGCGGGCCCGGCGGCGCATCCATTCGGAATAACAGTCTAGCAGGAGACGAGGAAAGATTGTTGCTAAGGATACGACCAAACACAGGGCAAGCTCGTCAGGACTTGTTGACTGGATCGCCAGGGTTTGCTATGTCGCAGACGCGCGGGAGAGGGAAGGCATCCGTGACCGCTAAACTTCCCTCCTCTGCGGTTAAAGAACATGCAACTGGGAGAAATGGAATAAACGGGTCTACGGTGAAAAGGAAAGCGAGTAAGACTGCCCTTTCCTGCGCTCTCACGATACGTCGGTGGTATCCATAATTTCGCTCCTTACTAATATTTACTGGTGCTTTGGCAGTTGATTATGATGAGGATGTCGGGGGGTTTCAATTTACTCGCGCGGGTAACATCAAAAAGCCGAAGCAGTCGAATGGAACTGTACCAAATGGGATTTTAGAAGGAAGCTCGACACCAGAACTGAACAATGCTAGTTCAGCCGTGCGGCAGAAGAAGAAGTCGACGCGAAAGCAGGCTCCGAACGGCGTGGTTGAACCCTCTTCAGAATCTGTTGATAGCAAATCTATGAAATCCAAATCTAAACGGCCGGCTCAGGAGATACCCCAAAAACAATCAAAGTCGCAGAAAAAGATACAGACACCAGAACCAGGACCCTTATATGTACCTAAAAAACGAAAACTCGAAAATACGAAAGATCCGGAGTTACGGGAACCTAAACAGAAGCAACAAGATAATGACGAAGCAATCCAGAGCACACCCGAAGATCTACGAAACGTCGGCACGAAAATTGCATTACCATTTGCAGACACGCCTGTCATTCAGAGAAATAAAGATATGAGAAAGGAGAAGAGTCGTAAAGGTCAAAGAAGAAGTAGTTTGAGTCTTCGGGGCCGCAGAGCAAGCTCCTTGATAGATAGCGGAGTGTCAAATGGTGCGGCTCTATTCCTTCGAATTATATACATATACATGAATACTAACGTGGATTCTCAAATAGCTTTACCACATGACAAGGTTGACACAGCGCATTTCTATAAACATATAGCTAGTGAAGGTCTACCAGAACCACGGCGAATGAGACAGCTGCTCACATGGTGTGCTACCAGAGCCCTCGGGGAGAAACCAACCGGATCACGGTCGGAAGATGAAAGTGCGAGATTAGCTGGTATGTTATACCGCTCACCCGCAATACTAAAAACTGTCTATTTACAAGTATTAATTTACATATTATAGCTCGTGTTATTCAAGAGGAGCTTCTCAAAGACTTTGCAGACAGATCAGACCTGACAGACTGGTTTAGCCGGCCAGAAGAAACGACCCCTGCAGTTGTTGTTAAGAAGCCAAATCCAAAGAACATACAAAATTCAGACAAAATAAAAGAGTTAGAAGAACATATTCGACGGTATGTTCTCTTTCTCACCTTATGATATATGCACAGAGCGCTAATTGGATATTTGTAGCCTTCAAGCGGAACGCCAGTCTCTGGCTGCTCTTCTACGACCTCCATCGATACCCACTGTAAACCCGTCATTAGATACCCCTAAGCAACTTACAACTGCACCAGAAGACAAAGCAGAGTCTCGGCCCCATAAAATATCAACAGTTAACCCATCACTCCTCGATCCATCGCAGAAACCATTTTTGAATATCTTAAATCATTCACCGCCAGAACCGAAAGAGCGCTCTCTGGATGCTGCAGCCTCGAGCACCAGAATTGACACCTCCATAGCGTCAATATCGGAGCGCCTAACGCGCCTCACCACTTCTCTAACGCCAACTCTCGATTCCTTTGCGGCTGGTATACACAATGTTGAGGTATTCCGACAATCCGCCGACAATCTTAGCGGCCACATATTACGAATATGTGCGCAAAGGCTAGAAGAGAGAGATTTATTGCAAAGTAAAAATACTACGGGGTCATTGTCTGAAGGGAAAGAGGAGGGAAGTAGCGGAACGCAGGAGGTAGTAAACAGTGAAAGGGAAGATTTAAGCGATATTCTAAGAGCCTTAAGTAGGCTTGAGAGGAGATGAATATAACAACTATTACCCTTTCGTTTTAATTGGTGTGCTGGTGTACAAATTTTGGTTAAGCACTGGGATTTTGTTTTTTCGCTCTTTTTTTTGGAGGGGGATGGGACGGAATGAATTAATCACTAAGTCGCGTTAGATACCTTTTGCTTCTGCCCTGCGTTGTTGCTGTTTGCTTGTATATATCTATGATACCAACATGACGTGAAGAATGAATTTATACCAAAGCCGTTTGATGGATATATCGCAACTCAACTCCTCTTGCTAATTGAAAATGAAGCCGGAGAGCTACCCAAATAAAAATAAAGCTGATAACCCTGGAGAACACCAGATATAAGGAACATATTAGACCAATTCAATATTGTTATCAGTCGCTTGCCCTCCTATTTCGCTGCCAAACTTCATCCATACCACTCTTCCCTTTGGTCTCGGGAACCCACCATCCGATAAAAGACCCCAGTATCACTGCCATCGCAGCGAAAAGCCAGTAAATCTGTCCGTGGCCTCCCATATACTCATTAAGACTCGGGAAGAACTGGGCAACGATGAATGTGGCAATCCAACTTGATGCTAATGCCCAACTTTGTGTTGCTCCAACTGCTTCTGGTCCAACTAACTCTGAGGCTAAGATGAACGGCACAGGGCCAAGGCCAACTGCAAAGCTTGCTACAAACAAGAGTGTTGCAACGGCTGAGAGTACTTTGAGGTTGGATGCTATCCCTATAGCAAGAAGCATGGACATACTGCCCATCCCTGCTATGCTGAGTAAGATGCATGTTTTGCGGCCTAGTTTATCGGATAATGGGGCACAAACGACGGTCATTATCAGGTTAAGACAGGAGACCAGTACCGTTAGAAGTGCCGCAGTTGTGGGTAGAATGGTAGAGAGAAGTGAAACGCTGTACATGACGATACTGTTGATGCCGGTGAATTGCTGTGTGAGCATTATTGCAATGACAGATATTATTGCAGGTCTATACACCGGGTCTAATAACGCTCCAAGCATGGTCACTGGTTCTTTGAAGCGGGCCACAGTTACCGGTGTTGAGTTTGCGAGAAGGGATTCTTCTTCCTCTGTCTCGGCAGCTACAGAATGACCTCGGCCAGAAGAGGTGGAAGTCTCCCAAGTTCTGACTTCTTCACTAATGTCTGCCGTTGGACCTCGTATTCTTTGAAGAACCCTTTTGGCTTGAGCTGGATTCTGGTTATCTGCAAGCCAGGCTGGGCTTTCAACAACAAATACAAGGCCAATGAGCTGAATTATGCCGATAAAGCCGGCAACTGAAAGAATGACACGCCACGTGTGGCCTTTGCTGAGAAAGTATCCTAGGCCCTGCGTCATTAGTATTCCAATATTGGCCATTACCTGAGTGACGGCTCCAAACAATCCTCTGTTGTTTGTAGGAGAGACTTCGGAGACATAGATCGGCCCAACCACGAGGGAAGCACCTGACCCAATGCCAGATAAAAATCTCCCGGTCACAAAAAGCGGAATGGGAAACGCGATAGTCTCAGCGATAGGGCCAAGGATGAAAAACACTGTCGTAGCTCGAAGAACAAGCAGCCGCCCATACTTGGTGGAAAGAGGCCCGGCCAAGAGGGCTCCCAGAAGTCCGCCAAGGGTATAGCTCGAAGATACTAAACCAAACACTGCCGGGCTCATAGGCATACATTGGGGCAGATTGGACGATGAAATATGATCCTTCTCGCATGTTATGACAGCCTTAGGAGCATTAAGCTCGGCCTATAACCGGTGGAAGTGCATGTCAGCTAGTGCACCTGTAGAAAAAGGAGGTATATAATCTGCGCTCTCAAGCCTACTGCATCAAACGAAACAATAGAATAGGATTATATTTACCAGATGATATCCAAACTGGAGGGATCCAAGTGTTACTGTACTAATGAGGAAGATGAGGTAAGGAGATATCACGGTGGAAGGCGAGGCCATTTTGGTATTTGGAAGTATAGGATATTTGGCGTAAAAAGGGAGGATTTGCCGCAGCCTTCAACATCCACTGGGCCGGGCTCTGCTACAAAGGCAGTGTTCAAGCATTTGGTTCATGCTGCGCCGAAAGACGTTGTTGTTGATGAAGTGACGTTGAGAGAATACCGAGGTTGTCATGATTAGTCAGCAGACATATTCAAAAAAAGGGGTAGTCTATTGAGGCGTATAAATGTTGTACCATCTGTGAGTATAGCTCAAGTCTATTTGAGGAATTAGTATAGACATACATAAGGTGAATATCTATAAGTACATCGGTATGGCTATGTAGAAATAAAAAAACAAAAGAAACATGAAACAATTATCGCCAGTTTTCAAAGGGGGAAAATGTATCTTCTTGGACTATCGAGTGGACACGATTCGATCATTGGAGTTGTGCATATGAATTTCATGGCCAACCATGAACTGGCTCCATCCTCCTTTTTTAGCCAAGCCCATCCATTGAAGGGCTGGCATCTCCTCTAGGGCAGAAACATCCTGATCCTGGAGAATTCTGTCTGCAAACTCTTTGATATTAACATTAAGAGTACTGGAGTGTGTGATGACTTCTGGTTGGCCCAAGCCTATCATTTCGGTGCCGAAGATGGTCCTCACGATATCTTCAGCAATGTGTTCGAGCGGAACGATGCCTAGGCTTCCGCTTAGACCATCAAGGGCTGGTTTCTTTTGGAGTTGTTTGGCAAGTGAAAGGAGTTCATCTAGAATCTCAGTCGGAGCAACGGATGTACCACCAGGGGCTTTTGTCGGGCGATGCAAAACAGCTTTCAAACCAACTTCATTCGCTGCGTTGGCAAGTACTTTCTCTGCAGCCCATTTGGAGGCAACATATCCATCATGTCCATTGGTCGGTGGAGAGTTGAATGAGTATGCGGAGACTCCGCCAGACGAAACGAAGTGGATAGGGACATTGCGAGGGTGTGCAATCTTGACAATTTCTTTGACACTAAAGACGTTGATAGCACGGAGGTGATAGTAAGAATCCCAGAATGAACGGTTAGCACCAAGATGAAGGATTACGTCAGCTTCGCTAGCTAGAATAATTGCTTCCTTTTCAGATAGGCCAAGACGAGCTTTATCGAGGTCACCGTGTTTGATATTGATCTTTTTCTTAGGGTCAAGGATGCGAGTAAGGGCAGAAATACCGTTCTGGGGACGGACAGCCACGGCATATATTTTGGAGATACGGTCATCCGCAACTAGGTGGGCAAGAACATTCTTTCCAAGGACTCCAGTGGCTCCGGTCATCATGACTACTATGTCCTTATGTTTTGGAGGGGAGATATCAGGGTTCCGCGAGGGAAGTGTTGGTAGGGCAGTTTCTGCATCCCAATCCAGTTCCTTGGCACCAAGGGCATCCTCAATCAAACAAGCCATGCTTCGAAGCGTTCCAGCATTCATTATATCAAAAAGTCGAAGGCTTACACTGAAGCTTTGGCGTATCATCGCTTGTAATTTAACAAGCATAAGGGAATTTCCTCCAGCATGGAAGAAGTCAGAACCGGGTATCAAAACACGTGTGGCAGGAATGATGTGGTTCCAGAGGATTGCAAGCTGGGCTTCAGTCTCCGTAAGTCCAATGATCTGTTCTGTGGATGCATTTCCCACCTCTGGGACTGGAAGAGCTAGCACAGCTTTTCTGTCCACCTTGAAATGCGTTGTAAAAGGGAGATTGTCCAAAGCGATGAAAATAGTAGGGATCATATACTGGGGCAGTGGTAGCAGTATTGGAAGACGGGTAAGCAGGTCATCGCGAGGTTCAGCATATGTTGCGGAGAAAACAACATGTGCTACCAGAAAGGTAGAATCTTGTTTTCCACGTAGGGTCACGACAGCGTGTGTAAGGGCACCAGCGGAGGCTTGAAGTATGGTACTTTCAATATCTTCAAGCTCTATACGTACACCACGTAGCTTGATCTGGGTATCGCCATCTATTCGGCCTTCAAAGAAAAGTGCGCCTTCTTCAGTAAGGCGGCCTTTGTCGCCAGTTCGATAGACCATGCCGTCACCCCCGAAACTGTTTTGAATGAATTTCTGCTTCGTGAGCTCATCATTGTTCAAGTATCCAGACGCAACACCTACACCTCCAATGACAATCTCACCAACGAAACCGAGAGGCAGTGGGTTCATCTGAGAGTCAACGATAGAAACGGAGTAATTGGGTAGCATAAAGCCGACTGGCGCCGGATGCCCTGTTATCATGGAGCGGTATGGAAGTTCAACTTTGGCACAAGACATTGTGATTTCTGCGGGACCATAGCTGTCAAGGAGTCTGATAGGCATTCCCAACTTGCGGAACTCTTCGATTACGGCATCTGAAGCAACCTCGCCTCCAAGAAGGGCACACTTCCAAGTTTTACATTTCAGAAGGTTATCTCGTGCATATCGGAACCACATCAGGTACTCAGATGGAGTTGTCGCGGTATGAGTTATTCCTTCAGAAGCCATGATGTTGGTAATTGAGATAGGATCCCCACGCTGCTCTGCTGGAACCACATAGAGAGCACCACCATGGACGAGGGCAGTAAAAATTTGCTCAAGCGATTTATCAAATGAATATGCCGTTTGGTGCAAAACATAGGAGGCAGTGCCCTTAAATTCAAATTGCTTGGAACAGCCTTCTAACTGTTTAATAATATTGCTGTGATTTATGTGAATACCCTTGGGAATTCCTGTGGAGCCACTGGTAAATAAGACAACAGCGAGCTCATCCGGTTTCGCGAGATTTGGCATAGCTTGACCACTGGTAGCCAGGCTAGAGACATTAACCACCACAGCGTTCGGAACCTCAAGATGTTTAACGTCTCTTAGGGTTTGGCTATGAGCAATGATCACACAAGGCCTGGCTTGGTCAACGATGGCCGCGAGGCGAGGGAGAGGAGAACGGAGGTCGAGAGGAACATAGACTGCCCCAGCACGGAATATAGCCAGTAGTGAGCAAACCCAGTCAGCAGTGGGCTGTTGGAAAACGGCTACCTTATCCCCTCCTATGACCTTAGTAGCAATAAGGGCGGCGCAGATGGAGTTGACACGGTCTGCCATTTGTGAGTAAGTCATTGTTTTCCCCGTACCGTCCTTGAGGCAGATATTGGTTCCGTATTGAGATACCACATTATCGATATGATGCATTACGGTAGGTGCCCATTCGTATTGAAGAGATCGACCTGTATTAAATTAGGCTTCATAACGTATATTTAGAAGATTTGGAATTAGTGACTTACCACGGCCAACTTCGAGGGCGTTGCTGATCGTCTGGCTATCCCATACATCTGGAACACTCCAATCTGCGGTTGGGTTATTAGCAAAAGCTGTCAGGAGATTCACGTAGCCATTCAGCAAAAGCTTGGTATGCTGTGCCGTGTATAGTCGTTTCTGAAGCCGAAGCTCAAGACGGGTATCACCAGCAGCATTTTCAACAATATCAAGGGTCATGTCGTAGCCAGTCCTAGCAAGATGCCATTTCTCACCAACAGCATCAAGACCCATGTACTTTTGTCTCTCTTGAACACCCTGTCTGTAGTCCACGAAAACTTGGAATATGGGAGTGGCCGTCGCAGAGCGAGGGATCTTTAACTCGTCTAGGAGAACGTCAAATGGCAGTTTAGAATGAGCAAGCCCCGTGTACACTTTGTCGCGAACCTGCTTCACTGCTTCTCCAAATTTTTTCGCAGCATGGCGTTCGAAGCGAACTGGAAGGAGGTTAAGGAAGAATCCAAGAGTATTGATAAATTTGTCATCAGTTCTGTTTGCATCTGCAACACCAATGAAGAACTCATCACAATCATCTAGCTGGCGGAAGATGAGAGTTTGCAGAACTGCGAGATAGAAGTGGAACGTGGTTGAGCTCAGGAATCGAGAGGCAGCCTTAATTTTTTTGGTCAATGCAGGCTCAATACGGACATCCGCACTATACGTATCGTAGGTATCCAGCGGCAAGCGAGTGCTGGTCTTTGCAAATGGGAATAATGGGATCGGGTTGAGATTGCGGGGGATAATTTCACGGTAATATGCGAGATCCGCATTCATATTGCCATTTTCCCAATCTTCGCGCTGCTTTCTTGCAAATGCTCCGTATTGAGAAGACTTGGGAATAATAGGGAGCTTTTGGCCTTCATAAGCTTTCTCGAGGTCGCTATAGAACACATTAAAGCTGAACCCATCCATGCCAATGTGGTGGCATCCGATGACGAGGTAGTGCATTGTATCCGAAGAAGAGAGCAGTGACACTTTCATGGTTTCCCAGTCCCCTATATCCCATACATGGGACCTGAGCTCATCAAGCTCTCTGTAAGCAGCAGATTCGTCCTTGCAGTGCTTGACCACTAGTTTGACTGCAGATGTTGAAATCACTCCCTGCATCGGACTCTCCATATATTCACCAGTTGAAAAGTACCTTGTTCGTAGAGCATCATGCCTTAGAACGACAAGCTCTAAGGCCCTTTCCATGTCCTTAACACGAATACGGCCGCTAAGCCTAACTAATATTGCCATGTTGAACGTTGTTTTATCATTGAGGGCTTGGTTAAGGAACCAAAATCGTGATTGTCCAAATGACATCTTCTCAGTGACTTCTGATTTTTCTCGGCGGCCCAAACCTTGTTGTATATTGCTATTTTCAACGGCCAATCTTGGCTCATCGCCTAAAGGCTTAGCAGGTGTCTCTGTGATTGCGGTGATAGTAAGAGGTGTGGAGTGTACTAAGCTAGTGTTTGGCGATTTTGACTGGGACTGGGTGTCCTGGGTGACGCTAGGAGAGCTATCTATCGCTGCTGGTTTGAAAGAAGGATTAGGAACCTCTTTTGGCGGAGTGGGATGGCCATTGAGGTTTGATTTAGTCCCTTTAGAGCCAAGACAGGGGGTTAGCTCAGGAGATATCTTTTGTATGGCATCGTTTAAAAGGTCAGAGATAGAGGAACCGCCTAGAACCTTGAGAACAGGCATATCAATATCAATTTCCCGGATGAACCATGTCCGGATTTCGACAGCAACAAGGGAGTCTACACCCTGTTCTACCAGGGAATCTGTTGCGTTAAAAACATCCTCCTCCGGGATGCGCAGCATCTTCTTAATTCTTCGTGTAAGGCCAGCTATGAATATATTCAGTTACTGTATGCTTAGAAAAAGGTGGTCGCAAAACTTACACTGCATGACTTCGCGAACTTCATCCTCCGTAGTTGCAGTAAGAAGTTGAATCCTAACGGGAATCTGAGTAGACGAAGAGCCATCTTGTTTGGCGGAAGTACGCTCTAGAATGAGGTGTGAGAACTTCATGTCCTTCAAGTAGGATGCCCTGATATCCCCGTCCGCATATGTTGGAACAACACCTGAAACAACTTCATGACTCTCTGTGGTTCCCGGTCGCCCCCTTACAATTGCCTCCGCAAATAAGGTATGAATATCCTGTTCAGAGACATTCCTATAACCAGATCGTGAAAATTGGTCAATGTCTAAGTTCTCAGCACGTTCGAAATAACCAAGACCAATCAGCGATGAAATAGCGATAACCGACGCTGAGAGGCCTTTACGGCGGCGCTGCAGGCCGAGAGATTCCATAAAGCTGTTGGCACCGATATAGTTACTCTGGCCTGCGTTTCCAATTAGAGCTGTGATGGAAGAAAATAGAATGAAGAAGTCAAGGGTATTCTCTGAGAAAAGGTTATCCAAGTTAATTGCACCAAGGACTTTTGGCCTGAGGGCTGCCATGAGATCCTCATAGCTCATCTTCTGGAAGAGACTATCAACAAGAACCATGGCTCCATGAGCAACACCACCAATGGGTGGCATAGTACGGCAGATTTTGTTATAGCAAGAATGAAGAGCATCGGCGTCCGTGATATCCCTGGGAGTCGTTAAAAATTGTCGATATTTCTACAAAGGATATAAACTTACAGTGGCATCGATTTGATAGTTGCCCCATATTCGTCTTCCATACTCTCAATCCACTCGGTGTTGACCTTTGGCCTCCTGCTAGTAAGAACGACATATCTAGCTCCTCTGTTCACCATCCATTCAGCAAGGGACTGGCCCATCTCACCAGACAAACCAATCATGAGGTATGTCTTTTCGGCGCTAAATAGATCAGCATAGGGGTCGATAGGCTCGACTGTGAGAGAAATTTTGTTATCTGTTACCCAGTCGATAACCATCAAGTCCTTAGTTCTGTCAGAATAACCCGGGACTCTATCCAGAGGCAAGGTAGATCTATTGTAAGGGACCGAGAAGTTAGTGGTTTTAGCAATATCAAAGCCTGTAGTTAGGATTTTGGAAACTAGTTCAGCGTTGGAGCCGGGGCGCTTTGCCACACTATTTCCGAAGAACATAGATCGGTCCGATTGTTTGCAACAAAGTGGAAGGCTGTCTAGCAGATTAACCATAGTCTGCTTGTCTGAGATGCTGGAGAAGTTGATGAAAGTAGATATTCTTTTTGGCAATTGTTTCTTCAGCAAGCGACGAGGTGTTTTGGGGTGTATATAGGTCCACTGAGGTCCCTTCTTTGAAGTTTGGGTAGTCGTGAAGAATACCTGAATCTTCTTCGTTGCTGCTTGTTTGCTGATGGCAGCAGCTACAATCTGATCAGGATCATGCACTAATATGGTACTATTTGCTGAGATATCCGCGATAATCAAATGGGCAACGAGGTTGGCAGCAACCGAAAGAATGACTTGTTCTGGGTTGGGTGTTCCGCCGTATGGTATAGTCCAGGACCTTGGAACATGAACAACCGAGTTGCTTCGATCAGAGAGAGCAATGACGTGTTCACCACAATCGTCTGTGCCATAGCACAAAAAGAAGTGGCCAACCAGAGGTACTTCCACAGATTGAAGTAATGACTGGGATACAGTAATTTCACTGTCGCTTTCGGACCTAGTGGTGGGCTTGAGTGGAGAGGGCTCACAAAGATTGTAGGAGTTGCTTTTGCTGATTAATTCAATATTGGAGTCTCTGGCTGAGGCTTCGTGGGTAATACGACGCTTGTATGAATTATATCGATCGTTGATCTTATCTGCGGATATTAGTCTTGGTATGTAGATCTTATTTTTCTCTAGGTGATACTCTGATTCGTCGCTCCACAGAATAGAATCAGGTACAAGTTGATTGTTTGCTGCTTGGAGGTTAAGATGTCGGAGCAATGTTTCCGCAAATAGTTTGGCAGAGTTTGAGTCGAGCACATCCACATCAAGGGCCTGGAAATTGATTCCAGAATACTCTCTGCGAAGCGTTCGCGCCATGCCAACAAGCATACGGGAGTATGGACTCTCTGACCTGTTACCCTTGGTCACCCAAAGGATTTCTCTGGGAGTCGAAAACACCTCTTTGACACCCTCAAGTTTCTGAGGCTGGTCATCCATAAGCTCTTTCATGATTGGAACATCTAGCTCGGCTAAATTCAGCACAGTGGCCACAGCCTTGGTGTCACTATTGGAAAAATTATCGATGCAAGTAACATTCCTGATCGAGCTGAAGTGTGAGCGTAGAATGCTGCTGCACTCAGTAACTATGTTAGCAACTTCCTCGGTTTTCCCTCCAATAATAACAAGGTTCTCCCGCTGTGGGTGGGCATGTTCAAGTGCAAGGGGATCTCGAAGGGTGTAAATTTGGGGATCGACAGCCTGGGTGGCCATAACAACCAGATGGTCTATAGAATCAATATTGGGGGTTAGAGCATCAATTCCTGACCATCCAGTACGTTTATACACCTTATCCCATTCCTCTACAGGTATCGTTGGGCCCCATGGGCGACCTGTTTCAGCACCACACCACCAACCGGGGAAGCCAGACATGGAGAATCCCTCTCGCAAGCTAGGGAAGTATGTGGCAACTTCCATGTTAATTAGCCAACCACCAGGCTTGACTAGTTTGCGTACATTTGACAGGGTCAAATCAATATCAGGGCCAACATGAAGTACATTTGACGCAAGTACCATATCATAATGACCTTCGGTAAATCCTTGTTCACTTAGATCCTTCTCCATATCAAGGGTTTTAAAGATCATGCGGTCAGAGTATTGGCTGAATCTTTTCTCCGCTGCTTCAAAGAAACCAGAAGAGATATCAGTGAAGGTATAAGTTGAAAAGGCTTTGTCGAGAGTGGGTAGAATCATTCGTGTTGAACCACCTGTGCCAGCACCAATTTCAATGATATTCATACGCGGGTATCTGTATGCAACTTGGGCGGCAAGATTCGCTTCCCATTGATTAGTAATATCAAGGCCAATAGCTTCTTCATAGAAGCGATCGAGGATGTTGTCTTTCAAGGTATACTCATGAATGTTCCCACGAGTGCGAATAACATGTGCAATATTCTGGCCAACAGCTCTGAGAATAGAGATATCAGCGCGATCTACACCATCAGCAACAAGGGACTCCACAAACTCCAAGGTATCATTGACAGCCTCAGGTTCGACGTAAGGGTGTTCTCCATTAACAACCTGCTTGTGTACAAACCTACACCATCTTAACATATATTTGAAATGTGAAAGAGTTTCTTCTTCCTCTTTGGTGGTAATGGAATTGAGGAGTTTATTAATCCAGTAGAAAGAGAACCGTTCCGAGACCTTTGCTATATGAGCGTCAGGTTTGGATAGTCGATTTGGGGCGGCAACAACTCCATCTGGCTGGGCTAGGTCATAGATGAGGTTGGAGAACAGTTTAACATCATTCTCCTCGGAGGCTTTGGCCAATGGGACAAGAACAATGCCTTCAATTTCCATGAGAACTCCATTTTTATTTGGGGCAAATACTTCAATATCAGCTGTTGGAGTATCATGGGTCTCACTAGTAACAACAGCTTGCCAAGGCCAGACGATTTCTTCTCCTGGAGGGAACACTGCCAATGATGGGTTAATTGATAGGCGGTTGATCTTAGTGGGCACATGGATAGACCAGAGTCTATCATCTCCAGGGGAGCTAAATGCAGCAAAGACGGCCTGAAAGCTGGTATCCACGAATCCTGGATGCATAAGGAAACTATCTTCCCAAGACCCGCCACGGGAATCAGTGATTTCTCCAACAGCTGCATCTTTTCTACGTAGGATGGAGCTGATTGCCTTGAAGGGCGGCGAGTAGTTGTAACCCATGTCTGATAGATATTTGTAGAATCGGTCAATATCGACACTTGCCATGTTAAATTGAGGGACCTGGGAAACTGAGAGCGCATCAACAATTGATTCACCAAAACGGATGGATATCTTCCCCTTCCCATTTAAGGTTAAAGTATTATCACCTTTGGGGCATGATGAAATTTGGAAGTTTGCACTAATCAACTCAGGTTCTGATGACAAGACATTGAGGGTAAAGATGATTTCAATACCAGCAGTGTCATCAAGGAAGGAAATAGCACGAGCAATGTCCACATCCTCGAGCTCGATAAGTTGCACTTCCCGGTTATTTGAGAGGGTCATTATAGCCTCAATAGCCATGCACACATACCCAGATGCTGGGAAAACATTCTGGCCCTGTAGTCTGTGGCCGGGTATCCATGATATTTCCTTAGGGAATAGAATATTCCTCCACTGAATTTGAGTCCCCGTGCTGCCTTCAACAGCATTTACACCTAACATAGGATGGGGCGCCTCACGGGTGGTGTAGGAAGTAGCCACTCGAGAATCAAGCCAGTAGCTCCTAGTATGATCCCAAGAGTACTCAGGAAGCTCCGCTGACAAATTTCTGCGCTGAGAATTTGCAGACATGAGTTTATCATAGCCTCCAAAGTCAACTGCAGCAGAACCGAAGCACTCCCAAATATAACCGAGGGCAGCGGAAAATGCCTTCACATCATCCACTCCGCGCGACAAAAGCCCAGTATAAGGCGTACCACCCACACCAGTAGCCTGCTCAAGGTTTTCTAGGCATGGGCCCTTCAAAGCCGGGTGTGGCCCAATCTCGATGACCAAGTCAAATGGGCCTGACTCCTTAACAGCAGTAATCCCAGCTTGTGAAAATAGGACCGTATTATTCATGTTGTCAGCCCAATACTGACCGTTGAGGTCACTACTGGCCATCTTCTTATCAGGAATGACGGAGGAGTACCACGAGACGGACGAGTATCCTTCTTTATATTCAATGCCACATGTATGCATTGCCTTCAAGTACATTTCTGAGCACGAGTTCATGTGGAAAGAGTGGTAAGCAGTATCAACCCTGAGTTTTCGGACAAATTTAGATTCATCCTTAAACACCACCTGAGCTTTGTCAATAGCATCCCCGTCGCCAGAAAGTGTAACGCTAGTAGCAGCGTTGCTTGCCGCAACAGTGATACGGCCTTCAAACTCATCGAGCTGGCAAAACTCCTCTGCATCTTCAAGAGTAGTTCCAACTGCCATCATTGCGCCCTTCTTTCCAGAAGGAGACCTAGCAAATTTTGCGTAAAGACCACGGTAGTAGGCGACACGGATCGCATCTCTGGCAGAAATAAATCCAGAAGCATAGGCAGCTGCAATTTCTCCAGATGAGTGCCCGATAACTGCATTAAACTCCAAATTGGTCCCAGCAGCCTTAAGCAAGTCTACCAGGACGATTTGAACGGCAGTGCAGAGAGGTTGGGAAAGTGCAGCTTCTGAAAGGCGAGATGACTTGTTATCAGCCTCAAGTTCACCTTGGATTGACCAGTTTGGTCGATCGCGCTCAGGGAGCTCCTGAAGCGACCTATCTAGGCCTGCGACAATGTTACGCACATGGCCAGATGTTTTGATGAGCTCGCGACCCATAGTTGGCCACTGCGCGCCTTGACCAGTAAAGACGCCTAGAACTGTTAGTTTCTCCGGCCCCGAAGATCGAACACCAATGCTGTCTTTCTGGTTACGAGCAGCATCGATGCCAGCAACAAGATCAGTTGTCATTCGGCCGGAGATGGCAATCTTGTATACTAAGGCAGAACGGTGGTTCTGCAGAGTCCAAGCAACGTCGCTAATATCAGGAGCATTTTCAGCGCTTAGATATTGCGAAAATGTCTCTAACATCCCCCTAAGACTCTTCTCCGAGTTGGCAGAGAAAGTAAGAGGTGTGAAGAGAGATCTTTCCGTTTCCTTGCAAGAGGCCTGGTTCTCAATTGGATCATAGCTTTCAAGAATTGCATGCGCATTAGCACCACCAAAGCCGAAACTGTTGACAGAGGCACGCATAGGTTGGCCAGCTGGTGGAGAAGGCCATTCGTGGCTTGTGGTTGGGACTTCCAAATTCGTGTAGAAAGGCTTGACTTTCTCGGCAATCTGGTTAAGGTGCAAGTTTGGCGGAATGGTCTTGTTTTGTAAGGCAAGAGAAGTGCCAATAAGACTGGCAAGGCCGGCGGTACCCTCAGTGTGGCCGATGATAGTCTTGATAGAACCGACCCAGAGCTTCTTTTCGGCTACTTGGCCATCGTTGAAAAAGGCTCGGCTGATTGCCTCGGCTTCTTGTGGATCTCCAGCTGGCGTTCCAGTTCCGTGAGCATGGAAATATTGAGGCTGGTCGTTGGGATTCAAGGGATCAAGACCGGCCTTCTTGTATGTTTCTCTGATCAAGGCAGTTTGAGCAAGGTTACTCGGCATAGTTATACCGGTAGTGCGGCCATCTTGGTTGAATGCGGTCTCCCTGATCACACACTCAATATTGTCACCATCTTTTATGGCCTGGCTCAAGGTTTTCAAAACTACAGCTGCAAGACCTTCACCTCTTGCATAACCGTTGGCACCTTGGTCCCACATTCGTGACTTTCCATCAGGAGAAAGCATTTTCAATTTACTTTCCGCAATATACATGCCTGCATCATCATTCGTTAGCAATTAGCTCTAGTTTCAATCAGCCAGTCAGGGATCAAGGACATACCAGGGGTGAGAATTAAATTCGCTCCACAGGCAACTGCAACATTGCAGTCACCACTTCTGAGAACCTGCACAGCTTCATGTACAGCCACCAATGAAGATGAGCACGCCGTATCAATGGTCATGGACGGCCCATGCCAATCAAAGAAGTAGGAGATACGGTTCGCCATGATAGCACGAGATATACCAGTAGCAGCATACTGGGGTAGGCAGTCCCAGTCCTTAGCCAGCATGCCAGCCCAGTCATCACACATGAGCCCAACATAGCAAGCAGTAGAAGACCCACGGAGGCCTTCCATGGTGACGCCAGCGGCACACAAAGATTCGTAAACAGTCTCTAGCAGCATACGCTGCTGTGGATCGATAGCCTCACATTCGTTTGGTGGAATATTGAAGAAATTTGCATCAAATACTGCAGGGTCTGCCTCGAGGAAGTAAGATTTAGTGACGTTGCTGGTACCGTGATGGGAGTTGTCTTTGTGGTGCCACACATCAGCATTAAAACGGTTGTCGGGAATAGGTTTAGAAAGGTCGCGAGGCTCTTTTAGTAGTTCCCATAGTTTTGACGGGGTGGTGCTATTGCCGGGGAAATTGCATGCACTCCCGATAATAGCGATAGGCTCCTTGCGTTGAGGCATGCCGGTATAATATGCAGTTGATTAGGATTTGGAGAAAAAAGAGTGAAGTGTAATGGACCGGAATTTTCCCATGGGGAAGAGCGAAAGTACAGGCTAATATTCATCTCAGTCTCATTGTCCCCTTTGCCTTGATACGCTCGCAGAAGCTGTGCAACGCCAACGACTGTGTATTCGGTGTGTTAACACAGCCGAATCGGTTCATACTGGGGCCCTTAGTTTGGGGCAGCAGTGAGGAGTGTTGACCATGGTCCAGATACTTCCATGGCCAGGGAACCCTGCGTCCATCTATTCTTAGATGCGATACAGGGGGCCTTTGGTATGGTCCATAAGAGGGAAATGGTGAGCTGTAAGTTCTGGGCCTCAGCTTAAGTAAGTAGCACAGTCCTATCTGTTCGATACTTTACTCCTAGCCAGTATCTATATCTTTTCGAACGTTATACCGTTTCGCTGTTAAAAGAGTCGCGGTTAGTGTCTCATGGATCCCATCAACTGCACAATTCGCAGAGCCACATCGAAACCTCTTGCAGCTGTTGATCTCTGATTTCTTTCCCTTGATACGAGGATCGACGATATCGCCATGTGAACCCAGAAAGGTTTCCTGGCGCTGACACCGGCATATCCAGCGTTATTAGGCGACTTGGTCAAAAGTCACCGCTATCGGAGGATTTCCCGGTGGGTATGATTTTCGCAGTCATTGCAGGAATCATGCCGAATATGCCGTAACCCCTCATCTCTTAAAGCCGTTCGTATAATGAAGGGGCACATACGAGATTCTAGCCTAAGAAACAAACTAAACACGACGGCTGTTCGGTTTGAAGTGATGGTGGGTTGCAGGATGTTGATGAGATGTAGTTGATATTGATGCTTAGTCAGATTTTGTGCCTTTTACCTCTTTTCATGGAAGAAAAAGTCACTAAAGTGGCAAAGCTGCTTGATTTTGCACATTTAACACTATTACCATCAGTTCTTGATTCTGCAGACTGGTGAAGATTGTATGTACATTGCTCCTGCTATTGTAACTACCGAACTGGTGCAAAAATGGTCTGCAGTTAACTATTTGCCTTGGGTCATGCTTGAAATCACAAGCAGCGGCAAATGAATACCATCTTAAGAACAAATGACTCTAAGTCAAATGATGAAGTGCCAGCGGACGAACAGGACGTGAAAGAAGTAATCTCTCAGTCCCCGCCGGTGAACAGTGACTACCTGCCTCTACCCTGGACAGGCTAGTTAGATTATGTCTGCGGGAACCGCTAAGCTTAAGTGCCAGCAAGAACCAAGTAGTTGCGGCTTCTAACCTCTCTATGCGTGTCTGAATACCTACCTGCGCAATGCGAACCCTCCAGTGTCCTGTTCCTGGACATGTCGCATCGCGTCCATACTCGAGAACCGATACTCTCTCCAAGACCCATCCCAGGCTTTCTATGCTACTAAAAACCGTCCGGACCGTAATAAGCCTCCAGATGTCGCCATGGGCCGGGAATTTGTGCAGCAACTAGGTCTAGCAAACACCCGAGACTTGGTAACGCTGACCCGCTGGAACACGCGGTATAAAATCCACTTCATGAGAATCAGCAGTGAGATGTTCCCTTTCGCAAGCCATTCTGAGTATGGTTATATGTATAAACTTTCTCCACTTGCTTCAGAGGCACTAGCTGAGGTGGGATGTGTTGCTGTGGAACGCAATCATCATCTCACTGTTTATCCTGGCCAGGTGTTCTTGACTTTCGAGTTGCACCCTCCCCAAACCGCTGGACAGTAACCAAGCGTTACTCAACTTGGCTCTTCTCGCAGGGAGGTTATCGAGAGCTCTATCAAGGATCTGGGGTACCATGCGGAGATGCTCAGTCTCTTGAAATTACCTCCCCAAATGGATCGCGATGCAGTAATGATCTTACACATGGGTGGCACGTTTGGGGACAAGAAGATCGCCCTTACTCGGTTCAGAGAAACTGGAAAATGACGATATGAACTGGACAGTGCATGATCTTCTGCCCATATTCGAGGAACTAAATATACCCATCATGTCGGACTCTCATCATTATAATATCCTTTTTAATCCAGATAAGGTTCGGGAAGGTACCCTTATTATAATGTTCCTCTACGATCGAATAAGATCAACATGGACGAGAAAAGGGACATACATAGAATGCATTATTCCGAACCCAATCACCAAAGTACAGCGATGGAAGCATAATCCTAGAGTATCCACATTACCACCCTGTGACTCAAGTATGGATGTCATGATTGAAGCGAAAGATAAAGAGCAGGCCGTCTTTGAGCTATGAGGATCCATAAGCTTCCGGGATTTGAGAAGGTAAACAACATTATACCATACTGCTGGGAGGATGAGATGAAAACCCCCCTAAAACCCTAATAATTCGCAGATAGTGAAGAAGCATCCAAGTTAGACTCAGGTGAAATTAACATGGGTGGCCCATATGATCGGGTTTACTGACCTCTGGAATAGAGGAATGGCCCAGTCGTCCAAAACGTGGATTGAAACTCAATCAGGCTAATAAACCAAGATAAGTTCAAGGGAGAACAAGACAGGAAAAAGTAGAGTCGACCCTAGAAGAAGATGGTGATCTAGCTTTCCCCGATGACATTTCGCAGGTTGTTCAGCGTCAGTACGACAAAGATCAACAACAATTAACGAACAAAGTAAAGTTCGGAAATCTCAGGGTACTCAACAAGTTACCGGCAGAAAGACGAAGAGTAAGAAGAATGCTTGAGCGACAAGTGGTATTTTTTACATGGTATATATACCCATATCTTTCCAAGCTATATGCCGGTTCTCCTACTAGCTTCTTCATCCAAGGGGGCGTACTTTGGGCAGTAAAAAGTGCACTCGATAGCTACGTCTACCCGCCTCATACGCCTTGAACCGAGACAGTGTGAATAATAGCCGATATAAAGATAGATTCTCCAATACGATAACATATTTAACGGTGTAGTTATATACAATATTGAATCTCTTCTTTGTGAACACTGCTAATAGATTACATAAACCAGTAAAACAGCATACTAGTCCGATTAGTCATAAAGCTTTACTGAACGACATCTAAAACAGTTACAAAGCTGTAGAAAAGCAGAATATTTGCTATGTGGATTAGCAAATGTCAATTATATTGGTACATTAATACTCTCTTCTTAATATCACAGGGAACCACTGAATATTACTGGAATCTGTCAATGACCGAAATGACCAAAGAGGCTGGTTTGCGTAATGACTCATATTCCAAGTCAACACTCGATCATTACTGTGATTATGATATCTCTTAGAGACATTTTTATGCTGCTAAGACCTGAAAATGCATAGTGAGTTGCTAATCAAGTCCTCAGTCGGCGACTTCAGCGTAGTATCTCGCCGGTAGGAGCACAGGGATGCAAAGCGTTAATTGTAACGCTGCAACTAGAAGACTTTGGATACGAACTAAAAAATAAGCACTCTGATGCATTTCAGAAACTTCAAGAATGTCTTGCCTTCTTTTCGCATCCTAACCCTTTCATGGCACCGGGGATAACGATATATGAATATTCTATAATCCACGCATATTTTCAAGCTCGCCACTATACTCAACTGTGAGTTTCTACCACTTGAAATCTACCATACTGGAATATCACTCTCTAGAAAATTACCAAAATGCAACTCTCACAGCCTGTTGTCTCTCATGTCAAGAAGCAGGACCCTATGGCAGATGGTGCCGCACCTTACTTCACAGAGTACCAGCATATCTTCTTCCCTCAACTTACTTGTATGAGCAAAACTCATTTGGAAGCATGGATCTTTGATGCTATTGACCCAACCGTCGATAATATTGCTGTTACCATGACATTCTTCCGTGATGGTACTCAAGCAGCTTTGGGGAAATGTCCAATTCGCACTACATTTCGAGCCGCTTTACCAGATGGAAGCAAGATAGCGGCGGAACTTTTCGCTCAAGATAGCATCATCGAAGCCGACCCAGAAACGGAGAAGATTGTAGGGAAATGGCTAGGAAAGAAGGATGATGATGATACCGGTGATTCTTCATGGGCACAATATGAAGTGTCATTCGACATGTCGGAGGTTATTGTTACTATCAACCTACCCACTGTCCGAGGCACCCTGAAACTCCAACAGCATGGTGGAAGAGATGTTGAAATCACCACAGAGCGTCAGCTGATGGGACCTGGGTTAGCTTGGGTGCACTCAATTCCTCGCGCAAAGGCGGAGGTGAACTTTACCTTCCATGAAGAAGAAGCATCCAAACAACTGCAATTCGAGGGTTATGGAGGCAATGATTATTGTCGATCGACTGAGTCGATGCCTGAATTGATGGAAGGGACCACATATGTCCGTGGTCATGCGGGCTCTTACACTTTCGTCCTATTCCGCCTCTTCAGTCGCCTCCACCCCGGCAAAACGTACACTAGGGCAACTTTGGTGAAAGATGATACAGTGCTCGTTGAAATGGTTTCAGATGATAGTGTCTCTTTGACGAAAGACTACTTATCATTTCGCTCTACATACAGCGGGAAGCTCAGGGGCAATTACTCCGACCATACCACTGGCTACAGAGTGGATTTTGTTTCCCCCAGTCGAAGCAAGCATTGGTCATTTGAACTCAACCACCAAAATTTGTGGTGGAGTATGCCTACGGAAGCACCTCCAGCGAGGACGGGAAATAATGGCTTTATCTCCGCGGTAACTGGTGGTGATACCAGTGAACCAGTGCAGCAAGGAATGGCTACCATTGTACATATACAAATGACGGCGATGAAGTCCGATTATAAAGGGATCAGTAACCGCCAACTATAAAGTTAGCTTATGATAGTGACAACAGACATTAACATTAAAGAGAGAAATACATGAATGTAACCTTTTCATAATATGGCTACTGATACTTAGTATAAGCATCCAAAATATATTACTGGCGTAGCCATACCAGCCACTGAAGCAGACCAAAACTCGAATCTGTCCCCCACTTTTCGAAAAGGAAAAATAGGAGTCTTGTTTGAGTACCAATTAAAAGGGACTGCCCTTCAATTCGGCGAGAATCATGCCAAAGCCCCGCCCCGCTGTTGTTGGCGCCGATTCGGCGATTTTCGGATGATGTATTGCAGTCATTCTTTTTTTTTTTTTTTTTGAAGAACAGCATTGAGAAGGCTTTATAATAGAGCAAGGGAAGAATGTAATGTTTTTTGTTCTAGCTGCCTATGCCACGGCAGAAAATATACAGATTGCCCTCTTCCAGACACGCAGCAAACCATATCAACAGATAAAACGCGCGCAAACCGCAATAATGGTCCAACTTCCGGAGAGACAAACCGCCCTTACCTTCGGAAACGATGGAAACTTACACGTCTCCCATGATGCTCAGGTAGCGCAACTCAAGCCCGATATGATCATTGTGAAAACTGCAGTGGTATCAGTAAATCCTGTGGATACCAAGATGGAAGCTGGATTCTCCAAACCTGGCCTGATTGGGGGATGTGACTTTGCGGGAGTTGTTGTGGCGGTGGGTTCAGGGGTTAAACGAGACGTCAAGGTTGGAGACCGAATTAGCGGAGCAGTGATGGGATCGGATCCACTCGACCCCTCGTCTGGTGCTTTTGCAACCTATGTCAGCGCACCTGCGGATATAACTCTTACCCTCCCTGAGAACGTTCCCTGGTCCATCGGTGGGGCTATGTCCACTATCTGGTTCACTGCTGGTCAAGCTTTGTTTCAAAATCTCTTGTCAGAGCTTGATGTCTGGCCTATACTCCGCCCTGCTAAGGAGCCCAAAACTGTCCTTGTGTATGGGGGAAGCACTTCGGTAGGCACAACTGCAATTCAACTTCTCAAGCTTGCAGGCCTCCGTCCTATTACGACGTGCTCTCCAAAAAACTATGAACTGGTCAAGAGTTATGGAGCGGAAGAGGTGTTCGATTATCGCTCACCGTCATGCGCGGAAGACATCAAGAAGGCCACCAGGAACAACCTGAAATATGCACTAGACTGCATCTCAACGAAGAGCTCAATTGATATTTGTTATGGTGCCATTGGCCGTGCTGGTGGCCACTATACCTCCCTTGACCCCTTTTGGGAATCAACAGCAAATACTAGAAAGGCCATCAAGGCCACTTGGATTGTAGGAATATCTATGTTGGGTAAAGATATTGCTTGGCCACCGCCTTATGAAAGGCCCGGAAATGAGGAAACGAGAGCATTTGGTGGCAAGTTGGCTCAAATCCTCCAAAATATACTCGATGAGAAGAAGATGCGGCCCCATCCGCTGAGGGTTAAAGAAAAGGCAACATGGGAGGACGTGCTTTCTGGCCTGGACGAGGTGAAATCAGGACAAGTATCAGGGGAGAAGCTTGTTTTCGTGTTTTGAACGGCTATTTCATATGTAATGTAGTATAACTCTGCAACCTTACCACAGTCATTTGCCACTTTTAGAACTGGGTTATCGAGTGATATAGTTATGTAAAATAAAATGAGCTAATATTTGATGATTGATATAGCTCCCATGTACTGTATATAGCCTTGAACCATGGGAGGGGAGTAGCTTAATACAAGGATACCTTTGCTTGGCAGTAATGTAGCTCCGAAAACTAACCTATTACCAGTAAACGACTATTCTAAACTGCCATTTACTTTGACAAGTAACCGGACGGAGAATTTTGAGTTGGATATCGTTATATACTCCCTGCTTGCTTTTTTCTGTACTACATCGCTGCAGATCAACAAGTCGATCTCAGCGCGCCAAGATTTAAGCTTATTATTTGCCGCCAAGGAACCCGCCATTCCTAATTCGACGACCAGACATTCTTACCATGTAAGCCTCGTGTTTCTCTTCCTTCCACAGCCGCCCCTTTATTTTTACTATTTATACTTGTCAACCTATGATCTCCCGTTGGCTCACCTTCTATCCGTGATCTCACCAAGGCTTACACACCCTGGTACAGCCTGGACGCTCTTACTACATGCTTTGGAATAGCACTGTGGGACCATCCTACATTCTCACACTCGTTATATCAGAACAAGGATCTTTGTTATACGAATGTAGTATGCATAATACATGCATGCTCTCTCGACCTTTTCCTAGAACTGGTAAACGAGCAGTTATTGTGGCATTATATGCGGCAGTCACTAGGTCTTACTAACATCAGCATCATCTATACGGTACATAATAGGCTCTGGCCTCCAGGGGTATGGCCTGTTTCTGGTATCGCCCCGTCTTGACGGCATTCTATTCCAGCATTATCACACGTGGATATACCTAGGGAAATATAACTCGTGGCATGACACACCCTCTCCACTTCTCCACAGCCACTAGGAGCCTTGTGGCTAACATCCGTCCATAAGCCCTTTGATGGGACTAGCTCGTTCATGAAGGACGGACAGTTTACGCACTTTACAGTCAAGCGGGAGCTGCCGTCGAATATCTAAGTTGCAACCTCAGTTAGCAGGGCTCATATCAAGCTCAAATACTGCCAAGGGACGAAGGTTGCATTGCAGCCAACGCAGGGGACAGGGTTTCTCCTTTTCCTATCCAATCTCATTACATAGTATGTTTACTCTGTAGTTAGGATGTTTTCTCCTCCTTGCATTTTTAACAGACCCAACGGGAAATATACATTTGATAGCCCTATCAATGCCCATCTTATCCATCTAATACATTGGTTAAGCAGCCTGGGCCATCATTGGTTTCTGCTTAAAAACCGACCGCTCGGCCTCTTTTGGGCCTAACTCTCCATTGCCTCGATGATTATTTGTTTAGTGAGGTGTAAAAGCTCTTGTCTAAGGTTTATATGCGGTTACCTTGAAATCCACTCTTGGTTATTGCGGGAGCAGAGCTACCTAACTAACACAGTTGCCATACTCCTGTATGCAATCAATACGAGAAAGACCATGCTTGTATATATAACTGTCTGATCAGCCCTGGTAGGGGAATGCATTCCTGCATTCCACCGCCGAGGAACTATTCCGTGTGTTTTCTGGAGTGGTCATTTAGTTCCACCCCCTTCTGCCAGTTCTCTCAGTATTTTTCTTCTCAGGCATATTTCTGAATTGAGCTCTACCGATATTATCCTTCCTAGATATACTTATTTTGCCTCTACTGTCCCAGTGCTCCCTCGATTCTTCCTATCTACGGCGTATCACTCCCAACAGCCAATTATAACGATGTTAAGAGACCTAAAATTTGTGACCAAGCCAGTCAACGATGCGCCCCATGGCCAAAAGAGAAAGACAATGCAGACATGTTCATCTGAAGCACGGTTACGGTTGGCCTGTAATCGTTGCCACGCACAAAAATTGAGATGCCTACGCTCCGAAGGCACCGAGCCAGGGAATAAATGCGACCGCTGTCGACGTGCATCTGTCCTGTGTGTCTATAGCCCTCCAAATCGTATAGGCCGACCTGCAAGAACTGGAAAAACACCCACAACCTCGTCTGCCGATTCTTTAAAATCAGATGGCCAGAGTAGTTTGCGGAACGCGCCTCAACAGCATTCCCCAAAATCTCCATCTCCAGGTCCTCAGCCACGGTTCCCTCCCAGGCAGGGGTCTTCAATTGACTCTATGACTGAAGATTCAGGGATGTTTGATTTTCACTGGGATGGATCTGATATTAAAGTTGATATGGTATCTTATTACAACAACGATATGCCATCTCTAGAGAGTTCCATCGCTCTATTTACTGAGAATACATCTATTCTGGAAGAAATATCTCAAAATACATATATGTCGGAGGAAATATCTGGAATACCGTCACCTACTGATAGGTCCTGTGGTGCTCCAGGGAATCAACTTTTTGCCATGGAGAAATCTCGCGATAGTTATGTTCGAGAACTTACAACTTTAGGGCTAACTCAATATGACCAGCTCCGCCATCTAGAGCGAATGAGAAATTGTGCTGGTGATAATAGAAAGGCATTATTTACTCGGCTGCACGGTTATCCGATACATGATATGCTGGAGCAGGTTCAAAAGCTCACCGAGATAATAAGGCAGCTAATGCCAGTGCCAGAATATGGAAGCGGGTTGTTTGGTGTGTCTCCGGATGCTGTCAGTGAACCTATCCCGGAGCTGGACTCTTCTCTATTCACCAACAACACAATGGCGAATGAATTTTCTGACATATTGGTACAACCATTTTCGGATACCTCCTGTTTAAGCTCCGGTGGTAGCAGCAGCCGGTTATCACCTATAACACCGAGCAAGCCGGCCCCCATAGACACTTCAACGATCCTCCTATTTGTTTCGTGTTACCTCCGACTAGCCCAGTCATTTGCCTTGTTCTTTACGGACCTTCATGCCTTTCTTGTTTTTCCAAGTGTTATTGATCCCATACCTTCAGATATGACCCGGTTATTTCCTGGCCTCAAGCTTGGCTCATTTCAGTCATATGTAGGAGTGGGTCTTGAGATATCCATTGTCGTTCAAGTCAGTGAACGTATGCTGCACCGCCTACATAGCTCACTTGGCCTATCCTGGGGGCAATGCGACTCTGAAAACTCTTTCAGCCATCACTTCCCGACGGGCACCTGGAACAATGCGGAGGCTATTACCCCAGTTATGATCAGAGCAATTCAGGCGCAGGAGAGGATAGAGGCCCGGGACGAGAGAGGAGACACATTCACACGACTATTACTGATAATAGAGGGCGTCAAAAAGTTGATGAAGTCGCAGCCGCTTCTATAAACATTTTGGAGAAATAGTCATCTGCTTTGTCATTTCCTGGCCTTTTGTTGGTATATAAATGTTATGGGTTGAATGGAATGCGGAGTCACATCACCCGAGTCCAGTAATAGTGCTTTGCATAACTCGTCATAGGCCCGTGTAATATGGAATACCGGAGGTCCGGCAAAAGGATTCTTACATATCTTTCCTATGCCGATGTGCTTTTCAACAGCAACCGTGTCAACGTCAGGCTCAATAGCTGTTATTTTCAGGGAATAGGAACATCCACCGTGATATAGTATCACGATCCGGCCCATCTACAAGAAGACTAGAGGTCATTATAGACACTTACATAGATAATACTACCATATAATTATGTCATGGCGGGAGATACGACTTAAGAGAACCAACCATTCGACTCTCCAGGTCCCTTTTCTCCAAACAACCCTCCCATTAATATAAAACCACTACAAACTGGGATCCCCTGGTTATATGTGGCTCTCACATACATAGTAGAGGATAGAGGACAGAGTATACACTGTGCCATCCCAGATTGGCATTAACTAATGAGTGATGTCCGGAAAACCCACATGGGGGAAGCCAGTTTAATGACGATCCGCTCGGAAGCCAAGGGCGATATTTTAAATACGAAGTACTCCATAGTTCTTGCAGAAAGTTTGGCCATCTGAAAGTGAAATGAGATCGCTGCTGACTGACTATTGCATACCCTGAAAATACGATGAAAGATAGTTGGCTCCAAACCCCCAGGGAGCGTTAAGGCTTCTTTAAGGGTCAATCTTCCGTTTACCTAGGGCTGCTGTTAACTAGGGGATTAATGGTAGTCACTATGTAGTACCTCCGTTATAGATAAGAAGGATGTCTTGGCCGGTTGCTCGGTTACAGGCCCTGAAGGCGAGTATATTTTTCCCATCTCGCCAAATCGCCTCCTACGGAGAATGTTCGGGTATGAAGGGAGACACAGCCATTGCCAAGCACAACCAAGATCGTCCTAGTGTGAAGAAAGGGAAAAGAAGCTTTGGTTGAAATGCTTTGCTGGCCGTCTGTGTATTAATATACTATTTATGCCTGTTTGAGGATGTTCAGACTTTGGGGGCGTTGTGGCAGTTATACGAGCAATACGGTAGAGCTTGTGAGTGCTAGCTACTACTGTGCATAAGTTGAATAACTTGCAAAACCGCCGCTCGTGGTGGGTGGAGCTCCTTTCAGGACTGTTGGGCCTACGGGGTTTCCCGGTGCTCTCCGATCTCTCTCGTGGTTCGTCTCAATTTAGCTACTGGATGAAAGCAAAGCCAAGTCGCGCATCAGTATATTGGTGGTTACTTTTATGGAAAAGACCAATGGCAATAATCGAGGGTGCTTTTGATCTGTAAATATATGCATTGTTCTGTACAGGGTACTCCATAGTCCTTGTAATAGTCATATTGTACATGCACACACACCTCTCCCCTCAAGCATTTTCTCTTTCCGTCTTTTCCGTTCTTTTTCAATTCCTTTTTTATAGTGGAATAGCACTGTTTGGAATACCAAGGGTATCTGAATGATTAAATCATTTCTATGGGAAAAGACAGGAAAATAGAGAGCCTCGTCTTCCGTTTGCGCTTTTATTTAATGTCGGAGCTACCGACGGGTGGCAGACGCTGTGTGTTAAATATCCATTGCATGATCACATAGAAAATGTAAGCAAGCAGTTTTAATAAGCCAAAAGTGAGACGTCACTGAGTGATGGATCAACAAACAGCTCCTCCAAGAAATACAACAGACCTTGCAAGCTTGGCTAAGATCTGCCGTCTTGTAAAAGATGAAGGAGATCAATTCGCGGATGTAACTCGAATCAACAGGGAGTGTAGAGAGTAACGCATTTTAATGCAACAAGATAAACTCAATAAGATCCTGGAATTAATTTCAAAGCCAACAGTGACAAGTTTCCGGTTTTCGGTTATTCATAATTGAGCACAGGTGAGCATAAGGTACCAATGACAAAGTGATATCAAGCACTGCAAGAATAGTGGTAGTGGGCGCTTTGAAGTCATTATTCCCGGAAAGTAGGTGTCTTGGAGCAATAAATATCCATTCATTCGCTTGCAATAGATAATTTTGACTTCCAGGGTAATGTAGATAGCCTGAGTTAATACTCGTATAATCAATGATGGCAGTGGACCTGATTGCATTCCGTAAGCTGCCTCGATATCGAGTATTCTGGCAAAGAGTAGCCACCAGCATGAGTGGCTTTGCAATTTCAAGAAAATCAATATCGCATCCAGCATGTACGACATTTCGTCTTAGATAATGAGACTAATGGGATATCTTGATATTTGCTCTTTCTGTGGAGGGGATGGCCGAAAAGATGATAACTTCAAGTCACATTTCTCGCACACGCTTTGCAGCCCTAGATGTCAAAGTATCGTCTGGTAGCCCGCTCCTCTTAGTGCCAGGCAGGCTACTTGTGCGGATGTCATTATCATCCTGGCTAACCCTTCGGTTAGGGTACTTTCCTTCAAACCCTTCAAAGCAATTTGCTGTAATCGGGCTACCGGTGGAAAAGTAGGGATGTTCCAATGCCTGTTTCGCAGTAATCCTCTTCGCTGGGTTATATTCCAATAGCCGAGAGAGAAGGTCGAACCCCTCCTTCCCAGGAGTTCCCGCTACCGAAGAAGCAGAATATGAACCATTTTTAAGACAGGCATTATACCATGGCTCTAAGCTAGAGGGCTTATGAATATGACTTGTTCCAGGACCAAGGGCAAAGGCCTGAAGTTGGCCATACTCAGGCATCGACGCTAATCCAGGCCAATTTTGCTTCAGGGGCATCCCAAGTATTTCCATTATTTTAAGCATTTGATTTCTTTGGAAAGGGACATTTTTTTTACTGTCCATCTTTGCTTCCTCGCCTTTGAAAATGGGGCGAAGAGAGAGTAGCTCAGCAAATATGCATCCCACAGCCCAGAGATCAACAGCCGGGGTATAGTGGCGACTACCAAGTAGTAGCTCTGGCGCCCGATACCATATTGTCACAACGACCTTGTCACCAGAAAAGAGAGAGTTGAGTGGCTTATAGAATAATCGAGCAAGTCCAAGATCCCCAATCCTCACTGCGCCGCTCGAGGTAACTAGAATGTTTGCAGGCTTGAGATCACGATGAAGTACCCAATTTGAATGGAGATAGAGGAGCCCATTGAGTAGTTGGAAGAGAATCGACTTAACCATCGGTGCAGGGATGGCATGGCGCTGAGGCTGTGTATGATGGTGAATTATTTGCAGAAGATCATGTTCAGTATACTCAAATACCATAAAAATGCAACGATCCTCAAGAATAATTTCCACGAGCCTCACAACATTTGGGTGATTTAGCTCAGTGCAAAGGGCAATTTCTCGAACGGCAGATTGCGAAAGCCCTGTGTACTGGATGGTCTCTCCTTCCTTGTCTGGTTTGAATCTAAAATTGGGTTGCTTAACAACACTGCCAGATTTGATCGAATGAGGGATATATTCTCACTTCTTGATAGCAAATTCACCCTTTTGTCCATTTTTGCCGACCGCCTTGTACACGCGTCCGTATGTACCGCTACTGATAAACCCGACAATATGGTATTTCTCTCGTATCCGAACTTTGCTGGTATAGCCAAATCCTGGTGATTTTATTTGGTTTGTGGAGTCTGGATATTGTTCAGTCAGCAAACGGTCAGCTCAGGGGTTAACTAAACCGGAACTTTCGGGTAGATGGGAAAGAGCATGATATTCGAAAAGGTAAAGATTTGCCAATGTAGGTTTTTAGAATTGAAAAGGACATGGATGATGTATAGATGATAGGCCTAAAGAGATGCCCAGACAGTACTCCATTCTTTGTGGATATAGTAACAGAGCAACCTCGGGATTTGGGCAGGCTCGAGTTATTTTTTTAGCCGACAGCGGCACAGAAGCGAAAAGGAACCACCCAGAGGACCACGGAAGCGAAGTCAATGCTGGGTTAATTAATATTTGAAAAAAAGGGAGGGTTGTAGAGAATGGCAACTGGAGCATAGATGCCGAGAAATATCGGGTATCAAGAGTTGAGTGACATTAAAGGTGGCAGTGTAAACATGTCAAAAAACATGTCGAAAGAAAGTAATTCTTGAAAAAACCACCGAGGTCCTCCTGTAGAATGTAATTGCCTTACCATCAAAAGCTACTTGTACGGTCCGATGTATGCCTTTGGTCGTTGATCGAGAAGCCATTTGAACGAGGGCGAAATTAAACAGGGCAAGTGAAAAATGAAGAAAAAAAAACTTGAAGGAATTAAGTAGATCATTCAGAGGTAAAATAATCTTCCAGGTATCTAAAAATACAGAAATATCAATTATTTATGCAGGTTGATGTTGTTATTCTGATGAACTTCCCAGTGGCTTGTTTTTTATATGTCGTCCATTCAAGCTCACGTCACGTGAACGTTTCAACATCCTTCGGAGGATGCGCTTTTTTTTCCCTTTCTTCGTCAACTTGAAGACTGATGGGAAGAGACAGGATTGCTCCATAGAATAGTATATGCGCTGAATGTTAGACTTCCAATGCCCTAATACTGGCTCTATCCAGGTATAATGGTCGATAGAGCTGAATATTTTCTCCCTTACCACGAGCCAGGTATCAGGACGATTCTTGTTCAATCTTCGCTGATCAAAGCCTTTGATAGCTTGATATTTTGTGGCTTGCTTGGATAAGTATTCATCAGCATTACCTGGGGAACCCCAGGAGCAAAATGGCTAGACATGAGCTCGCAAGACACCATCGTTCAACTCGGATATTTGGGCCTCCTACTTTTAGTTTTTGAAGGTAAAGCTAGGTGTTTTCCTATATTCAATTATTTTCATTAGCTCACAGTTACAAAGGAGGATTGGGCACCGACTTTCGGTCCCTGAGGGCGAATATCGCCCTGTCGGTGGCTGTGGCAGTTACAGGGGTATGTTTCCCCATGGGTATTGCTTTGTGCTCCAGCCACTCGCCGAGGCAACGCCGCTTCAAGCGTTTGCTGCCGGTGCAGCACTATGCTCTACTAGTTTAGGGACTACTTTTACCATCTTAAATACGAGCGGGCTGTTATCCACCCGCCTTGGTACAGTATTAAGCAGCGCTGCCATGATGATGTTGTTGGGCTTGTGTCCAAGTTATCTCTAATCTCGGAAAAGCCAACGTATCATTTAACCCTGTTTCGGTTATTAGGCCTCTTGCCGTGTCCTTCGGCTTAACTATCACCGTCCCACTGGTATGCAGGTTCATCGTGAAGCCGTTGACCTTGATGTTCAATAAAATAAGGCAATCAAACACAGATGGTTATGTGAACAGGCCATCTCGAATGACTTATACTCCTTTCATCCTGCATACATTCATATTCTTTGGACTTGTAACTAGTGCTACCATTGCGGGTACATCCAACCTCTTTGCCGCTTACTTGGCCGGAGCCTCAATTAGTTGGTGGGATAGTGAGGTTTCTCATCCAGAGGTGTCTACAAAGAACAAATCATCTACATTTCTAAACTACAATCCCAAAATAGCACTGCTCTGGTGCAACCGCTCACTGGGGAAAATGTAGGAAGCTCAAATCCCAAAGCTGACAGTTTTACAAGCAGCTGTCATGTATCCTTGAAAAATGGCGGCTTGGATATATATCACAAATATTACGCTCCAGTTACAGCGTATATCTTGAAACCATTATTTTTCGTATGTTGCATCCCATTTATATCCCCAGACTCATTGCTAATTGAAAAATAAGGCATCAATTGGTTTTGCAGTCCCAATCAACGATATGTTCCATAGCGAAACTGTATGGAAAGGCATTGTCTTTTCGATTCTAATGTTACTCGGTAAGGTAATCACCGGTATATGGCTTATGCGTTTGAATATATCTTGGCCAAAGCCCTATATACCGAAGAGTATCCGTTCAGTCATGGCAGGCCCTGTGATGTGCTTCAAGCGGACTTCGAAGGAGCAGAAGTGCAAAAGGCAGGCTAAATGGTATCCGATTATTCAATAGAGCACCAATGGATGAGGTAGGACAAGGCAGAAGGCCGATTTCGAACAATTCTGCGTCAGAGTCCTCCAATCCCAATTATCCTTCATCCACCCCTTCCAGAATTAAAAAGCCACTATCACTTTATCCAGCAGCCATGCTAGGCACAGCCATAGTTTCTTGTGGCGAGATAGGATTTTTAATAGTGTCTCTAGCTGAAACAAATGATCTTTTCAGTTCTCACGGAGAGGCACACGCTTGAAGCTCTAAGTTATATCTGATAGTTACTTGGGCCACTGAGTACAAGAATATTAACCAGGAGAGTCAGGAGACTATAGAGGGAAAGGTAAAGAGTTCTAGGAGTAATAGACCCTTTGGGGCAATGGGGTATTTAACAAAGTCATTAAAGTCTCATCATAGGGTTAAATAGGGCATAGGAATACATGGGCCATATGGCCAGAAAATGGAGTATCGAAATGTAGTGTTACATATCCCAAGGGGTAGAAATTAGACTCAGTAACCTATAAAAGAAACGTTAGGAAATGCCGGTAAAATATGACCTCAATTAAGGGTCAACGAAGGGTCATTGCTCACCATCCTGTTCTCTTCGGTTATTATCTTTTTTTTCATTTCCACTGCCATCTTCGTGAGACGCAGAGGGCTTCCCACCAGCCTCCAGAATAGCTTGGTCATCGCCTCTTAATTTCTCAAAGTAAGATTTAATATCTTCCGCCCCGACGGCTTGACCGCTCTCTGCAAATGGCTTCAAGAATTCCTTTACCTTGTCGCGCAAATGATTATAAACCATAACCCCTTCGATCGCCTTTACACGATCTAAGTTACTGAGTGCAGCTTCACCTCTATCCAATAAGCTACCTGTATGGATACTACCGGCGCTGTTGTGGCCATTCTGTGCGTCGCCATCTTCGGATAGTGGAGGTTCGTAAACTTCTTCCTCTTCACGGAGCTGAGGGTTATGTTTAAGATTAGGAAAACATTCCACACATTTACACAAATGGTCGCGGAAATCCTCTTTGACGAAGAGTGAAAACCGTCCCTTAGGGGCCTCCAATGGGAGTGATTCGTGTTTTTCCTTAGGTTTGACTAAATCAGTGCTAAGTTCACTTGAATCGCCAGGCGGTACTGAGGGATCCTTCTTCAACCGTTTAGAGTCCGGCTCCGCGGGTTCATCATCCTCCAGTGCTCGCTTTTCTGTCAAAGTTGCTGTTGATTCATTTGTTTCTTCCTCCTTTGCTTTCATTGTATCATCAAAAACGTCCGGCTTGTTATCTTCAAGGTAAACTGGAGGCAAGAATCCTGGAGTGCCCGCATACCGCTTGATCCATGGATTGGCGTCCAGGCATTTATAGCAAATAAAAGTCTCAAAATCATCCTCATCAGGAAACCCTGGGGGTAATGGTGGGTCTTCGTCATCCTCTTGATTAGTACTGGCCACACGAGGCAATCCTCTCAAGCACTCTGGGTGCCACCAATCTTCACCGCAGCCACCAGTTTCAACTGTGCCAATACCAAGACACTGAAACATAGTCCCTTTTTCTTTATGTGGATCGTACGTGTCACCGCAGCCACAAAATCTATTCCTAAAGTTTTGGTTGTAGTTATTCGTCTTGCATGGCTCTTCTGAGTGAACGCCCTTCTTGCCAGTTGCTGGATCTGCTCTCAGGGAACACGGGGAGTTTGATGGCAATTTTGTGGTTCCACAATCGCATGTAAAGTCACGCTTGGTGAATAATTCAACTAGCTCATGCTCGCCGTGACATGAAATCGAACAGGAATAGCAAACACCGGCAGCGTTGTATGAAGTAGTCGTATCATTAGGAGGATTGCAAGTAATGCAAGAGAATAAACTCTGTCGAAGTGGTCCGAGAGGTCGTGTACAATTATCAAACGACTTTTAGTAGTTCTAGGTCAGCCCTCTCTCAAATACAAGTGGTAAAAGAAACATACGTAAGGCAAGGCTTCGCGCGCGTCGGCCTCTAATCTCAGTTGCTCATTGATGAAACTAGTAGATAATTATTAGTATCTGTTATTTTCTTTTAAATATACTTGTTGTAGGGAAAAAACCTAGCATTTCACATACTCAGAGGCTGTCTGCGAGTTCTCAGAGACGAAGCTCTCGCGTCGCTTGAGAGTGGCTTCGCCCCCGTCTGCTTTCCCATCTGCCAGGCCGGGTGCCTGGTTTTGATCCATCTCGCTGGGAATTGAAAGAAAGGGATAAAATGCCAGTGTTTCGAGGGCAACAACAACAAGAACAACAGCGAAGCTGTTCCACTCTCTTTGCGCAATCTTCAAGTTGTTTTCTCTGTTCATGACAAAGATGTGTTTGACTTGTTTGCACTGACTATATTTCCTGTTTAGACTAAATGGGAAAACGCGCTTATTTTGGCGCGACGCGACGCGTTCGCGCTTCTTATCCTTTTTATCTTTTTATCGAAATTATCAGCTTTTCAGCATCTCAAACAATCCAGCGGTATCAGCAGGACTCTATCGAAAGATTCTGTATAAATCTGGGTGTCTTGTAACAACTTCCCTCATAAAACTTTAACCCCTGAGCAACTTTCGATCAATATCGTGGGGAATTCATCGTTCACAATGAGGTATGGTTTCATCCCACTTACACAGTTGACTTCACCAGGTACTACGGTAAAAGTGCTAATTTTTGTTAATCTTTCATAGTTCACCCTTGCGTCCTAGCAATTCTGCTGGTAACAGAGGGCGTGCAAACATCACCAGCAGAAAGCGTGGCCATGATGGCCTTGACGATAACTCCTCAGCACCCCCCCCTTCGAGTCGTAAGTCGAACCGGGCAATTATCGAGTAAAGCGGACCTTAGTATGGCCACTAACTAAGGTACAGCCCCTCCATCGTCCCCGCCAATGTTGCCTCTTGATGAGGTTGACAACGACGATGATATAGCTGCAGAGGAAGGGTTTATCCCTGACATAGATGATCTAGAAGAGATGGCTGAAGATGATGACGGAATCGATCTTTTTGCAGATAACTTTGAAAAGGATTATGCCAACCGCCCAAATGATCAGTATGGGGGAATTGATATCGACGACGCAGACCAAGAGGAGTTAGACCTTGCAGCAAGACGACAACTGGAAGCACGACTTAATAAACGAGACCGTGAAATCGCGCGAAGGCGCAAAATGCCGGCTGCTTTCCTTCAAGAGGATGATTTGGATGGAGTTCCCGATCTCTCACTTCAAACACGCAGGCATCGACGTAATTATGACGAGGAGAGTCAAGATGCCGATATGGATGACCCGGAAGCGGACCTGACTCTTGAAGATATGGCTGATATCAAAGCCGATAATCTTACGGAATGGGTTGCAACTCCAGCTATCCATAGAGCAATCTACCGGGAGTTCAAATCCTTCATAACCGAGTTCACAGACAAAGACGGAATATCAGTGTACGGCACTCTTGTTAAAAACCTCGGAGAGGAGAATTCTGAATCACTTGAGGTTGCATACCCTCACCTCAGCGAATCAAAATCGATCATTGCATACTTCCTCGCCAACGCTCCAGCAGAGGTCCTTAAAATATTTGACCAAGTTGCAATGGAGGCTACTTTATTGCATTACAGAGACTACCACCGCATTCACAGCGAGATCCATGTACGAATCACCAACTTACCCGTCAAATACACTCTTCGACAACTTCGACAGAGCCATCTCAATTGCCTCATCTGTGTCAGCGGTGTCGTTACAAGGCGAACTGGTGTTTTTCCACAACTAAAATATATCATGTTCAACTGTAGCAAATGTGGTGTCACACTTGGCCCGTTCGAACAAGACTCCAGCAACGAGCTTAAAATCTCGTTTTGCCAGAACTGCCAGAGCCGTGGCCCATTTACCCTAAATTCCGAAAGAACTGAATATCGCAACTTTCAGAAACTAACTCTCCAGGAATCTCCTGGAACTGTGCCCGCAGGCCGCCTCCCGCGTCATCGTGATGTTATCCTTTTGGCAGATTTGATTGACTCTGCAAAACCAGGCGATGAAGTGGAGATCACCGGTATTTACCGCAATCAATACGATCTTCCAATGAGTCAACGGAGCGGCCTGCCGGTATTCAGCACAATCATCGAAGCTAACCATATCGTCAAATCCCATGATCAGCTAGCTGGATTTCAATTGACCGAGGAAGACGAACATCAGATTCAAGCTCTCTCAAAGGACCCAAATATTGTCGAGAGAATAATAAGCTCTATCTGCCCAAGTATATATGGCCACGAAGATGTGAAGACTGCTGTTGCCCTTTCTCTGTTTGGAGGTGTTAGTAAGGTGGCCCAGGGTAAAATGAACATCCGTGGGGATATTAATGTGCTGTTACTTGGTGATCCGGGTACTGCCAAATCTCAGGCTCTAAAATACATAGAAAAGACCGCTCATAGGGCTGTTTTCGCTACAGGTCAGGGAGCTAGTGCTGTCGGTTTGACTGCAAACGTCCGTCGTGACCCAATGACCAGCGAATGGACTCTCGAAGGCGGTGCGCTTGTGTTGGCCGATCGTGGTACCTGCTTAATTGATGAATTTGATAAAATGAACGATCAAGATCGCACATCGATCCATGAAGCCATGGAACAGCAGACAATATCTATATCGAAAGGCGGTATTGTCACTACTCTCCAGGCGCGATGCTCCATTGTTGCAGCTGCCAACCCTATTGGTGGACGTTACAGGGGAACACTTCCATTTTCTCAAAATGTTGAGCTCACTGAGCCTATTCTTTCACGTTTCGATATCCTTTGTGTTGTCAGAGACATGGTGAATCCAGACATAGATGAAGGGTTGGCTTCATTTGTTATGAATTCGCATTACCGATCCAATCCAGTTAAAGATGCACAAGGAAACCCAGAAGAAATTACGGAGGATTCTCCCGAATCCCGGTTCAGGGCACAAAGAGCTGACGCGATACCGCAAGAATTATTGCGAAAATATATCGTCTACGCTCGGGAAAAATGCCATCCAAAACTATATCAAATTGATGAAGGCAAAGTGGCTGAGGTCTTTGCTGATTTGAGACGAGAGAGCTTGGCCACTGGAGCATATCCTATCACAGTACGTACTAATCCACCCCACCATAACCCCCCACTCCCACTCCGCTACCAGCCTAATTTCACCTTTCTGTACCTGTTTTAATACTTACTGATCGTTATAGGTGCGACATCTCGAGTCAATCATGCGGATTGCAGAATCATTCTGCAAAATGCGTCTGTCTGAATACTGCTCATCCCGTGATATTGACCGGGCAATTGCAGTAACGGTTGATTCATTCATTGGCAGCCAAAAGATAAGCTGCAAAAAAGCCCTCTCAAGAGCATTTGCTAAGTACGTTAAGATTCGTTCCCCTAATATACCTTCACAATCATCTAATCGGCCAAACAGGTATACCCTCAACAAACCCAAGGTAAGAAGAGATAGAGGCTCAGGCTATAACCCTACCACAAGCCGTAATTAAGGGATGCATGGATATGAGATGAACACTTCAGTACATGGACTTAATTAGCAACTCATGGTTCTGGGAATATTAAATAGGCAGTGTAATGATTGGGTTTTTGTGGCAGGGAATTGCCTCAGATCATGAAATAGATGCAGTAGCTAATGAACAATCTTTCATCTTTACAAGCATGCCGTGCTCAGTGCTAAGGAATATCGGGGGAACTACTTGTCCGCGCTCGCTCAGGATAGATTCATCTAATGGTAGCCATCCACTATACCATCGCCCTTACTCGTCTTTTAACTTACCTGTTTATCATTTACATTAATGATTAAAGAGCTTCCGACCCGTGGAATAATACTGCTTACATGTAAGAGATTGGCTGGATATTATCATAAAATTCAAATAAGAATGTATAAGACAGAGCAAAAGGTGTATAACATAATATTTACACAAATCGCTCAAACAAACGACCCAGACAGGACGCCATAGCCAAGCTCCCTAACCAGACTCTCTAGCCACACATATCTGTCAATTCCCCAAAAACTCTAGCCAACATGTTCTAAGTGCCCCAACCCCAAACAAGTTGCGCCCCAGCAGAACTCATGACAGCCACTTGTCAACGAGGTATAGGTTGAAGTCAAAGGGTTCATCTTCCATACTACTGTTCGGTGAGTCATCAGGGGGGTTCGAGTGCGTAGTAGGAACCATAGCCTCTCCTTGGGATGCAAGGGGTTGGTCCTGCAGCCCAGAGAGTATATCCTTTAAAACAACAGGATCCAATTCCATCGCAGGATCAAACTCCATTGCAGGATTAAACTCCATTGCGGGATCAAACTCCATTGCGGGATCAAACTCCATTGCAGGAGTAGACCCCATTACAGAAACAGGAGCAGAGACAGGGGCAGAGGTAGGGGCAGAGGCAGAAGTAGGGGTAGGAGTAGGAGTAGGAGCAGGGGTAGGCAGAGAGGAAGGAAACTCGGGTCGTCGCATCGTAATGGAGCTTGGTGCTGCTGGAGGAGGCTCGGGAGGAGTGAAATGATTCCGACGCCGTTTTCCACCTGGGGAGTTGGACTGAGGGATCGGTTCGTCCCCATAGTCGGGTTTGTGAGGGGTTTCCTCGAATTCATCGTTATTTAGGATGGCTTCTCGGGTAACGACAAACCACGACCCTGTGTTGGCGTAATGGCACTTTGAGGCGTTCTTGGCTGACGCTAGACGGTCCTCGAGGCTCCTATCTGTTCTCCGGGCGGCACTGAGAAAGGCACTAAGAAACAAGTTTAGTTTACTGTATATCCATGAAGCCAAGTCTCAGTCCGGATGATGAGACTAATGGTGGAGGGATCAAGATTGTTGTATGACTTACCTTTCTCTTCTGCCTCTACTTTCTTCCCGGAGCTCAGAGAGAGATGGCGTGTATTTGTCTGGGCGAAAGTTGCGGAAGGAAAACCTGTTCTTGACTCCGCCCATTTTGTAAACACTGCAGCCCAGGTTAGTAGATGTATGAAGTATTAGCAGAGACCTAGCTCTCATACAATAAAAAAATAGAAAAACTAAAAATAAAAATAAAAATGTATGATTCCAAGTGAGTCTTGGAACAACGCGATTTGGAGGTTTTGAGTAGCTGGGGTATATTCTACTAGAGGTGGTAATAATATTTCTAAGCCCTTTAAAATCAATATAAGAGTGAACGTAAGACGAGGAGGGGAAGGAAAGAAAAGGGGAAGGGTGGGAGAGCTCTTCCTCAGTTAAATTTTCATTATGGAAGCATAAGCATGACATCAGGGTAAGAAACCATGGTATCAGGGAGGCTTAAACAGCCCATATAATTGGAATGCATACGTCAGAGCAAAAGGTGGTGCCGTAGTTTGGTATCTGCCAGGGGGCTTCAGAGCAATAACGGGTAAACTCTCTCTCTTTCTTGTGAGTTCGAAAGCAGAAGGCCGCGAGAATACCAGCTGTAAGCTATACCACTTCCGCAAAAATGGAAGGGGAGTCTGTTGCCACTGAGTATTCTCTGTCAGCAGAAAGTGTAAGGGGATCCTTGGGTATTACATGTAAGTAGCGAACGGACATCCATTCAGCGGACAGGAGGAGAATATCTCTAGACTTATGGGGGAATAAGTTTCCTTAATTCTAGTGCAGGAAAAGTGATGAACAAGAGTAGAGATATTTCATCACTAGGCCGTTTAGTTTTTCACTTATTCCTATAACTCCTCTACCACCGTAGAGCACCCGTAGAAACCTTGGTCTGGCTGGTACACCATGATAAATTTTCAGGGAAAATACATATTCGAGCCCAAATAGCCTGCAAAGACAACGATAAGATACATAGCACCCTATCCTATTGCTTCTGGTAGTCGAAATAATGGCATTTAACCAGCCTATGCCAAAAGCCAGCCTTCAGACTCCAATGTCTTTGCGCCGACGGAGTTGGCATTAACCACCACGAATCGGAAGCATTCGGAAACGAACTGATGGCCTTTGGAGCACGCAAGAGAGGGCTTATGAGGGAATAAGGGAACTGAACATCCAATAACAGACCGTCATATTGTTTTTGTAGTTGGTTGCTGCTACCGGCGACAGTGGCACCAACATCTATCAACAAGCTGTTATTGCTGCAGTCGTACCTTTATTAACCATTACTTAGTTTGTGATCGAAGATTTTGCCTGGTTTGCTCAAGATAGTGCCATGGGTATTCTTTGGCACTGAGTCACGGTCATACCCCTTCGAGTAGGAAGTTACCAAGGTGTCGTCACAGAAAAAGTGCTATGTGAGGCCCATGGATGGGTATTAACCGTAAATGACGGTGATCTGTCCATGGATAAGCGTTGGCACCCTAATAGTAAGCGCGACGTATTGCTGTTATCCGTCGGAAGGAAGACATGTTGTTGGCATTTGAGTCTTGGCGTGTGGGCTAGCGCGCTTATACTATGTATAACGGCAATCATATTATATAAAGTAATACTGGCGCTTCAATAAGCGCTCTGGTTGTTGAGAAAGCTGAATCAGCAAGCTCTATCTCGTGGGCTTTTAAATATACACTACTGCGACGCACTTCGTATACGCCGCATTGTCAGTGCTATGCTGCTACATGCATGTATCTGTCGGTGGCAATACAGTATGCAGCTCTTTAAGATAATGATTTTCAGGAGTCGATCCGCTAACCGTTATCCAGACTTGAAACTGTGTCATACAACATCCGATCGGTTGTTCCAATTCTTGCCGAAGAGCCTAAAAGGTGTTGTAATACCTACTTTCAAAATATTCATCTCTAATGTGTACAGTATATAAACAATATAACGGGGGCAAAGGTATGATTTTAGTAAGGGATCCGTTCTCTCCTGTAAATATATATCTATGATCATAAAAATGTCCACTACCACAAGCCAAGCGAGGTAAATGAGATATATATGTTCGATTGGTGTAGCCTAGCTGCTACTAAGAGATGCCTAACGATGGCACCAATCCATCATTCTCATTTAGTTCTTGTCCAATCTTGTAAGATACCTTATAACGAAGCCTGACTGAGTTACCCTTGCCAAGCTCTACTCCGTCCATCTGCAGTTGCTGCTGGACTCCAATCTTCTGATGTGGTGCAATATTCCGACCAGACTGCGGCCGGAGTTGTAGGGAATAAGCCTGCAACACGAAAATTGTGCCATTACGTTAGCTAACCCCTTCCATGGAATATACGAAAAAATTTAATATCCCTAGCACCGAGGGAAAGCAGGGAGAAAGAGCAGTGAGTCATACCTTCTCAATGGCAATTTGAAAATGTAGTTCCGATATAGGCTGAGACGTGTTGTTCGAGAATGATACAAGGCCGTGTATCCGATTTTCGCCAGGAAGGCGTTTGACCTGCATTTTTATCCCTATGGTGGTATTGAGGACTTCCACCGTATTCTGAGAGGGAAGCGTTTCCTCTGGAAGGGCTGACGAGAACGTCCATTCGTCGTCTGCCTCAGAGTTTTGACCTGAAGCCACTTGTTTGGCTTGGCTTGATGGTTGTGGCTGTGGCTGGCTTAGAGTATGGGAAGGAGTATTTGCAGTAGTAGCTGGACCTGGTGCCAGCTGTCCAAGATCTAGCAATGAAGAAAGAGCATTTGATGAAGATGAGCTCTGAAGTTTATTGAATGGCGAAGACGTCCGGGAGTCCCCGGAAGTTATGGCAGCAAATGGGTCGGCTTGAGGGGATATGGGTTTTTGTGTGAAAGTTGAAGGTATCGATGGAGATTTTGCAAAAGGGGCCGACGAGGGGCCTGTTGAGTGGTGAGTAAAGAACATGAGAAGGTAGTGAGAAGCAGTAACATCGTCACTCACCATCAGTTGGTCCTAGAGGAAGCGCAACACCGCCTTGAGGCTCGTCTTGGAAGGACAGGCCTAGCAAGTCACCCTCAAGCGTGGATGTAGATAGCTTGGAAGTTGCGCCGCCGTTAGAAGAAGATGGCTGCTCCTCTTCGCCTCCAAAGTCGATCAGAGAGAGCTCATTAGCGGCATTCTTCTTCACGCCCGTACTCGTCCCTAGAGTTCCCTTGGGTATATTAGATGCTCCAGTTACATCACCAGCTTTAATCAGTTTGTATCTTTGCACCGTTCGGTGTATGCTATCGTTAATTTCCAAGAGTTTCGACACAGCCTCGTTGTCCTCAGATTCATCCTCACACATCTTTTGTATTTTGGGATGTGCATTCTGGAGAGCGCTTGCAAGTTCCTATAACAGGTAGGTGAGCTTCCCTATCACATGCCCTTTGGTCTAATAACAATTAGCTCATACCTCATACACATCTCCTTCCGTTAGTTTATCTCCAGGCTTGAAATTCTCCAGCATCTCTTCGAGTAATTTAGCCTTCTCTTGAACTCTCGAGACTTCCTCTGCTGCCTTTGCCCTATAGTCCGTCCGGTGTCGTGTATCATATCCCGCCATTATTTTCATCAGCCTGTTTGCCTCTCGAAGGTCATCCGGGTTTCCTCTGCGTATTAGTTCTTGCAATTTCGCTGACTGAGCAATCCTCTCTTCCTCTTCCATTTCCTCGGCAGATTGAAGGTTCTATATTACACCATCAGTTATTCACACAGCCCCTGCATCGAGCATAAGTAGTGATAAGTGGGGCCAATATACATCACTAGGATTCAAGACGGCTGCATCCTCACGGCGAATTTCCGGGAACATGTAACCCTTGTAGAGAAGAAGACGGTGCATGTCGCGGATGAACCCTAGGTCATCCTTGTATCTTGAGGTCTGACATATTGTCTGTCTCCATTCTTCAATCGATTCGAGGATTCTCTGCTGTGCTCTTGAAGGTCTGATGGGCGGTCGTTCGGGGAATCTTCGGACTAATTCGTTCAGGAACTCCTTTGTGCTGATCTGGAGATGAAAGGGGTATCCGCAGTTTTTAACACATATATCAAGAAGCTACATCACACACGGAAAAATAGTGTGATGAGATGGTCAGCTTAATATATTTCCTATGATGCTACAGTGTGGAAAGAGCGGCGGTCAGAAACATACAGCAAGGGCTAGCATAGCAACATTCGCATTCCGAGAGTTAATTAGCTGGACTATGGTCATCGCAGCCTCACGAGGTCTTTTTTGATTGTCATTATTTAGGGTTGCGTTCAGACGAAGAAATAGCATATTCAGCCAGGAGGGCGCAATCGCGGGACTGGCTGCACTCACGCATTTCCCCTCTTTGTATTTATCAAATCCACCACTTCGAGATTAAGAGCCAAGTTCGGTTCATAATTCTGCGGATCGCACGCATTATCTGGTAAGGTACTCAGTCAGCCGCTATCTTCATGCTCTGGTGGCATAGCATCAGTTGGCAGGCCGGAGGGAAGACGTACGTATATATCGCTGTAGCGTGGACTGTACAGGTGGCTCAAGGTAGGCGCTGAAGCGGTCCCTGGCCGCCATCCGAGCTGATGTTGCCTCCAGGTTGTCGGTGTATTGAAAGATAAATGACCAAGTCAAGGATCAGGAGAGGAGGGCAGACGTCTCTTTAATTATCGAGCTTAGGAGCCTGTATAATTTAGATGAAGCTATAGATGGGTGAGGATTGGGGCTTGGCCGTCTTTCTTCTTTCTTGGGCCTTCTAAAAAGCGTCGGCTGCGCCACTCCATAAGAACATGTATTATAACGAGAGTGAAAAGACAGTGATATATCTACGCATTCTACTTCTCAATTGTTATTCTCATTCTATTATTTTAATTTCTTCTCGCTCTTCAAACGCTCTTAAACGACCAACGTTTTAGAATCAAAATCCCGGAATTCGGATTTATTTATCTCCTATTGCGGAATAATTATTCTCCGTTGGGGTGAACAAGGTTCGGATTTATTTTTATGCGGAAAGGAAGGCCGTATTATGTAAGAGCTGATTAATATAGCTCAAGTCTAACTTCATACATTAGCGACTGTCCTGTTATTGTCACGTGTTACGTTTTCCTTCCCCTTTTTGTAGGACTACCACCACACCCAAGTTCTTAGTTAGCAACCAATTCCATCTTCCAATACTGTTTTTTTTTATCTACGTTTCGTAGTTCCAATTCCACTCAGGCCTTTGGCTTATCATCACCCTCATACATCTTGTACAGTTCCGTCCTGTACACCCGCAGTGCCAATTTCTACAGTCAGGTCGTTACGTTAAGACCTTCTCCCGCGTTACCTTTCTCATACATAGTACTATGTATAATACCTCCTCTATACTCCAACATCCAGAACGAGTGCAATTCAAACACATATCTAACTCCCAACTCTTTAAGGATTTCTTTAAATCTCAGCGGTATAATTTGATTTAAGCTATATTGGTAGAATATTAGCCAATTAATACAAACGGTGTTCATATAAATATGCGGGGTCTGATAGTTCAAATAAGGATTCTACATATTCCCCGTGATTAAATTAAAGAGGCGAAATTATAGGAAAGCAATGTTATAGTATGGAGTACAAAATAACGAGTGTCATGCTAGGTAAACCAAGGCTGAACATGTTTAATATAGTAAAATTAAGGTTTGGAGAGAAATGACGGGATACAACCATACGACTAGGATAGCTTAGTACCTATAAAACATATTCCCACCTCATCCGATATAACATACATAAATGCCAGTCGCTTTCTTCAACACAATGAATCCCTAACCTATCCAAAGGGAGTGGAATATTACGTAAAGTACCCCGGAGGAATAGAAACACAACATGAATCTCGTAGCAGCCAAATTATGGGTATCAATGATGGCTCAAGCACTTCGTATATCTCGTCCACTGTACATAAACCCTCCAGCAGTGCTCATTTCACCCTTCCCTCGTCGAGCCATCACCCACCCGGGAGAATTGGGATTAGAGATACAGGTTTTCCAGGTCGTCAACGTTGAATGAAAGGATAGACCATGGACATGCCTAGATGCTTGCATTCTTGCAAATGCACGTACCATCATGCCCCTTGAAAGGGAGACAGCAATTTGTCACTTTTGGCTCCTCCCCACATGGAGTACATCGCCTGGGGGTACATTTGCCCTTAATGCAGTTTAAATCGTGGTGAATGTGACATCCAGTGAGACAATTGCAAGGATTGATCCAAATGATATCTTTTACACGGCAGAACTCCTTATGCATATTAACGAGGCAGACATAATGCCATGCTTACTCTTCACCTGTATGGCGCATTGATCGTCTGTAGGTTTCGAACAGTCAGAGTCAAAATCGCAGGAGCTGCTGACGGCAAAACACTGAATATACCGTATAGGTCTCATGAGTTTTTTTCCGGTAAGGAATCAGCGGGAGGCCCGGGTCTTCAGTCGGAGCCGCGCCTTCGCAATTGGGGGGGAGATCTAGCCGTGCTAAGAAGAGGTGGAGATGTGAACGAGAGCCTCAAGGCCACAGTGCGGAGAAGAGCTTTGATAAGTGATGGCATGGTGACTGGAATTAACTTGTCATGTATCGATATGCGACGAACGAGATATCTTCTGAGTAATTGAAGGGCGATACACTTGATTTATATATGCAGCCCTCCAGCAAGGCAAAGGGCCTTCGCCTTTGATCTACCATGGTTGTCAATCCTAGTCTATTCATCTTGTATGTAATATGACGATAGGTCTCTTTTCTTCGACTGAGCTGCATGCCTGAACTATATACTTCCCGCTATTAGCAACTTTCAATAAAACGAACCAACCAGACGCTTGCTCGTTCTACGCCACCCCAACGAGCAGCACAAGCCAGTTACATGATGGGCCTCTGCACCGCCGGGGCTCATTATCTAAAATAATGTTAGCCAAAGGCCTCTCTCATGATTTTCCTTCTCCTGTTCCCTGTTGTTGGCTTTGCCACTTAACCCATTGATCTGCTTTGCAAATCAATATTGATCACGGAGAATTATCGGCAATACAAGGGTATCAATTATCCATATCATGTTCGCAGGACGTATGCGCTGGAAATCAAACTTATGAAGGACAAATTTCATGTAGTATCACAAGTACTACTCCGTACGGAGCATAAACATGTTGTTTATAGGCGGTCGCCAATATTCAAATAATGCCTCCATACCGTCTTTAGGATGGGAGATAATGGCGGATAGGGGCATCGCAGTTAGTCAGCAGGCATGGGAACTTCTATGTAGATTACCTTCAGAGATCAAAATGGGAACTAGAGTCTGGACATTAGCATAGCAGCCACAATGTTGGGGTTTAAGAGCAGTCTCTTCAATTATGGTTGATACTAAAATCTTAGCTCATTTCGTAGTTATTATCGTTAGAATTACGTAATCATCAAGAAGAAGCAATCATCAACTATTATACACTACCAATGGAGCGGCGCCAACCCATAAGTCTTACTTCGCACCCTTTTCTTCTGTTGTACAGTGCTTTTCGAGGGTAGAACAGAGACGCTTGTAAGCCAGCTCTATACTTTGTACCTCGAGTTCCGCATCCCAACCTCCGCAATCTAATACCAATTTTTTGTCTCGTAGGTGATCCGGAAGGCCAAAAGCAGCCAGATCTATCTCCGGTTTGGGTGGTTTAAGTACTTTGGAAGAATCATAGAATACCTGAAGGAATTGTGAGCAAATGCGCAGGGTAAATGACACGGAGTACCGGCATAATAATAGTACTTACAATTCGTTCACCACTCCTTGCTGCCTCTGCGCCGTCACAGCCCCTCCTCCAGATTTCAAGATACGCTGTTATCTTTCCGACAAAATTTACTCCATAAATTTCCGTGGCTCCTTGGTTTAGTGAAGACTTGATATCACAGTTGATATATGCTTCCGGGTTTGCGATCACATTTGCAGGAAGGCAGCTGAACGCACGCTTTGAGCTGAAGCGTGGTCGCTCGTCGAGCTTGACAAGGAAAGCGAGGTGAACGTCAGGCATGGCATTGAACCATTCTTTTATACTTCTCTCAAGTTCTGACGAGCTTTCTGTGAAGCCAATCTCGGCAATAAACACCGTTTTGGCTCGTGACCTCTGTCCACTGGCTGGAACAGGCTCGCGTCTCACAATCCGAACATCCGGAACTTTCATCGCGAATTTTGCGTTTGAGCGGGTGCCCGTGTTTGTCATTACATGAAATGAACCACAATCTTGGCCGGCAGTTGCTTGCTGTAAGGCATTCAGAACCAAGCTCCCAATATTCCAGACAAGTGCTTCATGGACGTCTGATGGGGGTGCGCGAAGTACGGATGTAGTGTGGAAGCTGTCACCAAACACTAGATATCCGGATGGCCTTTCTTTTCTAAGGAAAAGGATTAATATAGAACAATACCAAGACAAGTATTTCACTGCATACCTTCTGCAAAGAGAACGTTCGAAACCATGAACTATGCTCTTAAAATCGCGCTGGGATAGGTCTTTCAAAACAAGCACATCACGGTCACAGTCAGTAGGGAATCGTCCAGCAAACAGGTCTTTCACCTGTGAGGAGCTTAACCGAATATCGCCTTCAGCGACGAGCCGCGGATTTACGTCGGTCGGGGCATCGGGGGAAGCTTTCGTCGCGTGGGGCCGGCGTCTTGCCTGTGGTGGGACACAGGTGGATAAAAGGGACTTACAGGGAACAGGTGACCGTGCAAAACGGCGAATCGTAGACGAGAGAACCAGGGGCGATAACAATGGAGAACACATGCGAAACAGCATCGTCACAACAGAAAAGGGGTCGTTGCTCTGGCTGCCTGTGAGTATGATTGGAGCGGGCAAGAAAAGAAACTTGGGGCGTCAGGCAAGGATCAAATGTGGGGTTTATGGAAAAGTCTTTAGACCTGAGCCCTAAACCCTAAGCCCTAAGCCCTGAGCCCTGAGCTTCAAGGAGTTATCAATGTACGATAGTGAACAAGTGAATGATAATTAGATATAACTATGAAATCAACTACTAGCTCATGAGACATAATATTTTTAATACATTTAATCCTTTTTGTGCTGGTTTTATATACATAGTAATTATCATGATGTAGTGTATGTATACGCCGCCAAGCATCAAAGCTTACAATGCCGCCCATTCGAGATTACCACGTGATATGGACAACCTTTGGTGCTTAACGGGATATTAAGTGAACACGACAATGTGGCTAGCTATATCGCTTTGAGATATATATATTGTGTGACGGGAAGGACAGAATACAGCATCTGGTCTCTGAATCAGCTCAAGATGGTCCGACACAAGAAAGACAATATGGCCCGCAAGAGCAAGCGGGGTGAGTACCGACGGCCTGTAATCAAAGACGGAGTGGATGAGCAAGGAAACCGCCCTCGAGCGCCTTTTCAGGCTGCCTGTTGGGATTTGGGACACTGTGATCCGAAGAAGTGTTCTGGGAAAAGGCTGATGCAGCTTGGGTATATGCGAGACTTGGGCATTGGACACAAGTTTCCTGGGGTTGTGATATCGTGCGTACCAAGACACATCTATCCTGTACATTCACGCAGGAACACGACTGATGAGAAGAGAATTAAAGGCCGAATGCGAAACAGACCCTGTCTCCCGCTGACAGGCCGTTGCTGGAACAGTATGGTGCAGCAGTGGTGGAGTGTTCGTGGGTGCGGGTGAGCGAAGTGCCCTGGTCGAGAATTGGTGGAAAGACGGAAAGATTATGTGCGAACCGTTCTATCTGAAGGGCCATTATCCGGTTACTTGCTAATAACGATCATAGTGCCCTACCTTGTGGCGGCGAACACGGTGAACTACGGCAAGCCATGGCGACTCAACTGTGTGGAGGCGCTGGCTGCCACTTTTATGATATGCGGTCATGAAGACTGGGCTGAAGAGGTACTACAGCACTTCCGATACGGCAAACCATTTCTAGAGATCAACTCGCAGCTATTCAAACGATACGCTGCGTGCGAGACAGAAGCGGACATCAAGGCGGCCGAGGAGAAGTGGCTGGCAAAGATCGAGAAGGAGTACGCGGAGAGCCGAGAGGAGAAGGGAGTGGACGACATGTGGACTACAGGGAATACAAACAGGAATGCCTTCCTCTCGGACTCCGAAGACGAAGACGAGGGTGATGGTGACGGCGAAGAGGGCGAGGACGATGACCTGCCACAAAACGCTCTACAAAGAGACAATCCGTTCCCAGAGTCTGAGGAGGAAGACAATGACGACGAAGAAGAGATGGCAGAGATCCGCCGAAAGATCCTGATGTCCAAACCTTTTGCTGCTGCAGACCCTGAGTCGGAGGGCAACGCTGAGGTAGTTCGACGGATATCAACACCAGCAAAACCCACTGCCACTCAAGACGCCTACAACGACAGTGAAAGCGACGACGGAAACGAAAGTGACGCCGCCTTCGACCGCATCATCAACGCGACCACCTCGACTGACCGTACCGGCATCAAAGCCATACAACGAGAGAAGCAACGACGAGCAAGGTCCTGAAGGGCCCAAAGCTCCTGCTTAGTCAGTCGGTCCGACGATGTCCCGAGAAGCGCCCAGAAGTTGGTTTTTTTCCCCTTCATTTTCCGTCGTGGTTAAGAAAACCCCCGCGTTCTGCAAAGTACGAAGCGTTCTAAAGAGTGCGTACCCTCCCCCCAGCTCCAGGTAGAAGGACAACCGCCCCTTGCAAGCAGTTCCACAGTTGAAAAGGAGTGGCCTCGCCTTGGGCACCAGCTCCTCTCAGCTTTTGGCTGCCCGTCTGTCTGTATATACACTGCTTTTGCCGTCTGTGGAAGAGATTTTTCCCTCCATCCTTTTCACCTTTCCTCGATATCTATTTTAAGTACAAGCTGAGCCGTCTGGAACTAATTATGGCCGATGGTCTCGTGACAGGTACAGGGGCAAGAACAGTGCAAGGATATATATCAGACCACAAAATAGGGGGGTGACATGCCTGCCATCAACGTTGGGTCCGCCGGAGACGATCCGGCTGTGAGCCCGATATACCGCACTACGGACGGGGCCCCCGCGGGAGCGTACCATGACCCTGTAATGGGTGCTACAAGCTCGGGTACCGGTAGCAGCCCACAGCTACCTCCCGCAATCTTACCGAGACAGGTTACTCTACGAGACCGCGTTACAGTGGCCACGCTTATCCCCTTCTCGTCTGCGCAGGAAGTACCTCGTTCGCTGTTAGCGTATCTGTGCGACGAGCTTAACAAGGAGATCGAGAAGGGCGACACCTACCCGTTTCTCAACCCATTGAGCCTTGAGGAGTTCGGCACAGACTGGTTCTCCCACTTTACGGCTGTCATGGTGCTCGGAGACGTGCCTACCGTCGGTCACGTACAGTCTCTAGAGGCTATTGGCGCCGACTGGGGGAAGATATGTTTGGGTAGCTTCAATATCAAGCCCAATTATCCGGGAAGGAGTAGTCATATATGTAACGGCGCGTTCTTGGTGACGGATGCCTCGAGAAACCGTGGTGTAGGCAGGCTGATGGGAGAATGCTACCTGGAATGGGCTCCACAGATGGTGAGCGGTAGAACGCTTGGATGTTTTAAGAATCATAAGCTACAGATGATGATAAGGTTACTAACCTTTGGCTTCTTGTTTCCTTCCCTTACTTTTAGGGATATACGTATGCCGTGTTTAATCTGGTTTACGAGACCAATGTAGCCTCCTGTCGAATATGGGATGCGTTAGGCTTCAAGCGGGTGGGGAGAATACCAGGCTGTGGCAATCTACGCTCATACCCAGGCCAGCTCATCGATGCGATCATATATGGTCGAGATCTCGGCCCAGAAGGTGAAGACTTTGTCTCTGAGGAACGATTCGACAAGATCAGATACTATCTCAAGCACTCCAAATACCCAAGTGGAGCAGATCGGGCTGAGAAAAGCCGTCTACGCAGTGCAGCCACACATTATAAACTTGTAGGGGGTGAGAAGGGTGAGCCAGAAAAGCTGATGTTGAAGGATAAGGAGGTTGTCTCCGATCCTCAACAGCAGTATGAAATTGCTCGCGGCATACACCAGCAACAGCATGGCGGGATCAACAAGACCACCGCCACGATTGCGCTAAAGTACCATTGGGTCCGCATCAAGGAGACCGTCAGCATGGTTATCAAGAATTGTCCCCAGTGCAAGGAAGGCCCCAAGGCACCTATAAATGGAGCCAGCAGCCTCAGCCACACCAGCTCTCATGCCAACAGTCCGGACCCCAATTCATTCAAACGAGAAAAGCCACTTACTTCTCGCGTCCATACCTTCAACATAGCACCTCCAAACACCTTTAACCTGCCGCCCCAGTCCGACCAGCAACTCCCCAACGTATCCGTTCACCAGTACTCCAAGGAGGAAACCTTCACCTCTTCCAACTCTCATACACACCCTCATACTAACTCTCTCATCCATGCCGAACAAATGGCGGATTACACCGATGTACCACTAGATCCACAGATAATGGACGATTTACATCACCATCTACCATCTTTTCAACACCACAATGGTGTCAATGTAGGCGTGGGCGTAAGTCCATATGAAACCGACGGCACACAGGACGCCCTAACACATGGCTTTGACCATACATCCATGCAGCATCACGACCACGGCCACCACGGCCACCACCACGACCACACTGGAAACTACCAGGTAGTCGAAGAAGACGACCTGATGGCCTCACATACCAGCGTTGGTGCCGGAGTGGGCGTCGATGTCGACGTGGATGTCGGCGTAGGCATGCGAGACCAATCGATGAGGCTCGTAGAGGCGACACGGCTACAGAACGATGCACAGTTCCAGGCGGACCTACTTACTGTTGCCTTTGGCGGGAGAGAAGACCAAAATCACTTTGATAGCTAACGGTCGTTAGCAGGATATAGCCGTATAGATATGAAGGATATGAAGGATTATATATATATACGACCCCGTATTTCATGGGTTACGATATTTGGTATGCATAATTTAGACGGATAGATAATTACTGACTTTTCTAAAAAGAAACTCGATTTTCCTTTCCTTTCGTTATAATATTTTCATAGTTCTTGTCCATAGAAACAAAACGAAAACGAAGTTTTGGTAGATTTTTGACGCTTCTTGCTGACACACCAAAAAAAAAAAAGGTACACAAGCTACCAAAAACCAACCTTCGAAGGATCACAAATACATGAGAAAGAAGGGGGGAAAGGGAGCATTTTACAATTATCTCGAGGAATAACAGTTGGTCTATATAATCCGTCACTTACCCGTTCTATCATTCTGCCGCAATAATGGCATTCAGCGGCCAAACACCCACAATCATCGTGCTGAAGGAGGGTTGGTTTTTTTCTATCTCCCCCTCCGCTTCATCATAGAAAATATGGCTCTAAAGCTTACGATGGCATTCTTATAAACAGGGACGGATGCTTCGCAAGGAAAGGGACAGATTCTATCCAATATTAACGCCTGTGTCGCTGTACAGAACACGATCAAGAGCACCCTAGGCCCCTATGGCGGGGACCTATTACTGGTAGACACGAACGGAAAACAGACAATCACAAACGATGGAGCGACAGTAATGAAGGTCAGGAGAAAGCATCTTACCCGTCAGCGAGGTGGAAGAAGGGAAACAATAATAGGAAGAAAGCTATTTTACTTACCTTTGTTTTTTTATCCGTATAGCTACTTGATATTGTCCACCCCGCCGCCCGCATCTTGACCGACATCGCACGATCACAGGACGCAGAGGTTGGCGATGGAACTACCTCCGTTGTCGTTTTGGCGGGTGAAATCCTACGAGAAGTCCGCGATCTAGTAGACCAGGATGTTAGTGCTCAGACGATCATAAAGGGCTTGAGAAAAGCGAGCGCCATGTGCATCAACCGGATCAAGGAGATTGCGATCGATATGAAGGATGCTGCTGGCGGAGAGGCGAAGAAGATCGAGACGCTCAGACGGCTGGCGGGGACTGCGATGAACAGCAAGCTGATTAAACGGAATTCAGATTTTTTTACAAAGAGTGGGTTTGCTTGTGCCCTTTTTTTTACATCTTTCTTTTCTTGAATGGCTTGACTGACGTGCGAATAGTGGTCGTTGATGCTGTCCTCCCGCTGGACCAGGACGACTTGAATGAGAAGCTTATTGGAGTCAAGAAGATCACTGGCGGCGCGCTGCAGGATTCCCAATTTATCAACGGTGTTGCGTTCAAGAAGACCTTTTCGTACGCTGGTTTCGAGCAGCAGCCAAAGGCTTTTAAAAACCCCAAGATAGTCTGCCTCAACGTCGAACTAGAGCTGAAGAGCGAAAAGGACAACGCAGAAGTCAGAGTCGAACAGGTGTCGGAATACCAGGCCATCGTCGACGCCGAATGGCAGATTATCTACAACAAGCTGGAGGCCCTGTACAAGACCGGTGCAAAAGTCGTGCTCAGCAAGCTCCCCATTGGCGATTTGGCAACACAGTATGTCTTTCTTCTACTACCCTTTGCTCGGACTCTACTAAACATTGACTAGATACTTTGCGGACCGAGATATATTCTGTGCCGGCCGAGTCTCGTCTGACGACATGGAACGTGTGAACAAGGCCACTGGATCTTCAACGCAGTCGACCTGCACCGACATCCAGGAGCACCATCTCGGCAGCTGCGGCAGCTTCGAAGAGCGTCAGATTGGCGGCGAGCGCTTCAACATCTTCGCTGAGTGCCCTGGCGCTAAAACATGCACTCTCATCCTGCGTGGTGGTGCCGAGCAGTTCATCGCCGAAGCGGAACGCAGTCTGCACGATGCCATTATGATCGTGAAGCGAGCACTACGGAATACTAACGTTGTTGCTGGTGGTGGTGCCACGGAGATGGACCTGTCCGGTTACATCCACCGGTATGCCGACGTCAACGTCCCCCACAAGCAGCAGGCGGTCGTCAAGGCCTTCGCAAAGGCACTGGAGGTGATCCCCCGCCAGCTGTGTGACAACGCCGGCTTCGATGCCACCGACATCCTCAACCAGCTCAGGGTGGAGCACAAGAAGGGCAACATCTGGGCCGGAGTCGACTTTGACAAGGAAGGCGTACGAGACAACATGAAGGCCTTTGTCTGGGAGCCCAGTCTCGTCAAGGTGAACGCCATCCAGTCCGCAGTCGAGGCCGCCTGTCTTATCCTCAGCGTCGACGAAACCATCAGTAAGTCTACCACTTCATAACCCAACGTCCACTTCTTCCCCCGTTATACCCCGTCTAACCTTGTATAGAAAAACGAAGAGTCAGCTCAACCACAGGGCCCTCCACAATCACTACCGCAAGGCGCAGCCCAGCGAGTGCTCCGAGGTGGCCGAGGCCGCGGCATGCCCCGACGATGAGAAAAGCAAAGAAAAAAAAGAAAAGAAGATAGGCAACGGTAAAAACACTTCAAAAAGGGAAAATAACTACCATAGATAAAATGGGTTTTAATGTCAAGAATCAACGTTTCCTCCATCTGTCTCTCCTCCGTGGCACAAATCAAATCGTCCTTCATCTCAAACGGAAAAGAAAATCGGAATATCATCGGAGCAAGCTGCAGACTATATACCTAGAAGATACATATACATCTAGGTAAAAGAGCAATAGATGGTCGCACTGCGTCTGCGTCTGGAAAATAAGCCTGTGGCTGAACCCTTGGTCAAGTACTATATAGGGCTGTAAGGAGGCAACCATCCATGCTCGTGTAAAAAGCATTACTTATTCTGATATGTAATCGAGAGTAGAGGCAGATAATCTATATATATATGAAGTACTATACACGAAGTCCATCCGAGCAAGGGTTGATGCTTCAGCTGCTCGTATCGCTGTTATATATACAGAGAGAAGTCGAAGTTGGCTGTCTATCAGAACGCCTTGACAGCATCGTGAAAACTCCATCCTTCTTTGCTTTTTCTTCATGCTTCTTCATCTTCATCTTCTTCTTCATCTTCTTTAAAATATCAACGTCTTCGTCTTCGTCTTCATCGCGGCTAAACCCAAGTTAACTTCGTGGCTGCGAAAAACTTAAGCCTTTTTTGCTTCTTCTTCCTCTTCTTCCTCTTCCCCTTGCTCCGTCCTTTTTGCGCCCCTCCTTGCTTCACACTTTTTTCCTCCCTCTTCTTCATCTTCTCTGTATATCCATCGTCTTCCTCTTCGTCGTCTTCACATCTTCTCTGCCTTCTCTCTCGCTGATCTGGACGAGGATGTCGTACTATCCAGGAGCATATCCAGGTGGCCCTCCACAGCAAGGCTACGGCCAGCCACCGCCGCAACACGGCTATAACAACCAGGGAGGATACGGAACACCACCACCACAGCAGTACCCGTAAGCACCCCCCTATACTTTATATATATATATACACACAGAAAGATACGGAGAGATAGACTGACGGATGCAGTCCTCATGGCTACGGCCAGCAGCCTCCTTACCAGCAAGCGCCCTACGGACAGCCGTCGCACTCGCCGCAACCTCAACACCTTCACGGCACCCCGCATGGTGCGTACGGCCAGGCGCCTCCGTCACCCCAGCCTCAGTACAGATATCAAGTAGGTCCTTTCCTCAACGCCTCATTGTCGAGCTAATTGGCCTTTTCTTTTTCTTTTTACTTTCAAAGGGTTGGGTTCGCTGACCGTTGGAATCACCGCAGGACCATGGACAGCAGCAGCAGCAGCAGCAGCAGCAGCAGCATGGAGGGTACGGGCAGCAGCCTCCCCCAAACAGTGGACAGATGAACAACGGACGCCCTAGTGAGTATCCGTCTCTCACCCCTATTAGTGTATAATATGTAGATAGCTAATGGCGATAGACTACCAGAATGCGTATAACCACGGTCATGGAGGCCCCCCTCCACCCCCCAACAACCCCGTCTCATTCGGCCACGGTGCCCCCCAGGGATATAACTTCCAGTACTCAAACTGTACCGGGAAGCGGAAAGCTCTGTTGATCGGTATCAACTACTTTAACCAACGGGGCCAGTTGCGCGGCTGCATCAACGACGTCAAGAACATGTCCAACTACCTGAGCCAGAGCTACGGGTACGCCAGACAGGACATGGTTCTGCTCACTGACGACCAGCAGAACCCCATGAGCCAGCCTACAAAAGCAAACATCCTGCGTGCCATGCACTGGTTGGTCAAGGATGCCAGAGCTAATGACTCGCTCTTCTTCCACTATTCAGGTACGCTATCTTACCCACATAGCCATATATTACCAAACTTATTACTGACAACGTAGGCCACGGTGGTCAAACTGCGGATCTTGATGGGGATGAAGAAGACGGCAACGATGAAGTCATCTATCCCGTAGACTTTAGAACGGCCGGCCATATCGTAGACGACGAGATGCACCGTATCATGGTCCAACCCCTCGTCCCTGGCGTCCGTCTGACCGCCATCTTCGACTCCTGCCATTCTGGCTCCGCTCTCGATCTACCATTCATCTATTCTACCCAGGGTGTCCTCAAGGAACCCAATCTCGCCAAGGAGGCTGGTCAGGGTCTTCTGGGAGTCGTCTCTGCGTACGCTCGCGGCGATATGGGTGGCATGATGAGCGGTGCCGTCGACCTCTTCAAGAAGGCTACCCGTGGCGACGAGAGTTTCAAAAAGGCTCGACAGACCCGTACCAGCCCCGCGGATGTCATCATGTGGTCTGGCAGCAAGGACGTGCAGACCAGCGCAGACGCTACCATCGGCGGTCAAGCCACCGGCGCCATGTCCTGGGCGTTCATCACCGCGCTCAAGAAGAACCCGCAGCAGAGCTACGTGCAGCTGCTCAACAGCATTCGTGACGAGCTGGCGTCCAAGTATTCGCAGAAACCGCAGTTGAGCTGCAGTCACCCTCTTGGTTAGTAAACCCATATTTCTTTCGCCCTTCTTTTCCTCTCTTTTTTTCCCATTCCTCTCTTGTCCTAACACCCACCTTAGATACCAACCTTCTGTATGTCATGTAAGACGCCCACTATCACTCCAAACGTGAAACACGTATACCATGACTATTCCGACACCAAAAAATGAAATACCAGGAACCCCGATGACCGTCAAGGACATACCCAATCCATTTATTCCCTTGAATGAATCCCGTCTTCGTCTTCGCTTTATCTGCTAGCATGGATTAGCTCAGCGTTAGGTTCAATTTACGGCTGTCTTTTTTCCTTGCTTCTTTTTTTTCACTTCTTCATCACTTCTTCTACGCTTGGAATATGGGTTAATAACACGAGATGGTTTGCGATTTGGGACTTTTGCATTTTCTCTTCTTCATTTCTTATCGATTTCCTTATTTCACGGGTTATTCATCTCACTGGGTTACTTAGGCATTGGTATCTAAAATACTTCATAGGTTAGCTTGGGATATCATTCATGACTTATATATACTCTTCCATATATATGACACAACCATCTATATATAGCCCTGTTCATATACGTTTACTCTTCAGGTATTCAAAATCCGGCATGGCGTCTTCTACAAGTCTATACAGCTCATCTGCCACCACAATTCCAAACTCCTCCTTCCACTTCCCATATTTAACCTGCATGTCCAACCCTTCTGAAGACTTGGATCTATCAAGTCCCGTCGAGGCCCAAAGGTCACCCATATAACTAAAGTGGCGCTCCGTGAGAACCTTCCGCTCGTTAGGATTGGTCTTCTCCCACTCATACACAATATGTTCAACATCCATACCACACTGCCTACACACCTCAGCCAAACATTCACCGCTTAGTATATCATCTGCCTCCACGACGATCGGACGAGGTTTATCCATTTCCCTTTTAGCATCGTCGCAGAGACTCGACATGTACCAGTCATATAGTTGGCGAGAATACCGGAAGGTCGTCATGTAAGACCATGTCTTGTCCAGTATATCGATGGGCTTTACGCGGATTTCTGCCTTGTACCATGACTCAAAGACGAGAGCAGGATGACGGATCAGAAACACCGGTTTCCAAGAAGTCAGAAACTCGTCTGAGAAAATAGTTCCGTTGGTTCTTACACCCTCCGCAACGGACTGTCGAGGTAGCACGGCCAAGGGGGACGTTTTCTTTCCTCCCCATATGATCTGCGACAAGGCAGATGGCTCCCAGACGAAGAACGTGTGATTCTTTACAAGGAGATGTTTACCCTAGCCGTGGTCCGTATAAGCACTGGATATGTCAAGATAGAGATGGGCCGGAATATGCAGGGGCCGTTTTACCTCTGCCACAGCATCATCTCGAGCCTTTTGTAGGGCATCCATGCCCTGGTAGAACAGATCGAAGAACTGTTCGCGCTGCTCGGTGGTTATATCTGTGAGAGGAGCCCAGTTAAAGGAACTGCGTGCGAACATGAACGCTTCCTGGAAATGGTATTCAGACTGAACCCAGCCTGGCTGGGCTGAGAGCAGGCGACAGAAAACATTCGACAGTGTCCTTGCATGGCTGAAGAGGAAGACATCCCCGCATCGTGGGCGTTCACTTTGGCCGTTTGTCTGTTTGGTTTCCGTCCCGTTGGTATTCATGGCGGAGGCTTGGGATGTTCGACATATATCAGAGTATGGAGGGGAGAGCCTCTTGTTCGCATGCAAGACTGTCCTATACTCTATGTGAAGAGGGTGTTCCCTGCTATACGGTGCGGGTTGGTATCCGGGATCCAGTGATATATATGCATGCTGTATGCAATGTCTGGCTCTTCTTCTGTACTATGTAGTTATAATACGAGGATAGGAGTGAGAATGCATCTTTGCTTAACAACATCAACAACAAACTATATTGCTCACATACTATAACCAATATCACGTTCTACAGAAGAACATCAGTTGCATCATAATAAAGGCCGGGATGCTACGAGACTTAGCATGGCAGATGTCTTTCCACCATCGTACGAATCCGCCACTACACGAGATGTATGGCCGGTGATTGCACCGTATATTCTCTGTGCAGCAGACCTATGCTCTGCCTCTCTCGTCTGTCGCACATGGCATGAGATATTTGTCCCGATCTTATGGGGTGCTCCAGCCTCGCATTTTGGGGCCAGAGATGACGCCGTCTATGGTGAGCAATACCAGAACCCTCACAGCAAGAAGCATCTATATTCACTGCAAATTAATACGGCAAAAGTCGCCTTGACTCGATTTAGGAGAGTGCTGAACATATCACGTTCAAGTGTTCGGCAGTTCACGCATACCTTACATCTTCCGCCTGCGCTGTCAGAGATATATGGTGAACCGCCGCCGAGTTGGCTGCATGATTTTGTGGAATATCTCCCCAATCTGCAGTCTCTACTTGTTTCTAGGCTTCCCTTCTTTGATCACGGGTCTCTCGTCGCGCTGGGAAAAGGAGATGAGTATAATCTCCGTCTCCTGCTAGCTGAACGTGAGCTGAATGCGACTTCAGTTGGGTTGACTGCTGCACTGAAGCGTTTCCTGCGCCTGGTATATCTTGACCTATCATATACCACTGCTGCAAGGGATTCTGTGGTTCTCTTTGCCTTGAGCCAGCTGCGAGATCTACAGGTTTTTAAGCTACGGGGGGTTGGGTTGCAGGATGATGATATGGCAGTTCTGTCTAGGTCTATTCAGGATCGTGTCAGGGTCCTTGATATTCGAGACAACCGTCTTTCTGATCGAGGGCTGAGCCTTTTAACCAGGTATTGCTTCCTGCCATATGGTGGGGGTCACACTGGCGCTCATGTAAATGCACATTTTGGCCCTCTGACGGGTGCTTTACTTGCTGGTTCTATCCGTAGTGAACGGCTCGACGGTCATCTCTTACGGCTGTTCACAAGACGGCTAAGTGGGCTTTCTGCACTGGAAGAGCTCCCACATGCTGGCATAACTCATCTATACGTTGCAGGCAATAAAATATCTGCGGACAGCCTAATAAGCCTACTGCATACAAGGAGGTTGAATGTGTTGGATGCTGGAGATGTGGACACCAAAATGGAGAAACTTATACCAATATTCAGGAGTCCAACTGCACAAGGACTCACTTATCTTAGAGTACACCATTCCATATTAACGCATGGAACGATTGGTGTCGACTATGTGCCATCCAAGGAGACCCGTGATGGTCTACCCTTGAACGAAAAGGAGCCATCAATGATCCAGAGACTGCTGGCGAAGAGGCCGACTTTGTACCAGGAGACAGCGGATAAACCCCTGTGTCTTCATCCCTCCAACATCTCCCATATTCAAACATTGGTTCTTATAGATGTACCGGCGTTTGTTCCCGAGTCATCTCCCATCATTTCTTCACTCACTCGCTTCATCTCCGCCTGTGCAGATGAGTCTCTTCTTGCCTCGCTGCAAGCCCAGTCAAACTACTCCCTCCCCCCGGGCCAGTACCGCGCCAAAGCAATCCAGCAACACTCAAAGGAGCTATTTGCTCTTAACACAATCGTCTTAGAAGTGGCACCTACCGGAAAGCTGGATAAACTGGAGACTCTACCCACCTGGGCTCCTACAAGCTACTACCAGCCAGGTACTTTTAAATCCAGTACTGGGGATCTAGACTCTGAGAAACTGTGGGCAGCAGCAGCAAATGATTTCAGTTTCTTTGATCAAGACGAAGAAGGTCAGGGGGTGCGCTCAGCATTAGACTCAGTCCGAGATCAACCTCCAGCTCGGATGGTGGATTTGATAGCTGAATTAGCGGCGTTCCGACGAGAGAAACGAGATGCATATAATAATAAGATCCAGAACAAGCACAGTAGAATACTAACTGCCGATGGCCACTGGAAGGGAGAAGTAAAGATCGTGAGGAGCCGTCTTTGAAAGACAAGCGTTTGGACAAGAACAGTTTTATCTGCATTTGGCCAATCTAATACCTTATCAAACATCGGGAGAGTTTGTGTCGGGTACAAACATTATCCGGCAAATTGTTTAAAATAAATATAAAATTAAAACAAAATCGTTTCATGCCAGGATATTTCACACATTCACCGCAGCTCATCGTAAAGATTTCTCATTTGTATCTTTTGGAATTCCCACCGCCATGAATATGCCGAATTGTTTGAAAAAAAAAAGAGGAGGACCGCTGCTAAAGTCCTCCATTCCCCGCTTTTGCACTCCTCCGACGTTCGAAAAAGGTATTAGAGAAAGGGAAAAAAAGACACCACGTCCTTTATCTATACCTTAGCGGTAGCAGCTTGGGCGGTCTTGGCGGTGGCAGCGGCCTGCTGGGGGTTCAACTTCTTGTTGGAATCCTTGTTGAATCTCAGTCTTGGTGGTGGGGCACGGTTGCGGCGACCTTCTCGGGATCGGACACTGTATAGTTGAGAAGAAAAGGATATATCGTCAGCCTCGCTTGCCTCCATCCCAACTTGGCCCGCATATATAGGCAGCAGATGGTTGGTGTGCGTGCGGGAAATATGCATACCGGACAATCTTTCCGTGGATAGCGCAAGAAACGCAGTATTGGAGCTTCAGGTACATCTTTGGAACGGCGTATTTGGCGAAAACGGACGCGTCAGAAATATCGCCTGTAGACCATCACCAGGCACATTAGCACTGCACTACTTTCTCGAACGGGCCTCAATTGACACTAAAGAGGGCTTCCGGGAAGCTTGTAGGACGGGCTGTTAACATACTGACGGCGGCGGACTCAACCATGTTGCGGATGGTGAATCTCTTGATGGCCTTGTCCTTGGGGGTACATCTGGAGCAGTTGGAGCAACGAATTGGCTTAACGTGGCCACGGCCCTTCTTGTTACGTCCACTAAATTAAAGAGTGAAATACGTCAGTCATATGCTGGCGCAATTACCACATATCGTCTCCACTCTGAAGCCGAAGCCAGACAGGAAGCCGTTCGATATCTGGATATCCTGGCGGTTTGGATGCCCTGGGGAGGAGAGAGGATGGGGTATCTCAACGCACTTGGACGCCCGCTTCTTAACCATTTTGAATGACGGTGTGGTTGGCTTTCGCGACTGCGCAAGCCAGGTGGACAAGGCAGATAACCGGAGCGAGGGAGGAGGTTGAAGGTTGGTTGCTTGGTGGTTTGCGGTCGTTGTCAACTGGAGATCTCGCTGTCTTCTTCTTCTACAAAGCTTCAAACTAAGACTTTTCTTCTTGTGGGCTGAGGGCTAAGCGAGTCACGTGAAAACTTAGGTAATGACATGACTAAATGATGAGTAATATTATATCACATGATATCCCCGTGACGCGTCCCGTGCTTTTACCCTTTTGAGGAAGGAAGGAAAAAAAAAGTGGAAGAACTTCCAAGCTTTTTTTTCTCTCTGTTGGAGGAAGAAACGACAAAAACCTCCTTAAGGGATTGTTTAGTTGTCGCAGCCAGGATTTTTCTGTATCACAGCCCTGGACCTGCGTCTACTGTTTTATTTTCGTTTTCCCCTAGTTTTTGCCTCTGGGGTTTTTTTATTTTACTTTGCAAGATGTCTGCGACTGGCGGTACCATCCGTAGCCGGACCATGGGTCGGGGCCAGCTCCCCTTTGACCCTAACTCTTCATCCGCCATCCCTCGAAAAGTCGACCATCCAGTTCCTCCAAATGTTTCATCTGATATCGGTGGAAGCTCTACCTTGAGTACAAGCAGACAGAAACAGTCTAAACGAGATGAGGTATATATCAATCCGCCGTCTCTTTTTGTCTCTGGTGGAGAGGGGGAGGATGAGATATGTCTGCACCAGGGGAATAGTCTGCTAAAACGGAATATAAACAGGCCATTAGGAGGAAGATGGAGGCGGATCTTAGCAAGAAGAAGTTCAACCCTTCCAAGGCTCGACACACCCGAAAGGCACCCCCCGGCACGGTTCTTGCCCTGAAACCCAGTCAAGCGCTACAGATCAAGCCAAACACTACTGTTTCCGAGGCTGCCCAATTGATGGCTGCAAAGAGGGAGGATTGCGTTCTTGTGACCGACGATGACGACCGAATTGCTGGTATTTTCACTGCAAAAGATCTGGCATACAGAGTTGTTGGCGCTGGTATCCGTGCTAGGGATGTGACGATTGCCGAAATCATGACAAAGAACCCGCTATGTGCCCGAACTGATACCAGCGCCACTGATGCTCTCGATCTTATGGTCCGCAAGGGATTCCGGCATCTTCCTGTCATGGATGAGAACCAGGATATCTCTGGTATTCTAGACATCACCAAATGTTTCTACGACGCAATGGAGAAACTCGAACGTGCATATAGCTCGTCCCGCAAGCTCTATGACGCCCTTGAAGGCGTGCAATCTGAACTAGGCTCTTCTCAACCCCAGCAGATTATACAGTACGTAGAGGCGTTGAGGTCGAAGATGTCTGGACCTACACTGGAGTCTGTACTTAACGGACTGCCTCCTACCACTGTGTCTGTGCGCACATCCGTCAAGGAGGCTGCTGCATTGATGAAGGAGAACCACACAACTGCGCTTTTGGTCCAGGACCAGGGATCCATCACCGGTATATTTACAAGCAAGGACGTCGTCCTGCGGGTTATTGCTCCCGGCTTGGACCCATCCACCTGCAGCGTCGTCCGAGTCATGACTCCTCACCCAGACTTTGCTCCTACAGATATGACCATCCAAGCTGCTCTCCGAAAGATGCACGGTGGGTTTTGTAGCTCTTCTAGCAGCCTATGATCCGATGATACTAACGAATTAGTATAGATGGGCATTACCTCAACCTCCCCGTCATGAACGAAGCTGGTGAGATTGTGGGCATGGTTGACGTCCTCAAGCTGACCTATGCTACGCTGGAACAGGTTAGCCCGTTTCTACCCCCTGTTTAAGAATGCTCATGAAATTAACTGCTTTTCTAGATCAACACGATCCAAACCAACGAAAGTGAGGGTCCAGCCTGGAACAAGTTCTGGCTTTCCATGGACAATGAGTCTGACTCAGTGGTGTCTGGCAGCCAGCCGTCCCACATGCACCATCGGTCTCTGTTGAGCCCAGACCATAGAGGCCACACTGTTGATAGTGTTCTTCCCAATGACTCCGCCTCCCACCACGGAGGTGAAGAAGTGCCCGCTTCCGAGTTACAAGAACGTCAGGCGGCAGAAGAGAAAGCCGATCCTTCTTTCCCTTTCAAATTCAAGGCCCCAAGCGGCCGTGTCCACCGTCTACACGTTGATCCAACCGCCGGTATTGCAGAGCTGGTCCGAAACGTGTCCGCTAAACTAGGAGCAGAAGTCGACGCTATCGGTGGCCAAGCTGTTGTTGACGATGGAAAGCTCAGCAACACCGGTTTCGCCATGAGTTATGTGGATAGTGAGAGCGACACCGTCTCCATCACCGCTGACCAGGACCTTGTCGACGCCATTTCCATTGCGCGAAAAGCAAACCGAGATAAGGTCGACCTATTCGTCCACAGCCCGGACTCTACCCCGGTAATTCCCAAAGAACCTGAGCCGGTAGCAGCAGCCAAGGCCGTCTCTCCCCCGGAATCTGTTACTGTTGCGGCCGAGGAAGATAATGCACATAGGGAGGAGTTTACCACCAACTCCAAGCCCGCAGCCCAACCACTGGTGCAGCCTTCGACTGATCAGCAGCTCATCAACGGTATCCCCAACGAGCTCATCCTACCTGGTGCTATCGTTACCCTAGCCGCCGTCATCGTCGGTGTCTTCGTACTGAGCCGCGCAGGTAGACGATAAACCCTGCCGATAATATGATATTTTCCTTCTTCCCTCTTCCCGCAGCTACTTTTCTTTTTATCTTTGGATACTACCCAGTATATCTCTTCATCGGTTCTCCATTTTCCCTTTGACCTTCTTTCCGTTGTCACTTGTCACTTGCTACTACTATTATAGCACCTGGTTTTTTAGCACGCATAATATTTAAGATATCCCTCCTTGTAATTCCACGAAACCACTAGCTAGACGAAAATAGAGTCTCTTTATTTTACTTATAATGATGGTATATAGATATAAATGTTATCAGATGAACAAGCTGTTTGTCCGCCAGCAAACCAAACGGCGCAAACCGACTATTTAGGACTAGCCCCGAATGGTTAATTATAACAAAAAAAAAAAAAAAAAAAAAAAAAACTCCCACCTTCATCCCACATTCAACTTCTATCGACTAACTTCAACGACTTTACATCTCTTCGTTCGAACGGACACGCTTGGTTTAGCTGCTGCCGCTGTTGCTGCTGCTCTTGAGCTATCAAAGGCGCCTCCGTCAAGCTCGCTTGGCTGTAGCCGCCAGAAAATAACTAGCATAACAAAACAAAAAAGGCGATCACCCCTCCTACTTTTAACGCCCACCAAAAAAAAACATCCACCGCGACAAAAAGGCCAGCTTCATCCTTACCCAGCGCAATTATTAAGTCTCTGATCCTGCAACCAGAAGAGGGAAATAAACGGTTGTCAGGTGGCCTAGCGATCGGCTGGATATAAACTACACAACATCAGGTCTTATCGGGGGGCGTGATAAAGACAAGAGACAAGATGTCAGTTCTACCACAGGAGGTTCACACGGCCTTGTCACAGCTTTTTCTCGCCCTTTCATCTGCCGATAACGGTGTTCGAGCGCAGGCAGAGGGCCAGCTGAATAATGAGTGGGTTCAGAACCGCCCACATGTTTTGTTGATGGGTCTGGCAGAGCAGATACAGGCCTCTGAAGATACAAATGTGAGTTTAGACCTATATGAGGCAATGTTTATGTTGTTCCCAAAAGCCGTTTCTCTCTCGATCTTCTGTTTCAAAAAGCGAGTTCCTGACTGTCATCGATTCCTAGACACGGTCGTTTGCCGCGGTGATTTTCCGACGCATGGCAGCAAAGTCGATAAAGGATCCTTCGACCGGCGATCACAGAGAGCTTTTTTTCAGTTTACTTCCAGACCAGAGGGTAGCTATTCGGCAGAAACTGCTTGAGGCTTTAAGCAGTGAGAACTTTGCCCCTGTCCGGAACAAGATTGGGGATGCAGTCGCAGAAATCGCGTCTCAATACTCGGATCAAGGTAAGCTGTCTCCGGTTATCACTCATCCTTTTGTGATACACGCGAAATTCGAACCATGGGTCTATACGGTCAATACACGGTGTTAATTTAGCTATAGAGGAGCCATGGCCAGAACTTCTAGCGGTCCTCTTCCAGGCTAGCCAGTCCCCCATTAGCGGTCTCCGTGACGCTGCGTTCCGCATATTTGCCTCTACTCCGACAATTATAGAGAAGCAACACGAGGATATGGTACAAGAAGTCTTCCTGAAGGGATTCCAAGATGACCATGTTTCTGTGAGTAAAAGCGCTTTGTCTAGTGAACCTATCCTTCTAACTCGAACTATAGGTCCGGATCTCCGCAATGGAAGCATTTGCATCTTTCTTCCGGTCAATCAGCAAGAAGACACAAACCAAATTCTTCGGAGTTGTTCCTGAACTCCTTAACACTATCCCACCATTGAGAGAGGGCGATCAGAGCGAGGAACTGTCGAAAGCTTTTGTTGCACTAATGGAACTCGCGGAAGTCAACCCCAAAATGTTCAAAGGCCTCTTCGACAAGCTTGTGAAATTCAGCGTCAGCGTTATTGGGGATGCAGAGCTTTCTGAACAAGTTAGACAGAACGCCCTTGAACTCATGGCTACTTTTGCCGATTATGCACCATCCATGTGCAAGAAGGATCCCACGTATGCCCAGGAAATGGTTACTCAGTGCCTTAGCTTGATGACCGATGTTGGCCAGGATGATGATGATGCTACTGAATGGGGAGCATCCGAAGATGTAAGGGCAATTTCACCGCTTTATTTTAGATCCCCCGCCCTAACAATTTTATGATAGCTTGACCTAGAGGAGAGCGATAAGAACCACGTTGCTGGTGAACAGTGCATGGATCGGCTTGCTAATAAACTGGGAGGAGAAGTCATCCTTCCTAAAACTTTTAACTGGATCCCGAGAATGATGTCGTCGGCATCATGGCGCGATAGACATGCTGCCCTCATGGCTATTTCAGCAATCTCTGAAGGATGCCGCGATTTGATGGTTGGTGAACTCGACCAAGTTCTCGCATTAGTCATTCCTGCTCTTCAAGACCCTCACCCTAGAGTCCGTTTTGCCGGATGTAATGCCTTAGGTCAGATGAGCACCGATTTCGCCGGCACCATGCAAGAAAAATACCACGCCATTGTCTTAGGGAATATTATTCCAGTTCTCACCTCTGAACACCCCCGTGTCCAGGCACACGCTGCTGCTGCGTTGGTTAACTTCTGTGAAGAGGCAGAGCGCGCTACTCTCGAGCCATATCTTCCAGACCTCCTACAGAATCTTCTACAGCTCCTCCGCAACCCCAAGAGATATGTTCAGGAGCAGGCTCTATCCACTATTGCTACCATTGCAGACTCAGCAGAGGCTGCTTTTGGCCAGTTCTATGATACGTTGATGCCTCTTTTATTCAATGTGCTCAAAGAGGAACAATCCAAGGAGTATCTTGTTGTCCGCGCCAAGGCTATGGAGTGTGCAACTCTTATCGGTATGCATGATGATCCTTTCTAACATCGTTTAAATTTTACATGTTAATCATTTAATATATAGCTTTGGCTGTTGGGAAGGAAAAAATGGGCGCAGATGCCATTAATTTGGTTCAGTTGCTCGGCCACATTCAACGTAAGTTCTTCCAAATCTAGGTGCCAAAGATATAACTTCTAACAGCACATCTGTAGAAAACATCACTGAGCCTGATGACCCACAATCCTCCTACCTTCTCCACTGCTGGGGTCGCATGTGCCGAGTATTAGGCCCTGCATTTGTTCCATATCTTCCCGCTGTTATGCCGCCATTGCTTCAGGTTGCCGCTTCCAGCGCAGATGTCCAGGTTTTGGATAATGATGAGAATCTTCGAGACGTTGAGCAAGACCATAACTGGGAACTGCTTCCATTCAAGGATAAGATTATTGGTATCCGAACCAGCACCCTTGAAGACAAAAACACTGCCATCGAATTGATCACCATCTACGCCCAAGTCCTTGAAGCTGCCTTTGAGCCCTATGTTGTCAAGGCACTGGAAGGGATTGCCATTCCCGGCTTAGCCTTCTTCTTCCACGACCCCGTTAGAGTTTCCTCTGCGAAACTTATCCCGCGCCTTTTGAATGCTTACAAGAAATCTCATAACGAGCAGTCAGTTGAATTCCAGCAAATGTGGTCTTCCAGTTTGATAAAAATCATCGAGATCCTTACCGCAGAGCCCTCCATCGACACACTTGCGGAAATGTTCCAATGCTTCTACGAGTCTGTGGAGGTTGCAGGAAAGAACTGTCTTACTCCACAACACATGGAGGCATTCATCGAAGCATCCAAGAGCGCTCTTGAGGATTACCAGAAACGAGTACAGAAACGCCTTGAAGACAAGATAGAGTTCGACGATGGTGAAGATGAGGCTTTCTCATTCGACTATGAGATGGAAGAGGACCAGAATCTTCTGAGCGACATGAACAAGGCTTTCCACACCATCTTCAAAAACCATGGCCCAGCATTCCTACCAGCCTGGGAGCGGTTACTTCCATTCTATAACGCCTTTGTCACCAGCAACGATCCTACACAGCGACAGTGGGTTCTCTGTATTATGGACGATGTCCTTGAATTCTGTGGCGACCAGTCATGGAACTACAAGGACCACATCCTTAAGCCATTAATTGACGGAATGCAAGATGAGAACCCATCCAACCGCCAGGCCGCTGCTTATGGAGTTGGAGTTGCTGCTCAGAAAGGTGGAGAAGCTTGGAGTGAGTTTGCAGCTGCCAGTATCCCAATGCTGTTCGCCGTTACTCGCTTCGATAATGCTAGATCAGAGGATCAAGTTTATGCTACCGAGAACGGTTCTGCCAGTATAGCCAAGATCTTGCACTTCAACTCCAGCAAAGTTCCTAACCCTCAGGAAGTAGTCGATAATTGGATTGATACTCTTCCGATTGAAAATGACGAGGAAGCCGCTCCTTATGCATATGCCTTCCTTGCACAACTTATCGACCAGTAAGTTTCCAATATTTCTAATGCTCCATTTTATCACTTAGTATATCTAACTATTAATGTTTTCAGGCGGAACCCATCTGTTCTTGCAAAGGCTGAGAAGGTGTTCACCTCTATTGTCCAAGCACTTGAGGCAGAAACCCTCCAAGGTAATGTATGCGCCAAGGTCGTCGAGGCAGCTAAACAGCTAGTTGCTGCAACTGGTGTGAATGCCGACCAGATTCTCGACATCGTTCGGCCAGAGAACCAGATGGCAGTTCGCAGACACTTCCAATGAAGACACGTCTTTGATGTTTCAACTTTTTAACTACCCATTATTTTATTCCCCATTTTGCACTATCATTCCCTCCCCTCATACTGTCACCGGTCCCCGAATATTCTCAATCTCAAAGGTTCTAAAAAAATGCGTGTCATTGTACACTCTCGATTTTCATAATCTTAGATAGAAAGCAGAGTGTCTTTACTTTTCTATGGCCTGGCTCCCTTTTCCCTTTGTGTCTCTATTGGTTTCCACAATGGCATTATTATGACCATTTCCTCTTCTCTCACGAACAATTTACAGTCTCCCACACGTTTGATTAGGAAATCAAAGAAATTCAATAAATGAATCTACAAGTCACTTCGTGCTCTTTTTTTTGAGTAAAGCTTGGTTGTTGGCAACACGTACTATGTACACATCATGGGTTTCTACCAACCTCTCATAATAGTTAACACAACACACCATGGCTGACTGTCAATGGTGGGTTTCTATTTCCAGAAGAAGTACGAGACAGCGAGATAATGCAAGACTGTATGTCAATAGGGAGAAACTGCATGGCGGAGCGTGAGCGTGTAAGGGGAAGAGCTCATCGCAGAGATTACACAAGCCCATTTTAATGAGGCGGAGGCCGTCGCCTTTAAGTATTCTTCCCCATTTTCTTGAGCTTTCTGTATCATCACCGCAATAGCTGCAACATAATATTCAAGAAACTGGGATACACCAATCCATTGGATTCTATTCTATTGTCACAAGCTAAACGGATATAACCAAAAGTGCCCAAACTAGTATAAGCCCTGTGAATGAATTAAGACCAAAAAAAAAAAATCAATACTATGTCTGGAGGAAGGGAAATCGAGTGTTCTACCGCGATTTAGCAGCAAGAAGGTTTAATGCACTGCCGGCAAGGATGAAGCCGCACTGGTCTTTACTTAAGGTGTGCTTGACGGGAATATTAATCGTTTTCCCGCTGGACTTCTTGGTCACCTTCAGAGTGACTTCACCTTGGCCATCATTGTTTAATACATCATAAAGGCCAACAGTATCAACCTGATCACAAGCATCGATCTTATCGTAGTCAGCCTTATCCTTGAATGTCAGCGGCACAACACCTTGTTTCTTGAGATTCGTTTCGTGAATTCTAGCAAAGGACTTTGCAACGATGATTCTTCCGCCTAGATATCTAGGTTGCAAAGCAGCATGTTCTCGGGCACTTCCTTCACCGTAGTTTTCTTCAGCAACTACGAGCCACTGGCTACCTTCATTTTTCCATTTCTCGGCCAAGTCTGGAATAGAGTAGGTCTTGCCATCAAGGTCGTAGGCGACATTAGTTTCACCTGTAGCAGCATTGATAGCTCCAATCAGGGTGTTTGCTGAAATATTAGGGAGATGTCCTTTATATTTGAGCCATGGGCCGGCAGCAGAAATGGTATCGGTAGTGCACTGTCCCTTGACTTTGTAAAGGACCCGAAGAGAGGTAAGGTCTTTGGGTGGGAACGGTTCAAAAGGCTCCAGGAGAGCAAGACGGTCAGATGTGGGTGATACTACGACCACGGCGGATGGGTCTGGTACTGCAGCAGAGGGCTGGAAATCTGGATTTCCAGCCGCAAACCCAGCAGAAGGAAGGTCTGAGCCTACAGGTGCCTGAAATTTGAATGATTCCCCGCTAGGGGTGGTCAGAGAGTCTGTCATTGGGTTAAAGGTAGTTGAACCAGCATAGGACATGGCCGTAACTATCTCTGGAGACGCGAGAAAGTTCATTGTCGCGGTGTTACCATCGTTTCGACCGCGGAAATTTCGGTTGTACGATGTAAGAATAGCATTAGGTTCACCCTTTTTCACTCCGTCAGTTCGTTTCCATTGCCCGATACATGGTCCACATGCATTAGCAAGAACTGTGCCACCAGCAGACGAAAACGTAGATAGAGTCTGATCACGCTCTAGAGTTGCTCGAATCTGCTCGCTCCCAGGGGTGATGAAGAAATCGGCTTTTGGACGAAGCCCGGCTGCAGAAGCCTGCTTAACAAGGTCTTCAGAACGGGTCATGTCTTGGTAGGAGCTGTTAGTACAGCTTCCAATCAATCCAGCGCCAAAGGTTTCGGGCCATTTCTTTTCGCGAACTGTACTAGCAAAGGCTGAAAGGGGAACAGAAAGGTCAGGGGTGAAAGGCCCATTGATATGTGGCTCAAGAGTAGAAAGGTCAATCGTAATAAGCTGATCGTATTCGGCATTCGGGTCAGCACTAAGCAAGTTCTGAGGGCCAAAGGATGCAATTTCTGATGCGGTCTTGGCTATCTCGGAGCGATTTGTAGCTTGTAGGTATGGTATCATGCTAGGTGAGAATGGGAAGAGTGATGTAGTGGCACCAACTTCAGCACCCATGTTGCAAATTGTGGCTAATCCAGTACAGCTGAGTGTTTCTACGCCTGGGCCGTGGTATTCGATGATGAACCCAGTTCCACCGCGAACAGTCAGCTTGCCAGCCAAGTGGAGAATAATGTCCTTTGGAGATGCCCAGCCGTTGAGGGCACCCTCGAGACGCACACCTAGAATTTTAGGAGCCTTGAGTTCCCATGGAGCATCAACAAGAGCGTCTACGGCATCCGCACCGCCTACGCCAATGGCAATGGCGCCCAGACCACCGCCATTAGGTGTGTGGCTGTCGGTACCAAGCATCAGCAGTCCAGGTGCGGCATAGTTTTCCAACACGGTTTGGTGAATGATTCCAGCGCCTGGAGGCCAGAACTCAATCCCATACTTCTTTGCAGCAGACTCAAGAAAGTCAAAGACTTCTTTATTTCCCTTGATGGACGCTGGAAGGTCCACGTCGGCTCCCTTCTCTCCGACAATCATGTGGTCGCAATGGATACTAGCTGGAACCGCCGTCGATGGAAGACCGCAAGACATAAACTGCAGAAGGGCCATCTGTGCGGATGCATCTTGCATAGCAACCCTATCAGGTTTGAGCTTCAGGTTGGCGCAACCTCGAATCTCCTTACCATTCTGCGTGCCTGTAAGCAATGACTCTTCGACATTATCAAGGTGGGAATATAGGTTCTTTTCGGCGAGAGTCAGGGGTCTTGATGCGCCTAGCACTCTCCTGACTTCGTTTAGCTTGCTAAGGATCTTGGGATATGGCGGAGAGCGAGAGGGTGCTATGGAAGAGGATGTCACTGTCGCAAGGCCGCGATATTGTAGCCCGGAGCGCCTGAGAGGCAATTGCGTGAGCTATTGCTTGCAGGGTTAGCAAAGTTTCTTTCACCAGGAGGAGCAATTGAACGAACATACCGTAGACCCAGCTGCGCAACGCTGGCGGAGAACCTGCATCGCTGATGACCTCCTCTTGTGACTGGACAGTTTTATATGTTCTCTTGGTCGAAGGTACAAAAAAATCTCCAACTTATCCCGAATACATTTTTATCTCGCACGTCATTGGCCGGATGGAGCTAAAAGTCTAAATGCCGACATCGGCCATTTTCTTGAACTTCAAAAAGTTTTGGTATTAATTTTTTTCCCAACGATGAGAATGATCAGAACCACACCTTGTATATCTATGGACGTGAACGGTGTGTATAGAATAGTGACGCCCGGGTGAAGTCAACCCCCGGAGGAAATGAAATTTCTGCAAAATATGTTCCAACTGCTTTTCAAAATATGTAAAAGGGGAAAGAGAAGAGTCATCATACACGGCATAGAACAAGACAAAAACGGAGGTCATATCAACTTGTAGCCAAACGCCTGGGAGTAAACACAGGGTGAACTAGTGGTATTATAGCGGAGCCTGTACGGGGTAAATCGACCTTTGCTTGATCATGGCTGTGGCGAGGATGCGTCCTCTGCATCCGCCCGCAAGTCGTAACAGAGGTCATAACATTCCGCAAGAAGCTCATTGATGCCCCCTTGGCCCTCGGGGAGGTCAGAACCAATGTAGAATTTTCCTTCAACTCGCATGTTGTCAATGGAGTTAAGCTATGGCAACGGTTAGCATCTGTTATACACCCAAAGATATATATATATATATATATGGAACATGACCCACTTTCATGCTATATGGGTAGAGTTCCCTGGCGCTTGATACACCACCCGACTCCTTAACCTCTATTAAACATTTCCTCAATGTCTGTAGTTGATTATAAATTGGCAATAGTGCTTCCGATACTGGCTCGGAAGAGACAAGGAGGCCATAAATCAACGCATAGCTCCGTCGAATGAGATAAAGAAGGGTCTGATTCGGTTATATTAGTATAATAAACTAGTACAAGATTGGATAAACATACCCTTTGCGCATGTAGGTCGGCTGGCTTCCCTGATACATCCAAAAAATTACCGTCCACTCGACATTCATCGATTTTGTTCAGTTTCCTTTGATACATGTAAAGATCAGATTCGCGTAACGACCATGCGTGTGTCATGGACAAACGGTCAAGCTGGTTTCTAATGTCAATCAGTTGATTATAGTAATCCAAGAAAGCTTCGTTGATCCGTCCTTGTCTATTGGAAGTGTTAGCTATACGGTACCCTGATAATAAGGCAAACGTCACATCTTACCGTTCAAGTACGATATCGGACCATCTAAAGCATTTTTCTAGCAGGCTCTTCACTATCTCCTGACCGGCGGGAACAGATCCATCTGCGGCAACAAAATTTCCGTCTACCATTTTAGACTTGATCCCATTTAGCTGGTCTTTGAAACCAAGCACCTCAGAGGCGGAAAACTAGAACGTGACGTCAGCATGCATCTAAGCACACAAACCATCAGTATGACGGTGGGGTCGGATGAGCTGCGTACCTTTGACCTTGTGTTTGCTGCAGAAGTAGATCGTAATATGGACACTAGGGTTTCGTGTGTCGGAGTGAGCTCTGGGGAAAGCAAGGAAAGCTCATGCTGTAGTTCTGCTAATTGAGAGCGGCAGCTCTCTAGCCTAGTTTCCAGGAGTTTGAGCAGATGAGGTGAATATGTATTCTGGCCGCGGCTAATATTGCTTTCCACACTGTCGAGTGTACCGCTTATCGAATCGAGGTCCTTTTGGCTGAAAAAAGATGCCTCTTTAAGGTGGTCCAATAGCCGCTGAACAAAGCTGTTAACAAGAGCCATCAACCAGGTAATATGTTTTAGAGCGTTACCTTGATAGTAGAGGCCATGGAATATCTTAAAAGGTGGACAATTAGCCGCGACAGGTTTACTATGGGACGGTCTAGGGATATATATACATACACTGCCGGTGCCTCGTTGTTCTTCCCCACAGTAAGAAATAATAAGGAAATTAATTGAAAGCAATCATCCAGGACGTTATCAACTAGGGATTCGTTAGCCAACTGGTTGCAAAGAGGTCTCACCCCTGGTGATGTTTAAAAAAACAGCCACCGCATAGATTCTTACCTCTGTTCTGAGCTACTCTGCGGCCTGATCGAAGCTCATTCAACAGCTGTACCTGCTCGATAGCCTGATCATAGAAGGGAATAACATCATGAGATTTAACATAGGTAGATTTGTCTTGTTTGATAAGCACTAGGCCATCCCGTATGGCGATGAGGCGCTCGAGTATGGGCTCTTCTTCCGGGTCAACCGGGGCAAAGACGGCGGGGGAATCTGCCATGTTCTGCACTTATTTTCGGGTCTTAAGCCGTATTAGCCGTGTTAGAGATGATTTAGTTTCCTGCTGGTCCTTTTTTCCTGCTTCCCTCCTTGATATGTATGTATATACTTGCATTAAGCAACGCCTTCGCTGGTCTCTTTTCTTCTTCTCTGGAGGACCGATTGGGCGGGGCCGTGATGGGCATGTTTGCACCTGGTGGCTCTTGTTTGTCTTGTTTGATGTGTATGCATTTATTTTGGTGGGGATACCACGTGACTCGTATGAAACGCACGGTCCATTCACGTGATTCGATAAGCGAGCTAAGTTTTGCACACACGAAAAAAAAAAAAGAACTGGTGGATTTTGATGATGAAAAGCAGTTTTCGCCGTGACATTCTTCGACATCGCACCGAACGACTCCCTTCAACTCCTTGAACAGAGATAGATTCGCATCCGTCAGACATACCTTTTGCACAATGTCTTCCGCCGAGCTCGCCGTCTCTTACGCCGCCCTCATCCTCGCCGATGAGGACATCGAGATCACTGTGAGCGCAGCCCCGGATACATTCCAAAGTCTCTCCTTTTGGTTGCGCACAGTTCGCAGGTCAAATTGATATACTGGGAGAAGAAAGAAAGAAAGAGAAGCAATAGCTGAACTGACGGTGTATACTCTCATAGTCCGACAAGCTCCAAACCCTCCTCAAGGCCGCTGGTGTGACCGATGTCGAACCTATCTGGACCTCCCTCTTCGCCAAGGTATATTTGATATAAATATCCAGATCACCCAGGATTTAACAGTGAATACATACTAACTGGGAATATTGCCTTTGGAATAAAGGCTCTTGATGGCAAGAACTTGAAGGATCTCCTAGTCAACGTTGGTTCCGGTGGTGGTGCTGCCCCAGCCGGTGGTGCTCCTGCTGCTGGCGGTGCTGCCGCAACTGAGGCCGCCCCAGCTGAAGAAGAGAAGGCCGAGGGTATGTTGAAATCCGTCCTATTTCCCTAAGCCCTTTCCTTGTTTCGGTTTGGCGTCCCAGTAAACGAGTTTTACTAACAATATATTTTCCACAATATACAGAGGCCGAAGAGTCCGACGAGGACATGGGTTTCGGTCTTTTCGATTAAAATTCTTCTTACGACTCTTTTATTCCCTTGTACCCATATTCATAAAAGATGGATGCACAACACGAGGCGCTTGCGGAAACGGTCGTGCCACCTATTGCCGGATCAGAATCTTCTAATAGAAACCAGTCATTGGGTGGCGCAAATACCTTATGAATGAGAGATATTTTCCTTTCATCTTTTTTACCATGTCATGTCGTGATGAAAAAATTCCCAGCTGCCAGATTAATCTTAAAAAAAGAAACGTGAATTGTGCGCCATAGTCTTGGATATCTTCTCTGCTTATCTCAGGGACAGTCTCTGTTGTCCTTTGGGACTGCTGCAAGGCCTGCCAAAGGAAATGGATAAATAAAATACATTGAAGCTAGACTACCGTCGAAGTAGACAATTCTTCTGGCACGGCGTATATGCGGAATTGGAAAAAAATCACAATATCTTCGACAATGGTACCAAGTGACCCCATGAGCCACGGCAGGTTTGTTAAGAAGTACTCTTTTTCCGTAGAGTGGAACAATATCTAGCAGCTTGTCAGCAAACTTGAAACCTTGAAAAAAAAAAAGCCCGAAATAACTACTCACCCCTGCACCATACGTAGCGTTGCCAAGTAAAGAAAAGACGAAGAATAAAAGGGACAGTCCTACCCTTGGATGTCAGTCTCAACCTTGTTTTCTTCATGTTCAATAATACTCACCTTCACAAGACTTTTCTCGATAATTTTTAATAATCTGTGGGATTCGTGCACTATGCAGAGGTTAGTTAGTAGGCTTGTTATGTATAATATCTGCAGAGCCATCCAAATCTCACCCTAGATAGCACAATGCACTGAAATACCCAACGATCTGAGCTCCAACAGCCATTTCGATTGGGTTTCCAATATTATGTATTGGAGTCGGCTTCCACGCTCCAGTTTTCCAGGCAATTACCCAGCCAGCAGTTCCCGCTGCACATATACCCAGGAGACTCAACGTATTCTTAGCCCATGTGCTCCTAGGCTCGTCCTCTTCCAACATCTTTACCAAGGGGTCACGGCTAGACTGGTTGCTGTCCAACCTTCTTCTGCCAGGTAATCCGAGATTCTCACTCATCCGTCGACTCAACAGGGGTGTTGTCGGCTGGGGTGCAACTTCTCCCTCATCGTCGTGGTCTGTATAGCTCGAAGTACGTCTTGCTGTCTGTTGAGAAACTCTCTCATTATAATATATGCACTGGCATATCAAAACTCCATCCGCAATGCAGAAGTAAATGGCTATAGCGACCACTACGGGAACCAGCTTGGCCCACAGACTCCCTACCAGGTTGGCAATATCCCCTACAAACCAGACGAGGATAAAGGTGAAGGATATAGCTTTGGCGTTTCCGTTTTTGTAGTTTTCGACCAACTGAGGGACCTTTATGCGTGTTAGCTAGGGAAGCTGGTAAACAATGTGGGGAGGGCTCACCAGAAGAAATATCCAGCAAGCAAGAGATATCGAGCCCAGAATCCCTGAAGCTGTCTCTCGATAGGTCAATGGGATAGAATCGAAGCTGTCGAGCATTTTTATTTCCTTTCCTTTTTTTTTTTTTTTAGTTGCAAGCAAGCAAAGCTGTGCTAGTTACTCAACTGGTTAACCTAAAGAGCTAGCTTCCACTTGCTGCAAACTCGATGCTCGCTGTATAAACACGCTCTGCACAGCTCTAACATCTCGTGGGAAACGCAAAAGCAGCAGGCATTAAATAGTGAATCGCACGAGTTCCTCCCGTCGGTTAGTTATAGCGCCACTTCTGATAAGAACTTGGATTAAAGAACGGAAAAATAAGTTTCTGTCTTGATGCGTCATCGAAATAGTCTCGCCTTGGCGTTGCTTCAGTTTTTTGTCTTAGACATGCGAAGTCTCAGCAACAGACGCTGTGCACAAGTCATATTCATAAAGCCGTCATATCTATTGCTTAACTATGTGCTGGTTTGCCGTTCTAGTTCCTCAATAAGGACCAACTCAACCATTTCGGCAGATGAACCTAGTCCTGCAGTTACGGAGGAGATGATCCGGTGCCAATCCCGCCTGTCTAGACGCCGGAGGATTCTCACCCAGCGCTGAACAGGCGTCATATCTACGTCCTCCTCCCAATTTCCCGGATCCACGCCATTGACACTGAAGAATCCTGCAAGCTCATCCGCCCCTTCAGCCGATAGCCATTCAGGTGCTTGCGACGGAGGAAGATACACCTCTGCCATATCTAATTCTTCCGCTGAGTCGGTGTCGTCATCCTCAGGGGTATGTTCATGGTTTTGGTGGCCGGTTTGAATATGGTCTGGTTCGTTTGCGCCAAATAGTTGAAGCACTTCGTCCATCATAGATGCCGCGCGAACAGTAGACAACCCCGCCTCATTTGGCGGTAGGGGATCCGAAGCCGATATTTGTCGGATGGTGAAATGGCGTGGGAGGTGGGCCGTTACTGATGATATGTCTGATAGTATAACATGCCGTGCCATGTCCTGTGATACCTCTGGTGCTTTGGGGGGTTTCTCAGGTGCCACTAGAGAATCAGCAACCTCGACCAAGAGAGAGGTTGCCTCGGGAGTATTCCATATGTCTTTGGCGCGAGCTATGTAAAGTTCACAAAGCAATTCGTAAGCTTTGCTAGGTGCCTGAGCACCCCAAATGGCTTTTGGCACGGGCGATATATTTAGTTCTTGGGTAAGACGGCAGAATATCCACGGATATCGAGCGATGGCAGAATGAAGGACCTCTCTGCACTCCTTTGGTTTTTTCAAATACATGTACGCCAGGCCAAGGGAGCACTGAATGTTAGGAAACGATTGCCACCGTTCTCTGAAACTAGGGTATAGACACAAGTCGACAAAATGTTCTAGTTCTCTTGCCCTTATGGCGATATGATCGATAATCAAGCTTAGACAGTATGGGTCATCCGGGTCAAGGCTCAGGAGTAATTTAGTCCATTCATATGCTGTTTTCCAGGTACCTTTCATTCCCAGGTTAATAACGTACCTCCATCCTGCAAGCCATAACTCACGGTTCTCCTTAATGGTAAAATCCAGCCTAGCTTTGCCCTCTTTTAAACTGTTCCCAAAGGAAGATTGAGCCGAACGTCCTATGTTAAATAAAGCCCTTTCTAAGAGATCAGCAGATACAGCATGGTCCCCTTGATGTTTTGCAATCTCAGAAACCTGTAGTAATGTTGATATATGGTAGGCTTTGAGTCATGTAAGCAGTTGTAACAAAAAAAAGGAATCAGGGACCACTCACGGTTATACTGAAGCAACTCGATCATTCTTTCAGGTTGCATGGACTCCACACACATGTCAAACTGACGCTGGACATCCTTATAAGCTTTATTATGGACTATCTCATATTCAACCACACCGCCAGAGGACCTCTGAACGACTTCCATCCCTAGCCCCCCGCTTGTCGCCTTGGGCCACTCAGCTTTCCCTTGCATAAGCACATTTTTACGTAGTGCTACACCTGAGAGATCCTGACCTCGGCTTGCAGGGCTGTATCGCCCTGTCAGAGCAGCTCCCAAGTCCAGAGCACGCCTATTCCGATCTCGTCTCCGGTTTCCAGACGGATTTTCGGATGGGGAAGCCCGGTTTTCCACAGCAGCATTTCCGAAGAGTCTTTTCATTTCATTCATAGCAACAAGCTTCTTGGCATCTATTTCTAGGAGCGCGCATAATTCCTGCTCGATGGAGTCATTATGGGCCCCTCCTGATTTGTGATTCGGGTCCTCGGATTGTGAAGGATGTTTAAGAGCTAAAGCTTCAAGGGCAATGTCTATCTCATCAGCTTCCGGGGCCTCAGAGTTAAAAGTTTTCGTATCAGCCAGGTCTGCGCTTTTTTTTGCCTGCTGTTTCTTGTTCTTCTTTCTCCTCTTCTTGCTGCTTGTGGGTTTTGAAACCTCCAACGGTGGGCCAGGCTGTTGGCTCTCTTCAGTAGGAGGATTTTCTTCATCAGATTCATTCTCATTATCATCGTCCTTGCCACCTAATAGATCAAAAGCATTGATCTTTGGCCGGGATATTGAGACAGGTGGTTCACTGTCTTCCGAGTCATCTTGAACCTCTAAATTTTGGACTTCCTTTTGTTTTTGTAATTTCCGCAGAGCTCTAGACGACATTTTCACTCTTAACTAAGACGAAATAAATAATAACATAAGGAACAATGATTCGGATGAATATTTTTGATAGTAATAAGTCCAAATCGCTTTTATCAATTGCGGAGCACTAATCAGGTTAGTCTTTATGCTTATGTCATCTTATTATCACGGGGCTATTCATCTATCTAGTAACTTTACTTGGAATGGACATCCTAGAAATTTATATCAGCCATAATCAAGTACAACAAGAGAAAAAGAAGAAGAAGAAGAAGATAGAAGCTTCAAGCAACAACTGCAGTTGCTATCATTAACCTGCAGACCGATATCCCATGCTCAGATGCGTCGAGTGGTCGCCCATGCCTTTCGAACCGCGCGCCGGTACCCACTACGAAGGTCATGTTTTAGGGCAGTCAACTTACCTCACGTTTCCTCCCGGAGTCATGATTTAGGTCCCCGGGGGTTTGCAACTTCCAGAACTACGATACCACGTCCAGCTGTTGTCCTTCAGTCATCCATGATATTTAGAAACTTGTCTCTGGCCTTTGCTTCCAGTCTCGTGGCCACGGGAGCGTGGTATGCATATACTGGAGGCTCTGAATCCAGTGCTGTTTCCGGGGTCAACACGACATTATCCAGCTCTATTCACACTCCATCGAATACGGCAATAGTATCGCCGTCATTCTCAGGAGTTCAGGTGGAAAGTGACCAGTTTTATACCACTACAAGTGTGGATCAACCAGTTTCGAAGCGGACAGATAACTCTGGAGAGAGGGTCGTGGGAATGCTTACGCCTGAGCAGGCCACAGAACGGCTTCGGCGGAACGAGGAGTCCTACTTTGTTGGGCGTGGGTCTGGTGTTGTTCGCTATGATGTAGCTCAGCTTCCTAGCAACGATCCCATTGAGGATGATCATGCCGAGAAAGTGGTGGAGGTGCCGAGCTCTGTTAAGGCGACGGAGAATGGAGCGCCAACAAGTGACTGGAACTTCTGGGGTGTCTTTGACGGCCATTCGTAAGACCCTCACCTCTTTCATTTACCAACTGTGCAGATATATATAGCTAACCCGTTTTAGTGGATGGACAACTTCCGCAAAATTAAGACAGACTCTAATTTCTTATGTTGCTCGCGAACTTAATGCTACTTATAAGTCAGCAGCTACGAATCTTGCCTTCCCATACCCTAGCCCCGAAGCGATCGACGCAGCTATCAAAACTGGTTTCCTACGACTGGATCACGAAATAGTGATTGAAAGTGTAGAAAAGGTTGTCAAAGCTAACTCAAAAACTGTTGCGGCAGAGCTTCTTGCTCCAGCCCTTTCTGGGTCATGTGCCCTCCTTGCATTTTACGACAGCAGGTCAAAGCTGGTACGTGTTGCCTGTACTGGTGACTCCCGAGCTGTTCTCGGGCGCAGATCGTCAAACGGAAAATGGTCCGCTATCCCACTATCAGAAGACCAAACCGGAGGCACAGAGTCTGAAGCCGAACGATTACGTGCCGAACACCCTGGAGAAGACAACGTTGTTCGTAATGGAAGAATCCTTGGTGGTCTTGAACCCAGTCGTGCCTTCGGCGATGCTGCATATAAGTGGCAGCGGAAAACCCAAGAGAAGATCAAACGACACTTCTTTGGACGCACGCCCAACCAACTCTTAAAGTCTCCTCCTTATGTTACCGCAGAGCCCATCATTACCACTACGAAAATCGACCCCACAAAAGGTGATTTCCTGGTACTGGCCACGGATGGCTTATGGGAGATGTTAAGTAATGAAGAAGTTGTTGGCTTAGTTGGGCAGTGGATCGAACATCAAAAGTCTGGTGGAAAGGATGGAATGGGAGGCTGGATGAAGAGCTGGTTCAGCACTAATGGAACTTTGCCTGTTGAGACGGAGTCTAGGGAAAAGCAATCTGGCCAACGATTGCCCATCCGTCAACTGCAATACGACATCCCTCAAGATACCAACCGTTTTGTTGTCGAAGACAAGAACGCGGCCACACATTTGATTCGAAATGCACTAGGCGGAAAAAACAAAGAACTTATTTGCGCTCTTCTTACCCTTCCTAGCCCATACTCGAGGAGATACCGGTATGTTCCACATTTTACTTCAATATACGGATAAATACTAATATGAAATGCCTGTAGTGACGACCTGACAGTTGAGGTTATCTTTTTCGGTGAAGGTGAAAACAATGGTGCGGTCAGTGTAAACCAAGAAGCAAGTGCTTCAGTACACAAGATACCCCCAAAGCTTTAATAATTCAAACTCTGCCTACCTCTCTAGGCTTGTATATTTTGTTATCACATGCCATGGAGTTTCAAGTTGTATATTTGGTGTTAAGACCCGGTTAGGTTGTGCTCATATTCAATATCCTAGACACTAAGTTTCTTATTCGCAATACTACGTATAGGTACTATTCACTCATCGTTCAAACTTGTGTGTGCATTTTCTGTCCCATGTCTTTTCATTATCACACTTCATCATATAAACGATAGAGTTGACGGCAGCATTGGCAAGAATTATGTTCTGAACCTATTAAGATATGCATCGTAGGGAAATAAATATTATTTGTCAACAATATAGTGCTTCAATATCCCTACTATACTGAGTACGAGTGCAATGTAGCCGTTGGTAGGTGACTTATTCGTCGAATAATGGCTTCAGCCACCCAATATAATGTCCCAAACACGGTTTCGGTTGTAAATAAGGCTTGCGACTTATTGATACTCTCTTTGACCACCTCATTTCTATCATGCAGCTGGCTGGCCCAAGTGCTTTCTTCGTTAGGGAGTAGGTAACATTCCGAGATAAGGGAGCTCCAAAGTTATTTATACGAAGACCTCCCTTAGCCTTCGAGATTATATCTTCAATAATTGTATTCATGTGTCTCTGTATATTCACTAGTGCTGATATGCTCGTGGGTTGCCATGGGTCCCTTCTGGCTTGAAGATTTAGGTCTCAAGAGAGGATGTAACAGGGATCTTGAGGCCTTGGTCAACTCAGTAAAGGTTACCGTTTAGAGAGAAATTATAGACAAATATCAATTGGTCCAATTTTCATTTTGACATTGTGGTTGCCTTATTATGGATGCTCCCAACGCTTTTTTCACGACAAGGTGCTGGTGGTGCCTTAGTCCGCATAAATCTGCGAACTATTTGAGTCTGCGCAGTCGCGAAAGTGGAGCTTGAGATCCAGTAAATTAACAAGCCAGCCGGTGCTCCAGAGGATATCATAACTGGTGCCAGCCATATCGACAGTCCCTGTAAAATTCGCTTTAAAAGCTTGAGCGCCCTTTCTCGAATAGCTTCGCCTCGCCGCATCATCGAGATCTCAGCAGCAGACTTAACCTTCCAACCCCAGGTGACGTTGGTGAACATGGTGGCTGCAAGGATAATGGGAAGAGCATGTGTGGGATCGGCCGCAAGAAGGTCGGGGAACCAAAGAGCACCTTCCATTGCCATAGATGGTTCGATCTGGATAATTGGTGCACCGTCTACTTTAGATTCGATCCACGACTGAATGATAGAAAGGAGTCCTCCTGACATTCCGACCATTCGCCGCAAGCTCTCCATCATAGCAAGCCATACAGGAAGTTGTAAGAAACTGGCATAGCTTGCCCAGGGACGAATTTTCCATCTCTTATATAGCTCCTTCTTCTTTATCCGTAGATCGCGTTGCCAGACAGCTTCTACTGCTATTGGAGAAAGGTGCTTGCCTTCTATGACTGATTTATCCATTGCTTTCTTCTGAAAGACTCTGCTCCAGGTAATGAGAAGCGGGTTAAGCTTTTGCAATTGCTGAGCCTTTAATAGCGACCAGACTTGAAGAGGTAAAGCAACACAACATCGCACCGTAATTGCTGTAAGCGGAATTGACAATACCCAAGGCAAACCAGTGGCAGAGTGAAATCCTTGTATAATATCATGAGCAATAAGAACAGAGCTATCGATAATTCGGTTCGGATTCGATGCGTGGAAGCTTCGTTTGGTAGGTAATGAAATGGAAGGGTGATGATGTCTTAATGACCGTAAAGTTATAAAACTAAGAGTAGATTGTCGGAAAGTCATCTTGAATAGTTAGAGGATGAAGAGTAGAAACGAAAGAACAGAGCTTTAGAACGATACTCCAGAGTCCGGCCAGCATTGTATCCAACAAGCTGGTCGTTGATAATTCATATCTTCGTCTTATTATCTGAAGCTCTTATTAGATCAAACAGTGCAAACAATGAGAATTCGGATTAATTTTATCCGTCAAATGCTTAGTCAGCTTCATTCGATAAGGGCAAGTTGGACAAGTTAGGAACTCCTCGAATAGTTGTCGATATACATTTATGATATAGGGAGCTATCCTGGTAGATACAATTCATTCGTTTCTTTTGGCTATGGCTTGGTAACTGAAGTTGATTATTCCTGGCATCCAGCTGTGTCTAGAGATTGTGTTACAATGCTTTCTCTCGTGTCATCGGCCTTTGCAACACTGGTGGCACTAGTTGCCCTTGTCATCTTTACTCCCACCTTAGCAGGCTATATCGTGCGGTCAATTCTCCAAGGTCTCGGTTATCTCAACCAGAAGAAGTCTGAAGCTAGGAGGGCGTTGATTCGAGCTCGTGTGCGGGTGGAGGAAGAGGATTACAGGTCCCGGAGAGCTAGACATGCCGCAGGTTCCAAAGTGGAAGAGGAAGACTGGGAGACCGTTGACAAAGACGGAGGAGATAATGGAGGGAGCTCGTCAAAATTGAGTGGCGATGGAAGAAATCATAACGATTGGGCTGGCATTGTTGGGTTCTTCCACCCATTCTGGTGAGGCGCACCCTTGTCCCCCGCACCTGCGGAGTAATAGAAACAGATAGCTGATGCAGCAATGCAGCAACGCCGGAGGCGGAGGTGAACGAGTACTATGGGCAGCTATAGATGCTTTTCAGAAGAGGTGGCCAAAAGCGATATGCGCTGTATACACCGGCGATCATGATGTGGATAAAACAACAATGTTGAAGAACATAGAGGTGGGGTACCATCATTCCCAAGCTATTCTACGTTCAGCCCGCTAATGGTCAAATAGAGACGGTTTAATATTCGACTACACCCTCCCACGGTCGTGTTCCTCTATCTATCCACGCGGAAGTATGTTTTAAGTAGCACATGGCCCCATTTCACACTCCTCGGGCAATCGATAGGCTCGCTAGTATTGGCACATGATGCATTTACCCTTCTCGTACCCGATATATTTATCGATACAATGGGATACGCTTTTGCCTCGGCGTTATCTCATTATCTTTTCCCAAAAGTTCCCACGGGGTCGTACGTGCATTACCCTACCATTTCGACCGACATGCTCGAATCCTTGGACGATGCATCAGGCTTCAAAGGCCTAAATTCAGGGGCGGGAAAGGGATGGAAAGGAATCGTCAAAAGGCGCTATTGGCACGCGTTTGCACGGCTTTACGGTTGGGTAGGGTCCACTATTGACGTCGTTATGTGCAATTCGTCCTGGACATCTGCACATATCCAGAGCCTTTGGCTACCGTCGAGACGGAGACGGGGAAATCAATATCAAACGGCTAGTGTAGTTTTCCCTCCCGTTGCGGTTTCCGATCTTGAGACCATAATAATCGACCTCAAGAGTGAGAGAGACATTCGACAGCCTGCTATTCTTTATATAGCTCAATTTCGCCCAGAGAAGAACCACGCACTTATTCTTCACGCTTTTGCACGGTTTCTAAAACAATACAAAGCCACAGCTGAGAGCAGACGCGTCAAGGATGGCAAGTCTAGTATCGACAAGGATGAAAGCCCCTCCAGTTCACCTCAGCTTATTCTTATCGGTTCAGTCCGCCACCAAACCTCTGATGAAACTCACATCTACAACCTCCGTTTATTAGCCCACGAATTACGGATCCGTGACAACACGACTTTTCTCTGCGATGCCAGCTGGCCAACAGTCATAGAAAACCTCAGAAAGTCTTCTATTGGCGTTAATGCTATGTGGAACGAGCACTTTGGTATCGGGGTTGTAGAGTACCAGGCTGCCGGCCTAATTAGTGTTGTGCATGACTCAGGTGGGCCAAAGCAAGATATTGTCGTAGACCTGGATGACGAAGGGGCTACTGGGTTCCACGCTACAACTGAGGTTGAATTTGCAGCTGCGTTCGAGGCCGCGTTGGCTCTGCCGGAGGCAGAGAAGCTTGCCATGAGATTAAGAGCAAGGAAGTCCGCGCAAAGGTTCTCTGGGCAGCAGTTTGAGACGAAATGGCTATGTGAGATGGAGAAATTGGTTGACCTACAGGTGAGACGCACCAGCAACATATAGGGTTCTGCCTCCATTTGGCCGAGGAGACCAATCAGGTATCACATATACATGAAGAAGAGTGTGCCAAACAGAGAGAACCAAGGACAACCGAACAAAAGACCGCAGTTCCCCGATAACCCCCACGGTACGGACCCTCTCTGGCCTTTCCGGGATCCAGTAACATTTGAATGTTAGAAAGACTGGTCATCCAGCCTGGCCATGTCTGAGGGGTTTCCATTGGCTACAGTGCTCTGATAGATCGCATTAATAAGACTTAGCTCATCTACAGACATATATACACACCACTACTAAAGCTGGTTCTTGTCCCACCAGCAACTCTCAATGCGACATCTTCCCAGTTAACAGAAAAAGGACCAGTAGCAGAAGCCAAAGTAATGCCCCCCATTGTCAACCCGCCTGACAATGCCTTAAACTACATCTCTTATTTCGCTTCCCCTCTTGCTCACCTGTTGCTGCGCCGCATGTTATCAAGGCGGTTAAAGCTTGGGCAAAGTGTGATCATAAAGCAACTAGGAAGAACCCGAAAATAGAGATGCAACTGCAAATAAATTACAAAGCGGTGCCTGAATTTCTTTCGGGGCTGGTCTATCGCCCGCCCTACATGATAATAAGCCCCCGCTGGAGGGAGATTTTCCGGGTGGGCTTGAAGACACAACATATTGATTTGATGGAAATCGCTGTTGAGAGGTATTTTGAAGTGACCTGGTCTGGCACCATGCATTTACCCGCATCATGTACGGGCTAATGCACTTCGTATATGGAGCAGGCGACAAGAAAGAGAAAAATCACATTAATGCCGGGATGGTGACGATGAAGTCGCTCAGATGTTCAGCATTAAACATCTGCTAGGCTAGGCTGCTGGTTATCTTCAGTAAGGCTTCGTCTCAGCCTGTTATGGAGGAAGAGGTCGACGTTGGGGTACACCGTAGGTTTACTCGACTGCTATAATATGTATCTCCTAATCTCATAGTTATACACCAGGTTAGCCTCTTTGACACTGGCAAGTATCCTTGCTGGAGTCCTATATCAAGAATATTCTCGCACCATCTCCGGTGAAGCCAACTAGCTACATATTCGCCATGATGTCGAGTTATCTAGCGCATGTCGGCGACTCAGACAGTTTGTGTATCTCTATCTCCACCAGCCAAACAGTTATTTTTTTATGCGTACCTGACAAAGAGGAGGGCTCAGACATTTTGCGGAATATTCTACAAGATTGAAAAGTCTAGATGCCAGTCAACTGTTCTGCCAACCGGGAGGCTCCCTTGAAGATGCCAAAGCGTTGGTTTTAATATTCAATGCCTTCCTACTCCATACAAAGTCAAAGCCAAGATATCCATCCAGTCGTCTTTCGTCCCTTTTTCCTTTTCCCTTTTTTGCCTTTCGACTTCGAAGGCCTACAACTCATCAATGCAGACAGGCTCCACCTTCCTACCCGCATGGAACCGTGATATATGCACATACACATCAACCAGCAAAATGTGCATATCCCGACTGCAAGGCTGGGGGGAAATTGGCTCTCTCTGGATGCATAGTCTGCAAGGACCCCAGTATCGACATTTAACATCTTAATTCCCCCTCCTTTCTATCCCCAGTCACAACTGCGCCAAGTATGCTAGCATATAAGTGGAGAAGAAGAGATCTCTTTTCTTTTTGGGGGTTTGTTACTCTCCTCTTACCGAACATCAAACCATCAGAGAATGACAAGTCCAATGCCTCCTATCTGGACCGCATATGGCTAAGTTGACTAATTAACTGGATTTAGTATCAACTAATTTATCTCTTGATGATTCGTATTAGACTTCCGGCAAGGCTCCACTGGGCGGCTTGTGATGAACCATGGTATGATTCCGCCAAACCGAACCTTGCCATGGGGCAGCTGATATCTGTTTAGTTAGTCGACTGAGCCAGAGGGGGAGGAATACAGAGGGGTCAGGACAAGAGATAGGGCGCCGGTGTCGGCAAGCATGGCTCATCCTATTCTCGGCCTCTTTGTGTCCGTCAGTTTTTCTTGCCCAAACAGCTTCATGTTCCAGGAAGTCCCGGGAAATAGGATAATGTATTACTCGGGATAGTCATACAAGGTCGACGAGTATAACGTCTTGCTTGTACTCCAACCAGAAGGCATCGCTAGCTCTCCTCACCGCCGATTGCAGCTAAAGTCAAGGCTAGTGTTACGGGCAAGCGGCAGCTCCTAGCAAATCGTTTGGTTGCAACCCTGATCCATGTTATACACCACCTCCATGCATCTACCCCCAGGCTAAGTATGATGTATGATGTCTGAGAGTACCAGGCACACTTTACATATAGTAAAGAGCCAGACACAAAAGATCTCGGGCACATTCCCCTAGCCAGCGTGGGGAAGAAGGGAAAATGAAACGTCGAAAGCCCCCGGAAAAAACAAAGTAATTAAAACCAGATAACTATTATATTTCATTCTCGGCGGCTGGCCGTTGTTCCATGTGAATAGCGAAAGCGGCGCAGCGCACAGAACTGCACGACTGGCTTTGTATTATTACTATTGTTTTTGTTTTGTTTCTTATTGTTGCTATGCATTTATTCCCTGGATTTTCGATCAGCCATGCCGCGGGGCCCCTCTCTAGGTAAGCGTCTGTCAGGTTGCCATAATTCTTTCTTCCACAAGTTGATGGTACATAAGATGCCTGCATACAAAGCGCATTGAGCACAGCCAGTTAACAGCAGCCCTATTTCCTGCGTACTTCCTGTCGTGGGACCACTGGACTGCTGTTTCGCCCAGTATTGATCCTGAGCAACCTCCAAACGCATGAAACTCTGATTGCCTCCTATTTTTCTGCAGGTAATCGCCCGTATCGAAGGGCTCCAGCGGTAATGTCGTACCCCTGCGTACTGCCCGTATTACATATACATAATCAAACTAACTGGTGTCATTAGTATCATACGGGAGGCCTTCCCTATCAACTTAGCCAAACTATCGTTGGCTTAGGGGTTAGATAATTATTGGTATTCCCGGTGCAGCGTGCGACTCCGCCCAATGGCTCTCCCGCCAACAACCATTCCTTTGGGATCGTTTAAAAACGCTTCCTCCCTTGCTGGACCCCCGCGAGAATCTCGGCATGTGAAAGGCTAGAATGTCCCGGGCGGCCTTTTGCAGTTTTCTTTGACCTCATGGCGTTCTAGTTTTTATCATCCCAGACCCCAGAGGAGATAAAGCAATAAAACCCATCTGTCAGGCACGAAAACAGAATCTGACTCTGGTTGTTTAGCCTGGCAAGCATTTTTATGCAAGGTCCCCGTTCGCCTCGACAAGCGCCCCCTTGAACGTCACATTTATGATCAACGATGGGTTGCTTTCTGAACGGCGTTATCTCCGCTACGATCGTCTACTTATCTCTTGACTCCTGGACGGAGTAACACGTCAGAGGGTCTCAGCAGAATCCTCTTTGCTCAGCTCCCTCGCCACGTCGTCCCGAGGCTTGTGCCTCGTTCCACAGAACTGGGAAAAAGAATAAGGAATAATCCATCTTAGTACAGGTTAGCTCTTACTATGGGAGCACAGATAATATGCACATACTTTGGGGCAACTGGAGAAGAAGAAAAAAAAAACAAAAAACAAAGACCCGCTCTGATTATATCACCACAATATACGATTCTCAGCATGTCTGCGAGTGCGAGCAGTTTTACCTCCATCGTATGTAGGACTGATCACTGCGGTGCGGCCTCCATATCGATCGATTGGTTGTCCGTCGTTGAACCGTGTGGTGGAGACCCTGCTACGCCGTACGCTGTGGTATAGACAATACATATGTTGTATGCATATATATCGATGTTCGGACAGCGACAGAACAACGGACTCCCATGCTCACACTCTCGAAAAGTAAGGGTTTCTTCACGATGCGCCGCAACAGCGAGGATTTAGCTACTTTGTCTACTGAGAAACGCATGACAAGAAAAGCCGCACAGCACGGAGTTGCCAAAAAAAAAAAAAAAAAAAAAAAAAGAAAGAAAAAGAAAAGAATCAACCACCTAGCGAAGATCAATCTGTGCTTCCCCAAGGTATCCCTGCCTGCCAAACATCAATAAGATTTAGTTCTGTTTAAAAATAAACGTAAGAATTAAAAAAATAAGGGACGAAGAGGCAGAATAAAGCCCATTGTGTGAGAAGCCCCTTTTCCATTCCCCCCCTTCATCCCCTTCTCCTCTTCAACCCTTTTGCTTCCCCAACTAATCCCATGTCTGAGGCTAATAGGTACTTCGCCTTGATAAGGTTGGCTCTGCTGCCTTTCCTTTCTTTTTCTTCAGCTTCTTTTTTTTTTTTTTTATTCAACTCTGTTGACGTTACCCTTTTACCAGGTCCCCCGTTGATGGACTTACCATACCCGGTATCAAAAGTGTAAGCATCTTTCCTCTCATTGCTTTTTTCTTTTCGCTCTTCTCGGTTCATTTTTAAACATCCCATAATAAGCCAGAGTGGTTTCAAGGCATCCTGATACTTATATATCTTCCTCTCTCTCTCTCCCTTTCTCTCCAGGTTCACATCCAGCTTACCTTTCTCTACATCCGGCAAACCCGATGAACCTCTTTAATGCTTCTTTCCCCATTCCCACTCTGATAATAACCTGAAATTACTTGCATCTTCGGGTTCCCAGTTTCTCCTTTTTTCCTTTTTTTCCACTCTCCACAAATAGTAGTGTCGCTTTTTCATGCCCACTTTTCGAATCGAAGGTTTCGGTTTCTGCATGTTAGCTGTGACATTTGCTGCCCGTCAACCTTAGCCCTCTCCTTGAAAGGGAAGGAAACAAAAAAAAAAAACTAATCGGCATAATTTTCAAACGAGAAGGGTGAAAAAACGACATCCCCCCAGGCAGAGAGAGAAGTGGAAAGAAAAATAATAAAAAGCTCCCGCTTTTAACACCCAAGCTGCCCAATCAATGCACGCTGCTCTGATATACAACTCTATATATATGTGTTCCGCATCTACATAGTATATATTTATATATGTGTGTATACACGTATGTATATACTTCCGATCCTTTTCGATATCGCTGCCCACCTTCTCATCGCAGAATCCAGAAGACCAGCGGAGAACCCAGAATCTTCCATATCGGAATCCTCAATCCCCCCCCGTTAGCCTGTCTCTCTAGCTTCCAGCATCCACGCCAGCTCCCTCCATCTCAGCCGGCCCAGCAAAGAAAAAACGAAAAAGAAACGAGAAAGAAGGAGGGAAAGCCTTTCTCTCTGGTCCTTTCGTCTCTTCCACCCCAGAACGAGCTGGAGTTTATCATCGCAAGCTGTATTAATCGTCAGCTGACCTTGTAACTGTGGGCTTTTTTTTTTATATTTTATTTTTTATTTTATTTTTTAATTTTTATTTCTGGGGTGTTTTTGGGCTTACTTGTTTGTTCCTTTTTTCCTTGTTGATTCTTCAGGAATTCTTCAAATCTTCAACTTCAATTCAAACGGAGAAAAACCGCGACCTCTTCTTCCCATCATCATCATCATCCTCCTCCTCCTCTTCCAATCTTTCCACACGGCCTCAGCAAAATTCTCTCTCTCTCTCTTGTGGTTTTCTCTTGTTCACTTCGTGTTCTAGCTCTCTAGAGCAGGTCTTCGCCTTGGTTTTTCCTATTCTTCGTTTTCCTCTCTCACACCCCCTTGTACTTCTGTGCAACCGGACCTCCATCGTGGATTGTACGGCGTCTCCCCTGGTTGTCTCCTGGATCGAGGGTCGGTTCTTCAACGACCGACCCCACCCAGCAAGATAGCTCACCCGCGCGCACAAAGAGACTCACTCATCACCAGTCTGTATAAATGGACATTTCCGTCATGACTGGCAGGTCTCCCAGGTCATCCGGTCAAGGGAGACAACAGCAAGACGAAAATGTTGATATGGGCGGCGGGGCACTAGGCAATCACGTGTGAGTTATCAGATCAGCCTTTTTCTTCCACTCTTCGGCAGGAGACGAGATGTTTGTCTTCTCTCATGTTTTTAACCTCTTGTCCGCTTTCAATCGATTTTTGTTGTTGATTGTTATGCGGGAAGGAGGGGAGAAACACTCCTAGTCCTCGTTATGGATCCGTTCTTCCTTTTCGCTTGCTCACTAAGCTTATTGCTGATCCAGGCGCAGTCAGGTTGACACATACCCGAGCTACGAGGAGAACGGGAGGTTGTACCATGGCTTTCGAAGAGGAATGTACATGTATCCTTGCGATGAGAACGAGCAGGATCGGCTAGACCTTTTTCACCGGGTGCTCTGCGTGGCCCGCAGGGAGATACTGCACAGTCCTAATATCAAAATTCCCTCAAGCATACCGCGCGGCCTATCTTCAATTCATGATCAGGGACCCCGGATACTCGACCTCGGTTGCGGAACAGGTACTGAAATTTCTTCGTCTTCATTTCCCTCTCCGTTTTTTTTAGTCTTTTCTTTTTATTTCCTTTCCCCTTCACCAGGACTCCGGATATGTACGCGGCTAGTGCACAAGTTTTTGGGATCGATATATCTCCCTGTGTCTCTCATATTACACAACCCCATTCTCTTTTCTTCTTAAAGGCAGAATCCGGTCTGATATATGTTCTGTGCTCCGCTTGGCAAATATGATAGGTATCTGGGCAATCGACATAGCAAAGAAATACCCTCATGCATATGTGCTTGGAATCGACCTGGCTCCGATGCAACCTAGCAACCGACCTCCTAACTGTGAATTCCAATCTCCTCGGGACTTCGAGAGTCCATGGCTACTCGGCGAGAACTCATGGGATTTCATCCATCTCCAGATGGGTTGTGGAAGCGTCTCCAACTGGCCCAACTTATACAACAAGGTCTATGCGCACCTCAAGCCTGGAACCGGCTATTTTGAACAGGTCGAGATCGACTTTGAGCCATTTTCCGTCAGTGGTACGCCCAACGAGCACCTTATAGAGTGGTACCGGGCATTGAAGGTTGCCACCGACAAGGCTATGAGGCCAATTGCATTCAATCGCAGTATGAAACACACCCTGAAGGAGGCTGGGTTCGTCGATGTCAAACAGCAAGTCGAGGGATTGCCACTCAATGAGTGGCCAGAAGACCCTACTGAAAAATTAGTGGGGAAGTGGTACAATCTCGCATATTCAGAGAGTGCACTGACTCTCTTGCAAGGACCGCTCACCCGAATAAGTGGACTACCACCGGAACGCATCCAGGATCTGGCTAATCGGGCAATAACTCAAGCATATGATAAGAGGGTTCAGGCATGGAATCATCTCCAGGTTTACACAGCGCGGAAACCAAGGTGAGACAACACAAAAATTGTCGGATACGCGCAGTGTCTGCTAAATTGAGTTCCTCCCTTTCTGTTTCTCAAGTGTAACTGGCCCGTAACTTTTCTGGACTATCACTGCTATCCCATTAGCGAAAACCATTGCCTTTTATGAATGGGTGAATAAAAAAAAAAAGAAAAAAAGAAAAAAGAAAAAAGAAAAAACTGCTACTGGACCTTGGTACTTGGCATTTACCGCCAGAAGGAAGAAACGGAACAGGACGATAGAAGTATGGGTTTTAAGGGAGAATGAATGGAAGAAAGAAAAAGTCAAGAATAAAATAGGGGAAGGGGGGGGGATGGCAAGAGAGGAAATCGGAACCACGGAATCTTGAAGAGACTAATGGCGAGGGACGCCGAACGAACAGAGACAGTATACTTCTGCATGCTTGAATCACACGATTTAGCCTTGAGTGGACGACCATGGCCTCCAAATGAGCACCGTGACCCCTCCGGGTTTATATTGCCAACCTGGGCTTCTCGTACGGTAACAATCCAAACCGAATAGCCGCCAGTGTCATTTCACAGGAGAAATAATGTCCGAAGGAGACCGTTGAAATCGATCAAAAGCCGAGATGAAAGCCGATACATGCACCACTTCAGAGACATCATGTATATCTTCCGTATCTCATGGAAACCTGTTTGCTTCAGACTGCTGAACGTTTTTGCCGTCAGAATGCTTTTGTGTTTTCAGACCACGCTCAGGAAAACGGATGTTACTACTATATGTGTTAAGTAGTCCGGCTCTATGGAGTTACCGGTGGATCGTCGGAAAGAAGATGAAATGTAAATGATAAAGAAGCCAGGGTTCTGGTTTGGTTCGGTCTGGAGGGGGTAGCCCAGGAGGCGAGAGATGGAAATTTACGACTGACGGAAGAGAGAGAGAGAGAAAAAGAAAGAGGAGGAGTGAGAAGGACTACCGGTAGGGTGGGAAGCCTTCCGTGAAATGTATTCCGATGCTTTCGTCACCGGCTGTCGGGACAAGGGTATGTAGATATACCCATTTATATATGCACGAACACGTTGCATCTTGGCCTGTCCGTCCTCTCTTCAGAGCAGTCCTCACAGGGTTGAATGATGCGAGCAAGCAGAAATGGAGGGCAGGGGGAAATGCTATTTCCCGGTTTCAACGCAATGCTCCTTTCCACCAGCTTGTCTCTGTCAGGAATCCTATTTGTTTCCTTTCCCTCGGGCCTTGTCGTCCCCCCGCTTTCCAACTTTTATGTCTCTGGTATTGTTATGTTCTTTATCACTGGATGGTTGGAGAGCGTATTTTTTTTATTTCTTAATTTTTGATCCCTCTCACCTTTTGCTTCTACCCTTGCTTTGCCCCAATTTCTTTCTGGTTTCATCTGCCAATTTGCCCCGGCAGAATGGTAAAATGGAGACGGAGCCACGAATGGTTGGAAAGTTTATGCAGACGTCTACTTGGTGTCCTTTTGTTTCATTCTTCCGGCCGACGGTGCTGGAGTTACGTACGGAATAGGCTGTGGTTGCGGTCGTTGCTCATGATGATGATTCATGGTAATGACCCATTGTTACGATAATGATTAGTTTCTCTTTTATTCTGTCCCATTTTCCCATTCCCTTTTATCTTCGTCGTTATTTCTATATCTCTCTTTCTATGGAGCGCTCTCCAACGGTTTTTCTCTGCATATACCCCTGCTCCACCTACCATCTGCCCTTATTCTCTCATGGCTATTAATTCCTATTAAGCCCTATGTGAGCTTGTTATTTTGTTCAATAAGGCTATAGATTTGATTTTACGATCATTAGGGCCCTTTGGCCCGTGTATTCGGCTACCCCTTTCCACGTCGTATGGGGACATCTGCTTAATTTCTGTATATATTAATTCTATATTATAATATCCACAACTAGAGGCTAGCTAGTTTAGCTCGAGGGACTTCGATTCTAGATATTAAGACTCCGCATAGTATGTCTAGTTGTGTTTTGATAATGCTAAGTCGTCCAACCATGTTATTACACCTAATTAGTCTTCTATTCTAGCGGTTAACAATAATTTCAAAGAATTAAGATTTAGTTTGGGCTGCGGGTGAGCCTCAATTTCATGATAAATACTAAAGACTGCATGAGCCTTGTATCTTCTTCAGAATACGACAAAGTGTCCGTTCTGAAAACTTTGACACTGTATTACCACTGTACAACTTACAGTATAGATACTTGTATATCTGGGGTATAGGGAATGTGCATGGTATATATTTACCTGCAGCATCACCAGGATGGTTATTCTTTTGACTTCAATAGTTCTAGCATGGGAGATTCATTCCATTACGTTCATGGATGGGCATTAAAGTGGTCGGGTTTTTTTCTATTTCTTTTACTCTCCTTCCCATTACAGATCTAGCTAGAACGAAAAGGAAAAGGGGCGGTTAGATTTATGTTTTGTAATGATTATGAATACCTGCAGAATCCCTTGCAACATACATATACTACTATGTATGTATCATCGGGGTTGGAGGCAAGGGAGGGTCTGGACAGTGACTGCATAGTAAGTACGTGCATAGGTATACATGCATGATGCTGCCTCCACATTCATTTGTCAACCAGAAAGTCATTCTCATCCTTGTCCTATTGACCTCGTATACATAATATACTGGACTAGCTTGAGTGAAGAAAAGGGGGGAAGACGGTCCGGATCAAGATAGATTCGCACCTTGAGAGAAATGGTGATTCGTGGATCGAAAGAGTTTCCGGCACCCTTTTGTTTCACATTAAATGCTTGCTTGCATCATTCTTAGTAGATATTCAAATTTTTGCACCTTTAGCGTAGAGTATGCACCAACCCCCCTTCCAAACTATACACTGGGAGGGGGGAGAAGTGGCGCTGAGCGTTTGTTGGGCAGTTATGGATAATCTGAGGTTGTTCTGGTACTCATGCATACCTGCAGAAGGGGTGAGTATGTACGGTTGGTTATACTAGAAATGGGTTGCAGAGCATTACCTTTTTACATACATAGTCGTCAAGGGAATCGTCCCATGGAGGGAAAAAGTAGCGAGCAATAAGATTTCGTCATAGTCCAATGCATCCATCCCTATGGTAAGGCGCACTACCACTTATATGACGTCGTCGACAGTTCGCAGCGAACGCAGAGACATGGCCTATGATTGGTGTTGTTCATCACTACAAGAGTGATGAAATGAACTGGAGCCGTAGAGACGATAACCGACTATTATTTAATATTATATTTTATTTTTAAACGTCCAGTTTAGGTTATCTCCGGCGTCCTTTATTTTGCGTTCTGCCAACACCATTCCATGCTCCTTGTTTACGGCCGTCGGAGTCATAAATATCGCCACCCGCGGCAGAAGAAGCTGCAGCATTGTTGCTGTTGTTATTCATCCATTCACGCCCCGAGCCAGGGCTGCGTCTCCTCATCGTTCCTGGCCCAACTGCAACAATGTCCTCTTCACTCTCGCTGTCTGATATGTCCAAGAGGACGGGCATACGGAATGCCTCGTGGCCATCTTCCCCAGTTTCTCCTTTTACAGGCTCGATGGTGAGAACGTCTGGGGTCTCATCTTCCAAGTCAAGTCGGCGCTGATGAACCTGTTCAGCAGGATGGATATCGTACTCGTCCTCCCTCTCAACGTATTCAACATTCTCCTCGACTTCCTGGAAATCAGGAGCCAACGCGGACCATTTCTGCGGCGTGACAATTGACCACATATATATACAGCCAGATTCTAGGCCGCAAGCGACCACCATCGGTTTATTTGAGTGCCACTCAACCACACCCAGTTCTTCTTTTGGCCCCTCAAGAATCTTAACAAGCGAACCATGGCTGCGTTCCCAGACGTAGATATCATGGTTCATGAACGTAGATGCGGTCACGAATTCACCCGTTGCGGAGAAAGCAACGTGGTTCCAGCTCAACCTATTCACAACATCCTGAAATTTATGTTCTATATCGAGCTTGATGTTGGATGGTTCGAGGTTGATCCCAAGTTGTGAGAGGTCTGGCATCAGAATGGTTCGTATAACTCGGTCTGAGCTGTTCGCGAGTAAATCTCGCCCGTTACTCGCAAGCCGAAGAAGTATTATAACACCGTTGCATAAACGAGTAGAATGGATTGTTTTGCAGGTCTGAGTCTCGATTATATTGATCCAACCCTTGGATGTCCCAGCTAGGATATGATTACCCAACGCAGTGAAAATGGTGACGCAGGTTGAATGTTTCGCGTCTTGTGCAGCTTGCTTAGCAGCAACTGCAGGGTCAACTTCTTCACAATTCTCTGGTTGCGGTCGAAGAGGCGCTGAGGGTAGAATGCGCTTTATGGGCCGAGGGGAGGAAACATCAACAAGGACGGGTTGGTCTTCAAATAATGAGGCAACAAATAACCAGCTAGGATTGAATCGCCCGTTAGTTATCATCCAAGAATTTTTGGCCATAATATACGTTGGAGTATTTTTCCTTTTTTAGAAAAAGGGAGTAGTGCGTAGACATACTGATTGAAGGGATGTAGCTCTGCAATATACACGGGTGCTTCAAATCGAACTGTTCGTATCCGCGAACCATCCTTCAAGTCCCATAACACGCATTTCCAATCTTGGGATGAGCTTAAGAGATATCGTCCGTCTCGTGACCAACTAGGCGTAACAGTCAGTACTTGTGTTTGTAAGTGAGTATATATGTGTAATGCACCTTAGTGATTGGATCTGTTTGCTGTGTCCACGTAATTTCCGTGCCACGCCGTTCGTTTCAACGTCGAATATCACGATCGTACCGTCAACCTAGGATGACTATTAGTCTAGGTATCTTTCCCCCAGACAGCGGGTAGTATATGTGTCTTTACCCTTCCTGACGCCAAAAAATCTCCTTTGCGGTTGAAGCGCAGACATGCCGCATGGCCGCTCCCTAGGACGTGTTAGACGAGCCAACAGGCATTTGGAATATGATAATGAATTGGCTGCATACTGAGAGTCCCTGTCAGAATATCGGGGTAGTCCTGCGCAAGTGCAAACGGGTCAATGAGGGCCAAATTCATATTGTGTGGGAAGCAGTGAATCCCGGGGTAAGCAGCGCGTGTAATCAGTCATCCTCGGCCCTGGACCATCGTCCTCTTGCCACTCGCCGGCTTCAGCACCCCTCAACAGTTCTTTATCTGTGTTGCAAGACTGTGTTCTGCTTTGTCGAACGTTGTGAATGAAAAGTTGTCAAAAATTGCCTGGTTCGGCCTGCGTCTCACTGACCAATCACAACATATTCACCGCTGAGTCAGCCGCTATTCCGCATTAGGAACCGCCTGAGGCGAAAAACTTCGAGCTAACTTCAATCACCAAGCGCAACTGAGGCGAAGAACTCAGAACAACTTCTGTTAACCACCAGCGTCGAACGTCTGCAACGCCCGCAAGCATCTGAGAATATCGCGTGTCTGCATCGCGGTATATCTTCTGGCCCACTCGCCCTCTGTTTCACCCGTCGCCACGTTTTTGCGCGCTCAAAAACTACTTTCAAGAGGCTCCGGAAGGGTCCAAAAGGCGCCCTCGGGCAGGGTCTGCCAGTGGCCGATAAAGGCCATCTACGGCCATCAGCTTCATCAAATACTCAGTCATTTTAGGCATAATATATTGCCGCTGTTCGATATTCGACGTGTTACGGAACTATTGCGCGTCGTTGACCCCGGAGAAGACTGTTGTCTCTCATCCTCGCAACCGATCATTCTCAGCAAAACTTTTTTCCTCTCAAACCCTGATCACTCATTCGCGATACCGCCGCAGCCATGTCTTCTGTCAGATTTCCCTACTCGAAAGCGCAGTTGCGCACGATTAAGGAGATTCAGTTCGGTCTCCTCTCGCCAGAAGAGATCAAGCGGATGAGCGTGTGTCATGTCGAGTATCCTGAGACTATGGTTCGTTAACGCTGCAGTACTATAAACTGTGAAATGAAAATTTTGTTTCCATGCTAACACCTTATCGTAGGATGATCAACGACAACGACCACGTGAAAAGGGCCTTAATGACCCCCGTCTCGGTACCATCGACCGTAACTGGCGATGTGCAACTTGCGAAGAAGGCATCAATGACTGCCCGGGTCACTTCGGCCATATTGAACTATCTACGCCGGTGTTTCATATTGGTAATCTCATCAGGCCTGTAAAATAATTTTTAGGCCCTTAAAAGCTAACTTTTGATATAGGTTTTTTGACTAAAATTAAGAAGCTGTTGGAAACTGTCTGCCACAATTGTGGAAAGATAAAAGCCAATGCGGTTAGTCATCCCTTGTGGGATGGCAAATCATGAGTATGGCCAGTATGCTGACATTTTTTTTGAATATATTCAGTCTGATCAGAAATATCTGGACGCCCTTCGTTTCCGCGATCCGAAGAAACGTTTCGATGCTATTTGGCGATTATCGAAGGATATTCTTATTTGTGAAGCTGACCCACCTGAAGAGGATGACCCTTTTGCGAAAGAGAGCTCAAAACCTGTCCAGGGCCACGGTGGTTGCGGGAACGTTCAACCCCAGGTCCGAAAGGAGGGAATTACATTAATGGGTACATGGAAACCAAGCAAGATGCGTGACATGATGGATGATAACGAGATTCAACAACCTGAAAAGAAGCAGATTACTCCCCAGATGGCCTTAACGATTTTTAGGAACATCTCGGAGGAAGATGTTCGTTTGATGGGACTGAGTAATGATTACGCCCGGCCTGAATGGATGATCATAACCGTGTTACCTGTTCCACCCCCGCCTGTTCGACCTAGTGTTTTAGTTGGAGGCAGTGGTACTGGTCAACGTGGTGAGGATGATTTAACGTACAAACTTGCGGAAATTATCCGCGCGAATCAAAACGTTACCAGGTGTGAACAGGAAGGTTCCCCGGAGCATGTGGTTCGTGAATTTGAGTCTTTGCTGCAATACCATGTTGCAACATACATGGACAATGATATTGCTGGAATTCCCCAAGCAATGCAGAAATCAAACCGTCCCGTGAAGGCCATTCGTGGGAGATTAAAGGGTAAAGAGGGCCGTCTCCGACAAAACTTGATGGGAAAGCGTGTCGACTTTTCGGCCCGTACTGTTATTACTGGTGACCCAAATCTCTCACTTGATGAGGTCGGTGTTCCGATCAGTATCGCGCAGACTCTAACCTACCCTGAAGTTGTCACACCTTACAACATTCATCGGCTGGGCCAACTTGTCGATAATGGTCCAGATGTCCATCCAGGTGCACGTTATGTCATTCGTAGCTCTGGAGAACGCATTGACCTTCGGCATCATAAAGGTGGTGGAGGTCGAAACTTCCTACAATGGGGCTGGAAGGTAGAACGTCATCTCATGGATGGCGACTTTATTCTTTTTAACCGTCAGCCCTCCCTTCACAAGGAATCTATGATGAGCCATCGCGTTCGTGTTATGCCATACTCTACCTTCCGGCTGAATTTGTCTGTCACGACACCATACAATGCTGATTTCGACGGTGACGAGATGAACTTGCATGTTCCTCAAAGCGAGGAGGCTCGAGCTGAGCTTAACCAACTTTGCCTGGTTCCTTTGAACATTGTGTCCCCACAGAGAAACGGGCCCCTCATGGGTATTGTGCAGGATACTCTTTGTGGAATCTATAAGATCTGCCGACGAGACGTGTTCCTAACTAAAGAGCAGGTTATGAACATTCTTCTGTGGGTCCCTGATTGGGATGGTGTTCTTCCCCAACCTGCAATTCTCAAACCTCGCCCAAGATGGAGTGGGAAACAGATGATTAGTATGGTTCTTCCTCCTGGTCTAAATCTTCTCCGAATCGACAAGGATAAGTCGCCTATTTCAGAGAAATTTTCTCCCCTCGCTGACGGAGGAGTCTTGGTCCACGGTGGCGAACTAATGTACGGAATGTTCTCCAAGAAAACTGTCGGTGCTTCAGGCGGTGGTGTTGTTCACACTATATTCAACGAATATGGGCCTGAAGTTGCTATGAGCTTTTTCAATGGAGCCCAGACTGTTGTAAACTACTGGCTCCTTCATAACGGTTTCAGTATAGGGATTGGTGATACAATTCCGGACCTTGCAACCATCCAAAAGATCGAAAACGCAGTACGTGTTAGGAAAGAAGAGGTCGACACCATCACTGCCAGTGCTACGGAGAACACTCTAGAGGCTCTTCCCGGTATGAATGTCCGAGAGACCTTCGAGAGCAAGGTATCCCGTGCCCTGAACAATGCTCGTGATGAGGCTGGTACTGCAACAGAAAAGAGTCTGAAAGACTCGAACAATGCAGTTCAAATGGCTCGATCTGGTTCTAAGGGTTCTACCATTAACATTTCCCAGATGACAGCTGTTGTTGGACAACAGTCAGTAGAAGGAAAACGTATCCCTTTTGGATTCAAATATCGGACATTGCCTCATTTTACCAAAGATGACTATTCTCCAGAATCCCGTGGGTTTGTTGAAAACTCGTATCTCCGTGGGTTAACTCCTACTGAATTCTTCTTCCACGCCATGGCCGGTCGTGAGGGTTTGATTGATACTGCTGTCAAAACCGCCGAAACTGGTTATATCCAGAGAAAGCTTGTTAAGGCATTGGAAGAAGTCATGGTTAAATACGATGGAACAGTTCGCAACTCCTTAGGCGATATCGTACAATTCCTTTATGGGGAAGACGGGCTCGATGGCCAGTGCATTGAAAACCAGCGTGTCGATGTCATCAAGTGTTCGGACGAACAATTCCGAAACCGATTCCGTGTAGACCTCATGGACCCGGAGCGTTTACTCTCACCTGATATCCTGGAGCAGGCGACTGAAATTGCTGGTGACATCGAGGTACAGAAACATCTCGATGAGGAGTGGGAACAACTATTGAAGGACCGCGCCTTCTTGAGAACCGTGGTAAAGGAAGACGATGAGATGATGCAATTGCCCATCAATATCCAGCGGATTTTGGAGTCAGCCAAAACTACTTTCAGGATTCGTGATGGCACAATTAGTGACCTTCATCCTGCGGAGGTTGTTCCACAAGTCAGGCAACTGCTGGATCGTTTACTTGTCGTCCGTGGAGACGACCCTCTCTCTCGCGAGGCGCAGGAAAATGCAACGCTTTTGTTCAAAGCACAGCTCCGTTCTCGCCTTGCATTCAGGCGCTTGGTTGTAGAATACTCGCTGAATAAACTTGCTTTCCAGCATGTCCTAGGTGCGATTGAGAGTCGATTCGGAAAAGCTGCCGCAAACCCTGGTGAGATGGTTGGTGTGTTGGCCGCTCAGTCGATTGGTGAACCCGCTACTCAGATGACTCTCAACACTTTCCATTTCGCTGGTGTTTCTTCCAAGAACGTTACACTGGGTGTGCCCCGTCTAAAGGAAATTCTGAACGTGGCAACCAACATCAAGACACCATCTATGACCGTCTACCAGGCGCCAGAATGCCGTATGGACAAAGAATCCGCTAAGCAACTACGCAGCATTGTGGAACACACCAGTCTGCGATCAGTAACGGAATCAACGGAGATTTACTACGATCCTGATATTCAATCCACGGTTATCGAGAACGATATCGATATGGTCGAGTCATACTTTATTATTCCAGAGGACGTTGCAGATGACTCATCACGACAATCCAAATGGCTGCTGCGTATTATTCTTAGTAGACCAAAGCTTCTGGACAAAGGTCTCACTGTCCAAGACGTTGCCACTAAGATTAAGGAAGCATATCCCCAAGATATTGCTGTAATCTTCAGTGACAACAACGCTGATGAGCAAGTTGTTCGTATCCGTCAAATCCAAGATCCAAAGCAAGATGAAGACGACGATGACACTGAGTATGACGTTACTCTCAAGAAACTAGAGAGTCACTTGCTCGACACTCTTACTCTGCGTGGTGTGCCGGGGATCGAGCGTGCATTTATTAACGAGAAATCTCGAACCCGCGTGCTGGAGGATGGCTCGCTCCATCAAAGTGCAAGTGACCCAGAATGCAAGGAGTGGGTGCTAGAAACTAGTGGTTCTGCGCTTGCGGACGTTTTGGCGATCCCTGGTATCGATGCCAGTCGTACGTACTCGAATCAGTTCGTTGAGATTCTTGAGGTGTTTGGTATCGAAGCCACACGAACTGCACTTCTCAGAGAGTTAACTCAGGTGCTTGCGTTCGACGGTTCTTACGTCAACCATCGACATTTAGCGTTACTTGTTGATGTTATGACTTCCCGAGGTTTTCTTATGGCTGTAACCCGACATGGTATAAATCGTGCAGACACAGGCGCCTTGATGAGATGTTCCTTCGAGGAAACCGTCGAAATTCTCCTTGATGCTGCTGCCTTTGCTGAGTTAGACGACTGCCGTGGCGTGTCTGAGAACTTGATTCTTGGTCAAATGGCACCTGCAGGAACGGGCGAATTTGACGTTTATCTTGATCAGTCAATGCTTATGGGTGTTGTTTCCAACAACGCAGGCTTAGGTGCTGTGGGTGGAGAACACAAGGGAATGCTCTCTGATGGTGCCGCTACTCAGTACGACAGCGGTTCACCAATGCAAGAGAACATGTATATCAGCTCTCCCGATCCCGATTCACAGTTCTCTCCCGTCAGGCAAGCCGGATCGGAGAATGCTGTCGGTTTCGCTGATTACCAGCCGCCAAGTTATGGCGGGTTCAGCCCACACGAGCCGAGAAGTCCAGGCGGCGGTTACTCTCCCAGCAGTCCTTTCAATACCAGCCCGACTTCCCCTGCGTACTCTCCATCGTCTGGCTACTCTCCCACTTCACCTGGTATGAGCATCACGAGTCCACGATTCATCTCATCTCCCGCCTTCTCCCCAGCAAGCCCGTCATTTGCGCCAACTTCTCCTGCCTACTCACCGACATCTCCTGGGTACGGTCAAGCCCAGTCTCCCACGTCGCCTTCCTACTCGCCTACCTCTCCAGGTTTCTCTCCAACGTCTCCCAGCTATAGCCCTACATCTCCCAGCTTCAGTCCAGCTTCACCTGTGTTCAGCCCTACGTCGCCAAGCTACAGCCCTACCAGTCCTGCGTTGGGTGGTACTGGCAGGCATCTCTCGCCTACCTCCCCTACATCCCCGAAGTACACTCCAACTTCTCCTGGATGGTCACCTACCAGTCCGGAAGCGTACTCTCCTACATCTCCGAACTTCTCTGGGTCCCCAACCTCCCCAGGTGGGCCGACGTCTCCGGGCTATAGCCCGACATCCCCTACCTTCAACCCAACGTAAGTCAATTCTTATAAGTCTACTAAAATGAGCCCCATACTAACTATCTCGAAGGTCTCCACGTCAGTAAAACTAGCGTTATGAATCATACTTTCTATTCCCTGTTTCATACATCTTCGCCAATGTACTAATACTTCAATTTTCATTTCCATTCACTCGCAATTCCGAAGAACACTTATGTTGCCTTGTCCAACACACAGTTGGTTAATTACCCTTCCCCTTCATCGGATCTGGCGCATTGTATCAAACGTTTTCATCTCTTTTCGAAGTCTCTTGTCAGAATGACCCAAAAATTTTCACTTTTAACTGCTCGTTATTCTTGAAATCGTATCTCCCTTTTTACATGCGTTCTCCCCTTTTAATTCTTCATCTTTCTGGACAACTATTTTCTTTATTATCAGAGGATCTCATTGTTTTGTCCCTTTGAAGACTGTCAAACAGATCTCTCCCTGAAAACTTGAGAATTATACAAAAAAAAGGAGAAAGACTTGAGGACCTTAGATTGTTGTTGGGCACCCTCATAATATAGCATGGCGTTGGTGTTGCTTTGCTCGTGGCTTATTTGGTTCTCTGCGTTTTGTGCTTGATGTATCCAATTTTCTACAATAGCTCTAAAAAACCAATAAAAATATCATTTGAACTCTCATACCTACTTGGAATTAATTTAGATACTTCATCTTTCCAATGATCAAATTTTATCGCTTAGAAAGGTTCTAATTGATTACGAGCACGTGATCAAATATGGACCAAAAATTCATCCAGAAAAAAAGTCCATGATAGCATCAAGTTCATCTTTATCAAATCTGTAAATCCAATTCCACCCTCTACGCACAAGTTTCTACTCAAATTTTCCGGGAATGCGACTGGAAATCGCTCTTGCGCTTACAGCAACCAGTAGCTCTACTTCTCCGCCCTTCTACCGTTTCAAAACATGGATACGCAAGCCTACTTGATGAACCAAGGCTGGTCAGGTCCAGGCAACCCTCTGAATCCCTCCAGGCGGCCAGGGATACACGGCGGACTTGGTCTAACTAAACCAATTCTCGTTGCACGAAAAAAAAATACGTATGGTGTTGGAAAGAAAACAACACACGATCATACAAACCAATGGTGGCTACGCGGATTTGAAGCAGCGCTGCGCGGTATTGGAACAGATGGAAATTCGACGCAAACCAGTGAAGAATCTATCCCAACAACGCCGACAAGTGAGCTTTATAAATTCTTTGTACGAGGGCAAGGTCTTGCAGGCACGATTAAGCCAAGTGAATCCAACCAAAACCTACAATCATCGAAACAAGATCGTATTACCCCCACCAGCTCAGTCGAAAACGGCACATCGAATCAGAAGAAAAAGAGAAAGCGAGAGGATATAGAAGGGTCACCGACTACCAACTTGTCTCAGGAAAAGAAAAAGAAGAAAAAGAAAGATAAAAAGGCAGAATTGTGCGTTGATGAAGTCCGAGTCTCGTCCGGTATTGCCACACCACCAGATGAAGAAGACTCAAAGGGTAAAACCGTTTCCGCCGAACCTGCTAAAGATGATATCTTGGAGAAAAGAAGAAGAAAAGAAGAAAAGAGAGAGAAAAAGAGAGAGAAGAAGAAACGGAAGGAGATGAATTTGGAGACTGAGCCCAATACACAATCGCTTACCTCTGATCATATATCCTCAGAAGAATGTTCTATGAAGAAGGGACAAGAAGTCGAGAAAGCTACTAAGAAAGCAAAACTTGAGAAGAAAAGGGAGAAAAGAGAGAAAAAAGAGGGAAAGGAGAAAAAGTCGAAAAAGAGTAAGAAAGATAAACTCCGGTCCGGCGATTAAATGCATGCCTTGGTGGCTACAAAACATTTATAGATCTGGGCTGCGTTTTTATACCGGGAAGATCGTAGCATCTTATCCCATACCATCTTTATGGTCATCTGGCATATGATTCATTGTCTACTCTTCACCAATATAGAGTAAGGGGTAGCGAGTTATTTTAGAGTGCTAGGCCTCCGCATACATGCTTATAAATAGAGAGTTTTGATGAGATAGATACCCATTTGCATTTGAAAGGTGCATACTCTGGATACTCTGATATCACTTGTTGCTTGGAAGCCGGCCCGGTATGTTCGACAATAACCATGGCCGCTGTTCCCAAAATTCATCCTTAATAATATCAACATGAGCTATTGCAACATTGGCTTTCCTTCGCAGTTTCTGGTGTTTCTCAAGCTGTGTCTTGGACAACTCTACGTTCTCCCATTTCCTGTCATCGTTCGTGTTAGCAATAGAGGCTGGCGTACGTTTGACTTGTTCCAATTCGTACTATATTTGTTAGTTAATATAGCTCTAGACAGTTAACAATTCTTCGGAACTCACGTCACGAAATAAAACACTCCCTTTCTTGAATATTTCGAGTTCATTGTTGTAATTGATTCCATATCTCGAAAAGAGAATCTCATTCTTATCGGATGAAACAGTTCCCTATTGGCATAAATATTAGTAATTGGAAGTACCGATCAGAGTGTCTCTAAAAGCGTCTGTTACCTTCAGTTCCTGCTCTGCATCCTGATTGCTCATACCTCCTTTCTGCACCATGTTCCAAAACGTAGTATTATAAAGATTATTAATGTGGCCTGCTTAAGTGTTTAGGATACTTTATACATGCTAAATAATAGCTAGTGCAACTTGACAGAATGGCACTCACAATCAACCTGTCTCCAGCTCATGTAGTCTCTTAGATTCTTTACACTTGGGTATTGAACTGCCCTCCCGTCGAATGTTGGAAGAAAGGTAGGTTCCAACGGTGTATCTGGAAAAAATGATATCCATTTAAAGGCATAATGGGCCGTAAAAGTCGACACAATGGTCGAAACTAGTTTACTATATGAAAAAAAAGTCAATCTCGGTGAGATCTGGAAGTACTACGAAAGTGGGAAGCATACCTGCTTCTTCGCTCAAATAGCTGACAATTTGGATGAAAAACGAAGCTGAAAGAGAGGATAAAGTCAGAACGTAGACCTGAAATCTGTAATATAGGTGCCTGTAACAGGAATACATCCCTTACCTAAATTCGTCGCTAACGCCATACGCCATGATTAAATCGGGGATGTCCCTCATAACTGCTTGAGCAGCCGAATTCATTAAATCTAGTGCCCTGCGATCATTGGGCTTCTGAAAATGATATTTATCAGAGAGTCTATCAGGCGATTAGCCGCGACGTCCACTATGTATAGCAGCAGTACACTGCACTACCACCATATATTGTAACAATGTTGGGTATCAAGTAGACTAACTTATGAAATCCACGCCCATCGATCCGTATAACGATCCAGGTATTTGGCAAGAGTACATCGCTTTGCTCGAAATTCCTCACATACTCATATCTATACTTTGTTTGTTAGCTGGGGACTTTCACCAAAGAGTAAAATCTTACTTCGAGTTAGCCATTTTGCGAGAATTAGATGATGTCTAGTACTTCATGTATCTGTGAAAAAGTACTTACTCCCCCTTGGGCTGATGCAGTTTGAAATATTTGTAGAATATAAGCGCGGGGCTTAGTCATATATAACCAAACTACAGCTACAGCGGACAAGAAAATTTGTTAAGACATTAAGCGTTAAGAGGATGCGTATTTTTCTATTCCAAAAAGCTATATATCATGTATCCTCCGACATGGACTCGTCTCCAGCCTCGCTTGCTATCCCACTAGATTCACTTGGTGCTTTATCCGCCTTCTTCGATTTCCGTATAAACCCGAACCCAAGACTTCCCTTGCTAGTTTTATCCCCGGGTTTGTCGCCGGAAAGTGAGATTGCACTTTCGTTGCTTTTCCCAAGCTGCATCTCACTACTTCCGTCACCATCAATTTCATTTTGTCCTGACGAGTCTCCCTTCTTGGAAAAGAGGCTGCCCCGATCTTTCCAGGGCATGTTAAACTTGCTTGAGCTTCCTTTGCGTGTAAGTTTCTGGATAAATGATTCCTTTGTGCTGACTGATTCTGACGGTGTGGAAGAAGGTACTTGCTCTAGAGATTCGTGCGACTCAGTGGTAGTGGTTCGAATTGATCGAGAGTCCTTGGAACGACGAGATGCGGGCGGAGACATTTCGTCTTGGGTAGATTCATTTCCACGGGATTTTGGGGGATCTGAATCCTTTGATTTGGGCCTATCTAGTTTCTTACTAAAAAGGGTTGTAAAGGAGGGTGCTGCCGGGTTCAGTTTTGGTGTGACAGGGCGATGAGAGGATGGAGGTCGAGTTCCAATGGGGGCTTGGATTGGTCTTTGTGGTTCATACGGGGCTTCGTGGTATTCTAGTTCAGTAGGTAATCCGAGGGGCAGGTGGCCTGTCGAACCTACCTGAATCGAAGGACGGCGAGACTGGTTCCGTGACCACGCAGTCGGGGATATCCAGTCATGCCCAGAACTGCCTGCTTTGTCGAATGAGGGCCATCCGAACGGTTGGTTTTCCATGGTTGGCCGGGGCAGTGCGTTTTCAAATGAATATGTTGATGAAGGTCTGGGAGAGAGTGAATTTCGTCGTACGGTCCCAAGGATCGAGGGGTCGATTGGATCGTGACGAGGGCTAAATTGATTATACCCTTTGCTCGCATCCGGAGAATTAAGTGGGGGTTGGCTATGGTCAGTAGGAACACCAGACCCGTGTCTTCCTGATGTAAAGAAACTTGGGAACATTGCCCGTCTCCCAGCAGGAATACGATCTGACGAGCTGTCACCCGTGAGATGTGATGTATTGTTACGTGGGAAGAGGGTGGTCATTGGATTCGCCCAGTTTGTGGTGTAGCTCAAACGACGGCGTCTCGTACCTATTGGGTCAAGGTCTTCGTCTAAGTTTCTTGGGAATGATTGACTCTGGCCTGGCTTAAGAGTTCCAAGTAACGGGGGTCCATCGGCCATGGTCTTACCTCTCTGGCGATTAAAGCCAAACAGTCCTGATAGCCTTCGAGATGCACTCTGTGCTCCATTGGGAGGGGGTTGGGACCCGGATATCACGCCTTGACCTGAATTACGATCAGAATCATGAAGGTTATTTGAACTGCCATGAGGGCTAGCAAATATGCTTGTGGGATCACTTCCAGACGAAGGTGGGGATGGTGAGTTAGGTAGGAGACCTTCAAATGGAGCAGCGGGCGCTCCAGAAGTAGGGAATGGGGTAATTTCTGGCTCTTCACCAATACTCTGTTCCTCGTCTCCGAGGAGGTCGGACGGCAGTAAGGCATCGGCTCGGGGGCTCATGGGTGGGTTTTCAATGTCAGTGCGAAGTGGACTGGTTTCATCAGTAGGATCGGGGATCGTCATTCCATTATTGATATTGAAAAACGCAGGGCCAGATGTGAAAGTTGGTGAATTATTGCCAACCTGGCCGTAGTTCGAGTTTGGGAATGCAGTATCAACCAGAGGAAAGCTCACGGGTGATGACATATTGCTATTAAGTGAACCTCGATGGCGATTACGTCTGCGGCTGCTTGTTCTTCTGTTGAGCCCTAGCTCGGGTGTAGCAACGGGACCAAACGGCCCAGATTGAGTAGACCACTGAGCATTCGTCCACTGCAACCTGTCTTGAGCTTCATAGTACTGCTGTTGTGCCTAGTACCGATGTTAGAAAAACGGTTTTTATTATCTAAGTGTTTGAATATAACCTTACCTGGGAGTGAACATTCATGAGAGAGGCATACTGGGTGCGAAGGCCGGCCATCTTCCCATCCCAGAAATGTTCACGTTCTCTCTCCATCCGTTCCAATTCCCTGCTGTCCTCGTTGTCGTCTCCCTCAGGTCGACGCCTCTCCTCCTCCAGAGCCTTAATGCTGCTACCCTTGATTTTGATGTCTTCATCGATCTGCTTCATTTCACCTTGTTCCTCTGCAATCTTGCGCCGGTACTCCTCCATTTTGTTCGTAGATTCCTCATCAATGCGAGCCTTCTCTTCCTGGAGACTGGTAAGTTCATCCTTTATCTCGATTGCTTTCTCATCCCATCTTACTATATCTTCACTTCGCTTCTTCCGTTCCGCTTCCTTTTGTTGCAGAAGTTTTTCCCGTTTAATTTTCTCGCTCTGGGCTGTCCGATTGACGCTTTCTAGCTTATTGATATGTTTCCGTAGATCCCCACTCGCGTCATCCTTCTCCTTTACTCGTTGCTTTAAATCGTTTCTTTGGTCTTCTAGTTCACGCAGTAGCTGTTCGTATTCTTTGTCTTCCTGCGATAGTTGCCTGTCAAGGGCCTCATTCTCTTGTTGGAGGTATTTCAGTCGCTCAGCCAGTTGCTTTAAAGATCCTTCAGATTCATTTCCTGCAGCCTCTTCATCGTCTAGAGTTTGCGGAACGGTGTGTTCCTGAGCTGAAGCTGATCCAATCGACCTTCTTCCTCCGCCAGAACGTTTTGCAGGCGTTGCTCCGCCACTATGTTCTCTGGACATGACAGGCGCAGAAGGTGAGACGATCGTGGCGGCCTTGGGAACGTAGGCCTGAATAAGAGGAGGCCCACAATCTTCATCATTCTGTTCCGGTGAAAATGACCCTCGGCCTGTACGGATATGTAGAATAGCGCTGCAAGTTTGGAAATTGGCCGAGCTAATCGCAATCACGCATATATGGTAGATATGACTAGGTTGGAGGTTGAAAATGGAAACGGCCGTCTCGGAACGCTTTGTCTCGCCAACTGAAGCATTGTGTCAGCACTCCCTCTCCCTCCATTATATTGCTGCTGATTCTCAACGGAGCTAGGAATCAACCGAACTCACCCCTAAGACCATTTACCTGGACCGCATGCTTATGGACTGAATTTTGAAGCTCCGGGTATTTCCAGGCTATTCGTATATCCCGCGTTCCTATCTCTTCCAAAATCACCTCAGGAGTTGGGGGAATGTCCAGGCCGAGCTTTTCGACAAGAAGCTCGTTCGGTGTCAGGCAAACTTGATATGCGCGGTATGTAAGCCTAAAATGAAGCACGAAACGGAAAAAGGCTGGGTTAGCTAGGTGCGCAATATAAGAAATCATGAGGCCTACCAGGTCGAGACTTACCATATCAGAGCCCAGAGAATCGAACTCGCAATGAACAGTGCCATTGCACCCTGGACTCTAACCTGTGGGACGCCAGGATAGGCGTCTGCCACCAGGCGCAACGACTCGTATCTCCCCATAATACAAGCCCCATTAAAAACGAGTGAGGGCAGCTAGGGATCCAGACTCAGCCCAGCTCATGTCCGCACTCCAGATCCGGTGGGAAAAGTGCTTGCTGGCGCGAGCCGTTCAACTTCCTTGTGTTTGGCTTTTGTTCATTTCGATGTTTTGCGGATTAAAGATTTAGCTTGCCGAGTCTTGCTGACTAAGTAGAGCCGAAGAGGTAGAAACGAGAAGAGATTATTCTAGGAAGATTGATGGATGGAATGTTCATACTATGTAGAACTAAACTATGGGAAAGTGTCGACCCTTGCCTGGGTTGCTGCCTGTCCGTGATATGGGATATCTGCTGGTCGGTACGGTGTTCCTCCAGGGACTATCCAGGTCTACGTATGAGATTGAACTTTGAGCCTAAGAAGAACTCTCAATACTTGACGTTGATGCTATAGGTTCTGTCTTCTTCTCCTCTGTCGTTCTATCTTTGTTGTTGTCCCGTCGTCATCCTGTCCCATCTAGACCAAGACCAGCTCCGCCACCGCAGAGCCTCATCTGTCCCTCTGTCGGTTCAAGGAGATCGTCATTGACAAGATCGGTTAATCCAGTCGGAATTTCACCTTCCTCGTCAGTAAGGACTAACATCTCTTTCAGCCCAGTGGCGTTCTCACATGATAACCTTGTACATAGTAATGTCCAGAGAGCTCCAGGTGACGACCTTTGGAGACTGATCCATGACGACAACTCTACGGAGTACTCCGTAGTAACTTCCATAAAAAGAAGTCAACTAGTCAAAACTGGTAGGATTCAACGGTATATTTGCTGTGGGGAGGCAGCCAACCGGGCAAGACTGTCCATCCTGCGAGCGAGAAAAGGAGTGTTGTCTGGTCCAGTCAAAATACTAGAAACTAAAAAGTCTTAGCATCTCTTGGGAGGGGCAATCTAGAACTGCTTTTAAAGCTGTCTGGAGCGTGTCTTGCATGTAACCAGACATGGTTTCACAGTAGTTACGGCGCAGGTCAGAAGATGGACGAGGTGACAGACACTGTCAAATACGACCCCGAAACAGTTCAGACGTAATATATATGGTAGTAGGAGAACAGTCAGCTTGTATTCTCAGTTTAAACTAGCCTACCTGTGGAAGAACGATATCCCAAGCTCCAAACAGCGGATCTACTTGTAGCGTCTCAACAAATGGTGCAGCCCTGTTTGGCGCCACTAAAAATAAGGCTGTCGACTTGCTTCATCGTTGTCTCGCCTATCATCTTCGCCCAAACTCCTTTCCGGGGCTGTATCCATCAATCCATCGTACACATATAGTATAGTCAACAAGTTGCTCCGTCTTGGTTCCTTCAAGAAGAAATCGCATGTTTTTTTTTTTTTTCTGCCGAACCCACCCGCTTTCTCCCTCGTCACATGTTCGGCCCTCAGTTCTTTTCTTCCTCAACATCTTCAACTCTTCAACATCTTCGAAACACCTTGAAACCCTCTTCGCTCTTTGCTGTCTGTCTTGTTTAATATATACGTTCGTTACCTGTTGCTTGTTTATCCAGCTTCACATCCCGAAATAGAGGGATGCAGTACGTCAGAAGTATAAGCGGTTCGGTATCTAAGACATGGAACTCCATCAACCCGGCAACCCTTAGCGGTGCCATCGACGTGATAGTTATTGAGCAAGCAGATGGTAGGTCGACTGGCCGGCTTATAGACTTATTTATGCTGTGCTGACGGTCACAATTACAGGAACACTCGCATGCTCGCCGTTCCATGTCCGGTTCGGCAAATTCTCCCTCCTTCGGCCGTATGAGAAGAAGGTAGGTGTTTTGGCCCCCCCAACAATGGGGAATGAAATGGAATGGAACATATTGTTAACCAATGGTGCTCTAGGTCGAGTTCAGCGTCAATGGAGTCAGGCAAGACTATGCTATGAAACTTGGGGAAGGCGGGGAGGCCTTCTTTGTCTTTGAGACCACTGGCGACATCCCGGAGGACCTCCAGACGTCACCAGTCATATCGCCCGCCGCCAGCCCTCAGCAATCGCCAGACGGGGTAAATAACGACACCACTTTCACACTACAAGAACCTGAATACCTTGACCTTACGTCAAAGTCGTCCACTCCTCCTAAACAACAGCGTGCGGTAACCGAACCCCTCTCGGATGGCGAAACCGAGCCATCGGCTATCTCGAAGAATGCCCTGGAGCCAGGCCTCAAACTAGATAGATCTCGGTCAGAAGAGATGCTCGAAGCTAGCCGGGCGAATCCTTCTAGTGCAAACAGCTCTCCGCAGACTGTGCGGTCCCAGAGCCCACCCCCGATCTCACGCCAGGAGGCCTATTCTAGAGCAATTTCACTATCTAAAAAACTATCAGGCTCAAACATCCCTTCAAAGGTGACTGAGAGCGGAGACCTAATGCTGGATATGACAGGGTACAAAAGTAGCGAAGATGATGCTCTCCGCGCCGAGGTGGTGGCTCGTAAGATTCTAGCAGAAGAGCTGGAGGGGAACTACGATATCGGTGCTCTGATTGGTGCTGATGAGCATGGCAACCTATGGATATACAGTAGTGAAGAGGCCAAGGAGGCTGCTGGCCGTAAGGCCGCCTATAGCACCCTGCAGCACCATAACGGTATGGCGGATGACGCTGTATCCGACCCTGGATATCAGAGTGATAACGATCAGTTGGATTACGACGGCCACCCTCAGAAACATCACCGCTCACAGTCTGACGCGCAGTTGGAATATCCTACCCCGCCACAAACGCCAACGGATAAGCAGCAGGAAAGGGGTCGTAGCTATGCAAAGACACTGCGATTAACAAGCGATCAGCTAAAGGCTCTCAACCTCAAGCCTGGTGCCAACCCGATATCTTTCAGTGTCAATAAGGCAGTCTGCCCTGCAACCATGTATCTTTGGAGCTACAAAGTTCCTATTGTCATATCTGACATTGATGGAACTATCACAAAGTACGTTAATCCATACATCAATGTTTAGCACGTGTTAATCTAACATTCACCTACTTAGATCTGATGCTCTTGGACATGTTTTGAACATGATCGGGCGAGACTGGACCCATCTTGGTGTCGCCAAGCTCTATACAGACATTGCAAGCAACGGGTACAATATCATGTACCTGACCAGTAGATCTACTGGCCAAGCGGACACTACGCGAGCATATCTCAAGGGGATTTTGCAAGATGGATATAAGATCCCACAGGGCCCGGTGATCATGAGCCCTGATCGAACAATCGCCGCGCTTCGGCGTGAAATATACCTCCGCAAACCGGAAGTATTCAAAATGGCCTGTCTACGTGATATTCTTAGCCTATTCGAAGGAAGACAGAATCCATTTTATGCCGGCTTCGGTAACCGTCTTACCGATGCGCTGAGTTATCGATCCGTTAATATCCCTTCAACAAGGATATTTACTATAAACTCAAACGCAGAAGTCTCGCTTGACCTTCTCAGCTTAACAAAATATAAGAGTAGTTATGTGACGATGAGGGAGTTGGTCGATCATTTCTTTCCGCCAGTGAGCACACTCGTGCAGGATGGTGGCGAGGAGTTTACTGATTTTACATACTGGAGAGACCAGCCCAGAGAGCTGGATGAATTTTCACTTACTGACTCTGACGCTGAGTCAGATCGGGGCGACGATGAATCAGACGCTGATCACCACGAAGGTCTCGGACAGACATACATATCTCGCGACTCGATAGAAATTGGCGGTGATATGAATGATTCTATACTTGATTCTGTGTCGGAGGACATGGACGACCTCTCCGAGGAAGACTATGACGAAGAAGATGACGGGCGGGCGCCTGATGAGATTCCTGCACGGTCAAACGAAGATGATGACGATTTCGGGGTACCTAGATCCCCAGACCGAACTCCAAGGAGCCTTCCTATCCGTTAGAATGGCGGACTGTTATATTAGCCATCGAACCGATGGCTGTGTATACTTTGACTACAATTGGCGTTGGAGTTTCTCTATTCCTTTCTTTGCCTTTCTTTGCTTTTGGGATGACTGAATTACTATAGATGGGACTGTGCAGCCCTTTCGACGGGCTACTCGGGACTCAACTCCCTGGCTTCAACTGTTTGAGCATCTGGTGCATTCATTAGCGGGCTTTTTGGCGTGTTTTCGCTTGTTTCTCCTATATGTTGTCTCTATACGGCTGCGTTCCTCTCGTTCGACGGGGATAATCCTGAATCTGGACCAGCAGATCCTCCTGTGTTGTTACTTCGGTGTAGACTCTCTAATTAATAGGAATGTTTAATGTCATCACTTTCAATCCTTCTATTAAGACTTCTTGCGCTTCAATAAAAGTGTGTTGCACGTGACTTGGCCCTGCGAGCATTTCGTGACTTCAAAGACCGCAAAGAAGAAGCAAACTGAATGAGAGCTTCAAATCTCCATTTGATACGCTGCGGTACGCCCGGAAGAGCTTGGTATACTGGAGTTTATCGCTTCCCTACAGCTTCGTATCTTCTCATCTCATACCAGAACACAAGAACTAGGGCCCTCTCGCTTGCAGGTCAGGCGAGATATGCGCTGCTGAAGATACCTATCTCACTAGCAACGTGACGCCCTCAACCCGTTCACCAACCCTTCACAGAGCCCTAGAATATCATATTCCAAGATGGCTTCACCCAGACCTAATGCGACACCTACTGCGGGGGCGTCTGCTTCTTCAACGCAACCAATCACCCCTCCAGCTGAACCTCTACCGCCATCAAACCCAGCAGCGCCAACCACCGCGACCCCTGCTCAGATACCTTCCACCTCACTTCAGGATAGTGGTAAAAGCAGACGGCCTCGAGACGCCCGACTAATTCATATGCTACTGGCCTCACTCGGTGTCACCTCCTACCAGGAACGTGTCCCGCTTCAGCTCCTTGATTTCGCATATCGGTATACCTCGAGCACATTACAGGATGCCGTATATCTAGCAACGGAGGGTTACCCGGGAGAATTGCAGAAGGAAAGTGGCCGACAACATGCGCATCAAGACGGTAGCAGCGGCATTAGCCTGGGTGCGCTGCGAATGAGCATAGCTTCTCGGTTACATTATCAGTTTCAGCCAGGCCTGCCTAAGGAGTTCTTGATGGATCTTGCAGCAGAGCGAAATAGAATTATGTTGCCTGGGGTCTCGAGAGGCCAGGAAGGGGGTCCGGGTAATGCTGCAGTTTCAGGGCAGGAGACAATGATGGGCGGAATACGGCTGCCGCCAGAGCGATTTTGCCTGACGGGAGTAGGTTGGGATATGAAAGGGGAGTGGGAGAGTGAAGGTGAGGAAGATATGGATGTTGACACACAAGCTGCTGGTGCTGGTGCGGAGAAAGACGCAGGAGAAGAAGGGGACGAAGATGACGACGCTGATGGTCGGATGGAAGATGTCTTTGGGCCCACCACCACTGTTGACGCTGAAAAGGACGAGGACAAGACCATGACGGATGTATGATTTCATCTGCCGCCAAACTGGAGCGTACACCAGGGCCGCAGAGTCAGGCGTTTTCGACAAAAGAATACAATTAATCTAATACCGGCGTATTTGGAGGGCAGGTTTTTCAAAAGGTATGGGAGTAGTTTAGGAGCTTCATATGAGAGGAGGCTTTCTTAGCGGAGATCTATGAGTTTTGTTTTGTACAATATCGAATCTTGACGTTTCTAAATGGAACATAAAGTATGGACTGTACCTCCATCCTGAGTAAATAAGAAGGATAGCGCGCCAACCTGACAGCAATTGGGTATATAAGGCTTGTGAGATTGCTCTTGTCGGAGACCGCATCCGAGTGTATATAATACAATTAAGTAGAAATAAAAAGACAACCCATTCCAACCCCAGAAAACGCCTAGGAGTTGCAAATATAACAGTCGATCCGGAAGTGTGTTCGTCTCTCCACTGCGAAACCGTCATGGTCCAGAAAATGGTCATGAGCTCTTCTCTTTGGCTGCTCGTCTCTCATCGTCCTTCTTCATCATAGCAATGACTTCTTGCCTCCGCTTCTCCGTCCGCTGAGCCTCTCTCTCCCGAGCCCTTAACCTCTCTTCTCGACCAGCAAACCATTCTTCTCGAGCTAAATCCTCTACCTCTGGCTTTGCATGAAGAACCATGCAGGCGTTCATCGCAAGTCGCTGCTTTCGGCAAACCCATGTTGCGGTGACGGTACGATTGACAGCACATGCTGCGAATTCTGTACAAGAGAAGAAACTATTAGCTGTATTGCTTTTATTGTATATGTTTGTACGCGGCCGAGGGTCAATGTAACAGCGGTTGCGTATAATTCAAGAGTAGGCTTACCTTTTATTACCGGATCACAGATGCTTCGGACCTTTTTATAGTATGCCTGTTTTACTTCAGCTTCCTGAGTAGCAGATAGTGGCGTAGGATTCCGCAGGTCTACTTTTCGACGGGCTGGCGTTGGGGGGGTTTCTGTGGTCGACGGTGCCGCGGTGGTAGCCATCGCTGTTTGAAAGGAAGTAGGCACAAGTAAGAGTATACCGCTTAATCCATTCGCTGGGACTGAGGTGTACGAGGACAACAAGAGACAAGCCCTCGACTTGGTGAAGTTCGAACTGATATTCACTTCTTCGACAAAATTGATATCAAACGAAGTTGAAGCTGTCGGGGTTGGAAACTTTAAATTTTTTTCTGTTCAAAGAACTTTTCTTGAAAAAGTTGAATATTAAACAACTTCACAACTTCAGCTCTCTGCCGCTGTTTTTAATATATTTCCAGGCCCAGAGCAGGGAAATATCAAGCTATACCCTCTGTGAAGTGCTTATATTTTTTCTTGGTTTTGATAGTTCATATATTTACGCCATGTCGTCAATGCGAAATGCTGTGCAGAGGCGAGTGCATCGCGAGAGAGCGCAGCCAGCTGCACGCGAAAAATGGGGTCTTTTAGAGAAACATAAGGTAATTACATTCTAATTCTACTTTTACTGCCAAATATAAGTCTAGGATGTACGAAAGTAGCTAACGAGTTCTGGGAATATAGGACTACTCCCTCCGAGCCAAAGACTACAATCTCAAAAAAGCGCAACTACAACGTCTGAGAGAAAAGGCTCGGGATCGTAATCCTGATGAATTTGCCTACGGAATGATGTCAGAACGCTCCAAGATACATGGGAAACACGGAGCTAGAGAATCAAAGTCACTTAGCCATGCGACTGTGAGCCTATTGAAGACCCAGGATGCTGGATATTTGCGCGTAGTAGGGGAAAGGATCAGAAGACAACTTGTGCAGACCGAACAGGAAGTGGATTTGCAGAAAGGGATCCAGAAAGCAGAGAGCCTTGGTGGGAAGAAAGTAATTTTTGTCGACTCCGTGGAGGAGCAGCAAGAGAAAGCGTACAGAGGTGAAAACGAAGACGAAGATGACGCCGACGAGAAGCTGAACATTGGCGATTCGAAGCAGAGTACCGGTACAATATCGAAAAAGCAACTAGAGGCCGAGAAACGGGCGAGAAAAGAGATATTCGTTGCTAGACGGTTAAAAGAGAAAGCCGCCGAGTCACGGTTAAAGAAGCTTACGGCCCTCAAGCAACAACATGCAGATGTTTCTGCTGCTGAGGAAGAATTGGCTTTGCAAAGGGCGAAGATGGCTAGAACTGTAGGGGGTGTGAACAAACAAGGCGTCAAGTGGAAGGTTAGAGAGAGGAAAAAGTGATTATATTTTAATCCCTTTCTCTTCGTAATGAGACTACGACTTTCTTTTCGGAGTTTGGGGGGCAAAAAGAGGTTATATTATAGATTCATCCTAATTTTGTGATTAAAGTATTTCAAGGATGAATCACCCTAAACTGTAAGTATTCAAAATAATCCGAGATGGATGGTGAAGGAAAAAACGAGATATACAGAGAAATAAGAACTATCGTACCGAATGACCTGTTAGGTCGACATTTGTACCATTTAGAAGCCATGTAATTAAGCTCAAACTTCACTGACGGTCTATTGCCGCCATGCGGATGGACACTGCTCGACGGTGGGCATCCAAGCCCTCTACGGAAGCCAGCTGCATCACAGCACTCGATACATTGCGCAGCCCCTCAGCCGTTAAATTTGAGCTCGTGATGTGTTTCACGAAGGAGGCTAGATTCACTCCGGAGTATTGCTTTGCATAACCATAGGTTGCTAAAAAGGTGCATTGTCAGTTCCCATAGATAGCAAGGTACGAAGAAGTGAAGAAACAGAAAAGATAGGATGTAAAAGGGAGACGATTAAAGAGACATACGTAGAGAATGATTGACACCAGCGGAGTAGTCACCGACACTTTCTGGCGTCCATTCGCCAATGAAGACACTTCCAGCATTTTGTACTAGGGGAACGATGTCTGCTGCGTTTTGAAGCTGGAGAATTAAATGTTCGGGAGCATACTCATTACTCAAGGCCATGGCTTCCTCCACATCCTTGACAACAAACGTGACGGAGTGCGCAATTGAACCTCTCACGATGTCTACTCTCGGTAAAGCCATGGCCTGTGAGTGAAGCTCATCTTCTATAGCCTTAAGCTCGGCTTGATTCAAGTCAATTGCAATAAGAATGACTTGCGAGTCAACGCCGTGCTCTGCTTGACTGAGTAAGTCAGAAGCAACAAAGGCAGGGTTTGCGTGTTTATCAGCAATGACGAGAACTTCACTAGGACCAGCAGGCATATCGATACCAACACCGGCGGATGTATCGTTGGACACAAACATCTTGGCAGCAGTTACAAACTGATTTCCTGGGCCGAGAATCTTGTCAACTTTGGTAATGCTCTCTGTACCGTATGCCATAGCTGCAACAGCCTGGGCTCCGCCGGCAAGCACAATGCTATCTGCCCCAACCTTTTTGGCAATGTATACGATCTCGGGGGAGATGCTACCATCTGATCGTGGAGGAGAGGCGAAGATGATGTGCTTGCACCCAGCAACCATGGCGGGAACACCTAACATAAGTGCAGTCGAGGGCAATACAGCCGTTCCTCCGGGTATGTAAAGGCCAACTTTCTCGATCGGTCGAACAAAGCGCGAGCAAACGACTCCAGGCATGGTTTCAATCGACAGCGGCTTTTCATCCTGTTGGGCGGCATGGAAGCGACGAATGTTCTCGTAGCTGACGTCAATCGCATTTTTAGTCTCGGGGGACAATTTCATCAGTTCTTCAGGGAAAGGGGCAAGCAGCACGGGGGATGTTAAGGAGGTCGCCTTTTCAAATTTATGGGTATATTTTAGCACCGCTGCATCCCCATTTTGTTGGACGTCTTGTATTATCGGGCGAACAAGGTTGACGACTGCGTCATTAGACTTTTGTGATGGTCTCTGCAACGCCTCTCTGATAACTTTTGATGGAGCTGATGCAGTAACGTAGCATTTCATTGTGATTCTTTCATCCGCTGTAGCTTGAGATTTGGATTTGGGTTCCTCTTTAGCCGGCTCTTTCGAGCTATCTTTGGTAGAAGTGAGACCAACTTTCTCTGACCAAGCTGGTTTGGCGTCTCCCTGTCTCCTCTTTACTTTCAAGCTCTTCAGGTCAAGATTTCTTTCAACATCTTCAAGAGACACCCCAGAGGCAATGCACTTGGTAAGGGCGAAGTAGATCAAATCTGCAGCTTCGGATGCCACATCTTCCTTTTTCGATGCCTGGCATAGTTCCTCCGCTTCTTCCATTATCTTGGCCTCCAGCAACTTTGGATCATTGAAGAGACGTGAGGTGTATGATCCTGGGGGAGCACTCGCTTTTCGTGTCTGCAGGGTGTGCTGCAGGCGAGATAGGCCACTATATGCTCCAAAGCAGCTGGCTGTCCCGAGGTGACAGAAACCTATATGGGTTTATGAGTTAGCGGCAGCCTAGCCTTGCAAGGGGAGAATTTACCTACCTCTTCCTTTCTGTCTAACTACGAAGACAAGGCAGTCGTTATCACAGTCAAGGCCAACTCTGACAAGCTCTTGAGTGTCACCACTGGAAGCTCCCTTGTACCATAGCCCACGCTTTCTGCTCTGGTATACTCCTGTTCCGGTTCGGATAGCCTCCGCGATGCTCTTGTTACTGCTCCAGACGAGCCCGAGTGAAATTCCACGCTCATCAGTGACGGTTGTAGCATACAATCCACTGTTGCTATCCGGGACGGCTCCAGCAATCAGGAGCTTGGCAGGTGACAGCTCCTCGTCGTCCACAGACAGAGATACAGCAGGAATAATACTAACTACACCCTCCTGAGCATTGGTCAGAAGAGTTGTCTGGGTTGCTGAGGCCTCATAGGATCTATAAACGGTATTGATAGAGCATTCATCTGCCAATTCGGACACAACGGTATCCAATGCCTCGGATGAAGTGCAGCTGGCACCAATCTCTTTGCGCTCGGGGGCTTCAGCCACCCAGTTCTTAAATTCTAACACCTCTGAAGCTGATGACAGAAGTACCACTAGCCGTGATGAAGGGACGCTCTGCTCCTTTGACAGCTCCTTCAGCTGTTCAAGCGTTATGAATGCAAGGATAGCCCCGGTGTTGAGAACATCGACGACGTCTGCCACCTCCGCGATGGCACTAGCGTCAATGCAGACATCTAGCAGAGAGAAATTCTCACGGACGAAGGAGAGAGCATACTCGACGCTCGATGGCTTTATAAGTACACGGCCAAAGTACGAGATCTGCCTGAGGCTGAGGCCGTCCGTGGAGCTGGACCCGGGCGTGTGGAAGAGCAAAAAGGGAAGCGCCATCATTAAACCAGGTTCTATTCTGCAGCTGTGGGCTTTCTTCGGTAGCAGCGTGCAAGGGAATCAATTGACTGTCTTCCTTCTCTTCTGCTTCTCCTATTTTTTCTTCTATGACATCTTTATGACTCTTAAGCCATCGCGGGGTCAAGAAAAGACAAGAAGTTAAGCTTTGCTGGCTGAGTTTAATTTCATCGCCAAGCCAAGCAAGCGAGCTTGATGGATATAAAAGTAAGATATGGATGTAGATACAGCAGTTGATGTATGTTATATTAATACGATATGAAGTGCCTACGTTGGCCAGTTATTCTCTCCTCCATACTTTACCGCATATTTACATAAGAGTAAACCTGTAACGACTGAGGTGAGGCTCGGGAATACTAATTTTATCTACAGCTAAGAGTTCTGCAAACAATATTGAACGATAGTGGTAGAAAGGACATCACCACCCTGGTCTAATGACCCAAGTAAGATTCCTCCTCTATCTGAGGCTTAATTTGTATGTTTAATCTGTCAGGAGATGTCTTTACCCTCCTCTAGTATTGCAGAAGAATTATCCATAGGGTAACGGCAGAGCACGTTATGCTGCTGTTTAACACGCCAGGCCTTGTCTTCTAATATTGACGGACTAAAACGCTCTTATGTTTCCTCCTCAAGCCGTCCTCGCTTCAAGTTCTTTACCCACTGTTCATAATACCTCCTCCACTCCGTTACCGCAGCCTTACTTACGGGTACGTTTAATGCGGGTCCCACTGACATTGCAACACTCCTCAATAGAGTTGACATATCAGGTTCTACCGTAACACAAGGATCCCTCACGCTCCTTAATTGTCGAAAATTTTCCAAACACAAGGGCAGGGTGCTGCAAACAAGGCCAAAACCCCAAGGGTTATTCCATATACAGTGTACAGAAATCGAAAAGTGGAGTTTGATAATGCTGGAGTCACGAAGACGCTCTGCAATCAATCGGAGATTTTTAAGAATTGGCGGCCTGTTTGCGTGAAGATCAATCCTAACAGCAAAATTTCGGAACCTTTGCCAGGTACCAGGTAACCGAGGGACATTTTCTTCCCATGATGCGTAAACTGCTACACCCTAAGTAAATATCGCAAACGAAATTTCGGTAGAGGACATAGAGTGCCTCCTCGAAAACCTGACGATTCAGGTACGCCCTTGACACGAAGCTGTGGTATATGTAATATTTAGAATATTGGTCCTGATTCAACCCGTCGAGAACGTATAGAAAAATATGTTGACGAAGTTCGGTTGGTAGACGCGTTAGGTAGCATGGTAGGATGAAATCCTTGTGTTCAAAACAGAGCTGTCTTTCAGTCCAAGGGATTTTTTTGAGGCATTTGCGATTGTCCCCAATCGTGGCCTGGCAATAAGTTACCGTGTCGAGCTTCCTATGAGCCCAGCAGACTGGGACTCCTTGGGGTGGAAATATGGCAGCCCTGTTTTTGCATTTGTTGTAAGAATGTGTTAGTGCTGAGCATGGGCATGAAACTGGGTTTTTCTTCGGCTGCTTAGGGGGAGCCCTTGAACGTTGTTTGGCTGCAGTCATTCTCACTATGATACAACGAGGGTTGAACGTGATGAGGAGGGAGAGCGTAGTAAGAAGTTATGGATCCATAAGACATATAAATACCATGAGTGAGGGTGTTGAAGTTTCATCAACAAAGAGCATGATGGTTGTGTTGACGTTTCATCAACGAGCTTGATGGTTGCGTTGAAGCTGTAAACAAACAACTGTTTACCTAATGGGCAGCAGTGGATGTCTATAGCCGGTAAATCCGCAACAGCCCATAAATAGTATTTGTTTAGAACTTCAATGAGCAATAATGACTTATCGTTAAAAGGGATTTTGAAGATATCTACAGCTGATGGGATTTGCAATAAGGCTACATAGCTATGCAACATTCCCATCTTGAAACGAGCATCTCATTAGTAGCCACGAAAGTAGGCCCCGGAGTGGCTCCAAGTATATGAATTGTGAGCCAGATGTACTTATTTCATCTGGGGCGATCGATTTGTTGGGCTTTTTCTTTTCCACACTACGGTAGGTATATGATGTACTGAAGAGAAATGCTGACACGATCAAGCCATCTAACGTTATCAGAACCAATATTAACCGTCTGAGAGTAATATTTAATATCGCCGTTGTCTGGAGTTGGACGGACGGTGGGACGAAGGGACTTAATTCATGCCCCGACCGTTTGCGCTCATTTTCCGCCTCCTCTGTACGACAGCTGGTAGAGCGTAAAATGTAGAGAAGTGGGAAGTTGGCGCATAACTATCCAGCTGGTTTACCAAGGGGATTTTTCCATCAACCGCCCCTCATATCGACCAGAATGTTGCATAAAAGATTACATCTATGCAATATTTAGGTAGCATCGGCTAGGGAAAAATAATAAAAAAGCACAAACCCAAAGAACCTGGGACGGTGGTAGTCAGTTGATAGGCCCGTTTACCTCCCGCCCCGCCCCCGGGGTGTCCAGGTAAGGGTAAGGGGTGTTCCAACCAGAACCCAGAGGCTGGGCCATGCTGTACATAGTAAATGCAGAGTACTGGGTTCCTATCCCCTCACCTTCGTCTCTCCTTGGCCGTCGCCTTGTAGTCCCTGTCAAGAACGCAGGCACACTCTGGTAAACGTTGGGCCCGGTCGGTTTTTGCGTGACTGTCACAGTTCAACCGTGTACGTGTGTCAGTGAAAACGAGTCATCGTGTAGAAAGCAGACGTCAAGTGTCCTTCGACCCGAGCGGGGTAGTATAACCCTTCGTCAACAAATGAGATCCATAAGTAACAGTGCAGGTAGCAACGGGGAAGTTGGGGGCGCTATCGGCGTATATAGTTGTATGTATATGCCTGGCGTGTGATCACTGACCCGGGCGCGGACACCGGCACAACCACCTCGGGCCAGAAGCCAGGGAGACAGAAACGCTCGGGTAGAGGATGCACACGGCCGAGGAGAAGAAGGGCGACTAGGTTCATAACGCCTGCTGCTGTTAGGAGGTAATGACTTCGTATGCACACAACCACGAATTCCTGGGGAAGAGAGCGGCACGCCTGACACCTTGTCAGAAGGGCGATAATATCAGGCGGCTTTAACGTCCAGAGCACTTGCATGCAGCAGTGGTCTGTTGACTCTGTTGCAGCGAGTCAAAACCCTTGCTGGGCTAGTTAAACTATTATATTCCCTCCCAGGCTCATAGAGATATCTATACATATGGGGTTATGTCAGTGATTCCTGGGGGTCATGATACATAGTGCTTCTTACGGGCCTCCTCGGTACTGCGGCATGGTCATAGATCCACCGGATAGCAAGATTCTACCATCACGCGACATGGAATATGCCTGTTGATGCTGCACTCTGGAGTGAGAGTGTATACTTATTCTCTAATGTTAGATGTTAGTCGGGGAGCGCTGCAGATGGGAATAGAAGGTGATATCGTTTCGGTCTCGAACCTCTCTCGCCTGCACGTAAGCATGATAAGTCAGGATCAGGAACAGTATTCAACCAGCCTGTCCATGCCCCCATGTCATACATACATATCCTTATCCTGCCTACCATCCAGGGGGGCAAAAAGGAAGAAAAGAAAAGAAGAGAAAAAGAAATATAAGTACAGTTTTCTCCCTTTAGCTGCTGATCACTTTCAGGGGTAAAAAAAAGAGAAAAAACTCATCTCGTATATAACTTAACTACCAATGATGGAGGTATGTATGTACATCGCAGAAAATCAAGGGTGGCGGATGATATGATAATACTTTTTGATATCAGTTTGGTGCAACGCGCTACCAGCCAGCGGATCGAGAGATGAAGCAACGCTGTGGGAGATTCTCGACCAAGGCTCTTGTCCGGCCCCTGGCGGCAGCAGTCGATATGAGGAGGCGCAGGGATGCCCTTGACCTGGGAAGATGAAGAGAGCTGGCTCGTCTCTGCGGAAGAATATATACATAGTATATACACAACGCCTCGTGGAACGGCAAAGCAGACATGCATATAGTATGTACACTGCGCTGGTTTTGTGATGCCCATCCTGTGGGAAAAAGGAAACATGAGGTGGCCGCTGGCTGAAATAGAGATCATCATCGCGCACCTCCTGACGGTAGAATATACCACTGCCCAAGGCGTGTGTGTATGGGGCTGCTATGGAACAGCTCGCTCGATCTGGGGGTTCCACTGCGGACACGCTAGTTACCCAGGATTCATTCCTTTTCTTCTTGCATGGCCAGGTGAGGAGCGAACTGGGATAAGCTCTGTTCCTGCCGCTGTGTGGACAGATGCAAGCATCGACGCCCAATTATTGAGGAATCGAGTGAAGAAAACGGGAGAGAAAAAGAAAAGAAGAACAAGAGCTCCGTGCTGATCAAGAAAGAATCTCGAGTTTATATCCGGCTTGCTCTCCCCATCTTTCCGGAATGCCGGAGTTGGTGTTGATATCCTGCATCGTCCGGTAGACCGCCCGTCGTCTCTTCGTTCGTCTATTTATTATCACCCTTGGTCCCTCTTTTGGCTACCTCTTACGCTCTTTTTTTTTATCCCTCTCTTTTTCTCTTCTCTCGTTTAGTGTTTGGGTAGAGACGAAAGCTATTCACTACGTCGAACCTTGGGATTCATTGGAAAGATGAAGTCGTTATCACTCTTGGGCGTCTTCCCTCTCGCCCTCGCCTTGCCTGCTGTGAACCAGAACCAGAATCGGTTCAATATCCTCTCTGGTCTCGCCGACGGGGATAAACCACAGGCTATCAAAGATGCATTCACTCATGCGTGGAATGGATACCAGACCTATGCCTACCCGATGGACGAACTCAGACCGGTATCCAACAAGGGAACCAACCCACTGTACGAGATTATCTTTGTACCCCCTCTCGTTCTAGATACACATAAATCCCTCTTTGTCGACCTGTACTTATCCTTCTTAGGAACGGCTGGGGTGCTACACCGGTTGATGCGCTTTCCACTGCCATTATCATGGATATGCCAGATGTCGTCGATGAGATCCTGGACCACATAGAAAATATCGACTTCAGTAAGACGGATTATCTGTGCAGCTTGTTCGAGACAACCATTCGCTATCTGGGAGGATTGCTGTCGGGTTATGACCTGCTGAAGGACTCATATATGAATGTTGATGTACGTCTGATTTCTCCATAGGGATGCGCCGTCACGAAGTACCGTAATGCTGACACTGCCTTAGTCTAAGAGAGTCGACATCCTGCTCCAGAAGGCCACGGAGCTGGCAGATGTCCTGAAATTCTCTTTCAATTCCACCTCTGGCATTCCATGGAATAACCTTAACATCACTGCGCAGACAACGGTGAGTACTTTTTTTTTTGGGCAACGTTCGCCATCTTGGTCACGACATTGGCATGGGCTGACACCGTTTAACGTAGGACGGCTCTACTAGCAACGGCCTTGCAACGGTCGGAACGCTGGTTCTCGAATGTAAGATTGGCAAATATGATAACTTACTGGACATATCATACTGACACGTCTATAGGGACACGACTGTCTGACCTGACTGGTAAAGAAGAGTACGGAAAGCTTGCCCAGAAGGCTGAAGGGTACTTGCTAGATCCCCAGCCAAAGTCCAGCGAAGTGTTCCCGGGCCTGGTTGGAGGATCCATCAATATCAAGACCCACCAGTTTGAGCACGCCAGCGCCAGCTGGGAAGCCGGTGATGACTCTTTCTACGAATATCTGATTAAGATGTACGTCTACGACAACAGTGCGTTTGGCAAGTACAAGGACAGGTAAGAACTACTATATCCAGCGCGCACATATATATATATACTTACCAATGACGTAGATGGGTGCTAGCTGCACAGTCGACTATGCAGCACTTGAAATCCTCCCCAGTAGGACATCCTGACACCACTTTCATTGGATCCTGGTCAAATGGTGGATTGGTCAAGGGCTCTCAGCACCTTGCCTGTTTTGCCGGTGGCAACTTCATCCTCGGTGGACGAGAGTTGAACCGGCCTGACTTCATAAAATTTGGGCTCCAGTTGACCGATGGCTGCCATAAGACCTACATCGACACCCTCACCAAGATCGGCCCTGAATCGTTTGGCTGGGATGAGAATAGGGTTCCTAGTGGCCAGGCCAAATTCTTTGCCAAGAACGGCTTCTACGTAAATAGCTCTGGCTATGTGATGAGGCCAGAGGTTATTGAGAGCTTTTACTACGCCTTCAGAATCACTGGAGATAAGAAGGTATGTCCACATAAACGGCATGCCTACACATGTTACTGCGCTAGCTAACATGAATGTGCACATAGTACCGGGATTGGATTTGGGATGCCTTCGTGGCCATTAGCGAAACCACCATGACCGACAGCGGCTTCTCGTCCATAAGCAATGTCAACGCTGCCGGCGGCGGATCCAAGACTGACAGCCAGCCAAGCTTCTTCTTCGCTGAGACGTTGAAATACACCTACCTGGCTCACGCAGAAGGTATGTTGCGCTTTCTTGAACTTGCTATATCATGACCTGGACTAACTTCTACTACCACAGAGGCCGACTGGCAGATCAGCAGTAGTGGAAAGGACAAGTTCGTCTTCAACACAGAGGCACACCCCTTCCGTGTCCGTAAATAGACATCATCCCACTGTTTTTCATTTGTATATATTACTTTGAGCTGAAGACTGTCCTTGCTAGATACTTGGGCTGACTACCTTTCTAATCCAGTCCTCTTATTTCTACTTCTCCTTTTTGCCCCTTTTTCTTTCCACTTTCTTCTGCTGAGTAATATATTAATAATCCATTAATCCATCGGCTATTACCTAAGCCGATGACAAACTAACAAAGCTCAACTGGCTCGGCTAGAAACGGCTTATCCCGTCCAGGCCGCGGCTAGTGCCTCCCCCACAAGTCCCGATCGAGCAAGGAAAGCGGCTTGCGAAGTTGCAAGAAACGAGGTTTTAGGCCGGTAGCGCGCGTCAGCATTCTCATCGCCAACTTCATCAAGTATCAGCATCATCATGTCTGTCGTTATTCGGGGAGAGGCACGGCGAAAGCACATAACGTAACAGCAGAGACGCTGGCGTGAGAGGAAGATACCGAAAAGGAAAACAGACAAAAAGGAAGAGCGCAAAAGAACAGAAGAGCCGGAGAGACGGGAGGAAGAGAGACCTATAAAGCGAGGAATGGAGGGTGCAGAAGTCGAACGGCCAACATGGAGTCGGGCATCGAGCCGGAGAGAATTCCTACGCACATATAAAGCATGCATGTCCTGCCGTCAGCGCAAAGCGAAGTGTGAGCTGGGTGGAAACAACGATCGCGGGATTCCGCCAGGTCCGCCATGCCTGAGATGTCGCAGAGAGCAGCGGAATTGTCAGTTTAGTGAGGATCGGGCGTGGGCGCGGAAAAAGAAGAAGGGTAAATACTGCTGCAATTCCTCCCCGCCTCCCTCACCGCCTTCCGCCCCTCCGCCTTGAGTACTTTCTTTTCTTTTCTGCCGGATGGCGGATAAATAGCGGGATTTCAGCGGAGAGGCGGGAATCATAATGCGCATCTTAATGTCTTACATCTTGGGATTGGGGATGACTTGCATATATATAGAGTGTTTGGCTAATGCTTATTTTCTCTTCTATATATAGACTCGGCAAATACATCCGCGCCAGAACCGTTGACACCGTTTCCCAACGCTACCGCTACCACTACAGGACAAATAACCGTTGCCGAAGGTGATGTGGAGGAAAACAATCAGACAAACCAATCGTCTCATGATGGGCCGTACTCGGTGTCTAACGCTGAGGATATGGATACGCCGTCCTCGACCGGGCACCATGCTCACAATCTAGCCGGCACGGCTGCCGGTGTACCTAATTCCAGCACTAGTACCGCGAGCGGACATACAAACATGCATTTTGACCCCATTGGCCGTGCGGCGCCTGCCACACCGGCTAATATGAGCAGTACCGGGAGCTTGTCACCAGTCTTGACTTCGTCTACAAATTATAACCTCCATAGACGCGAGTATCGGGGCGGCTCGTCAGATCGGCATCATGCAGGTGTACAGTCAAGCAGCTCCCACGGCCTGCATAATTCCGTCATGCGGACCGTCGTGTCGAGTGGCAATGATGCCTTGAATATTTTGTTTCAAGCGGCTGCGCAGGAACAGGATAACGAGATGGCGGACGTCGAGCATAATGAACGCCGACCATCTATATCGAAAGAATGTGGTCCTGGAGAGGACAATAACGGAGGTATTGGTGCGGGTAATTGCACAGCACAAGAACGTCCTTACTCGCGTCAACATCAGAAGTCTCAATCTCACGCGGGGATGCGCACCTACGACACTCCAACATCAACCGCTTCGTATGGGGCGTCCCCTGCAGCCGATCCCACACAGCTCTCGCACGTTGGGCCGGACGTTTTAGCCGTTTGGGACCAATGTCGTTTTGTTAAGATGGGCTGGTTCTCATCTCGAGAAGCGGTGACATATATCGATATGTATGTATATGCTCTCCATTTTGCCGTAACTACCTAACTAATATACCCCAGGTTCTTCAAAAACATGGCGCCACTATCTCCTATTCTCTCATATTTCTATTCACATCATAGAAATCACTATTGGCTTATCACCCAAGAGCCTGTCCTATGTTGTACTATTCTTATGATTTCGTCACGATACCATACGCTACCTGGGGTGGGCGGAGCTTCCCGAGGCTTCTTCATCCACCAGAGACTCTGGCAGCATTGCCAACATTTAATAATGCGTGTGATGCTAGGCCAGGAGAAAGGGTCAAAAGCCAAAACTCGCACTGTTGGGACCATTGAAGCTCTGCTGTTGATGTCAGAATGGCATCCGCGGTCTCTCCATTTCCCACCTGAGAGTGATGGATGGGACTCAGATTTAATGATGGACAACACTCCTGAACACCATGACTCCACAAGCCCAGATTCGTCTGTATCCGCTTCTAGTAGATGGCTAGAGGACGTCATCGAGCCTGCACGCCGTTCAGATCGAATGTCGTGGATGTTACTCGGGTCAGGTCTAACGCTGGCCCACGAACTTGGAATCTTTGATACTGATGATTCGCGAGCTAAAAGCCTTATATCGAGCCCGGAGGTAGAAAACCAGGGATTCCCCCTCGATGAAACCATGAACTTCCCTCGCCATCGTATTCGGCAGCTTCTATATGTCTTTATTAACCAGCTGGCCTCCCGGTTAGGCTGCATGTCATTAATGCCTCAGAGCCTGAACCATTCCATAGTTGCACCATCGTCGCAAAATACCGGTATTGACGAGTGGCAATCGTTTATGAACTCATGGATTGAACTGACGAAGCTGGCGAAATCCGTTACCGACATGTTCTTCCCATCTGCAACGTTTACACGCCAACAGTTACACAGTGGTCGATACATTGGACTTCTGGATCATTTTCGTCCCCTGCTTTCCCAGTGGCGCCAGAAACATCTTGACACAAAACGTAAGCATACCCAACTAAATACAGCCTGCATTCAACTAACTTGTATTAGATCTGTCACGCCCATTTGGCGACATGATATTCATTGAATACCAATTCGTCAGAGTTTACACTAATTCCATTGGCATGCAAGCTGTTGTGGAACGTGTCCTTAATGAGTCTGATCCTGACATAGTTATGGATGACGTCCGGCAAGCAAATATGGACGAAATTGACTACGAATTCATACAAGAAGTCATTGACGGTTCATGCAGCCTACTCCAAAAGGTCACTACACTTGCAGAAAACGGTGCTCTTCGGTTTTCCCCCGTCAGAATATTTCTACGCATTACAAGCTCGTCAATATTCCTCCTTAAGGCGCTAAGCTTGGGTGTTCGTAATGCCAAACTCCAAGAGTCTCTGGATATTTTGACCAAAAGTATCCAGGCACTACGATCTAGTTCACTAGATGATATCCACCTAGCATCTAGATATGCAACGCTGCTAGACTCCTTGCTTTCCCGACTACGACGAAGTTTTGTCCTATCAAACAAGAACCCAAAAGTTAGCAGAACGACAACCCGTCCATCCTCAGTTACTCCATTACCGAAGGCACAGAATGCTCCTCCTGCAAATCATTTACCGCAAGCGTCGCCACAACAGCTTCAGCCTCAGCAGCAGCAGCAGCAGCAGCAACTACCCCACCCTCTACAACAGGCACAAATGCAAGAATACTCTCCTGGTGACATTCCTGGTCCAATTGCCATGAATGCCTCTATGGATGTTTCGAATAACCCAGTTTTTGAGGATCCAATTTCTTCATTGAACGATATAAGTGCTGATGACTGGCTGTCGTTGCCCTTTGACCCGTCAATGGCACCCTTTGGGGATGGCGGTAACCAAGCCTGGTCAGGCTTTGAAGGGGCCAATTTGAACTTCATCTGGAACTTGCCTTCGTGAGGAACTGTGTTTCCTCCGGTTCTAGTTTAATAGCCTCTCCGTAAAGGGTTGGCGTTGTGAACTTTCCCCCGAAGCGGCAATAACTACTAAAGCTTCCGCTTGGCAGCTTGTTCCAAAGAAGAATAATCTTGCCATGATTGACGAACATGCATTGTCCTGTGCTTGTACGGTCAGCACAGGAAGTGGCTATATTCACTTATATGCACACATGGGGCAGATATACATTTTATGCTCTCCCGTCATTTAATCTCCAATATATATCCGCTCAAGAACATATGTCGGAAACGTACTCAATCTCGTACATCTCGAAGTTAGTTATCTTCGAGTATCAACATTTTTTCAAAATTATTACTGATATATTGGACGCCAGATCTCATTATATATATACCCTTCCTCTCAGATTATATTTCACATCATGTATCTCTGCTGTTAGACTTTCCGATATATCAAGATCCCAGCGAAACAAGACTATTAGCTGGACTATATTGACAATAGATTTCCTGTATTTATGACAGCACTAATAAAACCTTTACAACGCTCAATATTCTTCCAATTGAAGAACATGAATTGTTATCTTCCCGCCTCCCTTTGACTCGACCCTAGTTAGCGCGTCTTTCCTTGTCGCCAGGTAGGCGAACCCGATCTTCTCATATACCCTACGACTGGCAATGTTACCATCAAACATACTAGCTCGGATATCTTTCATGTTCATATGTTTTTTACCCCATTGAATCATTGCCCTCGCTGCATCAGTCGTGATGCCGCGACCATGGTAAGCTGGGTCAAGGAAGTCTACTCAATTTTATCAGCCATCATCGTGGATATGATCACCTCAAAAATGGCTGTTGTGAAGTTGAACTATGGAGGAGAGACTTACTTCCCATTGCCCATGCGATGCTATCGTCGCCCACTTCCTTTGCCTCGTTGGCCTTTACGATTGCCTCCCTCTCTGCATCATCCTCGATTTCCAAATAGTCGTACCTCCTCATGCCAATACAGCCTATCAATACCTCCTCGCCGGTATCTGGCTGTATCTCGCGAATTGAACCCACAGGACAGCCACTAACGAAGGGATTTTTGTTCCCATTGCCATTCATTATGCTGCTATGGTCTTGGATTTCCTTCAAAACCAGCAATTCCTGCGCAATGGCGGTTTCAGAGTATTCAATTGCCATTTCCAGAGTGTAAGGGTATGGAGGGCCGAAGAGCCATCTCGCTACCTCGAAGTTGTTGAGGACTTTTACGGCAAAATGTACATCCTCAGGTCGTCGAGGGGTGATAATGAGGTTTGGGCGGCCGGGAATAGTAAGATACGGCTCTCCGCCTGGTCTGTCATATAGGAAATCCATTGGCTTCTGACACGTAGCGCAGCGGCTGCTGCGAAATATGAACAATTGATGATTTTCTTATAACAAGCCAGCCATCGGTGAGGCTGCTTTCCTCACTTTTATATTGAACACACCCTTGAATCTTATATGAGTCAAACCAACAAATATAGTTCTCCAGTAACCAATCATTACTATGTAAGTAGTTGTTAGTCCGGGGCTTAGCCTCAATATACACGGGTTCCGGATCCTTCCAACTCCTTATATGTTGGATTTCCGAGACAAAACAGATCACTTTTAAGGAATGAATTGTTGCTAGAGAATCACTATCACTGGCCTCTATGTATAGAAAAATAAAGATGCATTTATCATTAATTTGTTTTGTTTATTTACATGGATCCTGCCTTTGAAAGGTCCGGAGGTGCGATAGAACGATCCTATCCCCTAAACCCATCATGGCTCGCAGCTTAGATGAACCCCGTTTGGAGGAAGAAACTAGGAAAGGAATAATGTGGAGAGAACAATCTTCAGTTAGTCGATACGAGCCGCCTCCGCCCATGGCCTGATTCGCGTGACAGGGCCTTGGTATACATTTCGGGCATGCGCGAAATAGTAGATTAGGGCGAAGATTATCACTCCGCCGAAAATGGCACAGCTCCAGTTCATATTCATCGTGGTGACCTCTCTGGTAAGCGGAAAGAATGAGAACCCGAATGTGATTAGAAGAAAGAGGATGGCCATGGTCTCAACAGTGCTGGACCATGCACCCATGCTCCATCTGGCTGGGGGAAGTGGCTCGCCGCGCCAGCGTCTGAGGCGTACGCAAGAGATGGAAATAATGTACGAGGATAGCAGTGAGGCAGTACCAAGAGATATGATGGCCTGGAACGCTACCGAGGACCCGATATTAATCAGAGATAGGAGACAGACGATAAAGAAGCTGACGCAGAGCGAGTTGAGAGGGACGACGAAGCGTTTATCAATCTATGCATAGCGAGTATGAGTATAATTTATAATGGCTCCATGTTGAAGGATAGTAAACATACCTTGGCAAAGAATGAAGGGAAAGGGATTCCGCCGTCACGGGCGAATGCATAGAGCTGACGGGAGGTAGTTGCAACGTTGCTGATAGCAGAACAGGCCTGGAGGACCAGCATGAGGGATGTCATTGCAGTCGTTGCCCTCACTGAACGGGTGGCATGCAAGAATACCGAAATAAATGGGAAGCCCGTTTCGTCTTTAAGGACCTTATCAACGTCGTACACGCAAAAGGCGTACGTGATCAACATGATTAAGCCGGTGCTGCCATTCAGAACAAGGGTCCAAAGCATGCTTAGGGGCAATACTCGAGAAGCATCTCTGATTTCTTCAGCTATTTTAGAGAGTCAGGTGAGTCGGTACTTAGAAGATAGAGAAAAGGAGAGTACATACACATGTGCACGGCAGAATCCGGCCCTATGCAAGTAACATTAGCAGTGCTTATAATGGTTCGGGGCAATAGATTCAATACCTATAAGGGCGTAGATAGGGGCTCCTAACCCGACGAGGCAGGCGAGGCCATTATTCCCCCAACCTCCTCTGTCGACCACGTTTAGGAAGACATCCTCTGCTGAATTCAATGGGGCCAGCACCCAGAGAGGGATCAAAACGGCGAAGAATCCAAATACGTGGACGAGGAGAATGACCCCTTCAATGAAGGGTAGCTTTTGCGCGAAGAAGGTGTTGAAGATAATGGCCATGAAGGCAATGGCAATAATAAGCAGAGTACCATGCCACGGTTTAGGATGATAGTGGTCAGGGTTATTGATTGCAATAAGGCCAACGATCATATTCGCAACTGTGTAGGAGCAACCTGCGATACCAGTGTGCCAACCAAGCACGCAGACCCAGCCGGTAACATAGCTTAAGAATTTCTGACTGCTGGCGGGTGCAAATTCAGACACCCAATGGTATTGTCCTCCTGAAGTCGGAGCCCTATATAAGTGATATCTGATGAGAACGGCCCAATAAAAATTATTTCCTTCAAAGGAGAGAAGACTAACATTGATGCCATCTCTGCCATTGACAAGATCACGAACGAGAAGCCGAATAGGCCACCGATGTAGGTATAGATCATTCCACTCAGTCCACCGTTTAGCAAGCCAGTTGCGCTGGCACTGTGTATAATATCAGCCTCTTGTTCTACTGTATATATTATGTCTCTTGGGGTCGTTGGACGTACATCATAACCACTTCCCATGTACACATGAGGACGGCAGCAAATCCTAGAACCGATACGAACCGGAAATTCCGCTGGAAACATGGTTAGCATATCAATTCCATATCAGCTTGAAGGAATTGAAGAACTTACGTTCAACTCCTGGTTGTTTCCAACTCGATACATGTCGCGTTTGTCCTGGAGAGTTCCTCCGCGCATAGAGGCCAGGCTTTCGCCTGCCTCCTCACCAGCAGGACTGTTGGTCTCCGGCGACACATCGTACTTGATCTCTGACTTGAAACCCATGGCGGCGGTCTGCTTGACACAGTGGAAGACGAAGTCAAAAGACAAGGAACAGAAGCGGAGGTGGGAGGGCCTCTTGGAGACTTTAAGAGAGAAAAGCAACCTGCATGATCAACTGCGGAACCTCGCACAAAGCCCGCCTTGCAGATGTCGGACGAAACAAACGCGGGATTGGGATATCATTATTCGTCCTGGGGGGTGTTCGAGAACGAACGGACATGCTCTCCCGTTTTGGGTGAACAGGGGAGAGGTCTTGCTGGACAGTTACCAGGGGGGGGAGGGAGACAGCATGGCTACATGTGTATCTGCATATACCCATGGCCAAGGTGTGCCCGAGATACATAACTATAGTATCAAGATACTATAAGGATAAACTGGCGGCAGACGGGCAAGCTGGGTACCTTGCCAGTAAGCATTTTATATGCATGTCCCACTGCAACCAACGTCTTTTGCTTCCCCTGCGAAAGGCCTGCGCCCAGAGAAACGGCGCCAGTTTATACCAATGAATAGAAAAGCCGAGCCCAGGAGAAGCTTTGTTGAGAGAAAAGCTTGGGGATCTTTTTACATCTTTTGTCAACCATCAGGTATATAATGGCAGAGACATTATAGGGGACTGATACCCATGCTGCGTGTTCAACATGCTGGGATAACTAATTGGCCATGCTCGAGTACGAGGGACAGGAATTTTGCTAGGCCCGGAACCCTCGCCACCCCTGAAGGCTCTAACGAGGACTTTCCAACATACCCTGCTATAGATACATATATGTAATCTGCCCATATATGGCCGGGGAAGGTCACGCTCAGGATGCAGAGCTGCCATCAAATAACACATATATTTACGGAGCACAAACTGTCAAGGTGGAGAAAGCGATGGCGATGATGGTTCAAGCTCCATTTCAACCCTCTCTAGGCTGGGGATTTACGACGAGCCAAACGTTCTTCCCGCTCACTCCATTTCGCCTATAAATATCTGTCAGAATCTGCCATTCGGCCAAAAAGGCGAGCCCGCACTAATTGGTGGCAGAGAGACTTGTTATATTTGACAATATCCTAAACTCAACGATTTCTTTAGCCTTCGGTCCAAAGGTTCCTGACTTTACGAGCTCTCAGGCTTTGTGGCTCCTTTTCTTTGTCTGATAGCAAACAAATGCCAACCAAGGCGTCTTCCTAGCCGGAAGCATTGGGTAACTGTTTCAACCAACGATTTCAATTGGAGCTCTCTTGAATGGGATGGACACTCCCGAAATACATTCCGGATAGAACTCAACCATCGCACCGGAGAGATGTCGCCCTATTCCCTGCTAGCCCCCTTGCTGTCATACTCTGTCCTTCTCGACCTCCCGAATTCCCCGATCCGGTATGACGTTTCTAAGGCGCCTCTTGCTAGCGTGCGACGGTATAGATTGCCTCGCCGCTTTAACGTCCTCCCGCTCCACCCAAAATCCTCGCCATCTCCCGATGCCCCCTGGCTCCTCTTCTGGCTGTCCGCAAGCTGGCATCCATACCGTTACATCTTATAACGATTGTTTCATCCACCACATAGATCTCCAGACATGTCAGTTCACATAAACTCCTGAGCTCTCCAGACAAACTCGGCCACCTTTACCAGTTCATGCCTTTCAACAACGATATCAGTCTCTCTGCGGTCGCGTTTCGCGCGACGGATCACTTTCTCAAAGGGGATAGTGAGCTCCCCTGTGGCTCTTGTGATACCGTTTTCATGAATCACCTCAACCGTTTGCACGGTTGATCCATTTGGCTGGAAAGAACGGGTGGCTGGCCGGGATGGAGGATAGTAGTGCTCCCAGCGCTGTAGAGTGAGATGCGGAGTGCGCCGGCTGATGTCTATGGTAATAACAACCTTGGTCCTAGACCCATTTGCCTCTCGGTTTCCGACAGGCCCGTCTCTATTACGAGTACGGGCCACGTTATATCCTCTGCTAGTGCATATCCAAGGTCGGGTACCTTCTTCTAGGTACTATTAGAACTCGATATTCGGCCTTATCAGTAGCAACGAGTTGGTCTTCAAGGCCCATCTGGGTAATCCTGGTTTAGATATATAGCCGTAGACGACTAGTCGCTAGTTTGTGCGCAAGCGTCAATCTGCCATTAGGCCAAAAAGACGAGCCCGCACTAATTGGCGGCAGAGAGACTTGTTATATTTGACAGCAATCCTCGTCATAACTTCGAGAACGATGACTGAATCTTCTTGGAGATTGTAAGTTAGATAGGGGCCTTTATTATCGGGATAGCCCTTTTTAAAGTCTCTTAAGAAGGTATTGGGTACGCAGGTCACTATTAAAAAAGGGCTCTTGGAACTATCTGCACCGCACTCTTTCATATTGGTATATTTGACCTATGGTGTTCCTTCAGGGAGCCCAGTCAATAGCTTTGAAGAGGCAATACAGCAAGTTGCCTCACTCGTCTCGCCTAGAGGAGCCATGACGCGCTGGAGAGTACAAATACAGGTTATGTGTTGTTTCGATGGTGTTGTCGGACGGTGTTGTAGTTTGCTATGTGGACGCTCCAAACGCGCTTTGTGACGTCAACGTTTGGCGGCCTCGAGAAGCTCTCGCGTATAACCATATATCAGGGCTTGGCATCAGCTTTGCTGGCGGCGATAAAACGACCATTTGGTGGACACTCGCTGGTTTACGCTGTACTCTAGAAGCCAGGGCAGGGTCAGGACAACGAGAACCAGCCATATTATCCGGTCTAGGGCAGTCGTGGGTTAACAAAGCCGATTGCTCTAACCACTAACTACACGGTGGGACTTGAGGACAGCTCAGACTTTTCACATAGCTAGTTCAACGCTAGTTAGGCAGTGCCAGCCACTTTGGTGATACCCTGATTTACTCCGTACTCCAATGTGCGACGTTATTCTTCCCTGGGTGCGCGTATGCATAACGCTCGGCGCTAAGTGTAGGGTCTGAAGTCCCTTGTGCGCTATAGCACTGACGGGAATCCTCCTGACTCTCACCACTCCAATGAAGAGCTCTCCTACATTATCTTATGGCTCCACCGGACACACTTCCATGGCATCCTGATTCACGAACGTTGGTGTCGGCCAATTCTGATGTGATCGTTCATTTCTTGTGTTGGTGGAGTGCACATTCGTGACAACCCCCAGCCCCTACTATAAGCATATCGACCTTGTTATCGCCAGCTTATTCTTAAGATGCTTTTACCGTGTACTCTGTCCTACCTACAGTGCGCAGGGGATAAATGTACGGAATGCAGGGAAACAAAACTTGGTCCCTGCCTCGACCAAAGCATCGGGCATGTCCAAACCCAGGCTATAATCAAAAGATATACACCGCGAATCGATGCTATTTGTTATGCCTTCTTGTATTGCCACAAAGCCCCTGCATCCCTGAATGGAGGATTGCATAGCGGAATTTTAGCAAGTCTCTCCTATTCGACCGCTAACTCCACTAGCGAGTTGGATATACAGATCATATATACACCAAATATCAGGAGTATTATACATTTACTGGCTTACTTTCTATGGAGCACTTATATCATTCTTTATGAGAGCTACCACATAGATCGTGAGATTGGTTGGTGTTTCATAACCAGGACCTGCCAGAATATAACTTCTTGCCATGGGACGAGATTTGGGACGTTAAGCCCAACTCTCACACAACAAGACTTGGGAACCGATGATTGTCTACCCATTGAACACGGCATGATAGATGGAGAGCCCATCTGCTATCCCAGAGGGCCACCGCGCCTACCTTGTCACTGACACCGACCAAGGTGGACATATCGTTATTGTCTCAACTCTCTTGATGTCATGGATGGTATTATGCTTCTTCATTCGGATATACATTCGATCGGATATAAATGGGCCTTTTGGTTTGGACGATTCAGTCGTGGGGATAGGATCAGTATGTTACTTTATCGTCAAATTCGTCCAGCTTTTTTTCCTTTTTTCTTTTTCACCTGTCTAACTCTTGAAATACTACAGACTCTAGGCATTGTCCATGTTGGTGTATTGTTAAAAGCAGTCAGCCAGGGAATAGGAAAATCGAACATATATCTACAACCATCCGAAGTAGACTCAGCTGAACAGGTAGCACTTCGGTTCTCAATCTCTTCTTGCCTTGCCACAGTGGCCATATAGTTCTATGAGGGAAGCTAACCGTATTTCCTAGACTCTATATGCTAGCGATATATTCTTCATCTTAGCACATTCATGCGCTAAGGCGTCTGTGGCACTGCTTTTATTCAGATTGGGACGAGACATTTTATACAAACGGGTGTGTGCTTCAATAGCACTCTTCATCGGCATATGGGGAGTTGCAGCTACAACCACCATGTCAATTAAGTGCGACCTTTCGAGACCTTGGATCTTGAATGACAAATGCAGTTATATTGTTAGTGGCCTTTCTTGCGCTTCAGCGGTCTCTGCGCTTCATTGATTCAGCTAACAATATCATTACTTTTGATGGGTAGGAGTTGCGCTGGCAGGTTATCACAGCATTTGACGTCATGACTGAACTTCTGATATTCGGGATGTTGGTGTATCTCATATGGGGCTTACAGATGGTGATGAGCCGAAAAGTTATTATTGTCAGCGCTTTCGCATGTAGACTTCCGTAAGCTTCCTTCTGCCCTTGAGTTTCATTAACCGAAGCTAACACTCAACCACTGGCCATAGCGTTGTTGGATTCTCTATCTTTCGATTGACGACGATACATGGCGTGGTAGACCTCCGTGACCCAACGCTTTCGATGGTACCCTACGTTATCTGGACAGAGATACTCTTACATTACAGTATCATGGCGGCGACAATACCCTGCCTCAAACCATTCTTCATTGCATTTAACACGGGATGGGGCCAGGGAAGCCACAAAAGGACAAGCAGGTATCCGCCCTACAATTCTCGGACAAGCTCAAAGACCGGTCCTAATTTTTCCAACAAACTTGGGAAGATAATGGGATCTCCGCAGTCTGATTTTCGGAATGACACCTCTGGAACAAGAAGTATATCGCAAGCTCTAAATCGCGGGGGTGCACCTTCAGTTGAGAGTCATGAATCGCAGCAGATGATTATCCGAGAGACTAGGGGTTGGACGGTTGAACATGAAAGTTTCGAAATGAGAAGCTATGGAAATATGCATCAAGCTTGATCTACTCGCAATGGGAAGAGCATGAAGTAAATGGAGTTAGGCTTGGGAGCAAATATTTCTGGAGTTTCTACTACTTTGCCCGGGTGTTAGCTTTAGGCTATGGTACGATATAATTGATGTATACTGTTGTTGATATGAGCCTCTTTTCTAGTTTTACAGTTGATGTATACTGTTGTTGATATGAGCCTCTTTTCTAGTTTTACAGTTTGCTACCGTATTGTGCAAAGGAGGACACATGAGCACGAAAACCGGCATACTCTGCCACAACACCCCTACTATGTTGTACATCCATAATTATGACATGCACCCAAGCACATAGTAAATTACACTAGGAGTTACCTCGTACGATACACCCTGTGAACCATCCTTGCCATTATGTCCTAAACAGGAACATAATCCGAGATAATTTCTGAAGATCACCCGACAGTCTGGAGCTGTGGTAAAGTAAGTATCTATAGCCAATGCCCATATTGAATATATGCATGACTATTCTTTCGGTAGGGGGCAGAAATAGTTACTGATAATATCACCATCAAAGCCCCGCATACGTGCAGAGTACCCAGGTATATAGATACAGTTGCTCATATCCGGCGTTATATAGCCGAGATAGCCTGTAATCCTCAGCCAGCCTTTCCGTACATACTATGTATGCATTAACTTCGTTGATATGCTCGACTTGCATATGCCCAGCAACGTAACTTAAGAAGCATCACATAACAGTTGAATGCTCGTCTCTTCCACAAGATTATAACTGAGCTAAGCAGAGTTAAAAATAACTCTTTAACTAGCTTCGGCGGGCCGACGCCTTTTTTTCCCTTCCTCGAACCTTCATATAACTTTATTGCCCCCTTATTCCGACCACCATCCAGACGTCTGACGGGCAGTCTCCCTCACTTGGATGTAATCAAGCATAAGTATGGATTTTTTTTCTTTTGTGACTCTCAGCCGTATGGCTATAGTCACTGTCTGTGGCGGGTTTAGCGATGGTTAACGGAGAATTCCAGCTCACTTGCAAGCAGATACCAGAAAGAACATTGATGTCTGGAATGCTTAACTAATGAAAAGTTTTGTGTTTTATAGATTTTGAATCTGTCCAAGCAAGGTACCATTTCCTGCGTATCGTTATTATCGCGGAATGGTGCGCCTTGTCATCACCCGGGTCACTGATGCGGACTGGGATCAGCTTGTAGAGGTTCAATTTAAAGCCTTTGCTTCCGAACAGTTCTGCCAATTCGTCAATGGCAAAGACACTCCTTTGAATAGGGAGCGGTGCAAAAAGAAATACACTTGCCATGAACCTGAAATATGGGGTGGTGCGCTTTGGCTGAAAGTCATTGATGCAGATGAGGTCCCAAGCAGCCATGGCAAAAGCAATGGCAATGGGAGCGTAAATGGGAACGGGAACGGGTGCTCTCCAACCATCCTTGGGGCCGCGCTCTATAGGCTTAATCCAAATTACTCGGCTGAAGATTTGAAGCGGACTGACTTGGAACCTGAAAGTTTTAAGTGGCTGGACGACCCGGAGGAACGGAGGATCGCAGTGACAGTGATTCACGATGTGATGGACAGAAAGCTTAGGTTCATCAAAGAGCCGCATATCCGTTAGTCCATTCTCGTTCCCACATACAGATCTTTTTGCACTTGGTTAACATCTATACCCCCTTGAACCAGAACTCTCCATTCTCTTTGTTGCGCCTGACCACCAACATAAAGGCATCGGCGGCTCCTTGGTAAACTGGGGAATTCAGCTTTCTAAGCAAATGATGCTTCCGCTTTGGGTTGAGTCGTCGACCACAGCGTATAATCTTTATTTGCGCCGCGGGTTTAAAGACCAAATCCGCTCAAAGGTCATTATAGGGTCCTGGGACATCGAATATTCAATTTTGAAATGGGAGCCTGAACAAAAGCACCAGGCAGTCAAGGGTAAATGAGACGACTTTTGGTAGTGGTCAGAGTTATATGTTTTGTCTGTTCTATACTATACTTGTAATTGGGTCAGGCATGGAGTATAAAGTCTGTCCAGCTATAGATTTCAAATTCTAGTACAAAACAAGATAGACTTGGATTCTTCTCCCATCATGTCTTTATATCAATCGCATATATATCCTGGCTCTTTGGACTACAGGTTGACTGCGAATGAATCGGCTGAGTATATCGGATAAAGTATATTTTGTAGTAAGTGGTAATGGTCATCTAGTGGTGGCGTACCTTTGTTTCCTCTCTACTGATCAAAACACCCTTGATCTCCTCAGAGCGAACCCTCGCACGCACTCCCAGCTTTCTGTTCTTCAAGGTACGGTAACTCGATCTTATCAAGAAGGCGGGCATAGATATCGATATCCACACCACCTCCCCTCTTGCTCGACTCTACGACAGCTTCTAGTAACTGTTTTAGCTGTTTGGCCTGGTCTAGTTGGCCTTGAAGTTGATATATTGATGCTAAGCCGGACGTATAGTACAGAGTAGCTTCGTGCTTAGGACTATTCACTCTCTTACTCGACTCTACCACAGCTCCTTGTAACTGATTGGCCTGGCCTAGCCGGTCTTGAAGTTGATATAATAATACTAAGCCAGACATATAGTACAGAGTAGCTGGATGCTCAGGACCGTTGGCCTTCTTACTCGACTCTACCGCGGCTTCTTGTAACTGTTCGGCCTCATCTAGTTGGCCTTGAAGTCGGTATATTGATACCAAGTTAGATATATATCTCACGGTAGCTGGGTGCTTGGGGCCGTTGACTTTCTTGACGGCCTTGATTACCTTAAGCTGACGTTTTTCCGCCTTCTCGAGTCGCCCCGTGGGCCATATGTAGAGCCATGTCAACCACTGGAGCCACACGTAGAGCCTTGTCCACCACCGCCATGCGCCCTCGTTGGATGACCCTTCATTGTTTCCAGTTACGGGAGTCATGTCGGGCTGCATGAATTGGACAGCGTCATTGCAGTACAACGTGATTGGGTCATCTTCGCCAAAGGCCTCTTTGCTTACCTCCAGCGCAATGGTCGACATCGCCACCGCGCCAACCATGTTTCCCCTTTTTACAACATACAATGCTGCCCTATATAGGAGTCGGCCCCACCACTGCAGCGGCACCCCCCCTTGAGGCTTGTGGCCGATCGCCGATTTCATATGGGGATAGAGCTGCTGGCAACGGCCCCAATTCTCGTATTTGATATCTAGAAATCTCCGTAAAAGCCGAGTAACTAATATTACTTGCCAACTTACAAACGACTCGTTATCGTCAAGCCATTCCTGGGCGGCTAGTTGCACCAACCTGTGCATGTCGAACACCTTCGGATTCGCGCCGGTGGAGATAAAACAGTAACTTATGAGGGTCCTTATATCATTCTCAAATGATTCGTCTCTAGCAGGCAGCCCTGGTGTGCTACTGTCCTCTTTCTTTCGTGGTGTTGTCTCGCACTCTATACCCTCTGGTTGAAGGACATAGTCGGGAATTCCCTGCCGGTTGAAGAAGCACATGATTGCCAATAAGTCTGCCGCTGAAGGCCTTGTTTTCCGGATACGATTAAACGATATCTTGAACGTCGCGCTTACGGAGTTGACTGCCTCCTCATCGCGACGATGATCTCCGTTATCGTCACTAAGGAGCTTCAGTTTCTTGGTCAAATTCCTCCCCCTAAAGTCCTCGAGGTACTCCTGAACCGAACAGCGTGGCTCTCTAAGGGATATATAGGACGCAGCCTGGACAATTGCAAGTGGTAGGTATCCAAGTTCTGCCGCCAATTCAGCAATCACTTTATCGTCGTATCCTTCGTTCAGCTTTTTGCGGAATAGGCTCACAGCTTGCGTTTCATCCATCGGATGAACATTGATGATGTTCCTCCTATCTACGAGTTGCAATGCTGCTTCTCTGCTTCGGCTCGTGACAAAGATTGATCCATTCTGTGTTTTGGGAAGATACTTGTCTAACCTCTTGTTGTTCGTGCCCTCCTCGGTTGACGTGTCCTTGAGGAAGTCGAGGTCATCAGCGTTATCTAGGATGACAACCCATTTCCTCTTGTCATCAAGAAGCCAGTTACGAACGAGCCCCAAGGTGTTTCTCTTCGGATCGTCCCGACCAGGAATTTTTCCCCGGTGGGCAATCTCCTCGAGGCTTTCCTGAAAGCGTGCGGAGTTACTTGCATAGATCCAGAATATCCAGGTATCAGATAGTTGGTTTTCGAGGCAGTAGGCATACTGAATTGCAATTTGAGATTTTCTGTTCACCCAAGTTAGTGTACGTATAGAGGGAGAGTGCTCTCACCTGCTTACCCGACACCCCCCATGCCGACGAGGGCAACTCGAGATCCTGGCGCCTCGAGTTTTTCTTTGATTTTATCGAATATTGCTGGTCGATTGATGAATTCATCATCACGCTTAAAAGGAATTTTGCAGCTAGGCTCAGGCGGTGTTTCAGGTCGTTCTAAAGGTGACATTAGCAATGCTTTATCGACGGGAATCTAACTATACTTACGTCCTTCATGGTTGTTGATGGTAACAGACCCATGGATACTCCCAGCCTGCACCCCGCTGTTGTTGTCTCCGGAGAAATGCGCACTGCTAGAAGGTTGAGCCATTCTGTGTAAGAGATAAACCGTGAATGTGACTGTGAGCGCTGTGTTCTCGTTAATATTTGGATGCAGAATGCTCCAACGAGGTGAGATGCCGGGTTACATATCTCTACCCAACTACCCCACCCCCTAGCCGAGTAGAACTCTGCACAGCGTCTTCCATACATGTTCTTTTTATGCAGTCTCAAGATTTGGTACGGCTCTGTGTTTATTTTCTGCTAGTCCTATTGGCGAGCGAGAAGCCCCCTGTCAGCCATATTTCATGCAATTTCACCGTGGATGGAATTCGTGGCGCCAACGAGACTGCCAGGCTCCCTGCATAGCTGATGGCTGCATATCGACTGTGCAAAGTCTTCAACTCTTGCTATCATCCTTGCAGAGGAGGCTTTTCCACTACTGCAACGACGCATTATACCCGCCGCAGGCCGTGATGAAGGAAAGGACAGTACGGGATGGTTATAAATATCAGCGTACTGTCTCACTGACGGCTCCTACAGTTCTTTCAACCAGGTCCTACAAGACTACGATATCCCATATCCATCCATTTTGGCTTCTATACTCCATTATTATTCCCCAGTTCCAAAAAAATGGCAGAAGCAGTTGGTCTTGCCGTTGGCATTATTGGCCTTGCTGGATTATTCAACAATGCCGTCCAGTGCTTCGAGTACGTCCAGCTGGCTCGCAGCTTCGGCAGGGACTTCCAATCAAGCCAGCTCAAGCTCGATAGCGCTCAGCTCCGTCTATCCCGCTGGGGCAAGTCGCTAAGACTGGATACGCAACAACTGGACGACACGCAAAACACTATCAGCTTTCCTGGATCCACCGAAGACGCTGAGCGTGCAAAGAGCCTCCTCGACCAAATCAGCTTTCCTGGATCTATTAAAGATATTGAGCGTGCAAAGTACCTCCTCAGCCATATCCTAGAGTTATTTGAGGATGCTGAGACTCTTTCATCCAAGTTTAAAGACAAACAAAGTCTTGATGATGGTAGCACTGCAACCTTCGATCCCGAAACAGACCTCAAATCGACTGTGGGTGCCCTCCATAGAACAATGCGCAAGCTGGCGACCGGCCGCCAGAACAAAGCAAACCTGAAGCAAAAGGCAAAACGGGCTTTATATGCGGAAAAGACTTTAAGGCGACTGGTTGAAGATATTACGGAGCATGTTGACGACCTAACCGACCTATTTCCTGCTACTTTGCCGCGTCAGAAACGTCTTTGCGAAGCCGAAGCCTCCGAGATCGGGAAACATTCAGAAGCGGTGGAAGACTTGAAGAAGATTGTGGCTCAGCAAGACAAACTACTACATGCCGCTCTTGAAAAATCCAACAATATCCCGCAGGCGGGTATGCATATTGTATTCTCAGGTGCCAATAACAAGGGCTTTCAAGCCGGGCAGAACTTTGGTTCACAAACCATTAATTATAATGGTACTACAAAGAACATGGGAGCGAAATAGCTGCTTAGGTCTCTTCCCTATCACCTGGCTCATCCAAACGAAATGTATTTAAGAGTTACTTAAATCCACTACACTTATGCCGTTAAAAACATAGCTGTAGCTTTCTTATAGTTCATGGCGCGTTTTTGTTATATGCATTTCTCGATGCTGCTTATGCGTCCCGATGATGCCGATGTTATGGCCGTAGAAGCTTGCTTGTTTTCCTGCTCTGGATTAGTACAAGTGGCCTGTCTATATAATTAATCCTTTAACCTGTTTCTTTTCTTTCATTCTTTAGTTACTAGTCCGTGTATTATATTTATAGTGATCCCTACGTATAACAGGTATCCCTTATATTATCCAAAAAAAAGACACTTATAGCCTAGTGTACTCGTTATCAAGTATATCCTCTCTCGTTACAATCACGGATCACCCTCTGGCATCCCATTTGCCGTGCCATTCGTAGGGGCGTCATGCCCCTCCCATTCGGCAGCATTGGATTGGCATTATGTGAGAGTAGAAGTATTGCCGATTGCTCGTCCTTTCGCGATATCGCCTTAAACAGCGCTGTATCCCCAGATCCATATTCTGACAGGTTTGGATCCGCGCCTGCACTGAGGAGGGCCAGGATAATGTCTCGACGACTCCCATTCGCAGCCCATAGAAGCGGCGTCATCCCTCCCAACTCCTGGGCGTTGAGATGAGCCCCTGCCTGGATAAGCAGCCTAACGATGGCCAGATGCCCTCGTGAAGCTGCCCATAGAAGCGGCGTACTCTCGTTTTCAATAGTCTGGCAGTTAGGCGATGCTCCTTTATCAAGAAGAAGTTTAACAACCTCTTTATGTCCCTTTGAAGCTGCCCAGTAAAGTGGTGTAGCATTATCATTATCCTGAGAATTTGCATTGGCCTTGTATGCGAGAAGTAGCTCGGCGATTCCCCTGTCGCCATACGAGGCAGCCCATAGCAATGGCGTCTTTCCATCCTCATCCTTGGGGTCTACCTGCGCGTCAAGTTGGAGGAGAGCTCTAACAGCTTTCTCATGTCCGTTTCCCGCAGCACGCAACAGAGGTGCTCGTTTATCATTGTCGGGATACCTTACTATTGCCCCCTTCGTGACCAGGAGTTTGACCATATCTGTATGCCCATTTCCAGCTGCCCATGCCAGTGGGGTATTCCCCAGGTCGTCCCGGGAATCAATCAGAGCTCCCTTGTTCAGCAGTACTTCAGCGATAGCTATATGTCCGTTTGTTGCAGCCCACGCGAGAGGGGTACCTCCAGTGCGATCTCTAGAATTTGCGTTGGCCCCCTTACCAAGGAGATACTCGACAACAGCCAGCTTCCCGTTCCCTGCTGCCCACGAGAGCGGCGTTTTCTTATCTTTATCTTCAATATCAATTATAGCGTTTCCATCCAGTAGACACTTGACGACATCTGTACTCCCGTTCGTTGCTGCCCATGCTAGGGGTGTACTACCTTTGCAATTCTGAGAATTTGGGTCCGCCCCGCGTTCGAGAAGTAGTTTAATAGTTGATATATGCTTGTTTGTTGCAGCCCACGAGAGGGGGGTATTCCTATCCATATCTTTAGAATTCGCGTCCGCCCCCTCATCAAGAAGTAGTTGAACAACGGCGGTGTTCCCATTTGTTGCGGCCCAAGCAACTGGTGTACATCCTTTGTTATCTCGGGAAGTTAGGTCGGCGCCCCCTTCGAGGAGAATTTGAACAACTTCCTTGTATCCATTAGTTGCGGCCCATGCAAGTGGTGTAGACCCCATATTATCTCTCGAATGTAAATCAGCACCACGCCCGATAAGAAATTCAACAACTTTTCCCTGGCCATTTCCAGCAGCCCATGCAAGTGGTGTCTTTCTATTCTCATCCTGTGAGTCCAGATCGGCGTTGTACTCCAGGAGAACTTTCACAATATCTAAATGCCCCTTTCCAGCAGCCCACGATAGTGGTGTCTTCCCCTGCTTGCTTAGAGGGTCAGACTCGACTCCTTTCTCGAGCAGAATCATGACTATCCCGTATAAGCCGCTACCTGCAGCAAAGTGTAGCGCCGTCTGACTAGCAGAGTCTCGATAATTTATATCGACTTTATACTCCTCCTCTAGCAAAACTTCCATAACATTTGCGTGGCCCTCAACTGCCGCCCATAGAAGTGGGGTTCGGTCTCCAGGCTGTACATTGCCATTTGGGTCGACACGCTTTTGGAGTAAATACTCTACTGTCTCTGAGTATCCAAATCTTGCAGCGAGGGACAGCGCAGTCCGATTTCTCCTATTTTTGCGATCCCAACTGTTTTCAAGCAGTCCTAAGAACCCCAGTTCTTCAAGTTTTGGGAGAAATCCATAACAACCGCCCACAAAGACAGGTGTTGCCATGATTTCCGGTTCCGAAATGACATTTTCTAGCTTTTGGCTGTCAGGGGGTGCAAGTGACCGAGATAAATTGTCTGCATATCCTGTCCAATTCCTAAATGGAATACCAACGCTTCTTTTCCCTTGCCTCGGCGTGAGGAAGCCACAAAGCATTGCTTTTATTGGACTCTTGGAGCCGTCAACAAGCCGGAAGTGGTAAGGCCAAAACTGAGTGGCATACTCTTTTAGCATCCTATTGTGCTTGGGGCATTTGGGTGTATCTTCCCATCGATACACATTGACACATCTTTCCAAGATAGTAGCGTGTGATCTGTGTTCGTGGTAGTCCTCGTGTACTGGTTCTTGGAGGTATTCTGCAACGGTTGAGTGAATAAAGCGAATAATTCCAACTCCACCGGCCTTAGCAGATGTATCCTGGGTATAGCACTCTAGCCCTGCATCGAGGAAAACTAGATTGCAGCATGCCTGCAGTATGTCTTCGATACGAATGGTATATTTGTAATCCGATACCGCAGAGATTATCTCGGACATTGTAAGTGCACGCTTTGAATACAGCAGCCATTGCATACATTTTTGAGCAGTCACAAGGCTATGGGGGCCTAGCTCAGATATTTTTCCCAGAATTAAATCATAAGTCTTCTTCAAATTGTCTGGTAGTTTTTCTAGGAGCGCTTCGACGTCACGTTCACTTAACCGGGGGTCACAAAGAAGATCAATCTGAAGTCTCACCCAGAGAAACCTAGATAACTTTAGCCATCAAGTTCCAAGCGTGGGGCTAAGGGACATACATTCTCTCAGCCTTCTCGCACAGTGTGCGAAGAATTTTGACCCGCAGTTCTTCCGAAACCCGGCCACATCGTATTCTCTTACTTTTGATGACCGATGCAATCTCTTGATGGATAAAACGCTCGATTTCTCCTCGATTTTCTCTGGAGTCGGACGATATTTGTAAACAATCAGGATCCTCTCTCCACTTGCAGATAATGCCGTCATCCCGGCTAGAGACGACGATTTTAACGTTGCCAGTTTGTTCAAGGGTATCCAATGCCTCAAGGAATCTCTGGAGATTAGTCCAGTAAGGGGGGACCAGATCGTTTCCTGCATATAGCTCATCGAGCGCGTCGATGGCGAGGATAACTGGGTCGTTCTTCGAGATGCTTTTAAGATAATCCACACATTCTCCAATTGTTAATTTACGCAACGGAAGCTCATTCTCTTTCGCTTGACGTCTTTCCTCCCTAAAGGCTTTCAAAAGCGAACTGTTATATCTGCCGTCCACAAAACTAAGCTGGAATAGTAGGCTTCGAAGCGCGCTAGCCGGGTCGGTGCGGTCAGATTCTAAAGCGTTGCAGTAGAAATAGGCAACGCCAGCTGACACACTTGCAAGTTTCTGGGGTTTCAGGGATTTGATAATGCAATGCCTAGGGGAGCGATTAGTTTAAGCAGTTTGGGGAAGGGATACAAACATACATAAGAGTAGTTTTACCTGAACCAGCTACATAATAGTATTGTGTCAATAGTGTGGTATAAGTGTGAGAGTTATTGCCGTGGATACTTACGAGTTCCATGTAGCCAGAATATAGGTGATTCACAAGAAGTTACCCAACTCTTATAGATATCGCTATTTATTAGCCACTCTCCAGAATTCTCCATAAGACGGTTCCCAATGTCGTTGTGATGGCGCTCATAGGTTGCGGCTGACAACCATTCACGAAAGCCCCTTTTCTCGGATTCTTTTGGAATATTAGTAAATTAATAACTTATTATATTATATAGCTTAGATATATTATATAGGTTATAATTATATACCATAGATATAATAACAAATGATTATTGCAACCTACCAGTAACTCTTTGAAGGAGGGTAAGCAATGCCCCCTTACATTGCGGATAGCCATCATCGTGCTCAGAAGAGAACTTGCACATCTGAATATGGTCTTTGTTAATTGAACAAGTAGTTTCCCATCTGGCATTATTGAGCACCGCCGAGGCCTCTTCCACAACCTGATCTAACCTTAGTAAAGCTATACCATTATCAGACTAAGTAATATGACGAGACTTACTATTCCAAACCCCCTGAAGTCAGTAATCCCCTTTGCTTCATAAAACGAATAGATGTGAATATGACCATCCTCTAGCAAGAAAGAGAACGTGTCCCTCAGTTCATTTAGCAGATCGGATCCAGGACGCAAGGCAGCTGTGATTTTTGTATTTGGCTTACAACCAGCAGTGACGGTAAGTAAGCGGAGAAGCTCCGCCTTCCCTGCCCAGTCGCTACCACGATGCGGAGTCCCAAAAAATATAATGCCCGTAGTTGACAAATAGACACTTTTTCTCTCAATTTGAGCATCACTCCCTCTTGAGAGCGCGAGAGCCTAAATTGAAAGGTTAATACAGTACCGTAGTTAATGCAGAGATCTACAAGACTTACCTGTTTAACAATGAGACCCCCAAGGCTATGAACCACGAATATAAGTGGCCTAAGCGGCTAGATAGCTAAATATTAGACTAAGAATATAACTGATGTCAACTAGAAAATGGAACTTACATCTGTAGTTCGCCAGAACTGAAGGTTTGTGACCAAGTTCCTTGCATGGTCAACAACACCTAGCTGGTTTGTCTTGCTTGTAGGACTTTGATACAGGTTGGTCTCATAGCCCCAGGTAGCAATGCGAGCTTGTGAAATGGACGGTTCCTTTGCAAGGAGCTCTTTGGGCCAGAAGACTGCAGTTCCCTTCTGGGAAAATAGCCCTTTTTTAACACCTGGAACCCCCGCGCTCCATGTATTTCTTGGGTGACCGTCGAAGCCATGGACAAAAACGATGCTGGGATCAGCTCCGGTTAGCATCAATCCCCACTGAGTATGGGCACTATGCTTACTCGTGGGTTGGGTTAGAGGGTTCATGAATTACTGAAATCCCATAGGGCGTAATATTCAAGCCATGCGGCTCAGCCTGTTCAGCCTCTTTAACCTGTTGAGCCTCTTTGGCCTGTTTGGCCTTTTTGGTACCGAAAAAGCCCATGGGTGGTGTACCGAGTTACCCAGGTAACGAATATTATAGTATGCAAACGCGTAGGGTATATATTGAGATCTTGAACAAGAGATATAACCAAGGCTTCGCATCGTGACTCGCGCACATGGGGTGGATGTGCTGTCGAGGTTATAACTGAATGAGGAGCCCAAGAAAAGCAACTCTCATTGCCCTATTCTAGCAGTTGCATGCTAGAAGGTGTATACTGTGTATGTATTCCTCTCCTGGGAGGTTGTACACGCCTGCAGCCGCTGCCGCCACTATCGGCCATGGTTGGTCGTCTGTCTTTGGCTCCCGTTCAGTTCCGCCGTGGTGCATATAAGCCCCTTGTTCCATTCGTGCCCGCCTTCAGCATGTCGTATATTATGCGGCTGAGTCTCTGAGACGAGTTCAAAGCCTACTATCCGCATCGTGTTGGCTGCTGGCCTTGTCCAGCCCGAGTGCGTTCACGGGCGTACCCTCACCAAGGGGCATATTCACAACGCGAATGCCAGCATCGTTGCCCTCCGCCTTTCACGGAATAAGTACACGGGCAAGGCTCTACTGACTGGAAACCGTCTGTTCAACTCAACGGCTTTGTACATTACATAGTACACCCTCGCCGTCCTTACACTATAAAAGTCTACATATAAAAGTCTACAACTCGTAAGATATAACACGTGACTGATGACGATGACTAATATTACGGTAACGTATTTACCAGCTTTTTTTTATTAGTGTTCAATTTGTCTGGGCAGTCGCGTTTTAATGAGCATCGCCAATATTCACATTCAACAACTCGACGAACGAGGAGATGCAAGCAGCCCAAGCAGATTCACAGGCAGACATTTCCGTTTTTACCAGCGCGCCGAGCTGCAATGTATCTTCCTCGGAGCCTCATTTCCCACCTCTATCAACAGCTGCTCAGGTCGCACCACCCATTATCTCCTCCGGTCCTGATACTCGTGGCGTTGGAACCAGACGCTCTATGTGCATGCAGAATCCTCACGGCACTGCTAAAACGAGACTATATACCTCACAAGATACAGCCCATTGCCGGATATGGCGACCTGTCTCAGGCTGGCACGGAACTCGTGCACCCAATGCATACATCAAACGGCGGTAGCGGAGGGGTTGTGGTGTGTTTAGGCGTGGGTGGGCTGGTTGACTTGAGCGAGACGCTTGGCCTGGATGCGAATAAGGATGAGCCCGGGGATATGGGAGGAATCGAAGTCTGGGTCATCGACGCGCGAAGACCGTGGAATTTGACAAACGTCTTTGGGGGGATGGGCGAGCCAGCTACGCCGAGAGGACCCGATACCCAGGTTAGGACCAGTGTTGATGGGGTAGACCGGGGCCGATTGACGGACACGTATAGGCCAGGCAAGGGAGGTATTATAGCTTTCGATGATGGTGACATTGACGAGGAGCTTGCATTGGAACGGGAGGCGTACTATACTCTCGAGGGTCTTCCTGATATTGGTGAGGATGACAGCGACGACGATGATGATAGCGGATCAGAAAGGGAAGTCCAAACCCAGAGTAAGAAGAGGAAATCATGGTCAGATCGGTACGACGGTGATATTGCTGCATCTGACGACGAGGATGGCCGTCCAGCTCAACGGCGGCGAAGCAATTCTGTAAGCTACTTGAAACATTACTTCCATGGATCAATATACTAACACTTTACCAGGGGTCCTCAATTGCCTCTCCATTTAGATTAAGAGAAGGAAGGCATGACTCCTCTCAATCGTCTCGATCGGTCACTCCAGCCTCCGATGTTCCATCTCCCATTATACAAAAAGAACCTTCAACACGCACACTGCGAAAACGCTTAATCCGGCTTAAACGAAAGCATGAATCTGTTCTTCAAGCTTACTATTCCCTCGGCACATCTTACTCAGAACCCATTTCGTCCCTGCTATACTCTCTCGCGTCTGAACTCGGCCGTGACGATAATGACTTGCTATGGCTTGCAATTGTCGGAGTTTCGAGTCTGGAGCTTTCTGGGCGTACAATGTCAGGCGTGGGAATATCAGATGCTTCTGAATCGGGAGGCTCTGCTGGATGGGGAGGGCAACGAGGAGAGCGCATCCGACAAATCTTACGTGACGAAGTTCGGCGTCTAAACCCACCAGACGACGGCGAGGCTGGGCGGGAGGCCATGAGAAGCGAGGTTAATGGGGTCATACCTACCAACGCCCGGTCTCCTACGGACACCTCTATCCTTTTGTCTCCAGAGCCGCGTCTTTTATTATTACGGCATTGGTCACTCTATGACAGCATGCTACATAGCCCCTATCTTGCCCCTAGGTTACACGTCTGGAACGAGACGGGGCGAAAGCGGGTGCGGAAGCTCCTGGCCAAAATGGGCGTCAGTTTGAGCCAGTGCCAACAGAATTATACCCATATGGATATGGATCTCAAACGTGATTTACGCCAGAAGATGCTTCAATATGCTCCGATGTACGGTATGGAAGGGCTGGTCCCTCCTGCATCCTCTGGTGGGTACTCGGGATCGCGAGAGGGATGGGGCTTTGCTCGTTGCTGGGGATGGAAGGCCTGCCTGTCTGCCACGGATATTGGCGTAATAGTAGGGTCTATACTCGAGGTGGGCTCACTGGGCCCGTCTACTACCGTTTCACAGGCCTTCTCTTCTCACTCCAACACAAACCTATCTAGTGCTACCCAGGCCAAGCTGGGAGCAGATAGCGCCAACGTACTCTCCCGGTTCTGGAGTGCATATGACGCTCTGGCGCCTACTTCAGATTCACCCACCCAACTACTGGCATCAATCCCTCTAGCCCAACATCTCCACCGAGCAATTTTACGCACGGGGACTGCTCTTCTCTCAAAACATCAGATACGTCATCTTCGCGCTTTCCGTATTGCAGTCGTTAAGGAGGGACCCGATGTGAAGCTCTTTACAAACCCAGGCGCATTAACAAAACTAGCACTGTGGATCGGTGAGGCTGTTCGTATTCAAGAGAAGGAAAAAGGAACTAGTATAAAGGGAGGGGGGAAACATGCAGTCGGCACACCACTAGTTCTCGCCAGTTTGGACGAAGATCGAAATGTCTATATAGTGGTTGGAACGGGTGGAGGCGGCGGAGTCATCGACTTTGCCGCCATGGCCAAACGACGTGAGGAGCAGCGAAAGAAGAGAGAAGCACGAGAAAAGAAAAAGGCCGAACGAGAAGAGCGACGAGCCAAAAAGAGAGCAGAGATGGAGGAAGACGACGATGAACTGGCCGAGGAAGCAGAATCCTCTGAGTCCGAGTCCGAGTCAGACTCGGAATCGGAGCCAGATTTGGACAGCTTCAGCAGCAAAAACCTGGTTCGAAACCGTTTCGGTATAGCATTCCAAGAGGTTGTTCATGAGACCAATGCGAGAGTGCGAATAGACAGCTTCGAGCATTGTGTGGTAGAAGTACAGAAAGAGGACTTGGGAGCATTCTTAGAAGCACTCAGCTTCAGGAGTGTCGTTGGATGATTTCAGACACTATACCCCCGATCTCCTATTTCATTCTGAATGTCCCGCGATGACTCTCTCTCCCTGTCTATTACTTTATGTGTCCTATGCCATTTTTTGCTGCGTTGGAGCGTTTCAAGATTATATTCCATTATTTCCCTTTTTACCACGGTTCCTTCGTTTCTTGCCTTGCCAGCATCAAGTCTCTCTACTTTCTTCCTTTTCTCCCCCTGTTTTTGGGCCGTCAGCTTGGATGGTATTCGTCTCTGGTAGTTCGGTTAAACTGGCTGTTGCAGTTTACATTCGCTTTGATCTGACATATGTTTCCCCCTTGTTTCCCTTTACATTCTATTCCTCGTTTTCGTTAGAGCTTCTTTTTGGATATTTAAGTTGACTTTAATGTATATATGTATCTAAATGGCGCATAGGGTTCATGATAGGCGAGTCAATGGACAGACTATTCTTCTGAATTCTACTATTAGTATTTATTATATGCGGTTTCCTGGATAGAGCATTTGACCAAACGCCGAATTCACATGGTATTAACAAAAGATAAAAAGGATATCATCTACATAGTAATAAAAAAAAATACATGAAATGGAAAGGTAGACGAAGTAGTCACAAGCGTCCGGCGTCTATGAACTTCCCATAAGAGATCCAGCGAACCAGACTCCTCCCATTCCAAGCAGCAGTGAGAGACCGATGGCTCGCTTGCTCCAGTCATCGGTATCGTGCATTTTCATCGGCCCAGCTAGCTTGTGGATAGGGGAGCTTACATGCGATGCAGGGGTGGTTGTTTCTTCATCAACAGTAGCGGAGCTTGTGGTATTCTTCAAGTACTCCTTCTCCATCTCCTTCCACTGCTCTACCAACCTGGCAATGGCCACAAGGTCCTCTTTGACCGAAGGCTCAGAGCCATTCACACTACTGCCTCCTTCCACTTCCACTTCTTGAACGTTGCCGAAAAAGTCCATGACAGTTCTCAGCCTACCCTCAGCTTCGCCACCGGGGAATAGATCCCACCTCACGCCAGGCTGTGAATGGATCTTTGATTCGTCATAAGAGTCGAACAAGTCACCCAGGGTACGTTTCGAGTTCGCGCTCGTGACCTGGGTTTCGAGGAATTCCAAAATATAATATGTCCAGCGATCGATAACGGCAACTCCGACATCGCTATCTGCATGGTGGGAATAAGAGGATTGGTCCAGCTCGCTTGACCCCGTGGCGATAATATTCGGAGAATAGAGGTGTGTGTACATCGTGTTCGCCTGACACGTATCGATCATAAAGAGCAGCTCGTTGTACCGTTTCTTCTCCCACATCTGTCCAAATGCATCGGCCAGATCCCACGCCCCGATCTCCTCTGAGTCCTGAAACTTTAGAAACTGATCACCGCCGTGTCCGGTCATATAGACAAGCACGTTGCTGCCCGCGTCTGAACCTAACCTCTTGCTCTGCGGTACATCATCACCCAGCCTGTCTGTCAGCAAGCGTATGAAGCTCTCCACAGTGACCTCGTATCCACGGTAATCGACTTCTATATTGTCTCCGTACAGGTCTAACGCGCGATCTGCGTTGTTGTAAACAGTCCCTGGGAAGGCGTTTCGGGGGTTACAGGCCATATCGTCCGGTAACATGAGGATGATCTGGGAGTCCGGGATCCCTAGACGCTTGACCGTTCGATAGAGGGAGAGCACATTGGCAAGGTGACGGTAGTTGAACCAGAAACGAGAAGTAGACACCAGCACCGCCCAGTTCGACGTATGCGCGGCCGAGGAGGCGCCGATGGCAAGGAAGACGGCCAGGAGGGCCACGAAGGGGTAGACCAGCCGTAACTCCATCCTGAGCTCGGCGTTACAGACAGTATCACGGCAGTATACCAGTCTCGTCTCTCATCTTTCGTCTGTCGAAGATGGTTTGAAGCTGGATATAACAGTTCAGTCGTTAAAACACTTCAGAAAAAGACGTTGCTTTAGGTACTTTTTTTTAACTTCTAAGCGTTTCCCCGGCTTAGTCATCAACTAGCGGGAGTGGCCCAAGCTTTCTCCCCTTTGGTCCCTTTTTTGGCGATGAGGCTCGCTTTCGTTTTTTTTACTTCGTGTTTATATCAACTTCGCCTTTTCGCCTTTGCTGGTTCCTCCTCGCTCTCCTCCTTTTCCCTCCCTTCTTCTACTCTTCTTCACGCCTTGTCTTAGCGTTCGTACGGTGCTTAGTTTTGTCATGAGCGATTCTGCCTGTTAATATACTCCTTGTCCACTTGCGACGATCTATTTAGCCTCTCCTCTACGCTCTGCTGCCTGTTTTAGAAGACGTCGGTTCATATCTCTCGCCTAACTTTTTCGACTCAGCGACGAGCATTTCCTATCCTACCGTTCACCCATCGCATATCCGATCCTGATATTGCCTTTACATCTCCAAACCAAGCAACTTCTACGCATTCGGAAGAGATACAGCCTATAATAGCTCATTATCTGATAAAGTCTAGGCGCTGCTCTTGTGGTTAGCAACAGAGTCAGCTTGCTCTGTTGACCGCGCAGCTTCTATACCATCATCTGCAGTAAACATGATGGAAACTAGAGAAACCAAGCCTTCAGCTGGCGATATGGAGGGCTCTCGCCTTATGAGACTCCCGTTTGAGACCATCGAGGCTATCTTCTCCCATGTGAGTGTGATACCTCATATACCTATACAGCCATTCATCCGACCGTCTTCTACTCTACCTTCCTGTTCACGACTGATACATGTTGTGACCGTGTTTTAGGTAGACCCAGAGGATCTCGTCAACCTGTGTTTGGTTTCAAGGTCGGTTAGGGAACATGCTGCGTCTCGACTCTATCGATCTCTCAACTGCGTCCTCCAGCCCAGAAGTGATATAGAGCATAAGTGGCCTATCGATCGTCTTGCCAAGGAGCTGGAAACGTTGACGACAAGTGATTTCAACTATGCTGCCTATATCAAATCGATATGTCTGGACACCGCACCGCTCACTGATGATAATGACTATCAGTTCCAAGAACAGATATCAGACCAGTTCAAATACGATACCCCCTGTGGGAAGTTTTTCAACAATCTTCTTCTTGCATCGATCAAGAAGATATCCACTCTGGAGACATTTCGGTATGGATAAATTTCTTTTTTTACATTAAATACAAAAGAGCGCAGTTATTCCACATCACTACCATCGGGCTTTACTCTAACTGACAGTATAGATGGAATGCTCGTCTTGAACTCAACCCCACAGTCTTTGCAGTGCTAGGAAAGACCCCCAGCTTACAGCATCTATGTGTTCGAATGCCTCCTGGAGTAGAGCCTAATCAGAACAACGCTGCGCCAGCTCCCCCTCCACCAGGCCCTCCCGTCCCAATTCTTCCCCTTCCAGTTCAGCTCAGCCATCTTCATGCGCACCCAGCGCCTCCAATAGCGTCTATCCTCAACCTACCGCACAATCCCACTGCATCTCGAGACAAATTTATGAGTCGCAAGTATTGGGACTCAACTCAGACGTTCTCTCATTTCTCCCGACTCAACACGCTGGAAGTCTTAGAGATGGACAATCTCGGATATATCGACGAGATCTCAAAATGTATATCCCAGTCTTCTAGTACGCTGAAACACTTAAAACTGTCGTTTTCAGAACGGCTTGCTCTCTCGGCACGTAAGAAGAAGGACGACGAGGTCTCAGAAACCAGCAGCGTCCAAGATGAAGACGAACTGTACCAGCCTCTCCCACCTCCACCCCCTCCGGGCCAGCCAGCTGCCTTCACTTCATCCAGCTCCAAGAATTCTGAGATCCGCCGTGAACGTCTTGCACAGGAGCAGGTCCTTAGTCGTCTTTTCAGCCTAGACACAGACAAGAATCTGATGGCACAGAAGGAGTCAAACCAACTTGTTGAAAATGCTCTCAGCAATGTGGCTAAGGACCTCCAAGCTACAGATGATGCAGACGTATCCTTCATCAATTACTTGAAATCAGTTCTAGAGAAGCTTAACACAGAGAAACCAAAATACCAAGCCGTGATAACCGAAATCGAAAAGGTTACAGGTCCTTATCAGGACATAACCTCTAGGAAGGATTCAGGTGACAACTCACAGCCAGGAGAGCAATCCAATGCTCCATCCGCAGCAGCTCCAAGTGGGAGCAACGACAAGAATGCCGCGCCAGCTGAGGATTCTCAGTCAGACCAAGATAACAAGAAAGGCAAAGATGAGCCAAAGTCAGATACCCTTGATCTCAGTGGGTCCGAAACCACGGATCTAGAGATACGTTTACAAAATATTGTAGACATGGAGCATCCTGATGATCTCAGTGAAGGGGAAGATCAGGAATTTGTTGATGACATTATCGACAACGTGCCACTCACAAATGGAAATATTTCCACTCTTAAACTAGAGCAGGCTGGCGGATCAAAAGGCAAAGCGCCAGCGGATATGATACCAATCGACGATGATCTTAGCATAAATGAGCACGATGTTATTCACAACTATGTTCGTCAGCACCATGGCATCGCGCTCGAAAGTCTTTCAATCTATTTAGTCCCAGTAAAAGCCTCTGTCCTTTGCCGAGGAATTAACGTTTGGGCACTGAGGCACGTCTCCTTACTCAACGTTGGTCCGCAGAGGGCATTCTGGGCGACGCTGGAAAATCTAAATAGATTCAATCACCTTCAGATTGTCTCCGTTCATACAGACAACGTAACTCGCCAGCTCCTTTCTTTCCTAAATGCTTTAGCCCGCCTCGAGGAGCTGTTCTTGATAGAGCGCAGTGCTCGCTCTAGAGTAGAGCCGTCTACTCCCAAAACCACTGTTACTGTTGAAGAAATTCGGGACCTAGTGCTTACTAAACACATGGGTACACTGAAGCGGCTGATGATAAGAAATGATAATGATTTAAGCTGGTCTCTAAATCCAGCATCTGTTATCCTCATGGCTAAACATGGCCATAAGCTGGTTGAGCTAGTAGCTCCCCTCGGCTCCCGATGCTTTGTAGGTCAATTCCTATCTCTTCGTTCATTTATTTGCCAAATCCATGGCCTGTTCGTATCTACAAACTTCCGTTACTGATATGTTATTCTCCAACTGTAGCACTTATTGATGCGACATATGAGCAACATGGAATCGCTTAGTGTATTGCATATCCTCTTCTCCGACCCAGATTACTGCAACAGTGTCTTAGATGAGGTGCGAGAATGTGCCATTGATAACTTTTCACACTACTGCTCTGTCAAGGATGTGTACATTGCCGTGAGCTATGCTTCTAGTGGGCCTGTGCAGACACGCTGTGTATTCATGAAATTCCGTAACAGGAGGGCCCTGATACCCCAGGGAAGCCAGGCAACAATCAACTCTAGCAACAACAATAGAGTTGAAACCGATGAGGATCTTATCAACCCCAATCTGTCTACTGATGTAATTCTCTCTGAGGTTCTTCAGCACGAAGACGAACCGGGAGTCAAGGTTTGGAAGAAGGAAAATTGGAATCTTATGCTTTGAAGAAGCTATCCTCCATAAATGTCTGATGCTCTCCTTCTACCAATGTATCCATTACATTACTCTCCCTCACGCCCATGACCACTATTTCTTTTATCCCTCTAGACAAGGCTCTCAGCTCACGTTTCCCCTTATGTTCCTTCTTTCTCGAACACTCCGTCCCTCATGCCCAGCCCTTGATTATTCTTCGTCTGCATAGTACATCTCTCCAACACAAAAAATGAAGAGGCTCAATAAAACGGCCCGTTCCTCGGCTCGGGAAATAGATAAACCGGATAAGACTCTTATCGCACCCCACCTCCTTTTAGACGGCGCGACATTATTATTATGACTCTTCAAACTATCGTACTTTAACAGTACATTTATCTTCACTATAGAGTTGTTCTTTTCTTAGTATTTCCACATTCTCCGGTAGAAATGGCACCTAAGAAAGAGAATGCTAAAAAAGCTGCTGGAAACGCAAGAGTATGAACAAAACCGCCGTTTCCGGATCTACTCTCTATAGTAACTAATTCTGGATTTGTATAGAAAGCGGAAGCTGCCGCAACCAAGCAGGCTGTAGCAGACTCAAAGAAGGCAGCCGAGGAAGACAAAGAATGGCAAAAGGGTGCAAAATCTAGTGGGAAGAAGTACGCTTATTCCACCAGCCACTGATGCAACACATCGTTAATGCCCTCGATAGAGAATCAGCCGAAGCGAAGAAGGCAGAAGCAGCTCGTAAAAAGGCCGAGCGTGACGCCCTGTTAGCTGAAGAAGAAAAGTCACTGCCCAGCAAACCCAAAGGAAACGCCAAAACCGCACAGAAGAAATCTCGAGGGACCCTCGACCTCGGACAGCTTGACGCCGATCCGACATCCAGTAAAAAGGGAGCAACTTTGAACGCAAGTGGCATCGATAATGCGCTTGATGCACTATCTCTAGGCTCCAAGGATGCGCTAAAGGTCGACCGACACCCGGAGCGAAGATATAAGGCTGCTTACGCTGCATATGAAGAGAAGAGATTACCGGAGATCGAACAAGAACAGCCTGGACTCAGGAGACAGCAGAGGATTGCTCTTATAAAGAAAGAGTTTGAGAAGAGCGAGGATAATCCGTTTAACCAGGTCAATGTTGCCTTTGATGCATCCAGGGAAGAAGTAGCTGCGGCGCGGGAGGCGGAGAGGGCGAAGATTGAGAATCGCTTGACAGGTAAATGAAGAGAAAGGGATGTTTTTACGGGAAAATTAAATCTTTTTGGAGCGTTCAGCCCACCCTGTACACGGTTTATTGGGAGTCAGTTTGTTATTAGGAGCGCCTATGTTCACTGAGGAGATAGAAATATCTCACCCACCTTCTCTTGACCTTCGGATCGACTATTGATTTGAAGAAAAGCTAAGATTAATCGCAGAAAAGTAATTCTATTAGAATAAAGTAAATACTTTGCATCTAACAAATGTACTGCGTCTCCTAATCCCTATTCAAGGAATAAACAATGCACCTCTATTCATAACGGGCGACCCACCACACTGTCCACGGTTTCAGGACCAATGGCGGAATCCGAGTCTCCAGTCACACTCATCGAAGTTTGTACCGATATATGGGGTAGGTTTGTCCGGTCAAGATTGGACAAGCAAGTGCGATAATGATTCATTCCAAAGACGAAGCCAGGGCAGTCCAAGGAAAAGGGGGGTGAACACTATGGAGTGATAACGCGGGAACCTGTCCTAGGCAATTGCTGGGTCGGCTGGACAGTATACCAACAGGCTCCAACTCCAATGCAGATATATCTCCAGGCATATGATGATCCAGTAACCAAGAATATCATAGACATGTGTTTTGCAAAAGGGAACTGATTGTGCTATGTGGACGTTTCCCAGGCTACGCCATGATGGCTCTGGCATCCCAAACACATAGCTTCTCATCCCACCCGCAGCTTGCACACCACCCTTCACTTCCAAAGAGGCACCAGTCAACCCCTGTAACAAACTCTGTGTGTCTCCCCATACGACCCAACTCCCTCCCTAGGGTGGACATTGGTCCACCTCTCGTCAGGTCCGCATCACCTGGTGGCATTCCTTCAGAGCCGTCAGTCCAGACGCGGCAGGTCATATCATAGCCTGCGCTAAGAAGGATATGGGACAGGTGCGGTGACCACGTCACTTTCCGAATAGCGTATTCATGGCCTATCATCGCCGATAAGGGACCCTGCTGGGGGGCGCGAATGTCAAAAGTGCGAATAGTTCTGTCCACGCCAGCTGTAGCTATTACCGAAGGTCGGTACTTGTTCCAGTCATGAGTAAGGGCTTCTGATGGAGGTGTCGGGGCGGTGGCAGGTGTAAACCCAGGCTTTTGAGGTGCGTTCATTCCATGGATCGGGATCTGTAAAGTGAGGTGGTTTGATGCTGTAGGAGTCCGTAAATCGAAGACGCGTACATAGGAATCTGAAGTAACGCAGGATAAGATATCAGGTGAATGAGGTGAGAAGGCTGCAGAATAAGTGCAGCTGTTGGTTGGTAGGGTAAGCAATGACTGTGGCCTGTCTGGTGTCCATATCTTAACTGTTCCATCCCAGCTACTGGAACAAAACCGGTCCTTTGCAACCAGATTCCAGTGAACTGAGAAGACTTCTCGTGAGTGTTCTTTCCATCCTTGTACAGGGAATTCGTTGACAGCTATATCAAACAGTTTGATACTCCCGTCTCCAGATGCCACCAACGCCTGGTTCTCATGGATCTCAGACCACGCAACATCATAAAGCGCGTCTTGTGTGGTGAAACTAGATGACAGCAAAGGACGACAGTTAGCCATCTGACGTAGTTCTTAGATACATGAGCACATAACAGAAGGCCGGATACTGACAATTTTAACGGGACAATACCCTGAGTCGTCAGGTCAAAGATGTAGAAACGGCCATTTCCAACAAGACCAAAATTCGAGGAGGCTGCAACAGCGATCCGGGAGTCGAAGAAGGGAGAGTATTTCACTGCGCATCCATTGAATCCCTCGGTGCGGTACTCGAGCATGTTGTCGACAGGTTAACCTACCGAAGGGGATCTGGCTCTGTGGGGTAGACGATCGTGTGAAAAGGTCAAGGCGATACACATCTACAGCTCATGGCGATGCCCGTCTGTCTGTCTGTTGTATCTTGTGTGTATAGAACGAGTCGGCCATGAACTCATCCTCTGCCGTCTGTCCAGCTCTTCTTCGCAAACGAGCCGCTTTGTAGGATGTTCTTCTTCTTCTTCTTCTTCTTCTTCCTCTCTGCTTGCGGGCAACAACGACAGACAAGAAGAAAAAGAAAGTTGAAGTAAAGAAAAAAGTTACCGAGGTTCATGTCATATTACGTCATCCATGATTATGTCATGTTTATTGTCACGTGATATCTAAAGTTCTCTATCCTTTTCTTCCTTTGGCGGTTTCTTGTTCTCTTCCTCCATCCATCGACGCAAGAAAGCAGCAGTCTCGTCGCTGTTGGACTCGAGGAAGAGCATGTGGCCGTTACCTCGTATGCCGACATCCCCCAGCTGTATGTGCTCGACGGGGACTCCAGCCTGTTTCATGTACCGGACAACACACCAGTCCGTCGGTCTATGATAGGAGGCTTCCGCCGTCACTATCAGTGTCCTTATCTTACTCAGGTTAGGGAGCTGACGAGGAGATGGGGAGTCTGCCTGAACGATGCAATGAGAGGTCGGCTGATCGTCAATTGTTTGCTTGACGATATCAGTTTCAGGGTCGACCACGGGAGGGGCGTAGGTTAGAGGGATATTCGTTAGCCCCCAAATACGATTATACGGACCAGCGTATAGGAGGTTCTCAAATGGAGGACCAGCCGGTTCCAGCGCTATTATAGAATGGACCAATTCTGGACGAGCATCAGCTACCAGCCAGCCATGCGCAGTTGCCTGCGAGTGCGTCAGGAGAATCACCGGCCGACCAATACGGTCCAGCAATGCTGCTCCAGCTGCCTGAATAGTCGTTTCTTGTAGGATCTGGTCCTCTAAGAACTGCACTGTCGATGCGTAGTATGCATCGAAAATTGGATCACCCATCACCCCCGAGCCAGGCCACTGAGTGTGTAGTTTAGCTTCAGGCCACAACATGTATTTTGCTGGCGCGGTGAAGTATTTTTGCAGCTGCTCCGCTGAAAGTACCCCTATTGTACCATTGTCTGGGAACCAAGGACTGCGTCCTCGAAATGTCTGATCGACTATGTAACACTCGTAGCCATGCTCAATAAAGTATGACGCCCAACCACGCCCGCCATCAGGTTTATTGAGCCAGTTCTAGTAAAGTCCCCGTCAGATCTCTCTCTCCAGGGTAACACTTTGGGGGAGCCACTCACTGTCCCAGTTTGAGCCTGGCCGTGAAAAAGTACGATAGGATGCTGTTTGGTCGGACCTTTGGCCGGTGCTAGATGTTCAACATACATCTGATCCCTGAATATATGCTCGTCTTTGCCGTTGCCCGCGTATTCGCCACCAACGTAGAGGTACTTGCGGATGTATGGGGTTTCATCGCAGGACTGGCAACCCTTGAACAGAAGCAAGAGTAGCAGGGATGAGACAAACATCATCGTGAGTACTGCCACCGTAGCAAACTCCGCAATCAGTGGTAAGAAATGAGGCTATCGTCTTTGTGTTGACAAGCCCTTGAGCTGATGTTGAGATTAAAAGTCAGCCCAAATGAAAACTTTGGGCTCGTGACATGGACATACATGCATGCATTCCAACGGCTGAGTCTGTCCCTACGACGCCTTGGGGACGTACACATTTTCACCGGCATGCTCGGCTCTCAGGTGGCATAAGGAGTAGCGTCTTTCCATATAAGAAGACCTTAAGGGTGGTATTATGGCGAGGGATGCTAAATTTAACCAAGGAAGTCCAAGGGCCATAGCCGGGGTTGAATATCAGGCGACTGCTTGGGGGCCTAACCACTCTATCATACATACATACATATGTATGTATGTATAATTATTAGCAATCATGGCGCCCCCAAGGAAGTCTTGACATTGGTTACATTACTGACCTCTTGAATTTTGTTATTAATAGCCGCTTCTCTAACCATGGGCCAGAGTAAGGTCGTTGCTTTTTATTGTACACAGACTGAACAGTGATGTAGCTTTAAGCCGTTAAATTAATAGTAAATTGTATAGAGTAGTACGTAAAAAAAGTAGCAAAGAAGCTTCCCAAAGCCTCGACCTCCTATGCCCATTGAGAAAATATCAGTCAAAAATAATCAAAGAGTAATGTAGGTGAAAAATGTAGGTGGAAAGTAGCAAAAAATAAACCTCCAAGTAGTGCCCTTCTATTCAATTGAAAACAATCTCGGCCATTCGTGTAGTGATACAGTCTCCCTTCTGAAGATCATGATAGAGAAATAATGAAATAGGAAGGAAAATTCATTAAACAGATACGAAAATAGAGAGCAAAGCAGCAAAACAATAGAAAAAGCCGAACTCTTTTTTTCCCACCAGTCAAACAAATTGTGAAAAATGCTCAACAAATCAATTCCCAGCCACCCAGCGATTGCAGAGTAAAACAATGATAATGGCAATGATCATGACGAAATTAAGATGGAAGTGTAGGCAAAATAAAAAGACGCAGTAAATGAAAACGATGGGTATATGCGAGGCAAAAGCTTGGGAAACAGACAAGAAAATGAAAAGTAGATGCGCCTTTGTTACATCTCTTCTTGCTCAACAATAAGAGAACGCGAGCGCAGTCAGTGGTACGGACATTACGGAGTCATGTTGTGTTGATAGGCATGTTATCGGAGAGGTGAGGAAGAGTGGGGGTTGTCTTCCTGAGTATGGCTATAAATTTATGCCTTGAGATCGCTAGAGTGTTCCCTAGAGTGCTCTGGGTGAAGTCTCGCCTTATCGGTGGTCGATTCTGATGCCTCATACTGCAAACCAGCCTCACATTCACCCATATCCAACTTTTCCAGTTTTTCGGGATCTCCTCTTTGAGGGGCTGGTTTTGCGTTATCTCTCTCTATCCAGAAGCTTTCCAAAGCTCCTATGGCGCAGACTAGGCCACATGCCCACCACGATAGAATAGAAAGCCTATGCTCTAGGCCCTTTGAATGGAGGAATCCAGTCACTGATGGCCCAAGGGCTCTGCTTAAGCTGGCAGTCGAAGCTGCCACACCATTTATAGATCCCAGCACAGATGTTGATGGAGCGGAGTTGGCGAGCAAAATTGCATTTGAGGGGAATGCGATAACGTGGAGCGTGATTTTGCAAATTAGAGCGAGGTACGCAGCTGGTAGCCGGAAAACTTCAGGGAGGAGGACTAGGTATGGTACGGCTAGATAGAGAAGTGGCCAAACGCATATGACGAATCGGTATGTATTTAGGGTTCCAAAGGATCGAACGACGAAAGGGAAAAGGACGAGCTGTGCTATCATCGAGTATACGCCCTGCACGGCAAGCATGAATCCAACTGTTTTGGTCGAAAGAGACAAGCCTCCTAAGAACTTGAACGGGAGCTCGACAGGTGCATTGGAAGCAGGTGTACTTAAAAATACAGGCATAAGTTGGTCGAAACTCACGCTATGGCTGTTGAACAGTTAGCAAAATAGGCTATGATATGCAAAGTGCAACTATACAACTTACTAGGCGAGAAGACCATATCCCAGAATCACATATTTCACTTTGGGAGTAAATGCCTTGATGAACCCTTTATCCTTCTTCGTTTGGACTGGCAAAGCTATTGGTCCCTTTGCTGCTTGGGTTTCATGGATATCAGGATCTTCCAGGCTTTCGTAGCCAGGCGGGGGGTCGTCATGGAATAAGAATGGCTTAGCGTCCTCGTCACCGGTGTCGCTCGTATTCTTCATACCCCTTGCCACATCATCACCCCTGAAGAGTTTCGCCACTAGGTACTTTCCGAGTTCCCGGCCCCGGTCACGTTGCTGTTTCTTTACAGCATGGGTCTCCTCCAGGAAAAGAATCCCGATCGTGATACCAGCGAGAAGAACAGTAACGCAAACTAAGTTCGGTAGTAAAAAGGGATATTGCTTGAAGATACTATCTTCAGGGAAAAGCGATGGATAACTGTCACATGGTTTAGCCAAGGTACCACCAAGCGCAGGGCCGATGATAGATCCCAAACACCAGACAAAAGGCATGATGGAGTAAGCTCGTGGTTGATGTTCCTTATGCGTGACAAGTTCCGCAACTGTGGTCTGTAAGACGCCGATATTTCCGTTCAATAGGCCGCCCAGAGCTCGAGCCATCAAGGCCATCGGAAGGCTGGAAGCGAACCCAAATACCATCATGCTAATAGCCGTCCCGACGAGGCCCATAATGAGGACTGGTTTCCGGCCGATAGCATCACTCACGCGGCCCCAGAGCATGCCGGTAGAAAACTCGGCCAGAGTGAAGGCAGAAGTAACAATTCCAGCGTAGAAGGCGATTTTTCGGTCGTCCGTTGTGACATTGAAATTAGCAACCATATAGTAAACGTACGGAAATATGGACATGAAAGCGATAGGTTCGCATATCCGGCAAAGCCCTATGACGAGGTCAATATAGTTCTTCTAACGCAGAGCCGAGGACGCAAAGAGCAGCGCGCTATTGCCCAACATATTTATTGCCTGACTCACCTAGTATGAAGAGCTGTTGTGTAGGAAATGGAGGCTTGCCATCATCCGCTTTGGCAAAAAACCTGCGAATGACAGGAATGTTTCGAAATAGAACCATGACGCCCGTGGGTTACTCGATGCGATGCACGGTAAAGAGGGGAGGTGTTGGATTGCCCTTGTCGTGTCTCAATCCAGTGGAAGTAGTCAAGTAACTCTCGTTTCTAGCGTTGATAGATTGATTTTAATCAAGATGAGAGCTGTAAATGAAGGCAATAACTATAGAGATAAGTCCTTTGACAGCTCATGCCACTCAGCACAGAAGGGCTATAAAGATCTACTTGTGCAAAAAAGATGAAAGGTGAAAGACCAGTGGGGTTGTAAGAGGAGTGGGAAAATGTTGATTGACGGTTAGAGGCAGGAGGGTGTTTGTCAATCACTTTTGTTTAAGCGGATTTAAGGCTGCTTTTCATCCCTAGAGGACCACGGCTTATAAAAAAAGCAGTGGCAAATAAAAAGAAAGCAAACGTAAAAAGTAGATTGGACTGAAATCAGAGCAATCAATCCTGGTGATCGTGAGGAAGACAAGGAGCCAGGATCGTAAGTAATAAACGATAGTTAGAGTTGGGGGCGGGTATTTTAGGTCAGGAGACAAGGAAGTTGACAATGCACATGGCACGGTCTTTCATTTAAAGCTTTCCAGAGAATCGGGACAGGGCCACACGCTTATCAAAGTACTTTGGCCAATGACAGTCACCAGGAATTGCCTGGGTTGGAGGAAAGAGTAAATTCTTCGGACGAGACTCAGGTGGCCTCGGGGGGGTGTGAATCGGGAAGAGCCAAGGTGTGCGAGTCGGAGAGCGAGGGGGAAAATGGGTTGGGACGGAGAAGAAACAGAAAAAGGAATGGGTAAGAGAGAGTAGATAAAAGAAAAGTTAACGACACCACTGGGTACGAACGACGGCGTTTCTGTATTCCAGCGAGAGAAACGCTACTTCGTACTTATATGTATAAAATCACCAGTAATGTTAAAAATTAACAAAGTATTAATAGAAGGGTAGAAGAAAACTGCAAACCCAGAGAGTTTGCACAGGGTTTCGGGCTATCACAAATTTTGCAAATAAATAGCCCGAAGAAGAGGCCATGCCATGGTATAATTATATAGTCGAGCATCCGGTGGGCGTTATTTTCGTACTCCTCCACAGGGCAGTCATATAGCTGGCCAAGAAGATGGACGCCTACTTACTAGGCCCCAAAAAGGAACAGTAAAGAAACTGACTCCTCTCATTTCTCTTGCGGCGCGAGTGGACCAACAACTCCGGTCTCCATATCCACCGGGAACAGCTCTAGCCTTCCCAACCGAAGCAGGGAGAGGACAGGCAAGGTCGCGGTGGAGCCGGGGAAGAGGGAAAGGGGAGCCCAGGTCTAAGCGTCTAGAAGGCACTGCATTGGACGTGTGGCGTCTGTGGAGTCGCATCGATCGGAACTGGTTCCCAAAGTTTCTTTTTCTCGCTGGCTTTTTTCTTTGCTTTTTCTTCGACAGATGCCAGGGAAGGAAAGGCGAGAAGACCAGCCTTACTTAACTCATCCCATATGATTGGCGAAGAACATGGACGGGCTGAAGTACGGAGGAGTCCACTGGCCACCTGAAAGTAATATGTATTTGGAAAATACGTATCCCAGGGTCGTAACCGAGCCAAAGCTTACGCTGTCATAATCAAAAATTCAGGCAACGAAGGATTGCTGCTGATGATGTTGTCAACGATACTCATAATCGACCAATGGCTTTTCCTTGTATCTTTTGCAGTTGGATCTCTTTAGAGTGTTGAATGAGCATAACGATTACATTTACGCACATCTCTCGTCGTAACGGGTGGGCGTCTCGAACCTGGCGTCCGTTCCCCACCTGCACACACACACCAGACATGCATGTGTTTATGGGACGTGGGATGCGGTCATGATGCTGTAATATCGAAGAGGCCATGCTCAGCTCAACTAACGTTCGTGGCACCGCTGGGCGCGACGGAGTAGAGACAGAGCATCCGGTGCATAATAGAGACGTGACTATAGCATAGAAGAACAGCGTCTCTGGCCCAAGTGTAACCAGCAGTGTGCTCCGTACGCCTCCGCGGACACCACGTACATATGTAATCATATGTAGTGTTTCTTTTCAGCAGACAGATGATGTTGAAAGAGGGCGCAGAAAGCAGGTACCGACAGTTTGGAGAGAGTTTTCCCAAAAACCCAGAAAAGCCGTGGGTCATGTGCCCCCGCCCTGTGATGAGTCAGCGAGGCGCACTGGACATCCTTACATACTATGTACGGAGTACATAATAGTACTCCGTATACATACATACTATGTACGTACAGGACAGAGTTGTACGTGTTTATTATACTCTGTGCATATGCTAAGATCGATAGTGATGTTCGGTCTTATGTTTGGTTGTGGTGTATGCTGGCATGGACTTACATATACATATCATATACGGAATGCCTTGCCAATGTGATCGAGCTTCACGTTGCCAAATCCCAGCGCGCCAGGGGGTGGCTGAGAGCGCTAGTCGGCCCATGATGTCACCGCATAACAACTCAAGGCGTCAAGCTTTCAAGCTTTCAAGCTTTAGGAACGCCGGCTCCCTCTTCCATTCAATCCTGGGTAGCCCTGCTGATTGGCCGCGGAATAATCTCCGACACAGGGATCAGAGGGCTGGATCTTGCCCCTACACATCATCATTGTGATAGATGGTAAATCCGAAGATATGGTACGTGATGTATCCAGGAAGAAAAGCCATCCTTCGATATACATTTCTCTGTCCTTCTTCTCTCCCTCTCGGTGCTATGTACCACTCGTAAACATACTCCCTTCCAGCCTGGACTGCAGCGAAGCGCGATAATAATAGCCAGTTGGAAAGCAACCTGATGCCAAGATGGATCTTCGTTTGGTTTTTCTCTTGCTCTTCATTATTCTCCCTTGCATGCTTTTTCGTTTTGCTTTTCTTTTTCAATTGTTTCCTCTTCTCCGTTTGAGCTAACGCTTGCAAACTCCATCGCGATTAGTTCAGGTCGAACGAGGCATATACAATGTATAGTTGGGTTTCCAGATTAAGTTTTGCCAGAGGAGGGTGCATACAGAGTAGGTTCTGCGGTGATAGCTTAACCCTGATCTATCGTAAACTCATTCGTATAACCGACAGGCGTCTGCATATACATATACATATGTATGCATATCATAGAGCCCTGCAGAATATCGGAGAGGTAGTCATTCGCGTTTAGACTGAGTTGTGTCTTTTGCGTACTATCTTTGCTTTCTTGTCAACCACCGAATGAGGCATATAACAGGTAGGGTGAGGATAATTAGTTCTCACAGTCTCTCCATGCAATAAGCAGGCGAATCCCTCAACGGTCGATAGAATCCGCGCGCCTATGCCCTGTATTAAGCGATGGATCCAATCGGTAAGTTTGTGCCACAACTTCATCCTAGCAAGCCTGGCTTCTGCGATCGCGATTGGCACGCTGCGGCCGTGCCGTTGAAAAACGATTCTCCCAAAATGGTGGGAGCCTATCAACCCAGCTCACTAGCCATCACAGGGGTACCCTTCTATGTGGGAAAAACAAAGGGTTCCCTTTTGCTGCAGGATGGTACACCTATACATAGTAGGGGCGCCATTCGAGAAAAAAACAAAAAAGAGCAAAAACGAAAAAGAAATTTGAAAAAAAAAGAAAGGAGGGAGGTTTGCTTTTCATTTCATTCCAAAAAGGGGTGTCAAGTATTCCGTCCGCGAAGTTGTCTTGTGAGAGTTGGGAATTGGCATAACATAACATCTCCGCGAAGTGTTGGGAGATAGCTAATCATCAAACAGCTCCAACAGCGAATGTTTGCTTGCAATGTCTTTTTCTTTCTCTCACTCTGCCTCTCTCATTCGTTGCCTTGGCTTAGAAATTTTTCCGACCAAACGCCGCAACTGGTAGCGTCCCCACGCTCTAGCGATTCGTGTCTTACCCCAGTTCTCTCTGTCCAAACTCCATTATGATGGTACAGAGTGTCCACATGGATGATCGATAATGGCGGTGAATGTAGACAGCGAACGATGGAGAACGGATCTGGAACGCACCCACCACAGCGTGAAAAGCCCAAACGGGATGGCAATCATACACTCAAACTTACATTGTAGCCTGTCTTAGCAGCCTTTTTGCTTCCTCTTTCTATCTCTTCCGCTGCCCGTTTCACCAACACTATTCAACTGTATCTCGGGTTCCGACACGGTATGAGTGATGCATGGAGTTGGCACTGTACATAGTAGAAAGATGCCTTCACGGATCGGCAAGATCTGATTATTAGGCTGAACGAGCGGGATCTTGCACTGAGCCCAATCCTACCTCCTTTTTCCCCCTATGGATATTTTCCGATGTCCGTGCCGCTGTTGTTGTATATGTTTGATGAGGATCGCCAATGCATATACTATGTATGAATGGTATCTAGTGCTGTCCCTCAAACAATGAAGTAAACGGCCAGTGACAAGTGAGCTAAGCAGCCCACCACCAGACATGAAGCAAGGCTGCTGCATGTTGAACCGGTCCAATGACGCCCTCGTGGACATACTTATTCCTTTTCCTCCTTGGTTCTCCCGTGCCACGATAGAGTTTTTGGTTCGCAGGTTGGGCACACCAGGCTTATGTCTGGATAAGAAAAAAAGCCAATTGACGGACCCGTAATCCGTATTGCTGCATAGTCATACCCTCAAAGATGTTCGTTAATGTTAAGATGGGTATTCGTTGAGGTCTTCCAGGAAAGCGAATAGCCTCGGTTTAAGGCTGTTTGATGGCCGATGTGTTTCACATATATATGGTAGAAAAAGCAATGGAGAGAGAAAAAAGTATCCCAAATGAAAGACCATACAAAATATGGTACCTCTTTATTGTTTATGCTTTGTCGGTTCGTACTGCAATATCTCTCGGCGAACCCTAACAATGATCCTCCCTTTAGTTCTCCGCATCCAGTTTTCATTTAGGGCGGAGGACTTACATACTTTCATAGCAGTTATTTTGGCCCTTCGAAGAAAAAGGAAACCGGTTGAATGTTGATGTACATGGATCCCCTGCTCGTTCTTAACTTCAACACTAAGCTTAGAGGCGAGAGAACAGTTTATTCCGAGCCCATGGGAACAGGTCCAACGTTGACATACTATCGAGCCTTCGTACCCAGACCCCTTCCCCTCCCTTCTTCCTTGGTGAAGGAAGACATGGCCATGACGTTAGCTTTCCTTCTCCATGGACCAAGGAAAACGTCCAACAGGGACCACCCGCACTTCAACCCGGCTGTGGGTTGCTGAGCATGACGGAGAAGAAGAAGCGGAAGACTTATCGTTGTTTAGGTCTCGGTCGGTACTGGTGCGGTCCCACGGCAAGTCACGGGGCTTCGCATATCTGCTTTTTCCCCCTTTTTTCACTTTACTCCCCGATACATACTGCATATATACTCATACTACTCCGTACATGTATATGTATATATGTGATGGGGTGGTTTTCCTGGTCCCCCACGCCCCCATAATTATCGTATATATATACAACGTCATATGGAGATGCATTCTACCCCGTTCATACGGACTCTAGGACTAGTTAACCTGAAAGTGAGACGCTCCACACCTGTGGTTTATCGGCGAAGCGCGCGAGTCGCGCTGGGAGGCCTCAAAAAAGGAGAACTGGATGAAGAACCAGGGATGGTAGCCAGCCAATTCATGATGAGCAGCCTAACGACGAGGATGTATAGTTATCAGCTGAAGTTAAGACCAAAAAAATAGGCTCCTCGGAAATGACCTGCATCCTGCTTACTTTCTCCTTGGCTACAGATACGTGAGCTGATGGCTGATGGCTGGTTATTATTACCTTCTCGGCATACATATAGTTACTGCAGGCGTCGAGTTCTCTCTGTACATCGCCAGATGCGGTCATGGATCCCCAAAGTGTCCGTGGCCCGTTCTCTTACATGAGATTTCGTGGCGAAGCCCACCGTATCAAGAGTAAAGGTGCCCAAAGGATGAGCTAAAGCGAATAAGAAAACAGAGAATCCCGTCCAAAACGAATATACAAGCATGGGTTATTTGTCTTGAAGCCAATCGTTCCATCCCAATCCGCTCAATTTCCGAGCCACACTCATCAATCTTTTTTATTTGTTTTTAGTTGCCAGATATTTTGGTCCAGGCGATAGAATGGCCAACCGCCAGGCCACCACCCATGTTTATGGATTTCGACAGATCAAGAACTCCAATTGTTTGGTCACTTTTTTGATTTATACTGCCTTGGGATGGTATAATATGGAATTCTATTGAAACTGCCCTATGGGGGTCCTTAAGGAATAGGCGTCCCAACATTTTCCTGCTCGCTGCTTCACCTGAGTGGTTAGTTCTTCACTCAACTGCATGCTGTATCAGTGACCTGGCCGCCTCTATTCATCCTGATCCTTATGTATGTTGCGACACAGATGACCTGAATCTGACACGATTGTCCAAGCCACCAACCATCATCCGTTGCCATTATCCATTTCTCAGCCTGGTGAGCATGGTATTATTAATCCTATCCCTGGACCAAGGCTAGCGGAACTGGTGAAAATGGGTTCTGCACGCTGTACCACAGTGTCGGTATCAGCACATTATATTTCTTCTGGCTGAAACCTGCTGACAACTCTGGAATCCTTATCTCTGATGAGGCTCAGTATCTCAGAATTCATCGTTTTACAAAATAGAACGCTCTCGCAGATGCAGTCAAGGATCCATACATATTTTTTAGCACATTCGCAGTACGTGTCATTTTTTGAAGGGCAGTTTTTTATCCATTTCTCCAATTTACCCTTGAACTCGGTGCCCAAAAAAAAAACCCCATGGGCCCTTTCTTCGACCTGCAATCAAATTCGTTCTCCCATTTCGGCAATTCAATAGCAAATCAGGGGACGGCTTTAGTTGGCGGTCCCGGTTGTTCCACAAGGAGCGGCAGGGGATACGGAAAGCTTTACAACATCGGCATGGCTAATCCCTGCGGGCTCGCGGGGAAAGCGCGCAATACACAGGCCTTGACGGGCTAGTGATACTGATTCCGGTCAGCTTGGCGAAAACAACCCGGGCACTCTATGCATATTGAATGATATTTTGCAAGGGAAGGCTTACATATACTCCGTGCTCTAAAGGAGGGACTTCCCTGAATGGATATATATACTCCAACAACTGATTTTGTGTTTGTCATGATATTTACATCACGCAACTTGTCCGTCTGTCACCCTAGCCCCCGGAGAAAAGAAAAACGGGGGAACGAGGCCAAAGAGCGCTTTTTCTCACTCCTGCTCACATGAACATTTTCCTGAACAGTAAGTGTTCCGTCCACCGCATGCAATGTGGAGCTTGCTTTTATTGTTTATCCCCTAACGTCTTGCTCTCTCTTACTTGTCCATATCTCATTCGAGCATTCATCCGTACCCGTCCATTTTTTCCTATATCTTTTAAAAGGACTGTAACTCTTGATGAATGTATGACGTAAGAAATATGTGCATGTCAGTACGTAATGGAAATAGTGGGAAATTCGGGGCGTATTTTTAGACTGGGACGGAGTAAATACTATGGTATGCTCCGTAAGCACATAGTATGAACAATTCTTCTTCCCATGTAAAATCCCTTTCATGGTACTCCTTGTCCTCACGAATGCATGCCGCGGATGTGGGCGAGATTGGGATGGGAATTCATTCCGCCTTGGTATTGTCGCGTGTTGCATGGTCTTCCACCACTTATATTCGGCTTGGCCTTGCGCTTTCCTTCCTAACCGATCTTCAGACTGCAGAGGAGATCAATAGTACTTGTACATACTATGTAGTACGTATGTATCCTGTGAGTTGAAAATGGCCAAGTCGTAATAAATTCAGAGTATGAGAATAATAAATTTTATCGGAAATTACGTAAGATATATATTACATAACACGTATTACATAAGATGAAGTTCGGTCTTTTTTTTTTTTGATATCAAATGATTAAGAGCAAAACAGCCAGAAAGAGGCAGTTGAGAGTGAGGAAGCAGATCTTATTTCCATAAATTGGAAGATATTCTGCTAGTCATAGTGTTCATATATTGATGGCTCAGCTTAATGGCACTTTGATGCCATTCCTTTATCCATGTTTGTTATTTAGCCCAAGTGTCAGCTTGGCTCCCAGGAGCGCATTGAGAGCTTCCAGAGTCTTTCGACACTTCCGATTATCCTCTACTCTTCATTCTAATGATAATATCTCCTCCTCCGAACCGTCACTCAGCGAGAATGGCATTGACCTCGAGAGGAAAACCCGTCTAAACCCTGCACCATCAGACTATGGACGATCTATTTTCCAAGACCGATGCTCTCTTACCGTCCATACCGGATCCGGAGGTTCAGGTTGTGTCGCATTCCTACGTTTAAAGTATCTAGAGCATGGTCCTGCGAATGGAGGAGACGGAGGTACTGGAGGCAACATCCTGATTCAAGCTGTTGAAGGCCAAACGAGTTTACACAAACTTGCGAGGAGAGGTGTGATAAAGGCTGGTAGAGGCCGGAATGGGAGGGGGAAATCGCAAGGAGGAGTGCGAGGTGAAGATGTCCTGCTACAGGTTCCTGTAGGGACGGTAGTACGCGAGGTTGAGCGGTTTGATCCCGTAGCAGAAAAGGAACGGGAGCTGAAAGAGCTCACCCGCGAACTGGGCAGCAGATCAAAGGCACTGCAAGCTATCAACTCACGGAGGGACCAGTGGGTCCTATATCCTGGCTCGCAACCTTCTGACTACTTCGCAACTGACTTCCCTGAGCTTGGTCCGCCGAGGAGGCCTGACCTTGCAGCTGTACAGCCTTCTGCGCCGATATACCTAGACCTGTCCAGACCTATGGATACACCGATTGTACTTGCAGCAGGTGCTGTAGGTGGACTAGGCAACCCGCATTTCGTCTCAAAGTCCGTTAGTAGGCCTATGTTTGCCACAAAGGGGGAACAAGGGATGAGGCTTGAACTCGAACTGGAACTCAAATTACTCGCAGATGTAGGGTTAGTTGGCCTACCAAATGCTGGAAAAAGTACTCTACTGCGTTCAATAACCAATAGCCGAACTCGCGTGGGGAACTGGGCATTCACTACCCTGTCGCCTAACATTGGTACCGTGGTACTAGACGACTATTCCCAGCGGAAAGCTAGCCTGACAACTCCAGGGCGGCCCCCACGGCCCAGATTTACCATAGCAGACATACCTGGTTTAATTGAAAACGCCCACCAGGACAAAGGACTCGGGCTGGGGTTTTTAAGGCACGTTGAACGTGCTGGGATTCTGGCTTTTGTAGTGGACCTTAGCGCAGGAGATGCAGTAGCCGCCCTCAAAGGCTTATGGAATGAACTCGGCGCATATCAGTCTATGCGGGATCGCGAGTTGGACATGGATACTCAGTCACGGCTCTCTCCATGGACTCCGGTCACCGACAACCTTGACGAACCTCGGGTGAACGAATGGATAGGAGACGAAGGCCATACTTCCACTCCTCCACCACCAAGACAACCATCGTCCCAGCCACTTGTATACGCCAGCCATAATATCTACTCGAAACCATGGTTCGTCATTGGAACGAAAGCCGACTTACCAGGAACGCAAGAGAACTTCTCGTCTCTAAGGGATTACCTTGGCCAGGTTGAGAAAGGTGCCGTTGAACACCCTTCAAAGCAGGAGGACGCCTGGCGTGACCGCATATTCTCCATTCCTATCAGCGCCATCAACGCCCAAGGAGTGAGCATCATCCCCGAGAGGATCATACAGCTCATGGACGGCGCTTATTAGAAGCTCGTTCCATTAAACTTGGGAGATAAACGTGTGTATATATATAGATCTTCTTGGGCTACGCCATTGTATACTATTTGTTTAATTGGACTTCATCCCTGAATCTTGTTCTGATGTTGATAACTATGCCAAGCCTTCCATATCCATTCGACTATCTTTGACGGGAAAATCTTCCCATGCGCTCAACCAACAAGACGCAAGCCCCCGTTTAGTACAAGAGGGAACAATGTCAAGCAGCAAACTACCCAAGGTTGCAGCTCTACGCAAGCAGCAACTTCGCCTTGAGTTGTAAGTCCGTCCATCTTATGAGACTGTCTTTCCTGCTCCCATTTATTTTGACTCCCAGTTACGTCACAGCTAATACGAACGTTCATCGACAGTGCAAGTATCAAGGTTGCTCCTCCTGTTGGGATATATGTGAGCCTCTCGCCGAGTGATCCGGCTCTATGGTCTGGAGTTCTGTTTGTTCAGAAAGGTACGATCGATTATTAGAGCAGTGTAGCCTGTCAACTCCCGAGGCTAACTTGGTCACACAGGTCCTTATGCATCCGCTATCCTACGATTCCAGATCCGATTCCCACCCTTATATCCTGACCTTCCGCCCCTTATAACATTTACTACGCCTATATTCCATCCTCTTGTTGTGCCGCTGACCACTCAAACATACTCAAACCGGCCGTCAGATTTGGATTCTGTGACGGGAACAGTTGAAGAGCAGTTACCACCTGGTGGATTTAGCTTAAGGCACGGGTTCCCTCATTGGTTTGCGAGAGCGAGAAAAGAGAGCACAGTCAACTCTACTGTGTCGTCGCGGAGCACTAGTGGCCAGAACAATGGCATACATACGGAGCAGGAAAACGGCCAAGAACAGACGGAACGCGGCATAGATGAAATTGCTACAAGAATTTCGCATATTCCCAGCAATATACGTGGCTCGAAGAAGCCTGGTAACACTGATGTTACTGCTCTTGACCTACTGGAGTATATTCGCTCGACTTTTGACGACGAAACTGTTTTGGATTCAATCCCATTAGAAGCTACAGGGTATCCAAATGCATGGCATGCGTGGTGTGCGCATCGCCGTCAGCCACGAAATACCTCCTCAGCCGAGCGTCGATCCAGCAAGGATGGAGGAGCCAGCCCTTCTCCGACGCCTGGGCGCACCTTAAGCCCGGATAGTAACTTACGGAGAAGTAGCCCGCAGGCCCGTTCACCTGGAGAGTGGAATTGGGAAGGTGTTTGGCTGAAGAGAGTGAAGGAGAATATACATCATAGCTTCTTAGAATCTGTTCTCTTTGGCAGTTCATCTCGGGCTGGAAGTGCAGGAGATGACATGGTAAGGGAACTGTGTTTCATACATGTTTTAGACGGTCCTCCCTCTGACTTGGTTACTGACACTACAATTTACAGATCCGATTTCAGAAGTTAGATCACAATGTTCTGACAAAGATCAAGGAAGATATTCTTGCGCTCCAAGAAGAGCAGGTTGAAACCGTGCCCTCGGCTTAACCTTTCTTTTGATACCCAATATACGCCTGCTTTCACTTTATATATTAATATATCACTTGTTTCCTCTCTGCCCTCCTAGAGCTTTGCTTTATTTGGCCCTGTTCTAGCTTCCAAGACCCGTGGATTCCGAAATTTATGTCTTGACCTGCGCCTTCCAGCTCTCTCGAGCGTAGCATCCTTTTTGGAGAAGAAGACACATATATATCTCTGTTGGAAATAAATACTCCCGTTGACCTTGGGCTGTATTATTGTATAATAATATGATTTTTGAAATTTGCCCTGTCGTGATTTCATCTTGACTGCGATATATAGAACAAAAGCCCAACTAACCCCCTGGCCCCTTCTGTCACACTGTCCAGAAAATATGTTTTATGAGCGAATGGCCGTACCATATCCGAGATGCAGCTAGCCAGACGAAGCGAGAGAGACAGGACACTTATCATAATTGGCCTAGTGTTTGTGCCCATCATCCTCCTATTCGCAATTTTTGCTGGCGCCCTGGCTTGTGCCGAGTACTGGAGCCTTCGAAACGACCGTCGCCGTGTTCGACGTCGACACAAAAGGAGTCGATCTGATCCTCCATGGTCCTTTGATTCGACTAAGCAAAGTGATTCCAGTGATTACTCAGATCTATATCAAAACGCAGTAGAACTAAAGGAGCACGTCTAAGAGGGAGGGTTGAAGACCTACTGTCAAGAGAATACCGAAAAGAAGGATATTCGGTTTCCAGCCCTTTGAACAGTTGACTTAGGGCCGTTTTGCGTTTATTGATTAACACTTCGCGTGACGGTAACTGGAGACGCGTTGTGAGCTATGGAGTCCACGCACAGCTTAACAAACACGCCGACTCCCAAGCCCCTGAATATTCCAAAAAGTCTCCAAAGGAGTGAAAACATTTCATCTACAGTCAGGAAAAACGCCTGTTCGCCTTCTTTTATACCAAGGAGACGCTGTTCTCACGTTGTTCACACTCCCGTTCCTCTATCAACTACCCAACTCCCGGTGAAGAGCATCAAATCTAAAGCTACAAAACCGAACCGCCATCCACCTAAATCTACCCTACTGCTTAAAGGGAACATGGACCGCCCCAATACTGTATGTCGGTAATTCTGGTTCTTTCGTGTTATACGTGTTACTAATACTGCTCTTGTTGATTAGGGGAAAAGAGGCTGCGATGGTAGGATATCATCAGGAGAACGACAGCCAATTCCCAAGGGAGAAAATATCTTATCTCGCGCCATTCATGCACTCGATTTCAGAAGCCGTGAATGTAGTGGGAATGAACCCGATGATATTGCTAGAGGACATGGAATCAGGCTGCCGTCTCTACAAAAAACAGCAAGAAAGGAGTCTGATCCGAACATCAGCAGGCACGCAAAGATAGCCACTGAGATTAAAGCCTACAACGGGCTTTATGAGAAAGCTCAGCCTAACAAACATCAGATTCCACCCTACATTGATGACTACCTACAGGTTGCTAAAGCCAACGAAATTCACACCCCCTTCTCTCGAAATCCTCAGCATATTCAAATAACGTCGGCCGACATGAGTCTTACTGTTAACGCTGTTAAGTCGAGCCATGTGCAGGATGGATCAACTTGGATAACTGCTGTGGTTTCAGCTAGTATCGATGATTCTATGGGTGGAATGGATATAAACGGACGGCCCAGTGCAGATATCCCACTAGACATAATGATACTAGTTGATAATTCGTAAGTCCCCCTATGATGCGTGTTAACTTTCTGCCTCCTTCTCAACTAATGAACCCTATTAGAGCAAGAGTTACCGAAGACTTGTTGAAGGCCGCTTGCAGAAACGCGTTTCGGCTTGCCTCCGCCCTGGATATACTCATAGACAGAATAGCCATATGTTGCATATCTCCCGACCCTACGCAGAGCCTTAACATTCTAATGCCACTTTCCACATACAGTCTGGACACTGCTCGTATTCTTTTTCGGTCCCTGCCGGCTTTTCAGCTCCCGCATGGAGAGTCCAGTCGGTCTCGTTTTGCTGGAGCTATTAAAGAGGCGTCCAATTATCTGATTCGCCATTCCAGTCGAGGAGCCTTATGCCACATGTTCCTCGTCACTGCAGGGTCGACTGTACTCATTCCCGGTGACTGTAATGGGGATAAGTTACGCTACCATACCATCTCCCCTGAAAATGCAATGATGATTCGCAGTCAACAATCGCTAGAAGGATGGCATATTGGAACTAGCTTTGACAACGAAGAGTGCAACCTTATCGCTTCTACTTTTAAGGAAAAATTACAATTTGTTATTAAACACCTTAGGGTAGGGGTGGATTCTGGGTATTTAAACGATCTTTCTTTGCGGCTTGAAGCAGGACCCGGCTCGCATATTGAGGCCATTCTTGGAGACATAACGCGGGACACACTCCGTCTAGGTGAATCATGGGCCATATTGGTTAAAATAAAACCTACACCAGGGCTGGAAAATGCTATTGGAGGCGGCCCTGCTCCCCGTTTTGGCGATGACGAACCATACACCCCGAGCGAATCAACCGTGGATAGGATGATTGATCAGCTCCAAGGGATGCTTAAGCCAGGTGTTTACACTACTGAATCCGAATATTACATATCTGCAACACTAGAATACAAGCATTCAGCGCTTTCCGATAATACTGTTATTATGACGAAAGGGAAATGCATAATTCCATCATTCCATAGAACAGTTACCTGGGATGATGATGTGAAATCACCAACACCTCGGGACAATTCAAGAATTGTGCATCGCCAGTACTTAAAATCCCCGTGTGATAACGAAATGATTCGAGTGAAGAAACGGCAACAAATTGTTAGTAAGACCAATGGATATGGTCTCCAGCGAAAGAGTTTTGGAAAAGAAAATTCGGCTCCCCCCTTGAGCCTTGGGGGAAATCATCTAGTATACAGGGACACATCGCCGTTTGGGAGCATGAATCCATACAACAATATTTGCAAACGCGATGACTTTCTGCTGGCACAACAATCCCTGGACGGAATTCCTGAATATGGTCAATTCTCGCACTCTTCTGCTCAAATGAACTAATTGGTATTGATTGGTATTGATTGGAACAGTTATGTCAGTGTTGGTATTATGAAAATAGGGTTAAGAGTAATGATATTGCTCTGACACTTTCTAGTTACAATGATTCAGAGACGTTTGTGATGCGATACAAAATTCAGTCTGTGCGTTGCATTTTTGCAGCTAATAGTTAAGAATATATACTTAACGGTTTTAACTCGATTCATAGCCCCTAATTCTCACAGGATATGGCCTAGAGTTCCTTATTGGTATCGTTCTCATCCCAAATTGGCTCACCATTATCGTCGAATTTGGCCCACTGGAAAAAAGAACAAGACTGTTTGCCTGGCGCATAACTAGAGTAACACATCCACATGTATTTCCCTCGGGTTTCTTTCCTCCGCTGTACGCACCGTAGTACACACGGCATATTACATCGACACCGGGGAGTCTTCTTCGGATGTAGAGAGTCTCTATACCACCTATACGTGATATTAATGCGTTTGTTACCCGATATAGGATGAGGTGAGATAGTTTGCGCTGGAGCAATACTATGCTTCCATTCCTCTTGAGTCTCAGCATGCATCACCAGAAGAGAGTTGTGCGGCAGGTGAATTGAGATTTGGCCCTGTATATCGGCTCGGGAAAGATTAGACTTTGACATTCTCTCTCTGCCAGTGGCTGAACTGGGGTTATGGCTCTGATCAGCATTTCCATTATTATCTTTATCATCATCCCCATCCTCCTCATCATCAGGGGGAACGATTCTTCGCACCCGAAACTCCCTTGCTACACCGAGACTTAGGCTACCAATCACTGCTCTGGGGCCCAAGTACGTTAATTCATCAGAGTGATATCCCACGCTCTCCGCAGGGCCATCATAACAATTAACAAATGCCGCATTGGGCTCCCACTCCTTGGGAGACTGATACTTTAGCCTTTTCCCATTAGGATAATAGGACTTAACCCGCTTCTCTATCTCCTGGTTCACGGCGGTCTTGACGATAGCTGAAACTCTCTGTAGCTCTGGTGTGACTTTGCGAACGTCATTTCGGAGACTCCCATAGTATGAATATTGAGATTGCTGTTCTTTCTGTTCCTCTTCGGTCATAACGTAGAATCCAGCGGAGTGAGGACTTGATACAACATTGTCGAAAATTTGAAACTTTTGCCGATGGAAAGTTCGCGATTCCTCGAGGAGCTCTTTCAACAGTGCTGTAGCATCGGACGGGGAGAGAAAATTATGTATCACTGTACAGGATGTGTACCGTGATATGTCGTCTGGCGAATAGAGGTAAAGCGTTTTGCCTTTACGAGTTGGAAGTAAACCGGGTATACGGGTATCCTGATCAGAATTGAGCCGTATATTATAGGACGGCAGAGAGCTTTGTATAGAGGCGGGGTTGCTGGCTACATGTTTAGCTTTCTTTCTTGCCATTCCATGTTCCAGGAGTGATGTCGTAGTAGATTCGATAGATCCATCATTCGCAATGAGAAGGTCAAGTAATTCTCCCGGTATCACGTCTGGAAAAATGGACGCAAGTTTAGCAAGCTTTATGTCTGTTGAGTCTTCTTCATCATCAAACTTTCCGGTGGTGAAGTTTCCAGCAGTGTGTATGTTCCCTGAGCTTCTGCTAGCAACCGCAGGCGGAGTTCTTTGGCGTTTCCTTATAATGAACTTATCCATCTTGGTCTAACCAAAACTCCAGAGGCGGCTGGAACCCATCTTCTTTATATAGACTCGGTGACTCAGCTCCTCGCTCTCGTATTAATAATTAGGAACTTGAGAGGCCGAGTCCAAGATAATTGAGGATGAACAGGCTGCCCAACGCGTGACGGGTGGACGGGTTCATTATATAGACGGATTCTACAGTCTGACTCTTTCGATAGGTAATAAAAGGGGAGGAAATGAAAAGCGGAAGTCGTTACTTTTTTCTCGACAAGGCAGATAATTAGTCATTAGGCATGTCAGTTTGGCTGACCAATGAACCAATAAGAAGAAGCAACGATTATATAAGCGGGCTGACCTCCATCTGCCTCTTTTTTAACAACAATATCAGTGAAGAAACCCAAAGCAACTGTTAATCTCGTCCATTTTGTCCTCGTGGGATTTATCTCTTTTGTACAACTCTAATGACTGCACTGAGCGAACTTGTCTCTACGGCAATCTCTTGTATATCAGCGCCGGATCCTAATGACCCTATTCTGGAATGCTACGATCACGATATTGAGCAACTAAAATCTGCTCTTTTGGATACCCCTGACAGTTCTCTTCAACTTGCTGATGCAAGGCTACGAGTATTTCCATTTAAGGACGTGAAAGATTGCTGGCGGCGGCTATATACCGATGCCAGCCTCGTCAAAGCATGCAAGCTACTGCAGAAGCATATTCCATACAATGATAAGGGGACATCAGTCAGCGGGGGATTGATAAGTACTACGCTGAAAGAACCCCTGGATCGAGAATTTGGCAACAGAGACGGTGAATCCACGAGTATAGATTATTCCACTGATCCTTCATGGGTGTCAAAAGTTATTCATATCTTGGACAAAGCCTTGATAATGTCTGGTGCTCCCCGCCGTACTAGGCAAATAGAAGACATTCTATCTACATTACAAAACAGCCTTGACTTAGACTATGATACTTCATTTGCCTCATTCATATCACACGGCCAAACGGACATTACACACAAACTTTCATCTCCACCAACAAAGAGACAAAAAGTAGACAAAAACTATAGCTTATTCCCTTTAGACTCTGTTCCCGAACCTGTTATAGAGCACCCGGTTCCTCGAACTGCAGCTCTTACATTCGAAGAGTTTACGGAGCACATATGGAGCATCCGGACACCAGTGGTCATTACCAATGCGATAGATCACTGGCCGGCCTTGTCTTCACGACCATGGTCAGCATCCAATTATTGGGCAAAACGGACTTTTGGTGGAAAGAGGTTAGTTCCTGTCGAAGTTGGGAGGTCTTACACTGACGAAGGCTGGGGGCAACGAATCATCCCGTTTGTCGAATTTGCAAGAGACTACATATGGCGCGCTTCAGGGCAGAGTGATACTTGTGCGGCGACAGGGCAGCAAACTCAGACTGGATATATGGCCCAACACGATCTTCTAACCCAAATTCCAGCGCTGAGGGAAGACATTTGTATTCCGGACTATTGCTATGCTGAGCCCCCTGGACCTGAGCCAGGTACGCCCCTATACAAGAAGGTACAACAAGCAAATAAGAAGGAAGGCCAATTGTTAGGAGGGATAGAACCAGGGGTGAAATCTGAAGGGGCAGCAAAGGAAGTTACGAATAATGAATCAGCCGTTAAAACCCATGGCAGCGAGAATGATGAAGATGGACTTAGCGATAATTTCGCACCGGCTGCTCCCATAATGAACATGTGGATAGGGCCTTCATGGACGATATCCCCTTTACATCATGATCCGTATCATAACATTCTAGCTCAAGTAGTTGGTGCAAAGTATATCCGCCTTTACTCCCCCCATACGCCAGCCAGTCAGATATACCCTCGCGGAAAGGAGGTCGTCAACCATAAATCCTTGGCCGCAGACATGAAAGGAGAATCAGGCCAGGAGCAGATTGATATGTCAAACACATCTCAAGTTGACATCTCAGCCATCGAACTATCCCCTGCGGAATTCGAAACGTGGGATAGCCTTTGGCCAGGCTTCTTTGAAGCTGAGTATATGGAAACAGTGCTGAGAGAGGGTGAATGCCTATACATCCCTGTGGGCTGGTGGCATTATGTTCGAGGATTACAGGCTGGAATTAGCGTTAGCTTCTGGTGGAATTGATAATTAACCAAGAATTTACCATTCCAACGTGATTTGCTATCATCCATCGTATTTGCGCTGGGCCAGAAGTCATTATAATATTACCATCTTCCACCTCCAGGCCAAGTACAGTATTTCCTGCCATAACTTTCCCAACATGGCATGCCAAAAAGTTTATGTCTTTTGGTTTTGGGAAGCCATTCTTAGACAGATGGACTTTGCTAACACCAGGCTACTAGATCGTGAAGTCAACTTTAGCCGTAAACGGATACACCAAGTCCCACTGCTTCAATGTGAACTTGGCTGTCACCAAAGAGATGCACATCGCTAGTAGACGATTGAAGGAAGGCCTAAGAGAACTGCTATCGTCGAAAGATGGACTCTCTCCTTGCTGAGGCCGGGGTTTTTATGGTGTAGAAGTGACGGATAGGTTATCATCTTGCCGAACACTTCCTCCCGACCTCAATGAACAATATATATTGCAACGGCAAAGCGCCCTAAGAAGATGGTAAATAAATAGAGCCGATTCTCCAATATTGTATCCTGTTTCTTTTTCAAGTCATCTTCTCTGTCATATAATAACAATCACACATATGATGTGAGTTATGCTCGAAATAAAATATACTCCTTCTAACTATTCTTTCAGTTCGTATATCAGCGTCTGGCATTCATTCTCAAGGCTTTCTGGCTGATTGCATTGGGTACTGCTGGCTTTCTCCGTCGTCCTCCTGGTCCTCATACTCCTCAAAATCCAAATCACCATGAAGAGTACCGGCAGCATAGAATGGCAAGTGATTGTTGTCATATAGTCTTCAAGTTCCTGGCAATGGTAAACTGTGGTCTGGCTAATATAAGTTGTTTCTAGAACCCCACAATGTGCTTCCCCTCAGAATTCAAGTCATCATCGGGATATTATATGGGTAAAAGGCAAGTGATTAATTTCTAACTCCTGGGCAATGATGAATTGTTCGTTATTACGATGCCGGCCTCTGGCTGACAAACCTCGCCTATCATATAGAACCCCTCAGAATTCAAGTCATCATAGGGATATGGTAAGGATAAAAGGGCAAGTGATTAGAGTCTAACCTTCTAAGCTCCCAGCAGTGATGTATTGTTACGACTATGTTGCCCGCCCAACCTCTGGCTGGCAAACTTGAAATAGGCCGCCCCTCAGAATCCGAATCATCATAGGGGATAGAGCAGGAAATCAATGACGTGATTTATCTCTACACTTTCGTGTCTCCCGGCCGTGATAAATGCGTGGTAACATAATTGCAGCCATTGGATGGCGGGCCCTGCATCCAGGAACATGTAATATGCTGGCCCCTCAGAATACAAATCATCATAGGGAATAGAGCAGGGTATCAGTGAAGAGGTGTTTATGAGAGCAGTATGCAAGACATAGAGTGAATGGGTTATCAAATAGGATAGGGAATAAATCGAAGAACTAACTCATAAATCAATGGACACAATGGCGCGATATGAACGTAATATGCTTCTACCTGGTCTTCTCACAATTTCGGGTATTTAACTAGTTAGCGTATGTGCTTGGTCAGTTGTCAATCTCTGCATGCACATCCTTTGATGCCTTCCCATATGCGACGAGATGTATAGCCTGCTTTATGGCTTGGGGTTAGCTCAGCATCGTCTGCATCAATATTTCTGGGATCGTCACCGTTGCACTAGAAAATTAACACTCATTTCCTTTTGCGTCTGTATACGTTTAGGAGATGGTAAATTTATGATATGTAAATGCGTTTCTTGCGGAGATACGATAGAAGTTGGTAACGATAGCTTATATATAGTTAAGTATTTTCTCTTTGTTGCGTCATTGACTATTTAACTTATAGATCCGAACTGATCCGCCGGGCAGTCTGGAGAATGTTAATGGGAAGAGCAAGATGGTTATTAGTTAAGAAGGTTGTTTTTCCTCCATTAAGAGTATTGGCTGTCTGTTAGTGCGCAATACACAGCAAAGTGGCCGAGAGAGATTTATGGCTAGGGTAGCCGTGTACATCATTAGCTAACTAGTTCTTCTCTAGACATATAGGTCGTGAACATGGCAACGAGTGTAGAGCATACTAGAGGGCTTATAAGTGCGTCAAGTGTGCGGACATAGGTTCTTTGCATGTTGTTTACGTGGACTTTTGAGAATTTGATAGTAACCATTCCCAGTATTAGGACCTAGATGCATCTACACCTTTGTAGATCCATTTGTTGCAAAAGTTAGCAAAGCCAGCTATCTCTCCGGATCCCTACTTGGCCGGCAGGGCGTGTCGTTAACATGATGGCAGTCATCAAAAAAGGAATGGAGAAATTTTTTCACTTGAAGATATTTCCATGCCTTCAATCGTTATATTCTAAGAGTAAGGTCGGATTATTTGATGATTGATTAACCCGGCCAAAGTACCGTGCTTAACTTCTATATATAGCATATACCAAGAATTCGCCTTGCTACTGGGTACCCATGACTCCATGGGTCAGTATAATACTGTGAACGATAGATGTAAGTATCTATAGTCAGCAAAGATTTCCACGTGAAGCTCATGCACGAAGACTCCGTGGCCATGTAACCTAACACAAGAACATGGCACCCTGCATTCATCTCCATGTCCTGAAAGCCTCCAATTAAAAACAGGTAAGAGTACATTACTCTGTTCAATGGTCTGCTCTGAAATAGCTCAGGTTTGAGAGTATAATTAGGTACATGTACTTTCGTTTCAGACGGACCCGGGTTTGCTAGCCAAATATCCTCTCGGTTCGCATTTCCGAAATCGGGGGTTGCTGAAGGCGCTTAGATGTATATATTGAGCGGTTATGTAGTTGTTAGGTGCCATCAACCTGGCTGGCAAGGGGAGGAAACGCCACCGTTTAGAGCTAAATGAGCGCACGAGCGTACAGGGACATCATACGTCTCTGGACATCGTTTGTTTCCATAAGGCTGATCAGCATGATAGTTTCCGTCAGAAAGGGTTCGGAATTCGTCGTCCGCGCTTGGGAGAGGGTTAATATTTATATCGAACCATTTATGTAAATTTTTACCCCTCTTTGGATAGATCAGCGATGCGTTGGGTTGAAGGCAGCCAGGGCCCTCAATAGTTAAGGAGCCTTTCACGAATCGAATAGAGGGATGCCCAGACGGCAGCTCCGTTTCTTCAAGGTTTTTGCGGCCTAGGGTCAGCCTGGGTCGTGGGACCATCTTGATCCACGAGCAGGTTCAGATTAGAGGTGCAATGCCTGTACCACCGGGCTGACTCTATGGTAGACGTATTCCAACTAATCGCTTGGCTCCTGCATAGCCTAAGCTAGAGAGGACGTAGGCGTTAAAAGGTGGCAGTTAGTATGGAGTAAACGGGGGTCCTTCTGGAAAACATAATATTAGTGTATCCCCAAACATGTGCGGAGTACTAATGTATGATATTAATTGTCGATAATTATAGAAAAAAAAGAAAAAAAGTTGATCTGATAATAATAAGGTGTATTATGTAATCCACCGAAAGGGGCAATCTTGGACATCCACAGAAGAAGCACAAACCAACTTCAGATTCTCACAAGATGGCGATCTGTACATCAATGCTCGTCGATACGGTCAGCTTTGCCACCCAGCAGCCGTCGCGATCTGTGCTGGAGCTCGATATTGAGCATATACGTATTGATAGAAATAAACAACGTTTGCAGCACTTTGCTGTCAGCCTGAGCCAGCCCGGACTTCGGGGACCCGCAAACACGATTTACACCAATAGCTTGAGACCAAGGCCGGTGATGTGAAGCAGCCTGTCATGGAACATTATCCAAAGTAGGTATGTCCACGCAGAAGAGCCGGGCTGATTGGCGCTGTCATGTCTGCAGAGCTAGTGGTCCGGGGATCTGAGGATGAGAAAGCAGGTCCAAACGTCCAAGAGACGCCGCACACGAAAGTAAGTGTATTTGCGGAGTCCTGCGCGGATAATGACGTTATAAACCTATCTCTTCCTGGGCCAAGACCTAACCTTGTCGTGTAGGCTGTTCTTCCGGCGAATCAGGCCAAAGGGGCTTCGCTCGAACCTGAGGCGGAGAACGTAACGAGTAAGCGTCAGATAACCTATTCTGTCCATGGGATATGTAAGGCCTTGAAACGGTTGTGTCTCACCCCCTTTTAAACAGCATATATTTACGTACTTAATCTGAATCTGGTCAATGGTATGAGAAGCATCAGAAAAAGCTTGGCTGGTTATTTATAGCTTCTCTGAAAGGTTGATCGCAGGTCGTTTAGTTACGCCGGCCGGAAATTGGTGCCGGTTGTCAAGACTCTGCTTATGCATCTCCGAACCTTCAGTTTGTCGGTCGGTGTACATAGTAGGAGACACGTGTGTGGGATCTTGACTGATGATTCTCCATCTCCACAACTTCCTAAGAACGGATAATGTTGGGAAGAGGCCGGCATGAGCAGCGTCGGATATCTCAACCGGTGCTGGAGTCGAGCATATTCTAAACAACCAAAGGGAAAGCTATCGATCTACTATGTACAATCCAGGGAATCTGTTGATTCTGGGACGGACGGCTCTCGTATACTTTTCTCCCCCATCGATTTCCAGAGGCGTCTTTCGAGCCTCCAAAGGCGAAAAGAAAAAAAAAATACCGGGGATATTATTCTAGAAATTGTGGGGATGGGTTTCCGGCATCAACGGCTGCGAATGTCAAACGAAGGGCGTGCAATATCAGCCACTCGTTCTCTTATGTCATCTCTGATTGACTTTTGTTGGCGTTCTCACTCCCCACAGCTTTACAATCAACCCGGCTGACCGCGATTTGAAAAAAAAATAAAGAAAAAAAAAAATGAACCGGATTGGGGACCGGGTTGTGGACTAGTGTTTACAAACTAGTTATTTTAAATACCTGCTGACTTGATGCAAATATGATGCATCTGGAAGCATCCATGTGGTACTTTGTATATGGTGACGCTGCTTACCGCCTGCGTGGTCTCCTTACAATGCCGGAGAAGATTTATTCGGCCTTTGCCCGACGGCTACAGATACAACTTACGCAACTTTTGCATATCTCCGCCATGGGAACGCGAAACAAACCCCTTCAGAATATAATTAAAACAAGTAGCGGAAAACATTTATACATGAGAACTTCGATCATGGTATAGGCGGGGGTCCCGCATTTCCGGCTAGCGCATGTCGCACATCCCTTATATATATATACCTTGTCTAGCGCCAAAAGCCTATTGAGGAGCAAATTCTCCATCATCACGAAGGGACGTTCTGGATAAACCCACTGCACCAAGCCTCCGCCATGCAGTAAACGAGAAGTGTGACTCAAGGCAACTTGGTGATTTTCCAACCTCTCATTTTCTCACTTTCTTTCCCAAAATACCCTCTTCCCAACTTGAGCATGTTTCGTCGTGTTGCGGCCTTCTGAGAACCCCATCTCACTGCGTCACCCTTCGAGAAATATACGAGAGGACGTGACCACCTTCATTGGCTGGGTAGTTTATTCCTTTTTGGTACTCTGCACGATTGCTTCGTCCCTTTGTAAAATCGATCACCAGCTCGTAACGACCCCCAGGGTATCCAGCTTATTGGCCTAATCTGGACCCTGTGGATACTTTGTGAGCTGAACAGGTCGACCATATTTATATATAATACTTCTCTCTTCCTCACAATGGAGTATTTCGACTTTGACGAAGCAGCTCGACAAAACGGGGAGACATTCCGCTACATCGGAGTCGCAGAGATCGACCGCTGCGCACCAGTACCAGCCGACTGTGACGGCGCTGTATCCCCTTCCACACCCCCTTTCAGCCAGCCGGGCGATATACAACGACCCTCGAACCTCGATGGAGTCTATCCTATGCACCGAGTGAGGGACCCCTGCTATTTCTGCCGCTTTATGGGATTGGATTGTGTTGTTGCTCAAAGAGGGGTTATGCAAAACGCCTGCACTTGTTGCATTGCTTTATACCGAGAGTGCAGTTTTACTCGAGCTCTATCTAAGGGAAGTCACATTGGTACTCTGCGATCCGAACCTGAAGACGGCTCTACCAAAAGAAGCCCATCAATACAACAGCTAGAGAAGCCCAGCAACTCCAACTCTGAAGACATAGCACAACAACCCCGCAAGCCTGGAGTGAGATTTCCCCTCAAAGCTGTTAAGGTCCTGAAGTCCTGGCTATCAGAGCATGCTTCTCATCCATATCCAACCGACGCAGAAAAGGACGAGCTGAAACTGAAGACTGGACTAAACAGAACCCAAATTTCTAGCTGGCTAGCGAATGCGCGTCGACGAGGTAAAGTCCGACCTCCACCTCGAAGCACTTCGCCGTATCCCGGAGCAGTAACTATCCCTGGAAAGCGGCTTCCTCCAGGGGTTGATATATCCGAGCTCAACCCCCTTGAGAGATGGAAACATTCCCCACCGGAAAACGAAGCAGCTTCCGCAAGAGACATTATTCAGGCCATGGCTACCAGCTCTTTTATCTCCCATGCGGAATCCGATTTCCCCCATTTAAAATCTCATTCGCGACAGACCGATTCTAGCAACGACGATTCCTTCTCTAATAAATTCACTGCACACTCAATCAGTGGTTACAGCGCGGACACCAATAAGTCCAGTATCTCCGACATGTCATTTGCCTCAGCCTTCTCACACCGTTCGCGCGGCTCATGGAACTCGATTGAAACCCGCGAACGACGACGACGCCGACATAAATCCGCTGCCGCACCAAACCCCTTTCAGAAGTCTCGGGTTGCACGGATCTTCCAATGTACATTTTGTACAGACTCCTTTCCTACTAAGTATGATTGGCAACGCCATGAAAAGTCACTGCATCTTGCCTTGGATAAGTGGACATGCGCACCCAACGGCGGAGTAATCACTTCTTCAAATGGTCAGCTTGTTTGTTCTTTTTGTCATCATATTGATCCGGATGAGGACCACCTCGAATCACACAATTTTAGCACCTGTCAGGAAAAAACTGTGCAGGAGCGTACTTTCTACCGCAAGGATCACCTAAATCAACATTTGCGTTTGATGCATGGTGTAAAGCTTGCTCCATGGATGGATTCGTGGAAGAGCACCACCACTAAAATCAAATCACGATGTGGATTCTGTTCGGCAACGTTCAGCACTTGGAAAGAACGTGTCGACCACCTTGCAACCCATTTCAAAGCCGGAACCGAAATTTCCCAGTGGAGAGGAGACTGGGGGTTTGAACCACATATCGAGGACTGTGTTGAAAACTCAATGCCCCCCTACCTTATTGGGCAAGAGAGAAATACATTAGATCCATGGGTAGCGTCCAAAGCCTTCAATCTGGCGAAATATGGCCGCAACTTTAACAAGGAGCATAAAGTTGCACCAAGTGAGGTTTCAGGCGTATCGCCATTTGGAATGCCCTTTCGCACGGATGCCAGCTGTTTCCGACGACTTGAGAAAGAACTTTCTGCATACATTGCTCGACTTTTTGACCAGGGAATTGTCCCTACTGACAAGTTACTTCAGTCTAAAGCCAGGCTGATTGTCTATGGGAGTGATGATACCTGGAACCAGACCTGTGCAGATAACCCAACTTGGCTGAAGGTTCTGAAGCGAAACAATGGTCTCGATGACTCCTCGGATACAGAGAATGTCCAACTCGAAGATTTGGGTATGCAGCCACCATTTGCCGCAGACGGAGGTCTACGACAAGCCCCAGGAAATTCGACCAAATCCCCTCAGGCACTATCGGGGACCTTATCTCCCCCCTCAGGCCTGGGATCAACTACCACTAGCAACCCAGAAAGCGTTTCGGGCAGCGCCAGGAATCATTCTGACCTCTCTTTTAAGGGCGGAGGTGGAAACAGTGTGCACAATTTCACGCCCTCTCCTGGTGCCCATAGTCCACATAATCTCAACTTCCCGAGCCCAGTATCCGCTAATGGGGTCCCGAATGACAACACATCTGTCGACCCCCTTCTAGAAATGGGCTTTGATGCTGAATTCCTTCAACAACTAAACGATGGCTACGGTGACATTGGCCGTGTGATTGATGGCCTCGAACTTCAAAGCCTGGGATACGCTGGGAACAACATGCACAATGGGGCTTTCAACGTTAAAAACAACCACAATTTCGACAACGTTTCAACTACCGATTCAACGCCTGTCACCCCGCTATCTGGTATGGCCATGACCTCACCTGAGGCACTTTTTGGCATTGTATCGTCGGGCGGATCTGTTGAGCCTGTATATATCCCAGGCACATTTGACACTTTACCTTTTAATTTTTCACAGGGCTCGGAGAGCTATAGAGGAGAGATCAACTGAATGCATACCCGTGCTGGCGTAGGGGATCTGGGTTATGGTGCATGCATAAATTGGGAGAGGGGGTGGATGAAATACATGATATTTTTCTTTCTCGAGATGTTATATAGACGGGCTTCTATGGGTGGTCACCATGCTAGCGGCTATATACCCCGGCTGCAGGTTTACTTTATATCTATATAATGCAGTTTGATGTTATTTTCCACTCTCACTTCTCGCTTCTTTCCGCTTGCTACAATAACATAAGCTATCTCAGTTTATTTTTCAATATTCACCCAACTTATCTTCAACGCGATACAGCTACTATCTATTTCCTAAGAGAGATGAGATCGGAGAAGAGACCAGCGAAAGAGTCTCTAGCTTCTCGTCACAAACGGACAAAACTGGCAGTGGATGTGAGAAGAGACAGTGAAGGACAAGATGGAGAAGACACACCAATGGATGATAAAGACTGTTCTATCCCCGACACAAAGATGGAAGAAGCTGGCATATCTCTATCTTCTGCTATCTTTGATCCACCGCTGCTCAGAAACAAAGATACTGACGTAGACATCCCCAGGTCAGGGAGCAAAGGATGCCCAGATCAGCAGAGACTTGGACACTATGAAGCCGATATTCCAGGAAGCAGCTCGATACGCTGCTGCTGAGAAGGACGAGGACAAGGCAGAGCGCTTTGAGGATACGTCTATGTGTTCAATGCTGGCTGCATGCTCAAACCGAGTCCTTTCCAAGATCTATGCCTGTAAGTGTATCCATCTGTCTATCCATATTCTATGCTGACGTCTTTCTATAGTGCGAGAAGTAGTTACAAGCCATGCTGGTCGCACAGCTATGCGGGTTGAAGACATGAAGCTTTGTGAAGAGCTTTGCAATATTCTCACTTGTGAGGAGTGATTGATCTCTTCTATCCTGTCTAGAATCAATAGTTTGGAGCCGAGATTGAGGCTAGAGTTGGATCTTTGGTCATTCAATAGAGATGGACTTGGTAGCAATATTTGGTAGGACAACGACGCCCTGAGCCATTGTAGCTTCAGCTCTTCATCTTCCTGTAAAAATAGTCCCTGAGCTGCTCTTCTACAATGCTTTGATGGATATCTTCATAGCATTCACAGTTGACCAGCAATCAAATCCACTTAAAGCTTTTCTATTAGTTAACTAACTAAATAGTTAAACTCGAAGCCGCCCATTGTTTTTTTTTTCTCCGAAAGAAAATCCTCCGTCATCAAAAGAAAAGAAAAGGACGTACAAAGTCATCTCATCTCATCTTCAGGGCGACTGAAAATACTCAGAGAGTTGCCTTTATATAACAGAATACGCTGAATAGTTAAAAACATTTCTAAAAGACGATGAGACGGGCTGGCGATGCTCGATCCTCCAACACCTTCGCCCGCATCATCAGCTTCAACTCCAAGTTCTAGCGGCATCAAGAGAACGTATGCGCCCAATGGATCTCCCGGCTCTGCTGCCCAGCTGGAATTGACCGCTCGTCCTGGATCATTGCAGAGTGCCGCGGATAATACCGTCAGCTACTGCTACTCCCCGCCACCGCCTGCGATGTCAGCCATGAGCCGCCCCAGTACAAGTGCCAGCCAGAAATCCATTAACCACGAGATACAGTCTTCTTCGGCGGGTTCGCATGCCACCTTTCGGAACGTCTCTGCCTGCAATCGCTGTCGAATCCGCAAGAATCGTTGCGACCAACGTCTTCCGCGCTGCCAGTCGTGCGAGAAGGCCAAGGTACACTGCGTCGGGTACGACCCGGCTACAAAGCGTGAGATACCGAGGAGCTATGTCTTCTTCCTCGAGTCTCGTGTCGCATATCTAGAGACCCTTTTGAGGGCGAATGGAATTGCGTTTAGGCCTCCTGAGGCACATGAAGGCGAAGAAGACGAGCTGCAGCAGGCTAGCAACTACCTGCTGCGCGGTGGTGGAGGGGATGCGGCGCATGCAAAGGACGGCAGCAGCAGTAATGTGAGGATAAAACATGAGTCGAGGGATGAAAGGGAGACAAGTCCTCGATCGGGACCTGCAAAGACGGCCAGGGACTCCAGGAGCAATGATAACAATAATAGTAATAATACCAGCCAGCGTGGCAGCAGGAAATCACTGGTCGATGATGCGAATAGACGAATTGACAAGCTGGTCTCGAGTGTCGGGATGGTGCCTGTTCAGGGCACGTCTGACCCGAGATATCTGGGCTCTACGTCCGGCATATCCTTTGCTCGAGTAGTCTTTTCTGCAGTGAGAAGTTCAGTCTCGTCCAGCGTGTCTGAACGAGGCTCGATACGGCCGGGCTCTCGTCGACAATCAGCGATTGCCAATGCGAACAAGAATGAAGCCGCAGGCAACGGCTCTGGAGGAGGCATGCACTCGATGCGAGACTCGTACTTTGGCCTGCAGACAAAACCGATCATGAAACAGGCGCCGTTCCCAGATCGTGAGATTGCTCAGAGACTCGTCAGTCTGTATTTTGAATACTCAAATGCCCAGATCCCAATCCTTCATCGAGTTGAGTTTATGGAGCTCTTCAATCGTATCTACGCTACGGAGGCAAAGCAACGATCAGCTAGAGATCTCTATTTTCTGAATATGGTATGTGCTATTGGAGCTGGTATCATTTTCGATGCCAAAGGAGATGGCGATGCTGCCTCTCAGGAGGTCAAAGGGGAGGGCGGCAGACGGAGTGCATCTCCTTCGCCAGCACAGAAACGGAGAAGACTATCAAAGCAGCAGCACCAGCCAGAGGAGTATCACGCTTCTGCTGTTGTCCATCTAGAGTCCTGCCTGGGATCGTCTTCGTCTACGGATGGATTTGGCGGCGGTTTGGAGGAACTCCAGGCGGTCCTGTTGCTGGCCAGCTTCGCTCTGCTACGACCGGTGGCACCTGGACTCTGGTACATCGCTGGTGTTGCTGTCCGACTGGCAATTGATTTAGGTCTGCACCACGAAGATGGCACCGGTGTCGACTCCGTCGATGAGGCTGAAGTTGCTCGCCGAATGTCTCGCATGGATAGCATAGACGAGAATTCATCCGAGCAAGTTCGAGCAAAGCTGAAGGTCGACCCTCGCGAACGAGGCAGACGGGAGTTCATCCGCGACCTTCGACGGAGGTTGTGGTGGTGTGTCTATTCATTCGACCGGTTGGTTAGCACCTGCGTTGGCCGTCCGTTCGGTATTACCGACCAGGTCATCACCACTGAATTCCCTTCCCTGCTTGATGATGAATATATCACCAAGGCTGGATTCGTTGCGGCTCCAGCAGGTGCGCCTTCATACAAGTTCGTTGCCCATCATTACTTCAAGCTGCGTCTCCTTCAGTCTGAGATCCAGGAAGTGCTACAGTACCAGCAGGCTATGCTAGCCAGGAAAAATGGTAGAAACCGCAACAACGCATCCATGCATACGAATCTCCCTTCTCCTTTCCTGCAGAAGTTCGATAGCTTCCGCTCGTGGCGAAGGGATATTCACAGACGCCTTGATGAATGGATACAGTCTTCGCCTCAGGCTCAGGAGATAGGCGTGAAGTTCTCTCTTCAATTCTTAGAACTCAACTATTGGCAAACACTCATAAGCCTCTATCGACAGAGCTTGACCGTCCCCAAGCCGTTAGCCTCAGAGAGAACGCCAACGGAAGATGTTTCCAGCCCTTCGCTGGCGAGTGTGGAAGAACCAGAGGATGAGGATGATGTCTATTTGATGGTTGCTGAAGCTGGTCAGAAAGTCCTCAGGATTTACCGGCAGCTGCATCGTGTGCGGCTGGTCAATTTTACGTATCTTGCAACTCATCATTTGTTCATGGCTGGTCGGTTTCCTCCTTTACCTAAAAATGACAGTTGAGCTGACTAGCCTTATTAGGAATATCATTCTTGTATGCCATTTGGCATTCACCTGCTGTGAGGGGTAGACTTGTATGCCCAATTTTTCTTCTACTACTCCATAAAATAACTGCTAACGATTGGTCTTAGACGCTTGATGACGTAGACTTCACTGTCCTTGCTGCAACATCAGTGCTTAAAGATCTTATAGAGAAATGTCCGCCGGCCGAAGCCTGTCGAGATGCCTTTGAGCGGATGAGCAAAGCCACTGTTCAAATGGGGTTATCAACTACCGGCTTTGGCCAACAAGGCTCAATCGGGGATCGATTGGCCACTACACATGACTCTAGCTCTCAACCTCGACAACAGCATCAGAGACAGCATTCGGACAGTCAATACTTCCACGAGGCATCTTTCCACAAGGCCCATCCTCATCAGCAGCACTTTCATGGTTCCAGGATTTCTCGGGCCCTAGATTCAATCCCAGAACAGCCTGCGGAACCTCGACCAGCTGAGCCTATCACGGACAACCGCTTCAGCATCACGAGCTTCCTATCAAATCCAATCGATTCCTCAAAAATCGGGAAATCCCAGTCATCCTCTCCTCATGAACGCAGGGATATCCCCAACCGCGAAGCTTCCACCACACCTGAAAAACGATCACCGAAATCCTCCTCTCGCCAGCTAGGAGATCCATTCTCACCTAATCAATTTGACAACCGCTTGTCACTTACACAGCAGCGTCAACAGCAGCAACCACAGCATCACCCATATACATACACCGATCCCTTTGTAAACCGCACCCCACAGCCCAATCCTTCACAACAACAGTTCCACCATTCCCCACAGCCAAGCAGCCAAGCAGCAACGCCATTCTACCTCTCTGGACTCGACTTCCTAGATGGACCCCCTCGTCCGTTTACCTCCGATAACCAGATGGTCTACACGAGCGGTGAGGGAACAGGCGTCGACATTTCAAGTCTTCCTCTATATTCCCCAGATAGCGTTCATACCACTTTGGCGGGAAACAGTGCCCTCGACCTTGGGTTTGGAGTAGGCATGGCTGTTGATTTCCAGCATGACTGGAGTGAAAATACAGGCTTTGATCTGTTTGATGGTCTTTTTTTTGGCGGCGGCGGGTAATCCTATACCCAGGCACAAGCCTATTCTTACCTTACTCACGTTTTTGTTCTGATGATTTTGCATTTCTTCAGTATCTCATATATTCCACGGTACAGAAAAGCAGGATGATACATCATATTGCCTCTGGCCTTCGTTGGATAGGGTCACTCTATGTCACTTACCGAGCAGGTCTCATTTTTCTATTGTCTTTCTATATCTGATGATCCAAATGACATACCCGTCTCATACATTGCCTAGTTAGATCATGACGGTTAATTCGTCGTCCTCTTATAATTAGATTCCTAAGTATATATATATGCAGTGAATATACCCTTTATATCATCTACCAATCTGTTATATCCAAGTACTGGAACGAGGCGGAATAAAGTAGAAGAAGAAAATACGTTAGATCTACCTGCCAGCGGACAACACAGCCATACCTAACACACTAAAATGCCCAAAATCGCCATCTAATGACCAGGATTGGGCATCGGAATCCTCAAATGCTGGAAAACCCCCTTACATACTCAATACAATAACTGGAGCTAAATGCGGTGAATAATACCAAACTTACCAAACTTACCAAACTTACCATACCGATCATACACGATTAGATCTTGGGCTTTTTTTTCTTTTTCTTTTGTTTACAAGAACTTTTGAAAACGAACGCGAGGAGAAGAAGAAGAAGAGAAGAGAAGAAGGTTGTTAGCATATAGACTGGTCCTCTCTTCGTCCTATCTGCCTATCGGATCTTCTTAGCTATCCTGGTATGCACCAATCCTGCCCTACAGCTTCATCTTGTCTCCTCTGGGGTGTACTGCTACCCAACTTCCCCCCCAATCAGACGGCTTCACAGGTTGAACTAAGACTTCTTGACCAGGGAGTGCTGACAAGCGTCTACTTAAGCATACAACTTTTAAAAAGAACAGCCACAGGCCGTCCTTCGCCTCGAACTGAACAACAAGCTCTCTGTCCTGCGAGGACGACGGCGGCTAGTAACTACTGGCAACCAACACAGAATACATCTAGGGGAAGTGAGAGAAAGAGAGAAAAGGGCAATACTTTGTTGCAAGACCGAGTTCAGCAGACAGGCACAAGATGATACTATTACTTAGAGTGGTGTATCTCTTTTTGTAGCCCTCATCATTGCCGCAAACCCCGAACGAAGCGTACAGATAACATAACCGGCCGCAGCCCGGTAGCAAACCGTGGCCATAGAGCAGCAACAATGGTGAAACCGGACGTGTCGAAAGATTATTATGCTGACCTGGGGGTTGGCCCCAATGCAGATCAGGAAGAGATCAAAAAGCAGTTTCGGAAACTTGGTGAGAACGCCTTTACTTTCTTTAACCCCTAAACAGCACAACGGAGGCTTACAGTTTTATCTACCGTTTTATATAGCTTTGAAATACCACCCAGATCGCAACCCTGGAAAGGAAGCAGAGTATAATTCGAAGTTTCAAGCAATCCAGGCCGCGCACGAGATATTGGTCGACCCCCAGTTGCGGTTGAAGTACGATACTGGTAGACTGAGAGCTGGCTATGGGAAACTGTACGGGCCCCCTAGGACGGCAACCCCTACACGACAAGCTCCTCCACAGCCAGCCTCGAACCCTTCCAGAAAGCCACAGGCTAGCTATACTGCCCACCATTACAGTAAACCCACCAACCCGTATACTGGAGCATACCCACCCCCTCCGTCTTCAGGTGCTCAAAAATATGCAAGTTACGCGAAGGCAGGCGCGCAAAAATTTGATAAGGTATACGAAGAGTCTCGCGCCAGAGCTGAAGCTTTCCAAGGGTTCCACGATATGAAAAATAAGCAACCTCAGCCTCAAATGCCTGGTGGATGGACTAGCTTTGACCCGCGAACCGGACGCTCGTCTGCCCATGAGAAACCAGCACCCAAACCGCGTGCGCCTCACCAAAGGGGCCAGTCGGCGTACCATGCCTTTGCAGAAGAAGCACGTAGATCAGCAGAGACACCCATTCCAGAGAAATCAAAGTCAACAAAAACAAGAAGTGGCTTTGCACCAAGGACAGCCGGAGGAGATGAGCCAATGGCAAAGTGCGCAACCTCATACTACAACATTAGAGGCGACAGGCATCGAGATTCAGATCCAATATCCTACTTTTTTGAGTCAGCTCCATCGCCAACTGCAAAGAAGCAGCAAACATATGATGACACTTCGGACTCGGCTCCTCCTAACCTTCGGAGAACAAGCAGCAGATATGCCACATCCGGTGGAGAGAAAACTTATGTACCCAAATCTAGTATTAACCGTTCTACTAGTGTTCGCGAAGAGACAAACTTACGCTCCCAAACCAACCCACCCAGCCCGGTCAACCCTACCACTAATCCTAGCAGACGCCATAGCGCCAGCCCAAAACTAAAGCCTAACAGACATTCGGCATTTTCTGCATCTTCATCTTCTACTACTTCAACTAGTGAAACAGACGATACCGACGAAGTGATTCCAAACTTCCGCCCCAAGGCAGTCCCTCGAAGCAGACTTGCGCAGACTAAGCCCGCATGGAAACCAAATTTCCCTGACAACAAGCCTTCAGGAACCGGTGAGAGCCCTTTCGGTTGGGCAATGGGGCCAGATTCATGGCTTTTTGCCGAAATTGGCGGCTCCCCATGCCAAACGCCTTCCAGCTCTAAGAAATGGAATTGGCATGCTGACAATCAACCTGAAGGGTACGGCCAGAGCACATTCGCCAACGATGCCCCCTTCCCAGCCGAGACCCGTCGCGAATCCTCCATGGGCCGCACGATCCCCCCTATGCCTAATGTGAGCTCCTTCAGAGTGACCTCAACGGAGGAACACAGGCCAAGTGCTGCAACTATGTATGGCTCTACCCCTACACCCAAATCATCAGCTCGAAATTGGTCAGAGAAATGGGGATTTTCCCAAAAATCTGGCATCACAGCTGCCCCCCTCTCCCCACCACTGTGGGCTTACCCTGCCAACATTCTCCCAAGCACATTAGCTTCCCCCAAAATGACACAGGAAATCAAAGTAGAAGAGAAAATGGATGAAGACGAAGATGTGGGAGGTGCTGCATTCAACACTGACAATGCAGGGAGAACACCTGGCAAATCTTCTTCCGGACATCTAGATCTTTCACCAAGCACTCTATTGAGAACAGTGGCTGACTATTCTGCAACTTACAACAGTTTCGATCACCCAAATAATAATAATGAAAGCAACCAAAATGACGGCATGGCACAGCATACTAAGCCTAAGAGTAAAAGCCATGAAAGCTTTAACTCTGGGTTTTCACCAAGTGAATGGAATTTTGCATTCTCTAATACCGCACAGTACTTTGCCCCTACACAAGGTGATACTTTGGGTGGGCCACAGAATAAATATGGCAATAGGCCGCGGTCTCATTCCCGCCCTACAACCTCTCCATCAAACGAATCACCTCAGAAGACCTCCAACCCTTTTAAGGATTTCAAGGATGTCAAGACATCAGCCCAGCCGTCACCATTTAAAAATACTACCTTTTTGGCTGAGAAGCTGCCCGATAGTCTGAACGAGAAGACGTGGTCTATACCTTCTACAGGAAATTCGCATCAAAACTTATTATTTAACCAGAACCAAAAAGGTTCAAAGAAACAGACCGGTGGACCAAAACCGGTCAGCATAAGCTCGGAGGCAGAGGAAGAAGAGGCAACATTTTCACCTAACGGGGTCTACGGGGGTAAAAATACCAAACGTGCATCTATGGGCATGGTTGACGAAATGGATGTCGATGAGGAACTGCCCACGGTCAATGCACCGGACATACAAAGTGCTAACAAACCAAAGTTCCCTACGACCCCAGCTTTTATCCCATCCAATAAACCAGGAGGGAAGCATGAATTGTTCAATCTGGCAAAATTCGGGCTTGTCAACCCCTTTACAGCCAGCAACTCAAAGGGAATTGATGACCTCAAGGACCTGAACTCATCACTACCATTTGAATCTGCAGCAAGCAGTGAGAAGCCTTCACAGCGGCCCATCCACCCACGAGATCTCTCGTTGCCAAAGCCACCTAAACCGCCAACTCCTCCTGCCATGATAGGGCCCCCACCTATGCCTCGAACGGCCATGGAAAAGATGTCTCTGCCTCAGGCGCCATGGGAAGTATATATGCTGCAGATGCAGGCATACATGCGTGAATGGAACAACTTCAACCGCACCATGCTAGCTCACTTCAACGAACGACAGAACCTGACGGAAACGACGCTAGCTCCTGGGTGGATGCGAGCAGTGGGAGACAGTAGCCGAGTGAAACTGGACGGAACCAATGGCGACGATGCCGGAGACGGAGAAGAAGACCTACGTACGGGCAAGGGCAAGGCAGGCTACAGTGAATATCTTCGTGGCATTGAAGAGGATTTTGTGGTTCGACAGCATTGGGATGTTGCCTGGGAGCGGCATCGGGATTGTATACTGGATCTCGGAAAGGTCCGCGAATGGCTACGCAGCGGGCACGGTAACAACGGACAGGGCGGTTTTCAGAAACCCGGAATGAAGATGCCGGCAAACTAAGAGTCGATACCAGGTGGCTTTTTATTTTTTTTTTATTATCTCTAACAACTTCAACAGGGGCAGCAACCAGTCAATTTTGGCAGTTCTCTTTTTACTTCACCTTTTCACCCCCTTTTTTTTCTATTTCACGAAGACGGCGGTTGTTTTTTTATCTGTTTCTTTATGAGGACATACACCAGGCTCTTGACCATATTCTTCTACTCTCTGGTGGTGCTTTTTTCCCTCCATATTCATCATCTGTACAAGTATGCCGTTGGTTTCTTCTGCCCTTCGATACATATCTTCTTCCCCAGCCGGCGTTTGGCAGAGGTGCTTCTCCCATAAAAGGATACCATTATACAACTCGGTGCAGAGCTTTCAGAATACAGACTCCTTCTACTCGCCCTGATATCGTTGCTCATACCCCTGAAGATCCGAATGCCATCGCAACCAAGCCTTCGCTAATCCCTGGCTTGCCTCTTCCCCCGCCTCAGCCCCGCGATGTGAACGAATGATGGAGATGCAGCTACGCAAGGGGGGTTAATATTAATTATCAGCAAAGCAAAAGAAGTGAAATAAAAAGACTTTTTTTTATTCTTCTAAATATCAACTCTTTTCCCTCGTTTCATGTGAGAAATAAAAATAAAAATCTCGGCTTGGCTCCGGAAGTCGGCGAGCAGCGCAAAACTTCGTTTTTTTCCCTCTTCAGCCCACCAAAAGCCCGACTTTTCTTCCTCTTCTTCTTCTTTCTTCCGAGTGTTCTTTTCAGCTCTGTTGGAACTGTCGATAAATACGTATAGCACAGTATTCAAGTCTCTGTGTCGGTGGAAATATGGTCACGATAGTCCTGGGCTCCCAATGGGGGGACGAAGGTCGGTTTATATAGATGACTCGACGGGGAGAAGAACGAAGAAGACCAAGATGGATGCTGACATGTCTATGTATCTACAGGCAAAGGGAAGATCACTGATCTTCTCTCGCAGAAGGCTGAGCTCTGCTGTCGGTCTGCTGGCGGACACAGTAAGTCTGCCCGCGCGATTTGTATGCACTCCGCATGGCTGACCATGAGCAGATGCCGGACACACCATTGTACACGATGACATTACCTACGACTTTCACATCTTACCCTCCGGCCTTGTGTCTCCTACCTGTGTCAACCTGATCGGTGCCGGGACGGTTGTCCACGTTCCCAGCTTCTTCAAGGAGCTCGCTTCTCTCGACGGGAAAGGGCTGAAGGACGTCCGGGACCGTGTGTTTATCAGCGATCGTGCCCAAGTGTGTTTCGATCTCCATGCTGTCGTGGACGGTCTGGAAGAGGCGGGGCTTGGTACACGCAAAGTAGGGACTACTGGGAAGGGAATTGGGCCATGTTACAGTGACAAGGCCGCAAGGCGGGGTGTCAGGATAGGCGATATCATGGACGAAGGCGTGTTGGAGTCCAAGTTGAGGAGCTTGGAGGCTGGCTACCGAAGGAGATTCGGCGAGCTGGACTATAACGTCGAGGAGGAGATTGCCAGATTCAAGGTATCTACAGGCACACACATACATATATATACCCCGCTGCTAATGATGATATAGGAGTACCGAAGTCTTCTGAAACCACATATCGTCGACCAATTGACACTGGTCAAGAAGTTTGAGGACGAGTCTGCCTCTATACTTGTAGAGGGAGCCAACGCCCTCATGCTCGATATCGATTACGGCACATATCCCTTCGTGACGTCTTCCTGCACCGGCCTCGGAGGAGCCGTTCAGGGAGTATGTCTAAATCCGACCTCCATCAAGTCCATAGTCGGCGTCGTAAAGGCCTACTGCACGCGAGTGGGATCGGGACCTTTCCCCACCGAACAGCTCAACGAGGTTGGTGAAAAGCTGCAGGTTGCCGGCCGCGAGTTTGGTGTAACTACCGGTCGCAAGAGGCGTTGCGGTTGGCTAGACATGGTCTTGCTACGCTACAGCGCCAGAATAAACCACTATACCGCCCTCAACCTGACCAAGCTGGACATCTTGGATGACTTTGACGAGATCAAGGTTGCTGTCGCATACAAGCTCGACGGCAAAGAACTCGAGTCTTTCCCTGCTAGTTCAGATGCCTTGGAAAAGGTTGAGATTGTCTACGAGACTCTTCCTGGATGGAAGTCGACGACCATGGGCGTCTCCAAATGGGAGGATCTCCCCGTGAACGCACAGAAATACGTTGAATACATCGAGCACTCGCTCGGCGGTGTCCCTATAAAATGGATCGGGACCGGCCCGGCTAGATCACACATGATTGACCGCAATTAGCGGCATGTGTCTTACCCTCTTCTTCTTTTTCTCTCACACTTCTATTGAATGTTTTCTATCTCTTTTTTCGGTGGGATGCGTACGCATATCTATACTTTGCAAGTACGGTTCAACACTCTATTCGGGGATTTACTCTAGATCCAAGGGCATACATACTATCTTCGACCTGTACAGACCTGTGTTTTTAAACAGAAAGACATATTGACTAGGAGTACGGCAGGATATAAGGCCTGGTTTTCACGACAATAAAAATAATAATATATTATTACCATCTATACTGACCCCTTAAAGCGTTGTTTCAAGTCTGCTGGGCCAAGCGCGGCTAACTGCATGAAAGCCTTGCAGCGACCAACCATCCAGCAACTTCGACTTCATTGTCAAACACAACCACTTCTATTCATAGTCACTGGGCGCTTACAGCTATTGAGCAGGCCCATTCACCAGCCCTATTCTTCAGCCTATGAATACTGCTTTTATTGCGGAACTTGTCACCATGGCAGACTTGTGTTCTTCCTTTCCTTCAGCTTTTCTTCACAGAGCCGGCCTCTTCTTCTGCTTCTCCCTCAGAAAGCATCCCTGCATAATACACTAATTTTTTTTTTTTTTTACACAAGTTATCTTAATATAACCATCGAAGGAGGTATTGTTTAATCCCATTCTACCCCAGAAACGAATCCAAGTTAACCTGTTACTAGATCACTATGGAGGCGTCGACACGTAACAGCATGCACTCTCGAATGCAGCTCGAGCAGCTGGCTGCTAACATGGGTGTATACATGAATATGAAATTCCCTCGAATCTCCAGGAAAGACACAGTATCTTCCTTCAGTCAACAGGACAAGGACGCCGCAGAGGCACTGGCAAGACAGAAACGTCTAGAGGCCTTCTCAGCCAAATCTCATGTTTTCAGACGGACACCCAGCAAACGCAGTTTCAAGCGAGATGAACTGTACTCTGCCATAGACTCAGCCATTCGGAGCGACAGCTCACTAGGCATGCTAGAGTACCTGTTAACGCAGCTCAGGGAGACCAAGTCGAAGAAGAGCTTTTTCAAAACCCAGGAAGATCCAATGGCTCTTGACATGACCGACCTCCTGAGACTGGCCACAGAGAAGAGAAACTCGAGCTTTCTGGAGATTCTATCTCCTCATGTCGATCAATGGGGCCTTGATGCGGCCCTGGGCCTTGCAGTTGCAAGCATGGATTTGCATTGTATCAAGGCGTTGCTGCAGAACGGAGCGGATCCCAATGCGTGCCACCAACAATTCATCACAGCCGTCGGTAACGGGCACGTTGCCGTCGTTGAGATGTTAGCTGGAACCGAGAAGAAGCTTGATAGCGCTTGTCTGGACGAAGCGCTTCCAGTGGCGGTATCGATAGGATCTATGCGGTTAATTATGTGTCTGCTGCATAACGGGGCGAACGCGGACACTGACCAAATCCTGGAAACTGCCGTCCGAGCTGGGAGACTTGATATTTCTGCTGCCCTTGTGCTCGCCAGTCGACCTCCTTCTCATGTCTCACTTGATTGTGCGGCCGGAGTTGCCTACCATTCAAACAACCTTAGCTGTGAGGAACGGGATTCACTGCTGGAATTGCTCCTTTGCGCTGGCGCGAACGGAGACTGTGTCGCGCGAGCTTTAGTGAGCTCTGTTGTCGCCAATGATAAGCGATCTGTGTCTCTTATCGTCTCATACAATGGAAACGTCACATATAACTCCTGCGAAGCCATCATAGCCGCCATCAAGGGGGGAAACTTACACTTACTGGATATCCTGTTTAAGGGTGAAATCGATCCCGACGCTGCCTCCATCGCGCTCTCTAGAGTTCCTGAGGTTGCATCAAACCTATCTCAGACAAAAAAGCTATCACTTATTGCTCACTTTGTAAAATGTGGCGCGTACGGAAACCCACTAAATCAATGCCTTGTTGATGCAGTACAGAAGAATGAACGGAGCTTGGTGGACTTGTTGGTTCAATACAATGCTTCAGTTGACTATGATGACGGTCATGCACTACGACTGGCTATTTCATCCGGAGCCCTTCCCACTTTCAGGAAACTCATGGAGGGGAAGCCTTCTCAAGTTACTCTGGGGCATTGCATCGGCCTCCTACCTTCTTTACAGCCACGGCTACAGTTTACGGTTGCCCAGGATCTGTTAACAGCCGGTGCAAGGGGCGAAGCAGTTAACAAATTACTTATTGGGGCCGTTCAAAGTGAATTCCCCGCCGAGAGAGAACAGCTTATCGAACTTCTCGTGAGTCACGGCGCAGATGTGGATGCTCAAAATGGCAATTGCTTGGTACAAGCCGTGAAAATAGGAGACGTCATTGTACTGAAATTGTTGCTTCAAGGGAGACCCTCATCATCTTCCCTTTCAAGAGCGGTTGTTCCGGCAGTCTCTTTACGAGATAGAATCCTACGTTTCTCTATTCTAGACCTCCTCCTTAACTCCAGGGAGGCTAGCGGGCCTCAAATTAACCAAGAGCTGGTTACACTGCTTAAAGAGAATCCGCTTGATATCGTGGCAGTGAACTTATTCCTTGACAAGGGGAAAGCGGATATCAACTCGAATAATGGGGAGCCTATCAAACAAGCATGTCGAATTAATGATCCTGAGCTACTAAAGATTCTTTTGCAACACCAGCCTTCTGTTGATGCACTAAACGCTGCCTTCCCTGTTGCTCTGTCATCGCAGGACACCTCAGCCCGATACAAGATATGCAATAAGCTTCTTGCAGCTGGGGCTAATGGAGAAGCACTGGATTCAGGACTCGTCGCAGTTCAGCAGAGCCCACCGGCCGATCCCCGTCTCATTGAGTTGTTATTGTCATACGGTGCAGATATCAACTATAATGGAGGGGCAGTTATCCAGAGAGCAATCGATATGTCTGATGAGAGACAACTGGCATTGCTGGTATCGAGATTTCCGACGACATTGACCCTTACACTGGGATTGGAGCGGCTACTGAAAATTGACACCCAAAAGCGAAACGAAATGGCGAAGATTCTTCTGGATGCATCACAAAATCGTATCCCTGAGGCCCTGGATAGCCTGCTGGCAGAAGCAATCCTCTTAAATAAGGGGGATGTTACTTTCCTGAAGATGATAATCCAGTATGGCGCTTCTGTGAATTACCAGCAAGGTGCTGCCATTTTAAATTCCATAAAGGGACGACGATTTGATGTTTTTAGCCTTCTACTGGATCAGCAGGCCAACCAAGGGACACTTGAAGAGGCATTCAAAGCATGCTGGACTTTGAGAGGTACAGAGCGCCTGTCATATACTTCACGAGTATTAGAAGGCGGTTACAAAGGCGATCTGCTTGATGCAGCGCTACTTGAAGTTGTTGAGGAGGCACCCTGCAGCCATGAAGCTGTTAAATTGCTTCTTACCCACGGAGCATCCGTGCATTACAATCGAAGCCAAAGTTTAGTTCATGCAGCAATGGCTAAGGATATTCTGACCTTGGGCCTTCTCTTGGAAGCTGTGTCAGACAGGGCGGGCGTCACTTATGCCTTTGGTAAACTGATATCTACGGATAGCAGCAACTGGCTAACCAAGACTGGATACTCAACTGTGGAGTTGCTTCTTCAGAATGGAGCATCCGGAGAAGTATTAAGTCTTGCCTTAATCGCCGCCATCGAGACCTCCGACTCCAATCCAAAATCTCCTAATTTCGTGGAGCTTTTCCTTCAGCACAAGGCCAACGTAGATTACCAGGATGGTCGTGCGATAACAGCTTCCATTTCAGTCGGAAAACCTCAGTTAACCAAGGAAATACTGAAATCGAGTACCTCAAGCCAGAATATTAACGCGGCGTTTTTATGCATTTTCAGCTCTGACTTGACTGAAGATATCGCTATTGAACTATTCGACATTTTCACCAAGATGAATTTAGATATCCAGGCTCTGAATGGCAATGTATGGTCCTCAGGTGATGAAAGCGGGCTTCATGAGCCTGTTACATTTCAATGTCTGAGGAAATGGCCCCGTGGTTACAAGCTTCTAGGGCGTCTACTTGAAGCAGGAATTCATGTAGACAAACCAATTTCCTATGTGATTGATGAAGAACATGGCTTTGAGCAGGTGTCACTTCTTTTATGGGCACTTCTACAGCCACAACAATTGATCAGCCCTTATGTATTTGAATGCCTTCTTAAGCATGGAGGTGAGTTTCCCTGTATCTCCCAGAGTATTGTAGAAGCGCTACTAACTACCTATTTTTATCTAGCCGATCCCAATTTTCAATCGAGCAGCTCCATGATGACACCGTTACTAGTTGCTTCAGTAGACAGAACTCCAGATGTTATCCGAAAACTCATTCAGCATGGAGCAGTCGTTTCCGTGATGGATAAGCACGGTGTGACACCCCTCATCCACGCCAGTAGGCGTGGTCAGCTAACAACTATGCGCTGTCTCATTGATGCCGGTGCCATGGTTGATGACGGCAGCCTTCACGAAGCTTCAAGGGAGCTACAATCGAGTGCTGTTCAACTTCTACTGGACCATGGACATAATCCAAATTTCCCTTCCATGCTCCATGATGGACGCTGTGCTCTAGCTGAATTGTGCCTCAGGGCTGAGTCACCAGGAACCTCGCTAGTTAAAACAAGACAGACAATCGACGGGCTTATAGCAGGGAAAGCTGACTTAACTATCCATAGCCAAGGGAAGCCACTCATCTACCACGCCCTTGATAATCCCACATCATGTATAAGCACGACAACTGCATTACTCGCCAGCAAGATGTGGCGGCTTATCAATAATGATTTCAATCATTACACCTGTGACGGATATGTTTATTCACCGTCCACTTACGTGGCTAGAAGCCTTGCACAAAGCTCCTCAGAATATGGCCCTGAACTTCTTCGAATCCTAAAAGCCAACGGTTGCAAAGATGTGTTCTATAAATGTGATGGACCTCAACCACCAGATATGGTTGGAGCACCCCCTGAAGTGATCGCAGAAGAGAAACGACGCAAAAATCGCCTCCAGCGTATGCAAGAACAAGAGGAAGACCACCAAATATCTCTACAGCGTGAGCGTGATGTTGCTGACCAGCAGCACCAAATAATGGCACGCACACACCAGCTCCGAACTCTACATGATCGCGAGACCGCAGATGAACGAGACGCAGCAGCCGAGAGATCCAACAAGCTCCAACTCCGCCTCGAAGCAGAATCAGCTTCTCAGCGTCAACATTTCGCAAGCCAACAACATCTAGCGGATCAAGAGCAGCTGCGTATGATGAACCAACTTCGTCTAGAGGCTTCTGAGAGGCAGGGGAGGTTACAAATAGAAAATGACAAACTCATGGCCCATACCCAACATAACCTCTTAGAGGCTAAGATGGCAGTGGAGTCGAGGAGGATTAAAGAGCTTGAAGCTGCCAATGAGAGGCAGTATCATAGAGATTCAGACTTACTGTCACGTCAAGAACGAATATTAGCTGATCGGAAGGCCTTTATGACGGTACCTACGGCCGCCCCAGGGGACGAGGGATCAGGCTTGTCGATGCCAGAGCCTCAACGACAACTCACTTACACTGGTTCTGAGTTAGATTGATTGGAGTACTTCTTTTCTTTCTTAGATCTTTTCAGATTGATGTATTTTAAACTCGCTATCCTTTTTAAATGCCGTTTCTTAGTAAGGTGTCTATGGAGAATAATGCATGGAAGTAATACACTTGTTTTACCAATGGCATAGACGGCAAGAAACTGCTTTTATAAGCCTATATACTCAGGAGCAGTTTAAGCAGAGATGCAGTAGTTATCAAATAATATTAAAATGAGTCAATCTCATGGAGTGGAATATTTTGTTAAGACGATTCATCCCCATCTAGTAGTATACATAAAGCCATGCAGACAATAATCAAAAAATCAGGTAAGAAATACATAGTAGAAGAAACATTAGCCCCGCTCGAAGAAACATAGCCTCAACCAGAGTGATAGTATATCAGAAGGGTAATAAAAATACATTCATAAGAAAATTGGAGAGTATAAAATATGTCCTGTCACCGCGTCTTGAAAACGAGCGCTAACTCCGTCATGGTAAGAGATATCCTGAAAACACCATATTGTTGTAGTAAACAGCAGAGAGAAATGGAGAATCAACCTCAACGCCTATAACTTCCGACCCATATATATTAAGCTGTCGAAGGAGGGTTGGAATCGTGGATTCGCAATTCAGAGCCAGAGAAAGTGGCCCTTCGGGAACGCTCCATATCCAGTTCACTTGAAATGCAATAAGTATGAATCTGTAGGGGCTAGGGGAAATTTATCACGGGGTGAAGATGGAGGCGCCTGTTCACTCCCATAGACTCCGACGTCTATCACCTTGGGACCCATGGCGGTCAAATCCTCTACTTCTGCCGGAATCGTAGGATCCCCTGGACCCTCCGCGGCCACCGTAAGAGGATTGGCCGCCATATGATGATCGTCCACCATACGATGGTTGACCTCTTCGATCAGAGAATCCACCGTAACTGCCACCCCTCTGGCCACGGCTAGATCGGCCTCCGAAGCGAGAGGGTGATGGCTCTGGCAAGTATGGAGGCTCTTGGTAGCCCCAAACAGTGGTAGCAAGCTGATGAAGAAGGCGGCGGGCTTCCCGTTTATCATACTTCGACATCTGGTTGTTCATGGCGCGATACGCCTTCAATTTATCTTCATCATTAATCCTGGTAAATTGTTTCGAAAGGGTATCATACACTAAGGCAATAGATTCACTAAGTTGCGGTGGGTTGGTCAAGTCTGCGCTTGCAAAATCCAAGGAGGCGTCCTCTTCGATGGGAAGGCTTCGGAGTTTGTCGCCAAATGTGTCGAATTCAATGTCCGGGAAGAGGATCCAGCCTTCTCCGGTTTTGTCGGCTCGAGCTGTGCGTCCAAGACGGTGGATGTAAGTATCTTTGTCGTTAGGAACGCCCATTTGGATTACATGAGACACATTTGGAAAATCCATGCCACGGGCAGTGACATCAGATGAGAAGAGGATTCCAGTCGTAGCACGGCGGAAAGAATCAGAGTTGAATGTCCTTTGCGCCTGTGTTAGTCGAGAGTGCATCTCGATAGTTTGAATGCGTGGGGAGCGTCCGGGGTACAGGCTCTCCAAATCTCTGCACAGCGCGTTGAAAGCACGACGAGCGACGCTCACTTCTGCAGTGGATCCGTAGTAAACTACGGCTTTGAACGGCATTGCGGTTTCTGGATTTGCAGCATGAGTCTGGACAGCTCTTTTAGCAATTTCAAAGAGAGCAGGGAGTTGATTCTCGAAGCCTCTCAAAAAGACAGCCCTCTGGGGGACCTTCAAGTGCGTTGGCGTCTCGTCGCCAACGGTGTTAATAAATGTGAAATCGGGCTTCAGCATCTCCCTGGCGAGGCCCTTTACTGAATTTGGGATGGTCGCAGAGAACATGAGTGTTTGTCGGTCAACCTGCGAACGACTTGGGAAGAAGGATTGAATGCGCTCGATATCAGGTGCGAATCCAATGTCGAGAAGTCGATCCGCTTCATCGAGGACGAAGGCTTGCAATTTAGGAGCAGAAACTCCACTGGTAGGGTCAGAGAAGAGGTCCATAAGACGACCTGGAGTTCCAACCAAGATATGGCACCCTTCTCTCTGAAGTCTCATTAACCCTTCTCGTTTCCTTGTTCCTCCTACTGCCGTTTGCACCTTGAGGCCAGAGCCGCGGGTGATCTTTTGAGCCTCAACAGCAATCTGTTCAGCAAGTTCGCGAGTAGGAGAAATAACCACAGCACGAATATCCTGGGTGGACGCAAATTTCCTTCGTAGGTTGCCCAGCGTAGGGTCTTGAAGGATTCTATGAATGACGGGGAGAAGGAAGGCTACAGTTTTACCTGTGCCAGTCTTCGCTTGCGCAATCCTAATACAAAAGCCTGTCAGTATCTATTTTGCTGCAACACCTTGAAATGGGGAATGAAGGGAAACGTACATGTCTGTCCCCTGAATACTCTCGTTGATGGTTTGAACTTGTACATCCGTCATCGTCTTCAAACCCATTCCTTTGGTAATAGCATCGATTAATCTCTGGTCGACCACGCCCTTCTCTCCCAGCTCCGCGAATTCCGTGATCAATTCATCCTCTCGAACGTCTTCAGCTTCAATCCCGGCATTGGCAGCAGCGCCAGCTGGAACGCGGAACTGAGGTGTGAAGTGAAAAGCTCTGGTAGTCAGAAGAGGAGCAATTGGAAGCCTTCTAAGAGACTGTCTCGCCAGTGTAGAATTAACCGGCGATCGTACAGCACATCGCTGAAGATTGCGCGAGAGCAGATGTCCAAACCGGACAGACATGCTGCTAAATGTTGGTGGTAAAGGCACGACGGTTCAGTATTAGAGTATTAGCAAAATAGTAAGAAAAACAGATTCCAATTCTATAGATGCTTTCTTGTCAGATTTAAAGGAGTAATAAATGAATTGAAGTTGTTCACTTGGAAATTCAAATCTTCAAAAGTGATTTTGATATTTTTTTCGAATTTTTTGTTTCTCGAAATTTTCTAGATAGAGTCACGTGATAAACTATCGATAAGAGCAGGAAAGTATAAGGAGAAAAAGAGAGAAAAGATATTAACAGCGTAAATGTAATCATGAAGAGTGTTAAATATCCTGGGAGAGCGGGTTGGTATGCGAGGATGCATCAGGTAGTCGTAAGCCATGTTTTATCAATTTGATATACTAGGATGGTTAATTTTATATACTAAAGATGAGCGCCGTTCATCTCTTTTCCCATGACTTCGAACAGCTGCAGCCCATTGAAGTAGCCGGCGAAGGGGGTCCCGATAGTCTTGAACGTGTATAGGGCATCTTCATCGGGGATTTTGACAGTTTCACTCCCTCGCCCCTTGGCTGCAGCATCGGCCAGCAGCTGGCTGTAGCAGCACTTTTCCAGCGCGTAGAACCAGAACACGGTTTCTTCGATGGTTCTCCCCACAGTCAGGAGGCCGTGGTTCTGCAGAATAGCTGCCTTTTTGTTCCCCAGAGCTTTGGCGATGTTCAGTCCTTCTTCCTTGCCTAGAACTATCCCTTTGAATTGGGCGTACAGAGCATGGTCCTGGGTGTAGCTTGTTAGAAAAAAAAAGAAACAGACAGAAAAAACCAGCTAGTAACGCATGAGTACCTTGTAGAAAGCGCAAGAGTCTTGAGTGGTGATGTCCAGTTCGATTCCCAGGGTGGAAAAAGTACGACCATAGATACTGTGGCTGTGGGCGGCACATTGGACGTCTGGTCGAGCTTCATGGACGGCAGCGTGGATCATATACGCAGCAGCATTCAGTCGACGGATCTCTCCGCCCGCGATGACAACGCCTTCATGGTCGACCTGGATGAGATCTGAAGACCTTATATGCGCAAACGGCACGCCAAACGGGTTCACCCAGAACGTTGTTGGGTCGACAGGATCTCGCAGTGTGATATGTCCAGCTACGCCTTCGTCGTAGCCATATTTTGCGAAGATGCGGAATGCGAGCGCAAGTCTTCCCTTGAGGTATTCTCGTTCCTTGACCTTGTCTTCGAAGACGGGAGGTTTGGGGAAAGACGCGCGAGCCTTTGCAATCTCTGGGGTCTCACCCTTGACCACGTAGTCATCCACGGCGGCTCGTAGAGCGGTGGTAGCGGTTGGAGGAGCCATATTGGATGGAAAGGCTGTAGTTTATATATTAATGACTCCGAAGGATGTATGGGGAAGAAAGCGAAGTCTCCATCCAACTAGCTCTTTTTCATATATAATGTAGAGGTCGAGAGCTTTGAGGGGCATCAGGGAAATACGGGCCTACCAACCGACTACCGATTCCCTGGTCGATGCATATACGAAATAACCTAGGCGATAATGCACCGAGACTTAGCTTAGAGCATTGTCCGTGTATCCGCTGAGATATATTGTAAGCTACAATAAAGGTAGACAAGGTACAAGACTAACAAGGACATGAGACAAGATATCGTAGCTATTTACTTGTATATTTATGTATGAGAGTAATTTAGATACCTGTCGGAGAAGTTTTACGGATATATCAATGAAGGAAGAAACCAGATAAAATACAAGCCAAGTACTATAAACATAGATCTAGAGCAGCTGTGTTTATTATGAAGAGGGTTAAGCCTCCGTACAATCCCCGTTCTACTAAGGATAGGACATTTGGGCAGTTCGTTGGTAACCAGCTGCTTGGGCACGACGAGTGATTTCCTTGTCTTCCTGGATGAGCATGCAGCATGGAAGACAGCAGGAGCCGGCAAAGTCAAGAACCTCGTTGCCCTCGATGCCGTATTGCTTTCGAGTCTCGACACGCTTGATACATTGGATGATACCATAACATCCACAGTATGAAAGACAAAGCCAGGTGCAGCACTAAGAGGCGCTTGGTCAGCACAGCTTACGAATAGAAAATAGGACAGCTTACATCGCCGTTGAAGTAGTTGAAGTCGGTCATGGCTGGGTCACGTCGTCTGTGCTGGTTCCGGCCAAAAACGAAGCAGGGGCAGAACCACGAGCAGAGCACTGTTGGAGTCAAGTAAGCAAAACCATCATCTGCCATATACCATATTATACGTTCGACTGACTGGTATCAATAGGGTCCCAGAATTCATAGAAGGGAGACCCCCATTTGTTTGCTGGCATGCCAGCAGGAGCTGGATCTGGGATAAACCCGGACTTCATGGTTGGGTCGGTGTCGTGGTGAGTGTTGGGATCCATTGCTGATATTATGAGAGTTCAGTTTGATATATTAATAAAACGTAAGGGGGTATAAAGTAAGGAAAAAGCTGGAAACGTAACGACTGTAAATGAGAAAGGAATCTAAGGAATGACGGTGGCCTCGATAAAGAATGAATTGTTTGGAGGAGAATAATTATCAGCGAGCTTGACGAGAGAAAACATGTGGCCAAAGGGCGAGATAAATAAATGCACTCCCCTCAGCCGCCCAACACGATGTAAATGGAGTATTGTGGAGACACCAACGCAACTTGTCATGCTATTATACAGCATGTATAATAGCACAAAGATGGTTGATGTCTCCTGCGTGTAACATAATTGGATAATACCGTCGAAAATTAGCGGGCAGTCTCCATGTGTCACGCTGTTTCGTCTAACCATGAACAGTGATATTCAGCCTCCTTGTCGTATTCTCGGGTTGAATAAATCACAGACCATGAAAACAGCTCGGCGTAGGTTTCACCAATGTACCTTGCAGCATAAGGCTGAGATTACATAGTAAAACTCGTACTCCAAGTGGGAAGCAGAGATGGAAGCTCTGCCATATCCAGTTGCCAGTTGACTTAGCAAAGAACTTGTTTCCCGCCTTAGCCGCTGAGCATGCCTAACCCTGAGAAACAGGATAATTCAATCTATTATGAGATGATCGTCTTCGTCTTCTGCCGTGTTCCTGACCAAGGGCGCATACCCCTTTCTTAGCAAGATACGTGCATATCGGGTTTTGGGGGCTGCCAACACCGCTGATCCATCATTCATCATTCAGGGGCTTGCTAGCTTGAGGCTCTTCGTCTTCTGCCTATCCCGCTTGTACTCAAGTACGGAGCCAAGAGGGAAACAGTTGTCCAAACCAAACAAAGAAGCACCAATCTATGGAGCAAGAAATTGGATCTGTTGCTATTCTTGTCCCATGGGATTATACTAAGGAATATATGTGCATGCACCTTCGAAGCACTATCCCGGAGTCAGGCAAGATGATGCCTTCGATGAGAGGGCCGCGAGTCTCTTAATCAGCCCCCAAAACGCTGTCAAATGTAGTTATTTCCTCTCCTTGATAAAAGAAAAAGCCTTGTAGGACTGCAAGGGACAAAAAGGCCAAGTGTGCGCGAGCCGGGTCGGAGTGGATGACATAATCCAACAAATCTTGGCGATTTATTATCACGTAATAATATAAATGATTCACCAATCATGACGTCATTCTAACGGCGAGCATTTCCCAAACTTCCACTTCTAGCTTGTCTACTTCAAAAATAAACATATCAACTTTACTCTATACAGCTTTCCCAGCCCTAATGAACCATTTCGCAAAGGTCTTCAATCTTCTGCGAATACTATATACGAGAATGGAGGAAAGGATACCTAAAATTCGTATTAAAGTCTGCTGACTCATATCCAGGCTTGCTCTGGGAAGGACATCATTTTCGTATTTCCCCCTAAGACGAGATATGGAAAGAAATATGTGCATCCTCTACCATCTGCTCATGTTAATCATCTAGGAGAAACTATAGAGATAGCCATAGGGGACAGAATGTTTGAGCCTATTCGATGGCTCCATCCTCTCTTTGATGCACTATTTGGCTTTAATATACCCTTCACTTACCGATGGCGACTTCTTATTCTACAGCCAATATCTATCTTGACCTGTGCCATGAAATGGGTGCCCTGGGCATTTTCACAACGATACTCATCGATCCAAATACCCCTTCGTCGAACGCCAGGCCAATCTGTTCGGGCCATTGTGTTCCTGCCTCAAGATGACTCAGGGTTGACGCTTAAGACATCCAGAGGCCTACGGCCTCTCCATCTTGACTTCCACGGTGGCGGGTTTATTGGCGGAAATCCAGAGCATGATGCTGAGTTTTGTAGCGCTCTGTCCGATGAACTGGGCGCCGTTGTCATCTCAGCGACATATCGCTTTGCCCCAAGGCATAGTTTTCCGGTTGCAAATGAGGATGCACAAGATGTGGCTTTGTTCCTTATTGAAAATGCAGAACGCCTATGGAAGGCTGACCCCCAAGTCCTTACTGTGAGTGGGTTTTCAGCCGGTGGAAACCTCGCACTTGGAGTAGCTCAGGGGCTGGCTGGCACTGACCATAGCGTTAAGGGTTCAGTGACCTTTTATGCTCCGGTATGTCTTCCCTTTGCCATCATTAATACTTAAAATGATTTATTCAAATCCCACTACTTATAGTAAGGCCAGGTCGATCTCCGCATATCTCCATCTGAGAAACCGGCCCCTAGTGGGAAAGCAGACCCACTGGAAGTCCTAAAGCCGTTGTTTGATGCATATCCAGGCCCTGTCCGTTCTAGGAATATGAAAAACCCTCTCATGAACCCAGTTTTAGCAGACATCGCTACCCTGCCGCCGCGGATGGCCTTTGTCGTACCGAAGATAGACATTCTGTATGAGGAGCAGATATCAATGATCAGGAGGTTAAAGGCAGAAGCTGAGCAGCTTAACGTTTCTGGTCAAAAATCGGCAACTGGCGCAGATACAGAAGCAGAACTAGAACAGAGAACTAAATATACCCAGATTCGAAAAGATACCTACCAGATTAGCCACCTGGAGTTCCCGGAAGGATTTCATGGGTGGCTTGAAGGTAAGAACTAGCTCTCCCTTTATGCTGACGATACTAACTACTATTTTAGTACCGGAAATCGTTGTTGGGGACAAGGATAAGAGGAATGCATTTATATTTGCCTTTGATTTTTTGAAGGAGGTATATCAAGCTTATGGTTAGAGGACCATGGACATATGATAATCTCCACTCAACTCCTTGGAGCCTGTTGGTTAATTTATTGGCTACTCGTGTATACTAGATCACTCCATGTTCAATATAATTAGCTGTTACTTGTCTTTATAGCCAATAGATATGTATAAACATAGGGTATATGGATAATATATAGAGCCATCTCAGACCCGCGCGGATAATTCGGCCCGAAAGTAACTCCGGTCCCGCCCTTGCAGCTCAGAGGTGGAAACCTTAAAATAATCCAGTTATCATTTTTGCTCTAAGCGCATTTTCAATCTTGGAAAAATCTCTAGCAATTGACAGTATCAACATGGGGAAGAAGAAGAATTTTAAGAAAGTAAGCTTGTTTAGATAACCCCGTCACCCGTGCTCCTTGCTAACTGGGGGTGCTTTCACATTATATAGGGCTCCAAAGGAGGCTCCCGCGGCACTCGACCAGCTAACTATTCTACGACTCTGGTTCGGGAGAATAAAAACTATGAGAAATACTATAATTCGCTCCAGATAGTTCCGGAAGAGGAGAAGCAAGAATTCTGGGATGCTTTGCGGCGTGATTTGCCTAATAGTTTCCGCTTCACTGGGTCTCGAGGGTATGTTAGAGTTGTGTAAAAGCTGGTGGCCCATAGCCGCCAGGACAGTTTATCTGTTAACGTATATACAGTCACGCTCTTGCTCTACAACAACGATTGAAGGACTTTTATATCCCGAACATCACATCAATTCGATATGAAGGCGAGTTAGTCGAACCACCTCAGCCAGTGCCATGGTATCCAGAACAGCTAGCTTGGTCGATGACGACCCCGAAAAGCGTTGTCCGCCGCTTCGCGCCCTTCTCGTCATTCCAGAAATTCCTCGTCTCAGAAACAGAAGTTGGCAATATTAGTCGACAGGAAGTCGTGAGCATGATTCCGCCGCTTCTACTGGATGTGCGACCAGGCATGGTGGTGCTGGACATGTGTGCGGCACCAGGGAGCAAGTCCGCCCAATTGATGGAGATGATACATGCAGGCGAGGAAGAGCGAATGGCAAAGATCTCTCGGAAATTGGAAACCACGGATGAAACTACAAGGCAGAATGGTGCCGTAAAGGTTGTAGATCTTTTGAATGGAGAACCCGAAGCAGCGGAAGCTGATGCGGTAGAGGACGATGGGAGGTCTACGGGGCTGCTGATCGCGAATGATAGCGATTACAAGCGAGCTCATTTGTTGATCCATCAGATGAAGCGTCTGAACTCGCCAAACTTGCTTGTCACGAACCATGATGCAACCGTGTACCCTTCCATTAAACTACCCTCAATATCTATTGATGGCCAACCTGCGAAGAACAGATACCTCAAGTTCGACCGTATCCTAGCTGACGTACCTTGCTCTGGAGATGGAACTACGAGAAAGAATTTCAATTTTATGGAATGACTGGAACCCCGCGAATGGGATTGGGCTGTTTGCTACCCAAGCACGTATCCTCTTCAGGGCTTTACAGATGCTCAAGGTTGGGGGCCGGGTAGTATATTCTACCTGCAGCATGAACCCTATCGAGAACGAGGCCGTTATTGCCCACGTTATTGATCGATGTGGTGGATCTGGCAAGGTAGAGATTGTAGATTGCGCAAAAGAGCTACCCGAGCTGAAGAGGCGTCCCGGCCTAACGACATGGAAAATCATGGACAAGACTGGGCGTATATATGAGAACTGGGCGGAAGCTGAGGAGGAAGTTCGAAAGCTCAATCCTGCAGCTAGCCGGCTTGTGGAGGGCATGTTCCCACCCTCTGGCGACGCCGAAATTGGTGATTTGACTCGGTGCATGCGTGTATATCCTCACATGCAGGATACAGGTGGATTTTTCATTACTGTTCTTGAAAAGAAGCGCGAGATCAAAGTAAAGTCAGAGTCCACCAAGGCGGCTACAGCTGCTCCTCAGGCTTCTGCCTCTGCTCTAGTGCCAGGCCCAACCACTATAGAGAAGGATGGCGAAGATGAGCCATTGGTACCCGAAAACGGCGCTGCTGCTGCTGAAAGCGGACAAGATGCTGCTGCATCTACTCTCAAGAGAGGATCAGAGGACTTGGAACAGCCACAGGCTAAGCGGGCAAAGGTTACTGATTCCGCTCAGGAGAAGGCAGATAAAGTAGCAGATACCAAGCCAGCGCCAACAGAGGCACCCTCAACCTCAGCATCTGCTGTGGCACCGCCGAAGCTAAAGCGCAAACAGCAATCGTCTTTTGAAGAGCCCTTTAAATATCTTGACTCTAACCGTGAAGACCTCGATGAGATCTTTAAATACTTCAGACTCTCCCCCCAATTCCCTCGCGACCGGTTCATGGTCCGCAACGCCGAGGGTCGTCCTGCGAAGACTATATACTATACCACAGTTCTCGCTCGGGACATCCTGACAGAGAACGAAAGCACAGGAATGAAATTTGTGCACTGTGGCGTTAAGATGTTTGTCAAACAGGACGTGCAGAAACCTGATGTGTGTCCCTGGAGAATACAGATGGAAGGTTTGCCTGTGATAGAGTCGTGGGTGGGCATGAACCGGGTGGTGAAGATGTATACAAAGTCCACACTGAAGAAACTTCTTGTGGAAATGTTCCCCAAGGTCAATGACGGGGGATGGAAAGAGCTGGGCGAGATCGGAGAGCGAGTCAGGGATATGGAGATGGGATGCTACATCCTACGACTGGAAGCGAGTGATAGGGAAGATGGATTCCGGTGAGTGCCAACAAACTTTATTTGAAAAGAAAGTAGGGTAAAATGCTGATATGATAACCATCTACAGAGAACGCATGGTCTTCCCACTCTGGCGAAGTGCCTACTCTGTGAACCTGATGCTCCCCAAGGAGGAACGCCGTGCAGTGCTCCTCCGTCTATTTGATGATGATACACCGCTAGTCAACTCGACGCAGAAGAGAGAAGCAGCTGCAGCCAAAGCCAAGGAGGGGATCAACATTGCAGACTATGACTCGGAGCTAGAAGGAAATGACAAGATTAATGGCGAAGCAAATGGCGATGATGCTGACGCAGAGCCTGAGGCTGAAGCAGGAATCACAGCAGGTGAAAACGATGCTCAAGGAGATGTATAATAAAAGGGGCAAATCTCTGATGCAGGCAGACCGATGAACTTGATATATTGGGAGACAGGACACACATCCTACGGAGAAAAAATGCCATATCTTAGAATCTAGACGGATTTTTGGAGTTGCATTATTGGCTTTCCTTTTTTTCTGGTTGGCGACAAATCCCACCAATCATAATAAAGTAAATTTAAGGTTCTTATGTTCTATATGCAGATCATGTCATGTGACTTTTCCAGCCACCTGTTTATTTATGCTTATGTAATCCATTGCCATTTTATTTTCTTGAAGTTGAAGCTGAAGAAGTTGAAAAAGTTGAATATCAACACCGTTTTTCAAGGCTGGGAGTCGGTATTTTGGCTGTATAGGCATTAGATGATATTAACTTTCTATAAGCAATACCAGTGGACAGCCGAGATAAGGAGAAAGGAGAGCACTCGACCCAGCCTCACCGTTGTCGTGGTAACGGTTTCATCACCAGCAGAGCCGGTGGTTGATACTGAATGATATCTCATCTACACTTGGAGCAACCTCGAATTTCTGGATAGAGCTGCCCTGTATAACTTATCAGCTACTGCTGCGGGACAAGGCGCCTGCCGGACAGTCGCCTGACCGCATCCTCACACGATGGCACCCCCACTACGTTATCTATATTATACCAGAAGCTCAGTCAACAGCAATGAGCCGTCTTCATCACTCGCCTCGAGGTTCACTCGGATTGGAAAGGAGACTCTCCTCACAGACAAGTCCCTCTCGCCTCGGGAACTACATCCTATAGCCAAAAGAACACAGATGATAAACATCCCGGCCATATACGCTGGCCCACACACCTCACCACCCATTGTCGTGGCCATCGTGCTTGGAACGGTTATTGGCTTCGTCCTGGTAGCCTACCTGATCTACATACTGGTCAACAAACCTAAGGACATCATGTCCGCCTCCTCAGACATCGTCTCAGAGGACATCCGACGGCCCAAACGAAAAGGACCGCCCCGTCGAAAGTCCACGAAACCACCTCCTCCAAAGAAGCCCATCATTGTGGACGAGGATGAGCCAGAGGTGCCTAACTTTGTCGATGTGCAGGACACTGGGAGGTACGAGGGGACCGAGTCGATGGTCTACACGGAAGAGACGTCAGAGTCACACTACCACCACGCGCCGAGATCGAGATACTCGCCGGAGATGGCGGAGTCGTATTATGATCCGCACAGCAGCCGAGGAGGAAGAGGGAGGTAAGGATGTCTAATGAGTTTGGTTATTTTGGCGCCGAGGGTATCTGTTCTCTTGGATCCCGCCCCTTGTCGTCTTTCTATTCTTAATGTTTCTTGGGTATGGGATGAGCCGGCATCGTTAGCGCCTGGTAAAAATGCCGCGTCTTCTTCTTTGATTAATGATTGCTTTTGTTTTCATGCCATCTGCATATATACAGCCTCATCTGCTAGATTATATACTATGTATACATATGTCCACCCCAGCTGAGCCCATCAACATACGTGTTCATCCTCGTCATGCATGCATCGAGGGCGCTTAAGCACGAAAGCCCATGTCTTTTACATAATTCACCAGGCTGAACGGTCAAACTATTCTTAGGCTGCGGTCCACTGTGATAGAATCTACCAATGAAACATGTCGAGTATCCATAATATGAGTTCAAGCCACAGGCAAAAAGCGCAGCAACCTGGAACATCCCCCGGCAGCAAGCTCGGGATCCCAAGTCCGGATCTAAGGCCTGAGTTAACAGTTTTTCTTCCCTTGCTCTGTGGCTGGAAGTTTCCCTTTTTTTTTTTTTTTTTCTTCTTATATAAAGTACAAGCCACGGCCTTTCTCAACGCTTTATTAAACGCAACACATCCTACACAACAATACTCTATTGCTTCTCAAGGAAAGGAAGAAGAAAGTAGGAGGAAAAGAAACACCATCAACATGGCCGATAAATACGTGAGTTTCTCCTCTGCTTCTTCTGCTTCTGCTTCTGCCTTTTTTGCCTCCTTGCAAGGCCCATCTTGGCGCACGGCACAGCCGATCGATGGGTTGGACGCATATGAATATATATTTATACGCATATAATTAAACGGTCGTTGGCGAGATATGAAACTGACCGTCTGTCTGCTCTGAGAATATATAGAACCAGCCTCCATCCTACCCCCAGCCCACCCAGGGCCAAGCTGGCGACTACTACCAGCAGGGACCGCCTCCCCAGCAGTACGGCCAGCAGCCATACGGCCAGCCTCAGCAGCAGTACTATCCTCCACAGGGCGCTCCCCAGCAGCCCATGTACTATCAGCAGCAGCCGCCCGTGGACGACCGTGGAAAGAGCAGCAGCAGCGGCGGCCTCTGTGCCGGTCTCATGGCCGGTATGGCCTGCTGCTGCTGCCTGGACATCCTCTGCTAGAACAAGACACGGAACCGAATAAATAATACATAATAACATACAAGAGGGGGATATCCTTTTACTGCAAGAAGAGAAGAAGGCGGACGGTTCTCTCTCTCTCGACTTCGTTCATAGGCTCAACTATTTATTCCAACATAGATAATGGGCTTCCTGGCGCAAGTGTTGGCTGCAGTTATCCATCCTCCCTTTGTCTACTCCCTCTCTTCATGTCTTTCCTAGCTTTCTTTTCAATTTGATGAACATGCCCACCAGAAATCTTTGCTTTCCCTTTCTTTTGTTTTCTTCTTCTGCCTTTACTGCTTTTTACTAGGCTTTAGATGCAAACGGGTTTCTCTTTCTTATCCCTTCTTTTACTCTCACACTGCCGGTAGTTGTGTGCTTTTTTACTGCGGTATCCAACCAAAAAAAAAAAATTATCATCATTGTAATATTTGCTCCTTTTATTATATTCACATCGCATCTTTTTATTCCGAGACAGCTCGTGTGACAGCTTCCTCGATCCGTTGGCCCCTGGCCCAGTCAGGCTATATTCAACGCTATATAACATCTACTACCCAAGATGCGGATCTGTAGATGGCCCAAGGAGAAATTTTTGTATCGGTTTCTACCAGTTTGTAGATATATAGAGCTTCAACAAGCTCATGGGTTCCTGCATCTTTGTTGTAGTACTATATTTATGCATGTTCATGTTCCCTTACTGTAAATCCATCGAGTCTACTAGAGAAATGCTGTAAAGAAGAGTTCAGCACGGTAGATATTGCCCCTATATAAATAACTATTAAATATCCACTAATATTTTTGTTTTCTAGTTCTTCCAGAACTTGGAGTTTATCTCAATTCGTGAGTAGAGAAAGCGCTTTGGTGATGATAGTTGAGAGAGTGTGTGAAGTGTATATAAGGTCTTTTTCAATGTAGTGTCTATTCAGCAGTGGCGGTCTCAGCAGTGTCGGTAGCCTTTGCTTCAGTGTTGGTTTCCGCGGCGACCTTTGGAGTGCTGGTGCCGCTGGTTTTGGCCTCTGCAGCCTTGCTTTCTTCCTCAAGGCGGTCAATCTCTTCCTGGGCCTTTTTGATATTCTGTGAATGATGTCGTTAGTTTTGCGCATATCAACAGTTAAACGCTTTTTATCGACTTACTTCAGCGGTCTTGCTGGCCTGGTTGCTCTTCCAGTCCTTGACCTTCTCAACCAGTTTCTCTATCAAAGCAGGGACATCGGACTGGTTCATTGGAGGGTCAACCTTGACTCTGGCGAGGTCTTCGAGAACACCAAAGCTGAGGTTGAACTTGGTGGCTTCAGGCTGAGCGGCGGCAGAGTTGTTGGAGGCCAATCCCTTCTTGCCCTTCTTCCCCTTCTTGCCTCCGGTTCCGCCCATAAAGTAGTTATCGTCACGGTCATCCTTCTTGATGACCTTGACGCCCTTGATGTCGGTGTTGTCGACGGTTCGGCCAACCTGAGCACGGTAGGCGACAGACGACGGCAGCTGGGTCTTGCCGAGGCCGATAGAAGCGAGGTCGAAGGTGGGATCGAAGTGTCTGATGAGACCCTCGGCGGTGAGGAGTTCGTCAGTGAAGGCAGGCAGAGAAGCCTCCTCGAGCTTCTTGTCGGCGATCTTCTTCTTCCTCTCACGCTCGTAGATCTCCCTCTCAGCCTTTTGGCGTTCCTGGCGGATACGGTAGGCCTCCTGTTCGTATTCCCGGTGTGATCTTCGCGCCTTGTGGTAGTTGTCCTTGATTTCCTTTACGTTGTTCCAGGCCTTTTGCTGCTCGTTGTGGATCTTGGTTCGTTCCTCACGGAGAGACTTGATGTTCTTGAAGACACTGTCTTGCTCACTCTTGATATCGTCCAGTTCCTTCTGAAGGGCAGTGTACTGTTCGCTGAGAGCCTTGGCTTCCGGGTTGTCCAGCCCCTTCTTGAGCGCGCTCAGCTGGGCCTTCATCTCATCGATGTTCTTCTTTCCGTCGTCCATGGAGGAGAAGTTCTTACGCTGCTTTCGCAGGTTGGAGATTTCGGTAAGGTTCTTCTTCTCGTCGACCAGTCTCATGGTTCCGCTGTCGACTTCCTTCTCCAGACGCTGTATCTCCCTGTCGATATCCTCAACGCTCTTGAATGCCAGTCTGTCACGCTGGTTCTTCTGCTCGGCGAACCGGGCCTTGATGTTGGTATCGAGGGCATTGATCTTCTCCTGGAGGGCAGTGCGAGAGGCCTTGAACCCTTGCTGCTGCTGACGGATTGCGGCCAGCTGGCTGCGCAGTTCCTGCTGCCTCTTAGCGACGGGTGAGTCCTGGTTGTTGGGAGTAGCAGATTCTATCTTCGCCTTGATTGCTTCCTGCAATATTTCGATATGTGTGAGCAAATGCGCACATGTCCACACAACGAAGACGAGCAAATCTCACCAGTTTCTTCTGGGCTGCTGCCAGATCCTTCTCCGCATTGGCCAGAGAGATCTTATAGGCATTTTCATCAGGCTTCTCTGGCTTCACCCTGTGCTCAGCAGCCTGGGCCGGAGCCTGCGTCGCTGTCGTAGCCATTATGATCGTTAGAAACGAGTCGTTTCTTCGCTGCGCTTGTAAAATAAGCGAGTGGACAGGAAAAAAAAAAGGAAAAAAAGGGGGACAAAAAAAAACAAGAAAAAGAGCTGCGTCGAAGCGGATGCCCTCGACTGACAGTAAGTTAGACACCAGAGTAAACGGGTCGAAGAGAAGAAGAGGAGAAGAGAAGAAAAAAAAACTCCTTGTAAAATCGACTTTATGTTATTTTCTTAATAAGGAAATTTTTTTTTCTTCTTTTCGTTCAGTTTCTACGTTGGTCTGTGCGTTTTTATTCTTTTTTCTTTCGGTTTTTTTTTTTTTGACGTTGAAGCGAACAAGAAGCGAACTCGAACAGCGACAGACACAGTTCTTCGTGTGTTTTGTGTCTGTTTTATCTGACGAGGCGGTCCCTTGCTGAGAAAGGATTGACGGCCAGGTGTGTGAGAGAGCTGTTTGCCGGGGAAGAGGAGCTGCGAAGAAGCTCGAAGCGTCGCAACATGGCGGATGAAGAATACTCCAAGGCGTCCGCTGAGGCGGATCGTGAGATGGCCAGGCTCTGGCGTACGTGGAGGACGGTGTTTGAACTGCTGCTTGACCGTGTACGGCTTTACCTGTTGGTTAGCTTGTAGCTTTCACTGACTGAGAATCCATCGCAGGGCTACGAAGTGACGGAGGAAGAAGTCAAGATTTCTCTAGGCGAATTCAGACGGAGATACTCTGATGCCCTTGGGTTTCCGGAGTAAGTCTAACCCTGGGAAAGAGGCAGAGAGAGACAGCGCATGAGATGGAAAATGTCTGACTTGATACCAGCCGAAATAAAATGCGCATCAGTGCTCGCCCATCTCAAGCCATGATGGAGAAATACACGCCGCTCCCCACGACCTCGAAACCGAACACGGCCCCTGAATGCGGTACAATCCACGTCGAATTCTGCAGCGAGACCCAGAGCGTAGGCACCAAGCATATCCGAGCCTTCAACCAGTTTATCGATCAACAGAACTACCATGCTGGCATATTCATCACCCAGTCCCCCATTTCTCCGTCAGCCATCAGGCTGCTGACCGCCATTCCCGGACGGTTCTGTGAACACTTCCTCGAGCAGGAGTTGCTAGTCAACATCACGCACCACGAGCTCGTGCCAAAACACATACTTCTCAGCGCAGAAGAGAAGAAGAAGCTGCTACAACGATACCGATTGAAGGAATCGCAGCTTCCCAGAATCCAGAGCGGCGATCCCGTTGCGAAGTACCTTGGTCTGCGAAGAGGGCAGGTTGTAAAGATTATCAGAAAGAGTGAGACGGCTGGAAGATACGCCAGTTACAGGTGGGTTACTTAAGTGAACTTGAATTAAAAAGAGTTTCCTGGGAGTCGGTTTTTCCTTCATAATGGTGCCAGGTGTCACGGTGGATTATTCTGTTATTACTATTCTTCTTTTTTTCTCTCTCTCTACCTTGGTTTTGAAACAGCAAAGACAGAGACGTTTATGGGTACGTTGTCCGGCATTTCCTTCATCTTGATACGGGCAACTAAATCTTTTTTTCATCTGATAGTTAGTATAAAAAGCCAGCATCCTGGCGTTTGAGACAGGACTAGTTATCCCTATTGGACGAATGCCGAAGATAGTTGTTCAGCTTTTACATGCAATTTGGATTAGAGTCGAATGCTACTGTACGATCAATGCCATTCTCCACCTCAGATTACATCTCAGATCGTCAATATCGTCTTGATGTAACCTGCAGAGTCCCAAGCTTCAGGCCAGACCGTGTGTTCGACAGCAGCCAAGCTCATGAAACTGCTCGATCCACCGAGCTCCCAGTTTCATCCGTGAATGAAAAGAAAGAGATGAAACTGATCGAACGCCATATCTTCGGGCTTCGGAGCCGGGTTTGCGCATAGACATTTCGCTGTTCATCCGGGCAGACGGCTGTTTCATCAGCACCATCGATGAAGTTTATCATTCCTATTAAGATGAAGGTTACTATGTAAGAAGTGCCAGGACGTATATGATCGTAGAGAACATTTAACTATAAGTTATATTATAAATGTAGAAGTCGATTACCTGCCCTCTCGGCCCAAATTACCCTTCCAGCAATAAGACATCTCGTATACATATGTATGTACAAAGAAAGTTGACACTCCCTGATCCTTAAAACACCAAGTATATGTATACAAGATGCAAGACCCTTGCTCTGTCCAAGAAACCATTTGTCAGGATCTCCGTATAACAAGTCATCGAGTGATGATAAATCAAGTCGGGAGGCAACGAGTCACAGGGATGAAGGAATTCAGCGGGGCGGGACAAGAAGGAACTGCACATAATGGGGAAAGACAAGTATAGAGGGTATAGGTTATGCGCAGAGGAAGTAGAAGTGGAAGATGACGATGCGATGCGAGGGGATATATAGGGTAAAAAGGGGGAATTAAAACACGCACGCCAGGGTATAAGCAGAGAAGCAACAAATAGTTATACATGTATCCGTCAACTCCTCTGGGCATAAACAGGGGAAGAAAAAAAGACGCAAGATAGAGTGAAGCCACTTCCGCTAACATACGTATAAAAAAAAAAGTATATAAAACTGTAGGAAATCCGTTAAAGGGCGTGTAAAGTCGTAAAAAGAGGAGTCGTCTCTCTGTCGTTAGATAGGTAGGATGTTGTTTCATGGCGAGAAATTCGTAGATGCAATGCTATTTGGAATGGGGCATATTGCCCTCGATATCGCGGTTTAATAGACCACCGAGGTCCTGGAGCTCTGGAACTCCTGGTTCACCGGGAGAGTCGTTTCGTGGTCGAGCGTCGCCAGGTGATATCGCGGGAGAAGATGTTCTTCTGTTAGCAGGGGCTGTTCGTGCTCCACTGGCTAGATATGAGGTGTTGAGGGTAGGGCGTGAGAAATTTGGTAAGGCGCGAGAAGAGGTGTTTGGTGACGGAGAGGACTGACTGGGCGAGCTTCCGCTGCTTGAGGAAGAGAGGAATCCAGCAACGGTGCGGAAGAGGTGGTTCCGGGTGCGAGGTTCCTGGGTTTCGGGAAGGGCGTTTGGAGGAGTCATGTTAATAGAAGTAACAGCAGCAGGAGGAGAGATGGGGCCTTCCTGAGCCTTGGGGGGATCGAGGAGTCCGCCGACGTCGTTCAGGGATACCTTGGAGAGGGAAATGTATTTGGAAGGGGTGCCGCTGTTGGACCTGCGGGCCGCTGGACGGGTGTTTGTTTCTATATACTCGTAAGGATGTGCCTTTAGACCGCTCAGGCTATCAGAGGTGGACGTACGATCGTCATCGACAGGCATCTGCGAGGACGGGAATTGCCAGTTGCGATCAACAGAGCCTCGTTTGGGCAGGACTGCCACTGGAGCAGGACGGATCTTTTGGTAGCTCAACGGCCTAAGGCTAGGGTCCAGTCGAATCCCCAGATCGCTGACGAGGTCTGCGTCCGATCCCCAGTGGTGGTGAGTGATGGTAGCCCGGCGGGAAGTCGTCTGCTCAAGGCTCTCGCTGAACGAGGCAGCCTTGAACTTTTGCTTCTTCAGACCGCGGTCCCGGACGAAGGATCCTATAACGATAGCGTTAGAGACGGCTGCAGCTGCAAGAATCTCGAGGGAGGCGAGCAAGGTGCGGTATTGCTGAGATCCTCGATGAGAGATGACAGACGGTATCCGGTAACAGGTGATGGCCACCAGGATCAGCGGAAGGGTGAACAGAAGGGTCAACGAGATCTTGCGACCGGTAGGCATGGCAGACAGATGGATGATAGGGATGGGGAACATGACCAAGAGCAGGTCAGTGACAACGTTGCATGTCCCCATGGTGATGAGCTGCGCATAGCCTTGACGACACTGAGGCCCTGGATCCGGGGTGACCTGCCAGTAGTGGTCAAAGGGCTGGCACTCCGTCAAGGTCGTGATGAGCACGGCGATGAAGGTTGCCGCAAGGAAGAAGCGGATGATCTGGAGGACATATTGGAACGAACGTCTCCATATCTGCGCCGTGATCCGTCCAAGGAACTCGGCTATGGTAAACTTGGCCGTCCATATACTGTACGTGTGTTAGTAGGTAATATATATACATATATCAGGGGTAATGGACCTACAAAACGGCGTAAAAGACCCTGGAACCGAGGGCCATGCGACTCCCGATCTCACGACGATGTATCTCGTCTGGAG